CGCCCCCCTCTCACACATCACGATCTTTCGGCCGCGATTCGTACGTTGCCTTTTACAGTGTTCGCCGGCTAACGCGGCGCAGAGCTCATTGACAAGTGCGTCGGCTCCCGCATGTGGGTGGTCATGAAGGGCGACAAGGAGTTTGCGGGCACGCTATTGGGCTTTGACGACTATGTCAACATGGTGTTGGAAGATGTTACTGAATTGTAAGTTTCGTCTTTATCTCCTTACCAATCGTATAGAGGGACTGGGGTGGGGCGCAGGCGGGGCGCAAATGATGCTGGCGTGCGGATGCTTTGTTGGTGCCGCTTAGAGGCCATTGCGGTAGCATGTGAGCTCGGTGTTTCGGGGTTACGGTCGGAAAAGCGTTGGTTCGTGGTGGCACGCTGGGCGTGCCCGAGCCTTCGCAGAACTGTGTGGGGTATCTGGAGACTTCTGAGCTTTGGCGGATGGTTGAAGATGGACTGCCGCAAGTGCTCTGCTCTACAGATTTACTGACAATATGCGCAGTGACTACAACGGAAACCAGACGAAACTGCCGAAGATCCTGCTGAACGGCAACAATATCTGCATGGTAAGTGCGACTATGCTTGTCGCAGGAGTACGGGGTACTAATGTGCTGTAGCTCATTCCTGGCGGGGAGGGCCCCTCTGCATGAGTTCGAGCGGTTCCAGCAAGTATGATGTTCCGGGCTGGTGGAGAAAGTAAGACTCGGTTCCAACTGGCGGAGTCTCGCAAGGCAGTGACTTGGTTAATACTGGGCGCGTTCAGTTCCTTCGTGGCAACACTCCAAGCAAACGCGCTGGCCTGAGTATCAGGGCGCAAGGTTGATCAAGCTGGCGAACAACACCTGTATGTGAGGGGTGTAGATAATGTTGAGACCAATTCGTTCGTTCAGACGAGGTGAGAAAGACGTACTCGACGTATCAAGATTAGCCACGAGGCTTTCAGAGTCTATTGCGCAAGCCTTGCGCAAATCTACTTGCACTTCTGCTCAAGATGGACACAGCATCCCTCTGGACCTCAGTCACAATCTCCCTCGCAGCTTTCACCGACGTGACCAGGCCAACGCCAGTACCAGCGTAAGTGGTCATCCTACCACTGGGGCCCCAGCCAGCATCGCCCTGCTCCACGGCTCCCTTGTACAAAGCAGCATTCTCCACATCATCCATGCCCTGAAGATGGTCTAGGTAGCTCTGATTGGCGACTCCTCTGCCCGTGTATGCGTCTGGCCAGCCTTGTATGCCGCGGACAGCATCGTAGATCTTGGTGGAGACAGTGCTGACGCCGCCATCGCTCACTCGGAGTATTTCATCCTGATAGCCTTTGGCAATGACCGCTTCCTCGCAAGCAAGCAATCTGGTTCCTAGACAGATACCATCTGCGCCAAGAGCAAGCGCAGCGGCTGATCCACGACCATCTAGAATGCCTCCGGCGGCGATCAGGGGGGTGCTGACGCCCTCTTTGGCAAGAACGTCTGCCACCTCGGGCAATAGGGTTACGATGCTAGCTCTTTGGGCAATACCGTGGCCGCCAGAGTCACTTCCTTGAACGACGAGAACATCTGGTTTGGAAGTTTTCGCCACCTCCAGCGCCTCTCCTACCGTCCCGACTTGTATCCAGATCTTGGTGCGCCCGCCCGAGCTTTCTCGAATCACTTTTGTCCAGGCCATCAGGTCGCTCAGCTGCTTCGGCGCAAAGAACCATACTGCGGCAACTGGATGCTCGGCCAGGGCATTGATCGCAAGCTGCATGTCTGCGCCCCAATTTTGGAAGCCCACACCTATCGGAAGAATATCATCTTTGGTCGTGATAGTGATGCTCTTGAGAAGGTCTCTCACTTGCGTCAGATCCCCCGAAAGACCGGACAAATCGAAGCCGGCTGCTAGGAATCCAATACCACCTGCCGCAGAGACTGCTACCGATAGTTTTGCCATACTGATGCGCATCATAGGGGCGCCGATCACAATCGGTGCACCTGCCGTTAGCCACGGATAGTCGGCTCGAAGCGTCGATTCGAACATTGTGAATACCTCCTGGGGACTACTTTCTGTATGGACGACAGGGTTGTCAAGTCTTATACCCAGCGGTGGCCGACCTCGGTAAACTTCCGACGAAAGAGAGACTGGGTCCTATTAGGCTTACAGATCTCCGCGGCATCGGATCAAGCCTGGTAGATGTTGCAGTTTCATGGCCAAGTAACCATCATACGCTAGAGGGTGGATAGGCGATTCGTACACCTTGGTGCCAGGCGGCAGTCCGAGGCCCAAAGCGCGGCTTCAGCTTCAGCGGGAGGTTATTCCCTGGTACCTATGCCTTTGTGATGAAGACTGCAGTGACTGGTGGGAAGTGAGCGGGGTGTGGCGGGCAGAAATGCCCAGACGCTAACGTGTATACGGTATAGTGTGATCCAGTCAACACCCACCTGTCTTCAAGATCAGTTGTGCTCTTTGTGCTTCTTGTAACTCTACATTCATCGTCCTCTCTTTTGGTTTTGAGAAATTGGTGATTCTCAGTGTTGCTTTTGGGTCCTAAGGCTGGTTCTGGGATATATTGCGACGATACGACACTAGCTTTGGAGTAGTCTGTTGAAGGAGGCAAAATGAACGCGCCAGACCGGTATGTAGCCTTTTATTGTTCTCCTGGTCAGCATCTTTTCGGTCAACGCTCTGGATCTGAGCCATGCAACGGACGCGCCCTTGAATGTTTGCGAGACGACAAGGGAGAACACCTTCCAGGAACCGAAATGATCCCACCACGTACGCAGGATGGCACCACGACAGGTTGGCACACAACATCTTCGGAAACTGGATGATGTTGGAACTCGGTTCCAGACACGCCTGCAGCTGGGGTCCTGACGGAAGTCGGTGGACCGTTTCGAGTTGTGCCTTCCTGCCTGTCGAGCGCGACTCGGCGCCACCTTGGCACTGTGAGTCTGCCGGAAACTTCGCTCGGAGCTCGAAGCAGCATCCGCATCACAGCACATCTTGTACTTGAGCTTGAACTGGTCTTCTGAATCCATCGGCAACCGCAACTTGAAGCGCAGTTACCTCTTTTCGAGCACCAGAATGTCCTCCACCCCAACCATCCCGGCGACAGCCTCCTCGGGCATTAATCCTAGATTAGTCGACGAGCATCGCTGGACTGCACATCCGAAGAACATACCATACCTTGGCTGCGCCAACAGTAGAGGCAATGACGTTGGTGCTGACATCCCTGAGCGGTGAGTGCCAGCCTGAGTCGGTGCCTGAGTGCGCGTCATCTGGGTGCAGATGATCCCTTGCTCCTCCTTGTCGGCAGCCTCGCCAAATACCAAAAAGTTCCGGCATCGACGCAACGCGACACCTCGACCTCGAACTTCACACTTTGGCCCAGACTCCTGCAAAATCTACTGTGACACCCCTGATTCGACGTGTTCATCTATCAGAAAAGATGGAGGCAGACTATGGCTCCGGCCACGCGGCGCCTGGCAATACGAACCGCTGGAACTACCACCCCGCCAACGCGCACCACATCAACATACACAACGTACGCAACCGTTCCGCGACCGTCGACCCTCCCAAGGCGTATGTGCATTCATGCAATAACTGGACTCTGGAACAACCTGTTGCGACATCCTTCCTTTGCTTGACATGTTGATATCTTACATTGCCGAAAGCTAACACACTGTTAACAGTCACGAGTTCTGGACTCTCAAGCCCGGTGAGAAGAAAGTCGAGCATGAGCCTGATACTCGTACGTTCTGCGATTTACTCCAAACCACTTCTGCTAATTACCCCTCAGGTACTGCCAATACCGAGATCTTCACTCTACGCGCGGAAGATCATACCATGGGCAACCTAATTCGCGACTCTCTCCTTGCTATGCCGGAGGTCACCTTCGCTGCCTACAAAGTATGCATCCTTCCACAAGCTCTGTGACTCCCGCTAAGACTACCTAGTGCCCTCATCCTCTTGACAACCGTGTCATTATCCGAGTTCAGGTCGACCCCAAGTCAGACATGCGTCCTGTCGATGCCTTCAAGGTCGCCTGCGAAGAAGCCATCAAGAATCTTGAGATCTTCTTGCGCCGTTTCAAGACCTCGTACGACCTGACTCGCATGTCTCAGGAGAACCAAGGTCAGGGCAATGCTTGACGTGGCCTGCCGCTCGACAGCTTGTGAACTGGTGAGATTCTGCCGATTTCGCAATCAGCAGCTCTCTTCAGAATCACGAGCATGATCTACTCTACAACGAACATCAAAACGCATATGGGAATCTGGGGAAAGGGAATGCTTTATTGATATCCGTGTACAACTACGAAACCTGCATAACTGGAAAATACGCGAAACGGCGACTCACTCTTGTCGGGACCTGCGGTTGCGTAGCAGACCAAATTCATACAAGACCTTCAGCCATCAGTTGCTTTCTGGCTTCGCAGATTTCTAGCTGTCTTGCTGTATCTTCAGCATTCTCCCCCAAGATACGTAGTACTTCTGTAAGCTGGTGGCTGAATCTCGGGACCCAGTGCCAAGCCCGAGCCCATCAGCCACGCTTGCCCGCGTGTCATCGCCAGTTGCCCAGGTCGAGCTGGTTCGAGCAACCATCTCATCACTTCCCATGATTGCTTTTACGTTCCTTTTTGCATAGTCCACTTACTCGCCATGTACAGCCAGTCCAATTCCTTCATGGGCGGCGCCAACAGCGCCCGTCCCGGCGCAGGCGGTTTCGGTCAGAACCCTTCTTACAACCAACAGCAGTTCCAACCTGGCTCTGGTCAGTCCCCTTTTGCCCCCCAACCTACCAGCTTCGGCGGACCATCCATGCAGCCACAGCAGACAGGATTTCCGGGATATGGCCAGCAGCAGAGCTTCCAGACCCCTCAGATGCAGCCACAGGCCACCGGCTTCCCTGTACAGAACCAAGCGCAGCAGTTTCAGCAACCACAACCAACGGGATTTGGCCAGTTTCAATCCCAGCAGCAGCAGCAGCAGCAGCAGCAGCAGCAGCAGCAGCAGCCGCAACAGCAACAGTTCGCTCAGCAACAACCACCTGCACCGCCCGTCAGACCACAGCAAACAAGCTCCGCGATCGCCCAGTCTTTTGCTCCATCCTCCGCGCCTGCGCCTTCGAAGACCGAGTCTAAGAGCTCTGCAAGAATTCCCAATATCAGACTATCCTTCATCACTGCGACCGACCAAGCCAAGTTCGAACAGCTCTTTAAGTCGGCTGCGAGCGATGAGCAGGCATTATCCGGTGAGAAGGCAAGAGACCTCCTAATGAGATCAAAGCTGCCGGGCAGCGCCCTGTCGCAGATCTGGGTTTTGTCGGATACCACAAAGTCAGGCCAATTGCTCTTCCCAGAATTTGCATTGGCCATGTACCTGTGCAATCTGAGGTTGACCGGCAAGGAGCTGCCTGCAACTCTACCCGATAAGGTGAAGAACGAAGTCTCCAGCATGGTTGATATCATCTCCTTTGGTATCCCTGACGACCGTCCAACACCTGCTGCACCATCATCCAATGCCCCAAACTTCGATGCGCCCTTACGCCAGAACGCTGTGTCTCCCCCGGCTCCTCAGCAGCCTACACCACAGCAGCCCTCGAATTCGCAGCTGCTCACTCAACTGACCTCACAACCCACCGGTTTCTACAATCAAGCCACGGGCTTCCAGCCAGGTTTGCAGCCTCAAGCTACGGGCTTCCCTGGACAACAGTTGGGCTTCCAGAACCAGCAGGGTGTACAGGCATCACAAGGCTTTCAGAACCAGCAGGGTATGCAGCCGCAGCAAACAGGATTCCCTGGTAACCCGCAGGCGACAGGCTATAGTGGGCCGCGTCCTCCGATGCCTCCGATGCCAACTGGCTTTCAGAGCAACATGTCGCCCCAGCAGACCGGCCCGCTCCAGGCACAGCCAACGGGCATCCCAGGACAGTGGGGGTTTGTCAATGCGCCAGCAGGTGGTTTGCCCAATATTGATGCATTGAAGCAGAGACTTATGCCGCAAGCTGGCCGCGAGGGCGGCTTCACAACTCAGGGGCTTGCTGGCTCGGCTAAGGTTCCCTGGGCTATCACTAAAGATGAGAAACGTATCTATGATGATCTCTTCCGCGCCTGGGATGGCTTCGGTAAAGGCCATATAACAGGTGATATAGCCATCGAGCTCATGGGCCAAAGCGGGCTTGATCGATCGGAGCTTGAGAGAATTTGGACCCTGGCAGATCCCAACAACAAAGGGCGGCTAGACATGGACGAATTCGCGGTAGCCATGCATTTGATGTACCGCAAGCTGAACGGCTATCCTGTTCCAGCTCGCTTACCCCCAGAGCTTGTGCCACCATCTACCAGGAATTTCAATAGCTCTATCGACAAAGTCAAAGGCTTGCTTTCGCAGGATGCCGACGCTCGAAAGTCATCTGGTGCTTTTCTGCAGCCGCAACGGACAGGAGTCAGTTATCTGAAAGAGCACACATTCAGGGGAGGTGCCAGCTCTCCTTCATTCGGGCGCAAGGATGCAACCGTGTTCCGCAACAACGATGATTCAGTGGGCTATCGCTCGAGTGCTCGCAGGCGTCTTGGTGGTGGCGGCAGGACCCCTTCACCGGCACCATCGTCGGAAGCGGACAGTCAGTATGACGATATGACACCTGATCAGATTCGCAAGAAAATCCGGGAGGCGAAGGTGCTCCTGGATGCCACTGACTTTCGGGACGAAAATGCCGCCGATGACGATGATATTATGGACAGGAGAGACAGACATGAAGCTGAAGATCTCTTCCGCCAAATCAGACGTCTCCAAGACGATATCGATACCCATCCGAACGCAGGGCTTGGTGGTGCTGAGTCTGCAGCAGAGCGTCGGTCTATGCGACGCGAACTACAGCGGCACCAAGACCGCGTGCCTGCTCTTGCTTCTCAGGTTCGTGCAATCGAGAAAGGCATTGCTGAAGCTCGACTGCAGCTCTTCCGTCTGAAGGACGCCAAGGCACATCCTAACAGCGCCTCTAATATCGTTGGAACCGGGCCTGGTGGCCAGGTCACCGAAGCTGACCGCATCAAAGCTCGAGCTCGAGCCCGAATGCAGGCACGAGCTGCTGAGATGGCTGGCCGCCCTGCACCTGCTGCCGATGACGAAGCCGCCACTCAGCGCAGACTTGAAGAAGAGCAGTCAAAGATCCGCTCTGAACAGCAGCGCAACGAGGGCGTGGTCCGTGACGTGGAAGACAGCGTCAAGGATTTCGCCACAGGGCTTGAAGATGGTTTGAAAATTGAGGGCGAAACCGCCGCTTCCGAGCATGAGAAGCGAAGATGGGAGGAAGGCCTCGGTGTTGAAGAAGAAGTCAAGGAACTCATCTTCGACCTCCAGCGCAGCAGTAGAACGGCTAAGGTTCGGAAGGAGGAACGCTCCCGTCCATCACCAGCACCGCGAGCTGCATCCACACGTGAAGAACCCAGCTCTACGAATGGTACCGATCCCGCTACCCGTCCTGCGCCACCGAGCCAAACGGCGTCCTCTTCTAGCTTCTCTCCCCAAGACCGCGTAGCCGCGGCCAAAGAGAAGGCCCTCAAGCGCATACAGGACCGCATGGCAGCCGCTGGTCTCAAACCTGCAGGTGATACTGGCGAGACTCCTTCTCAGCGTGCGGAGCGCGAGAAGAGGGAACGTGAGGAACGCCTGAAACAGGCCGAGGCTGAAGATGCCAAACGGGAGCAGGAGCGGCAGCAACGTCTGGCGAACGAAGGAGTCGCACCTGCGCCTGCTCCAGCCAGTCCTCAGGCTGCCAGTCCCAAGGCGTCGAAGAAGCCACCTCCACCACCCGTCCGCAAATCCAGACAGGAAAGCAATGACTTCGGCGACCGTAGAGCCCCTGAGGCATCAGCCCGTGTAAAAGCCGAAGAGCAGGCGGCTCGTGAGATTCGTGCCGAGCAGGATGCCGCTGAAGCCGAGCGTAAGCGCCTTGAGTAAGTGCTTTCTGGTTTGGCCCGATTCCATTCTCCAGATACTGACGAGCTCTAGATCCGATACCAAGCAACAAGAGAATGAGGTCGAGAAAGAGCGCAAAGCTGCTGAAGATCGACTCAAGGCTCTCGAAGAACAGGTGAGACTCGGCAAGGTCAAAAAGCAGGAAGAGAAGGCTCGCAAGAAGGCTGCCGAGAAAGAAGCCAAGGACAAAGAAGCCAAGCTTGCTGCTCACCGTGCCGAGATCGAAGCTGCTCGTCAGAGGGAGCTTGAGCTGCAGCGGCAGCTAGAGAGCCTAGACGACGACGATTCGTCTGACGACGAGGGACCCGAACAGGTTACACCACAAGAGAGCACGCCTGCAACCAGCCAAGTCTTGTCAAGCACGAGATCACCACCTCCAGCAGCACCACCGGTCTCCAAGGCACCCCCTCCACCATCATCGGGTGACAGTACGCACGAGCCTACTCCCGTCTCCAGCCCGGGTCCTGCCGTCGAAGAATCTCGCAACCCCTACTTCAAGCGCGCATCTCAGTCGAACGAAGCCGCCCCTGCCTTTTCTCCGCCTCCGGTCCCTCAAACGCAGCCCTTCTCACCACCCGCCGCCGCTTCTCAGGATCTGCCCTCCACTAATCCGTTCCACCGCATTGCTCAGCAAGAAACTGCGAAGCCTATCGTAAACCAGCCAACTGGCCCTCAGTCCCGCCGCCGACCTGAGGAAGACGAGTGGTCTGCCGCCGGCTCGGACAAAGACGACTCGTCTGACGACGAAGCCGACCCTCCTGCCGCCGGCTCTGCCAAGCACCTTGCCTCAATCCTATTTGGCACGATGGCACCTCCTCGGCCCCTCTCTGCCATGGACAACAGCGGCAGCAAACCCGCCACACCCGTCAACGGCGCGCCTCCGCCTCCCGCATTCCCAAGCTCCGATGCCCCTGCTGCTCCTCCCCCACCGCCACCACCAATACCCGATTCTGGCGCGCCAAGTGCTCCACCCCCACCCCCGCCGATGCCCGGTGCGGGAGCACCCAGCGCTCCACCACCGCCGCCCCCTCCACCAGGTGGTGTTGCGCCGCCTCCGCCACCAATGTCCGCCGCACCAAGGCCCTCCGGCGGGGCCAATATTGGCAGTCTGTTGGGCGAGATCCAGGCCGGAAAGGGTCTCAAAAAGACACAGACGAAGGAAAGCGGCAACGCTTTGGCCGGCAGGGTGCTGGGCTAGGACGATTGCGAGCAGCTTGAGGGATATTGAAGTGAATGGACCGCAGATGTGGTTTTTTTTGTAATGACTGTTGACATTGGGTGATGGGCCAGTACGCTAGGGATGCTCAGGTCCAGCCTCAATCAGAGTAGCTAGAAAACCAATTGTTTGGATGGCGAAAGTGCAAGGCAACAAGTCTTTTGCATTTTTTGGCCGCGACATGACTTGTAGTTCTTTGGCTACACGACTCCTGTGCGACTCCTGTCTGTATCTGGTCATCCTGGTCCGGATGAAGCACATCGCCCGCCCTGCTTGTCGAGTTCTGATACATGCTTCATTGACTAAGTGTCTTGTCATACATCACGTGCCGTTCTCCGCCTGGCCCGCCAACCGCTTCCTGATCTCCGTACTGCTGATCTTCCCTGCAAACCCCTTTCGCACATCTTCTCCGTCCGCCTCGTCGTCACCTTCGCCGGGACTCGCATCCAAGACGCCCACCTCAAAGACCTCCAGCTCCCGCCACCCTTTCTCTCGCCGCTTCTCATTGACTGCTGCTCCGCCCGCGCGCGTCTCAGCGCTCACCACCAGCGCCGAGATGCTCTCGTCCGTAATGGTGGGGCCATATGGATCTTCGATGCGCGTGTAGTTGATCGTGATGGCGCTGTCGGCTGGCCGGCCGCTCGCGCCGGTGGGCGGCGTGTACGTCACGCGTACGACTTTGCCGTTGGGGCCCAGCTCGTCTTGCTCGCTGGTGGAGCGCAGAGAGGCGGTGTCGTTGTGGAAGGCGAGGATTGCGTCGATGAAGGCCGCGCAGCGCTGCTGGCGCGTGCTCCAGGATTCCAAGACCGCGGCGTGGGATTTCTTGGTGAGAAGGCTGTCGCCGGTGATTCCGACCGTTATGGTACGGTGCTGGCTCGGCGGGGTTGGGGAGGCGAGGAGGAGGGTGGCGGTCAGTAGGAGCTTGTGGCCGATATGCAGGTGATCGAAGGTGCCGCCTACGGCGACGGAGTGGTGGACTTGAGATGGGGGTGTGGGCGCTGTGGTGATGGATTGGAAGGTGCTGGCAAGGAGAGGCGAAGTAGGAATGCTGGTCGTGAGGGATGGCCCGCAGGGTAGGCGACTGATGGAGGGTGTGGAACGGTGGATGGACTGATAGGCCGTAATGAAGGCCTTGTCAAGGGTGATTCCGGATTCGGATTCAGTACTGAAGATGAGGGACGGCGGTGGGGCGGAAAGGAGTGTTGGGAATGTGATGAGGGGACCAGAGATGTGGGCTTGCTCGGTGGCCGACGCGGGGTCAATCAGGATGATACGCACGTCAATGCCGCCGGGGATGTCGAGGTCGATGTCGGCAGAGACGGCGGTGAGGCAAACGAGGGTGTAGGTTTCCTGGATGAGAGTCTGGAGGTCCGGAAAGAGCGCGGTCCGGGAGGTAGAGACAGTAGATGGGTAGGAAGTGGACAAGGCCACAGCGATGTCGAGACGATAGATCGAGTCCTTGGATAGCTTGGATTTGAGCTTTGCGAGTAGAGCCTCGAAGGTTCCTTTATATGCCGTACGCAGAGAAGGTCTGCTCAGTGGCAGGGACAGCGCGGGCAACAGGAACAGGGCCCGCGGGGCGGTATCGATGGGAGCCATTGCGAATGTATCTGACCGTGTACGAGGCTACTCGCTCTAGAAGCAAAGGTCGTGTGTGTTGGAAAGAATGTCTCAGCAGGATATGTCTGTATGTGGAACCAGTTGGAGTTGTAGCTGGAGTAAGGACTAGGCGAGCCAGGCTCGGCATCAGATTGAAGTATACCAAGAGATTCTGAACGAGCAGTGCGGGATGCCAGGTTCACTGACACCTTCATTTAACGTTTAGTCGCTACTGCTCGAAACTTCCTTCCATTCGGAGTTCAAGCGTGACTTAGGTTGTATAGAGAAGGATCTCAAGATACCGAGGCGTGGAGTGCACCGGCAGCTTGGAGAGTGAGGTCTCTTACTCCGTTCTCGTGGTAGGGTTAGGGCGTGTACATGCCCGAGCTTGGCGCGTCAGGCACAGACGCCAGCACGAGTCGAGCAGGGCACTTTGGCCTGTCGAGGCCCAAAGCATTGATGCACCCTGTCAAATGTCAGCTGGACCAAAACTATGCCCTTTCACACACCCCGACACTCATATTCCCTATCTGACGCTTCTCCCTCTCACGATAATTACTACGCCGCTACCAACGCCATTTACAGTGCCGGCCAGACCGTGAACTCCGTCGGGTCGCCCACGAGCAACTGGGGGCAAAAGCAGCAGCAACAGCAGCAGAACAACTACTTCCCCTCCGACCAGCATCCCTATCAACTACCTCAGCCCAACGGCAATGGAATGACCATTCCCTATCGCGCCGCCCCTCCTCCGAACGCTGCGTCCAACCAAGCACCCCACGAGCCTCATTCCTCACAATACCTCCATTCACGGCGGACTTCGACCTTGAGTGGACAGGGTCACGATCTACATCTACCACAGTCGGGCGGCGTTATGAGCGACGTACACCACTACGGGGCGCCGCCCTCCTACGCCAGCGATAATGTCTCCATAAATGTCCTGCCTTCCACCCCGGGGCACCCGCCTCCGAGCGCCCCTATGCCCGGCTCACTACAGCCAGGCGGCCAAGGAGCCAGACCACAGATGCTGAGCAGCAACAGCGCGGCGCCCCAGCTTCCTTCGTTACCCAATCTGCCCCAGATATCTACGCAAATGCAGCAGCAACAGCAACAGCAACAGCAACAGCGGCCAGCCACTATCAATCACACCCACAGCTACTCACGATCAAGTCCTGGTTTGATGGAGCAAACGAAATACAAACCATTCACCAGTACTCCTGAACAGAATAAATATGGCTCCCCCGCCAACTACGTTCCGCACACGCCGCAAGGGCCGCCTTCGTACTCACCGTTGGGTCTGGCGGATATCAGGCCACGAGCCGACACGACTTTGTCCGACAACATACCGTTCAGTCCCCCTCTGACTCAAGACACCGATATAATGCAGTACCCGACCACGAGCAACTATGTAGCTCAGTGGCCCATGTACGCTGCAGACTGGTGCAAGTGGCCGCCGAGATCGAACACAGGTGCTGTTGGGAAAGTTGCGATCGGAAGCTACCTCGAAGATAGCCACAACTACATACAGGTGCTGGATGCTTCAGTAGCGCAGCCCGACCCCGATAATCCAATGGGTGATCCAGGATTCGAGTTCACCAAGACCGCCGAAGCAACTCACGCATACCCTGTAACTCGGATACTGTGGGAGCCACCATCCTCCAATAAGCAAACTACCGATCTACTCGCAACCTCTGGAGACCATCTCCGCCTTTGGTCTCTTCCTGCTGATCCAACGGCCTCCTACTCTAGCTCGATTTCACGCAAAGATCACCATATACAAAAGCTTTCTCCTCTAGCATTGCTGTCCAATTCGAAATCTCCAGAACACACGGCACCAATTACCTCACTGGACTGGAATGTAGTACAGCCTTCACTCATCATCACTTCGTCCATCGACACCACTTGTACAATATGGGACATTCCTACTCTGACTGCCAAAACCCAACTCATTGCTCACGACAAGGAAGTCTATGATGTCCGGTTAGTTCCTTTTCGCTTGTCAATCTGATCACATACTGACGTCTGGTAGGTTCTGCGCCAATAGCGTTGATGTCTTCGTCTCATGTGGCGCTGATGGTTCCGTGCGCATGTTCGACCTTCGCTCCCTCGAGCACAGCACCATCATCTATGAGCCATCAGAGAAAAATCTTGGCGATAAGAATTGTTTGTTGCCCTTAAAATCCCCCTTTCCTCTACTGACGCTTCAATAGCCAATGTCTCGCCCGAGAACCTTTCCTCTTCTCCCACTCGCTCCGGACCCTCCGCTCTTGCTAATCCACCACCCTTGCTCCGCATCGCGGCCTCTCCGAACGATGCCCACCTACTTGCTACCTTCTCACAAGATTCGTCTGTGATCCGCGTTCTTGACGTCCGCCAGCCTGGCCAAGCACTTCTCGAACTAAAAGGCCACGCCGGTCCTGTCAACTGCATAGAGTGGTCCAACACCCAGCGTGGCCTACTGGCATCCGGCGGCGATGACTGCTGCGTTCTTCTTTGGGACCTCATGACCGCTGTCAGCAACAATACTGGTGTGACAGGGATGCCTGCCGCGCCGGGGACGCAGCAGGTCGCCGGTGGGACCGCGCAGGGTCAAGGCACTGGCCAAGAGCGGGGGCCCAGCGCGACGTGGGAGTGTGGCTTCGAAGTTAGCAACTTGACCTGGGCGCCGAGCCAGGGAGCGCTAGGTGTATGTGGCGGCAGAGGCTTCTGGGGCGTGTTGTTATAGCGTGACAACCGCCGCGAGCTCACTCTATCCGAATGGCATTCGGCCATGATAGGGGGACGAGAAGTCGATCGGGGTCTATCACTCGGATGATTGAACCTCCTCGGATGATGGTGAGGCGTCGGTGCACAGTGCGTGCAAATGAAAAAATGGGCGACGGCGTAGGTAGGCATAGCGATGGCGCCTTTTTTGGGGGGTTCTTTTCAGGCACACACGAGCACGTTTTTCATGCTTGACTATACATATGGCACGCGACGTGGTCGGCCTCTCAGCCACGTTGACGATGACGACGACGCTACAGAAGACGACGATGACAAGCGACAAGAGACAGGGAAGATGTGTCGCACTGTTTCCCGAAGCCAGGTTGTTGTTATATCGTCACTCGTTTCTTTCCCTTCTCCTCTGCGTCCCCCTGCTGTGCTGTACGTAATTCTTCGCTCATCGTCTTCGCAAATGTCTTGCTTGTGAGTTGCCAGTCCCAAAACTGCTACGATGCCGTACTTGTCTCCTCGCCTTGGTTAGCCTCTCAGAGGCGAGGCAGGGCAGGGACACGAAGGCAGCTATCTATCACGCTGGGGGAAACGCAAAGGAGAAGCCGGTGAGCAAGGCGGATGGAGAGTGCGGACGCACACTGCGGGGCCTTAGGGAGAGAGAGAGAGTGTGTGTGTGCCATCTTGATTTCTTTAGAATATTGTCTGCCAAGGTATGTTACAGACAAGACCATAAGTCGTGACTCGTACAACGGTCACTTATGTACGCGACACGAGAAAGTCCGGGCCTGGGTCATCGTCGTCGCTGTCGCCTGGGTGGGCCAACTTGTTTTCCGCGGCACCGGCACCGGCAATGGCCGGCTTCCTCGCATGCTCCTTGCCTTCGTCGGTAGTATCGTTGAATTGCCTCAATGTGTCCTGCAAGCTCTGGTTGCTGCCCACGCTGGGACTTCGGAAATGATGGCTTCCTCCTCCATTCAACAGATCTTGAGGCGGGTCGCCTGATTCGTCATCGGTCTGCTCTTCGACGCTCGTCTGTGGCGGTAGTTGGGCTGGTGGTTCAGGTAGCTCCTCGCCTGTTAGGATTGTGCGAGCCCGGCGTAAGGCGGCTAGCTCGGCCCCCAGACACACCATTAAGAGTCGCCAGTTCTTTTCTTCAGCGACGGCAATGTCTGTCTTCAGGGAGGCCATGAGCTCGTCGAGGCTCTGAGTGAGATGGTCACCGGTCGCGGGATCGCCAGCTTGGACTCGCTGTCGGAGGCCTTTCTCGAATGCGTTGATCCGCTCGGTTGCGGCGCGCCATAGTTCGGCGCCTTGCTGGAGGGCTTGCTGCTCCCGCTCGGCATTGGTCCTTCGCCGCTCCAACAGCGCCTGCTCGGCTGTCCATTGTTCCTGCGCCATATCGAGCGTGCGCCGGTCGGCTTTGAGGGCGTACATGCCGCCACGAGTCGAGCGGGTTTCGTCGTAATTAGAGAGGCTGCAGGGTACAGGAGGGTGGCGCAGGAACTGCCGTACGTCTCGCTCGATGGTCGACAAAGAATGGCGGTAGGAGCTGAGATTGGATTCAACTGTGTTCTCATACTGTTCGGCTTGAGCAGTGAGGTGCCGATGCCTAGTCCGGAGCTCAAAGAGATGTGCCTCCAATTCGTGAATCTCTTGTTCGACCTTGGACGCTTCGGAGCGGAGGGCAGCGGCACCGGCGGTGGGTTCTTCACCCTGTGCAGCTTGCATCGCCACGTCGAGCGATTTTCGCTTCTCCTCGTATCCCTTGCTTTTCTGTAAGGCTTGCTCGCGGCTGTGCGCTTCGGCCGCTGCAATTCGTAGCTCTTCGCCCTTCAACCGGGCAAACTCCTGCATGGTCTTCGTAAGACCCCTTCTTGCACTTCGTAGCGAAGGCTTCTTCGGCCTGGGCTGCCTGATGGGCATCGTCTTGGGGCCGAGCTCATGCTTGTGTGTCGGCGTGAGCGAAGGTGTAGGTGTGGGGCTACCGAAGGAGGAACCGTCATCTCGGGGCTCTTCAGGAATGGTGGCCTCCAATGCGTCGGACTGAGCGTCGATCAGACTCTGTAGTGCTCTTTCAAGAGATTTGGCCGCTCGTTCAACAGGCAGGAAGGGGTCATCATGGTGAACAACAGACGCGCTGAGTGGGGCGGTTTGGAGTACGCTGCGTCCAGCATACGCTGGGGACACAGGAGAAGTCGTGGTCGAGTCTCTTAGGGAGATATGGTTGGAGGAGCTGCTGGAGCTGGCACGACGAGGGGACTCATCTTCGTACTGAGGCAGGACATTGGAAGGAGAGTGAGGGAATATACGTTCGATAATTGACTTATTCATGTTGGGCCGATGGACTCCGTCTCCAGGGCTGAGATGGCGACCCGGGTGGGATAAACGATCAGTCCAGCCTTCGAACCGAGAGGTCAGACTTCATACTGTCCAGCAGGTCAGCTGCCTCAGTCAACATTATACATGGCATGAGACGACGTCGCGTGCACGGTCCCGGTTCTCACATGCGCGTCGTTCGCAAGGCTACGAGGCTGTTTGATACGAGGTCATCGATTGGCTTGACCCTTTTCATACTCATACTCATGAAACCAAATCGGTGGACATCTATTCGCTTTTCTCCATGCACATTGACGGGGAATTCGGGAACACTTCGCAGACCCTCCCACCGCATACCTCTCAGTCCCGACCGCAAGAGGCTAGTATGATTGCGTGACGAACGAAACCTCGGAATTTGTTCTGATCGTAGTCTCCGTATAATTCCCTTACTCTGAGCATGCCGTGCCGAGCGCCCAGTCCGCTTGAACGCTGTACATCTAACCCAAAAGAATCAATCGCTTCGTGGCGTCTGTGCATGTACGCCTCACCCATACGTTCTCAGCCACCCAGCGTTCACGTGAGTGTTATGATCCTCTCACCCTCTCCACCGTCAGCCTTCTCGACCGCATCACCGTCGTCTTTGTCCTTGCTATGCTCTAACTTGATACCGCCACTGTTCTTATCGAACCGGACCGGTTTGAACTGATGCCAGCAATTCGGCGCCTCGAGCACATACCGGCCCATTGCCTCCCGGAACCGCCTCTTGTACTCTTTCGGACTTGTTACCGTAGGCCGATTCTTCCCTCCGCCTGCGAAGCCTCTATCCTTGATCCAGCTTTCAAGTTTCTTGTCCCAAGTATAAGTGCGAATGCAGTCGATGATGCCAACGACAAGTTCCTTGCGAACTTCATCAATCGCAATCATCAAGCTGTAGTCCATGACATTCTGTCGCGCTAGAAAGAGCGTGTCGTTGTGCACCGATGATCGCAAGAGCTTCTTCGAGTGCTCTCGAGCGAAGAGCGGGGATTCGTAGATGAATTCCACCATATTCTCGTCCAATAACACCTCATTGCGTTCGCCGGTGGCATTGATCTTGCGGTTGCGCATACTGCCTTTCAGATCAAATATCCGGGTTGGCGACCGATCATAGAAGAGGTTTTCCATTAGCAGAAGATACCAGTTGTACTCGACGCCGGTAGCCGTGTTCTTGATGATGATCTGATAGAAGCCGAGCATCTTTGCAATCACGGAAGGGAGCTCGTGAAAGAAGGCCTCTGACATGATCTGGAAATAGTTCGGCGCAAACTTCAGGAAAGACTGCGTCTCAATCGGTGACAATGACTTCAAAACAAAGCGATCGTCGAGCGTCTTGAGGAAGAGAGATTTGGTCTTGCCACCTTTACTATCCCATTTCAGACAGCGAGAAAGCGACTCGACAATCCGTTCCTGAACACCACATTTGCGCCGCACGGCATCGAATTGCTCGGCGAAGAAGATTTTGCATAACATTTTCGCCGGGCCTTCTGCAAACTGATATTTGAGATGGGTGCCATCACGACGTAGAAGTGAATGCATCACATCCGCCTGAGAATCGCCATCAAGATGTCGATGGCCAAAGATTTCTTCACTCTCAGGTGGGAACTCGCGAGTTTGCAGGTCATGCAGTTTCTCTTGATAGTCATCCGAGTTCAAGGCAAAGGCAATTATTGAACTGGGCTCATCTTCCCGCACAACAATATCACAGTCGGCGAAGACGTGTTCCGAAGCTCCCATGGGATATTCCAGAGGCGCCCATCCAGACGAAGAACGCTCTGCCCAGAAGGTGGTCAGCATCTGCATCAAGGACTTCCTCTCATGCTTCGGCAACTCTTTGAACTCCAGGTCTTCCTGCGACAAGCGAAGTAGATCCTCTGGCGAATCAGGAAGGAAAATTTGTTCACCATCATCCTCAAGATCACTCTGATCTTCGACGTCCGACGGTGCGTGGCTTGACAGTTGCAATTCTCCCTCGGTCTCGGTGGCTTCGGTATGAGTGTCATCTGCGTGGGAGCCTTTATCGTCGGTTTGAGAAGGATCTGTCTCTTGATGGCCTTGCGCAACAGGTGCAGTCTCATCCTCTGGAGGACTGCGGTCCAAATCGAAGATGCCTATGTCATGTGGCTCATCTACAGCTTCGTCGACATCCTTGTAGACCTCGACGATTGGCTTCGGGGCGGCTAGAGGGTAGACACGCGATTGTCTGGTACGCGCAGCGCGGAGTTTCCTCTCCCTCACCCTCTCGCGTTCAAATTCTCGGCTGAGCTGCTCGAAGTGCTTCGCCAAATTGGAGACTCGAGAATCCTTCTTGCTGCTGATTGCTCGTGGAATGAAGGACTGGCCTTTGTGCTTGAGCTTTGTGAGCCCAAAGCGTTCGGAGAGCTTTTTTTCGGGTGGATTGTCGTCGTTGGCTGGGGGATTTTGCTGCTCGCGGCTCTTATCTCGATCGGATCCAGATTCGTTGGAAAAGTTCAAGGGAGAAGCGGTTCTCGCATTAGGAGGCATATCCTTCCTGGTTAATACCGATCCTGCTGGAGTCGAAAGTGCCCGAAGTAATGGTGGTGTTGACGTCTTGATACTGGCACTTCGCTGCGGCGGAGCCAAAGTCTTGTCCGCATTCGCTCGAGGCGTAGCCATGGGTGAGACTGGTGCTTGAATAGCCCTATCTGGACGTGGCGTCTTAGGCTCCTCAGAATTGGCCGAACCAAAATTCAGTTGCTGCAAAGGTGGAGTGCTAATATTGCCAATTGACGACACGATGCCCGGGCTAGCGGGGGACGATTCGCCGTTCGACGGGACGGCCAGGTCCAGGTGCTTCATGTCCTCTGGACCTCTTGGGCCGTCATAAACGTTCGGCAACGTTGTGTTGGAGGCATCGCTGTCAAAATTGCTTAAAGACTTTTCTGCCTGCGGCGGACTGGCATGTGCTTCCAAGATCGATTGAAGGACGGTTTGCGTTTTCTCGGGAGACAGTGTCGTTGTACGCTTACGCATCAGCGGTCGATCGTCGCTGCTCTTGATTTCATCCTTCTCATCAAACACCTCCTCTACCGGTGGAGTGATGGCGCCTTCATGATCAGATGTCAACGACGTTATCGAAACATCTCGATCTAAGAAAATCTTCTTTAGCTGCAAAGTTGCAAGCCGCCTGATATCCTTTTCTGACGGCAAGAAATTCTGCTCGAATTCTGCAAACGCAAGGTCCCATTCTGCAACCTTTTCCTGAGTTGTCCGAATCGCTCGATTCAGAGGAATGATCTCCCAGTGTCGAGAATTTGAGTACCTTTCTTGAAGCTGCTTAATCAGCATGGTGTGGTCTTCATTCGCTTTCTTCGTCAGTTTTTCAATCTCTTCTTTGCATGCGTCGCCGTTCTCAGGTAGAATTGCCTCAGCGTTGATGCTCTTCAAGCGCAACTTCACAGATCCCATGAACCTAGTAATGCGATGCTCGATTCTTGTAAAGACTTCATTGCGGAAGCGTAGATCATTGTCAACCTTCCAGGTCACCCGAAGCCGCGGCACTATGATCTCAAGCAAGTCGATAGGGTCATAATGAATTCGGAGCGCATAGTCTTTGTAACCAAAGAAGCGAAGATGATCTCTATGCAGGTCGTGAGGACACATGCCAGCCCGAGCATGAAGATCTGCGCTCCAAAATGAAAGCTCCAGATATTTTCCGAAAGAGTACTTCCACGTACTGGCGGACATCGGAGTGACGGTGGTCTCGATACCACATATCTTGCACTGACTCCACATGAGAATTACTTCCTCTAGTCCTCGCATCTTTGCAGGATATGGTTGAACGAACACAGATATTTGCGCTTCGCCGTGAACGTATTGCCGATGATGCTCGTACATTTTCTTGTCACAGGAGCTTGACGCACAAGCTTCCTTCGCATCCACACATAAGCCTTCGACGTACTGCCCAAGCGTGCAATCGGCTTCAAAGTCGTCATGAACGTGCTCTCCATAGAAATTGAAGGCTAATAACTCTGGTCCTGTACATGGCACAGATGTAGCCGTTGCGACAAGACTGAACAGTACTACGATGTTCTGGTGAGCATAGGGATCGAAGAGATTTCGGTTGCCCGACAGATATGTCTCCCACTGTCTCTTTTGAGTTTCGTAATTATGCAACGCCTTGTCGTACTCCGAGTCATGCACAGCATGGATGATCTCTCGGACCTTCTTGCTTGCTCCAGCTAATGGGGCATGGAGCATGTCGGGCTGGATGAGGACAAACTTTTGAGCCTTTGACTTTTCGTCGAGAGACTGCTCTTCAGTCATATCCTGGTCACGAAGGCGCTTTAGATACGCTACTCTACGTTCGAGCTCCCGGGCCTTCATGAGTAGGTAAGGTTGCATGAACTTGACGAAAGGCGACGCCGACAGGATCCTTGTTTGGTGTTTCTCGACCATGTCCTCGTAAAACATTGGAACAGGTACGTCGTCTGGGATGTCTGCAGACTCGGGATTGTCGAAAGATAGAGCTGGGGCTGCGGAAGATCGCTTAAGGTCGCCCTCTGCACTCTGGCTTGAGGTGATGACGTTCGCATTGAACGAGCCCTCTTGCGCGGATGTCAGATGTTCTTGAGGCTGGCGAACAGATGTGTCGTTTTGCACAGGTGCTCCAATTGACGTTTTAGCCGAGTGCTTCACGTCCTTCTCACTGTGTGAGTTCGGGATCATCGCCCATTCATCGCGCATTAGGCATGTTTCCAGCTTTAAGTTGTAGACAACGTAGACCATGAACTCTGTGATTCTCTTGATCTTCGAGAGCATTTTCCTATCTGCGCCGCGGATGGCAATGGTGCAACCCAATTGTGGAGGACAACCAGAGAGATAAATGTAGTTTTTCTTGCGTCCTTCTGCCACAAAAGTCTTGACCTCGAAAGACTCACACGTCCCAAGCTGTCCTGACGACGTGCTGAGCTTGTCGATTGAATGGACAATCCTGGTCCGTGTGCACCTCGACACAGCTTCAAGGACGGAGGGCTTCACATTGAATATGGTCGCGATACGCGATTCATTGAGCAGCTCCAGGGCAAGACCGGAAACATTTCTTTGTGCGAGAAGGACATCAGGCTTCAAGGTGGCTATCCTGCCAATCAGGTTCTCCAGATACTCGCGTTCCTGGCGGATGACGGGATCCAGGCTCATAAAGTGTTGCTCATGCCGGGCGTACTCCAGGGCAAAAGTAATTATGAGGATTCGTGGCGACATGATGAGCCGACGCATGCTTTTGAGGGCCACATTTTTTGTGAAGATGAGGCCTGAGATGTAAGACGTATCGCCCGGGCGTCCGCCTGGCACTTTTTTCAGTTTGACATAGTTGCGAATATCTATGTCATCACCAGCGGCCACATCTGGGTCAACATCGTCGGTGGCTCGTAGGAGAATCGGTACCAGTGCTTCTTCCCAGCTTGAAGTTTTCGGCATTTCGGCATCTCTCAGCAGTTGCTGGAGGAGTTTGTGCACATGTTGAATACTGGCTCTGTTGAGTTCCATCGCAGGAGCTCCAAGACCATGCATAGAGGCGCTGCGAATCATTCTATTGACTCTGGCGAACTGCTGCGGCTGAATTGGAGTTGATGGCGTATCATCACCAGCGCTACCTCCGTTTAGAGCGATGTGAAGCCGCTCTTTAGTTGTCCTCGGTGTTGCGCGCTGGTGAATGCTGCTTGCCACGCTCAAATTGCGTCTTCTCGAGGGTCGAACAGCATCCCTGTCGCGGGCACTTATGATACTCACGTCGTCAGAGTCGCGATTGAGGTTCAGAAATCCACCAATATTGCGATCACCCATTCGAGAGCGTCCTTTACGAACAGCTGCGAGTAAGCCCGCCATAGCACCCTTCTCTCCGTCGCCGACGCTTCTTGAAAGTTTTTCAGGGCCGATGATGGATTGTTCATCACCACTTGATGCATCGTCCGAAAGGTATTGGGCCAGGTCCGGATCGATAATGCTATCACGGTGGAACATCTTCGGGTCTTTACTGATGTCCTCAAGCGTGCGGCGCTGAAAAGGCGCCCGCTCATCATGATATGCTTTGTAGCTGCGTATGTGTTGATGGCGTGAATGATGCCTCTTGTGACCGTGTCCGATGGAATGGTTGTGTTTTAGCGACCGGGATGAACTTGGCCGGGGTAAAACGCGATCCAGGGAATCGAATTCGAGTACTTTGGAAGACCCATCTCCTTCATACGCACGTCTAACGGGGAAGTTCATTGTTGGCGTTTTGGCCATATGCTCAAGAGAAGACTTGATGGATATGTTATCGTCATCGAACCTGTGCGCAGAACGCAGTAGTTGTGCCGTGTCCGGGGTGCGTGGCCTCGTCAACGACTCCGGAATGGCGATGCTTTCAACATCAGAAAAGTCTGAGGAATCGTCATCGTGAGAGAGGATGATGGCTTCGCAGGGCTTGCAGACACGAACAGGTCCACTCATTGCGAAATGCGCACCACTTACAGCCACGGTACATTTGTTGTCAAAGATCTGTCCGCATGTACGGCAGTGATGCTTTCTTCGAAAAGTTGTAAACGGCTCGCCACAATGAAAGCAATCACGCGCGTTCTCATCCCGCATCCAGAACTCCCGATTAAGCAGTTTGCTGCGGAGCTTGTTGACAGGTCTTGTGAAATGTTCTGCATTATGTTCCTCGGGAGTCCCATCGAGTCTGCCTTCCCCTCCAAGCTGGCTCGACCGCGTGGGCCCCGAATCTGTAGATGAGGCCTGCGAGGTTGCAAAGCCGGGAAGCCGAGATTGGGGGACTCGCGCAGTATGTTGCGACCCGCTCTGCGATAGCGTGATTGTTGGCTGCGCTCCATCGTGATTCAAAGTAGCCTTCACCGCAGCTGGACTCTTTGACCTCTCGGCATGGGTACCCAGAAGATGCAGCGGGCTTGCCTTGGCATTCTGCGATTTCGAGACCAAGCGTTCTTGCCGTCCCTCGCTTGGACGATGCACAGGCCTGTCGTCCTGAACAATGATTGGTGAAGCTGGCGCCGCAAGGACACGGGCATCAGTGGAAGCCTCTGATAAAGTCCTCATGTGGCTGTTGGATACAACTGCACCAGCGTTCATCGGCATACTTGGAACATGCATCGGGGATTGAACCCGAGGCTCGTGCGGAACCCGATCGACCGTTTCCTTGCGAGTTTCTCGAACCATGCTAGCACTTCCATCTGCTTCCTGCGCTCGAGGTGAATTGGGGGCAAGATCTTCTGCCTGTTCAAAGGTAGATCCACTGCGGGAATGGCTGACTGTTGGACCTTTATCGGCGTAGATGGTCATGCTCGTTAACATAGGGTCGACATGTGCAGGTGGAGCCGGGCTAGTTGGCGACCTGATAGACGGCGAGTGAACGGAGACTTTGCTGATACTCGTCGCTTTGGACGAGATTTTCGTCGCGTGCATTGCCTGCAACTCTGGTGACTCGGCTTCATCATGGAACTGACCACGTGGCGAGTGAATGGTTGAGAATTTATTGGAACTCGTTTTCGAGGTCGGACGTTCCAGACTAGGTCCAGATGTTGACGAAACATCCCTCGACTCTTGCTCTTTGGACACTCCCACAGTTGCCTTCAGCTTATTGTATAGACCCGACAGTCCTCCTTGAAGATCACCCGTTAATGTCTTGTTCTCACCTTTCGACGCAGAACTAGGCGGTTCGGTATACTCATTGAAGACCGTAAGGACTTGGGACTGAGAAGCCGCGGAGTGGATAGTGTTTAGCGCCTCGTTCAGAGCATCTTGATCCAAATCCGGTGTGATAGAAGCCTTTGAGTCCCGACGCGTGCGGCGGCCGAGAGGAAGGAATACGGATGAGGCGGACGGGCTCGGTGGTTCTTGCGGCGCAGTTGCCATTATGCAGTCTGGCCCGGAGGCCTGCCAACCTCACAATAGGGTCCTGATTGGGCTTGCAGCCTCATGGTCGAAGGGGCGCGGTCATGTCTACTTGAGATACAATGTGGCGGTTCGAATCGAAGCAGTCGATAGGACGGCAGTTGGTGCCAAAATGTATTGATCGTCCCCTCCCTTGACTGTATTCTCGGGCATTTGGTGGTATACCCAAAGTACGTCACCTACCACGTGACTGTGAGCTGATCTAAGCTGTTTTGGTCTTAGTTGGTCAATGTAAACGCGGTGCACGGCACGCGTTGGGGGGGCATCGCCGGATCGAAGCCGGGGCATCATGCAAATATCAGGCTTGAGCCTTGTTGACTACTGCCAGATCAAGATCAATCTGAATCAACTTCGCCGTGATTGCGTTCGGGAGCTAACCATAATTGCGTGACCGAACATCGGCTCCACGAACGCGGCCTACGGCTGTTTAGACTCCTCTGCTTGCTGCGCGTCTGACGCACAGCATGAACAGGCACTCTTTTCAGCAGTCTCGGCCGTATGACAATCTCTGCACATGACTGAGGCTGTGACTATGACCACGCCTCCGGAGGCAAATCTTACTTCCTGCGACTCCTCCCTTCCACAACAGCGCCTGGAATATGAACTGGGTTCATTCGCGACCCAGGTACAAGACATCCGCCCAAGGCAGCAAAAGAGCACAGCGAAGAGCTCGGGCGATCTGAACGCGGCTACCGCCACGACTCCCGCTGTTCGGACAGCGTCTACTGTTTCTGCATTGCAGGTTATTCAGCAAGGGGGGTTGAACAGCCGCTCGGGTGCGAAGCTGGAATCTAGCGACGGTGCTGCACAGGCTATCAAGAGACGGGTTGACTATTCGTCTGGGAACGACAGTCCCGCTTCGAAGAGGGCCAGGACTGACCACACAGCCTCGTCTCAGCTCTCCTCACGAATTGGAGAGTATGAAGCTCCTCGAAGCATTATCGAGGATATGAACAGTCCATATGTAAAGCATGCAAGCACTCCCCAACAGGTCAGCAACGGGACAAGCAATTCCAGCACGGAGCAACTACGATCTGGCGCACTCAGAAAACTTCGGAACATTTGGCACGACGAACACTATGGGATTCCAGAAAAATGGCGTGTCATGTCGATTGACGTCAAGATAGCCCTACCTTATCTCAACCTCTGCCAGCAGGCCAAGGAACAAGGTCTTCCGCTCGCATGGCTTTGGGTAACCGAGCCATGCTATTTGGAAAAAGCTTGCAGAAGTGAGGGCAAATTGTCTTTCGCTTCCATTGAAAAGGCTAGCCTCAATATGAGGCGTGCTAAAGTCTTGCCCCGGCCGCCTCAATCTGGTACCAGGAAGACGGACTCGTGCACAGAAACCCTTCCCGCCCGTTCAGGAACCCTGGCTGCGAATGCTGCAAAAGAAAGCGTCAACCACAAACCTATCCCTCGCCGGCAAACTCATGTCTCAAAGGAACAGATGCACATTCTGGATTCGTCACATAGCCATTATCCACCTTTCCCAGGTCAGGATGTCCGACCAGGATCAATACCGCTCAAGCTGCTACACAATTTCACAACCGAGGCGAACGAGAGTGCGCTGTCCCGCACATTGGAAGCGCAGCGTCCACTCAGCCCAAGTCAACAGCCTGTAGACGTCGCAAAACCGACGCAAAACTGCGAGGATAACCATGAACTGCTGTCTATGAGCGACAGCACTCAGGAAATTTCTGCAAGCCAATGGCCTCCGAGTCCCGAGCTCCCCCAACAGCCCGTCATCAACTCGCTTGAGGAGCCAACCTCGTCGCGTCCGCCATCATTATCCCCAGTCCAAAGAAGTCGCCAGAAGCCGAACCATATACCTGCAGACAGCTCTCCTGTCGACAAATGCCCAAGCACTGTATCAGATATAGCCCAAAGTACAAGTGATGAAGATTCTTCTGCTTCGGCCTCCTTGAACGGGGATGATCCTGTCGTCAGCAATAAGAAGGCGGAGGAATGCCAGAGTGAAGATAGGGGAAGGAAGACTAATCTGCAGGCTCCAGGGCGTACGATTCCCGCCTTGGGTAGTCCCGAAGCAGGATCTGAGTCTCTTTCCCCTGTGCCATCCACGTCCTCCTCTCGTGGCGTGAACAACGCTACTGCAGGCCGACAAAGCTCTGAACAGCTTCACTTCAGTGCTCAGAGTGCAGTTGAGGTGACGCGAACTCCCTTTGTCGGAAGACGAGGGCTGACAGAGGCTTCGAGAAAAATCGTCATAAAGGGAGCGAGCTCTAATGTTTCCGAAGTCGTCGACTCAACTTTCGTGCCTTCAACTTATATCGAAACTACGAACTGCAACCGGACTGAAAGTGGGCAAATACAGCCTGAACGGCCACGAACTACGACCAGCTTCCGTGCACCAGCCTCTCCTTCAAAGCAACTACGTTTGCCGGGAAACAAGGAGCCTACTCGCCCACTTGGTGTGCATCAAGCATCTTCTCCACGTGATTTCAGCAATGGGGCGGTTGCAAGTCATCTTCAAGCAGCTCGCGAGTATCGTCGCAGCGTTCTGAGACCTATCAGCAAGCCAGTGCCAACACAAAGTCAGGGCGTGGGAGCATTTGAGCATTCAGCCAAGGATCCTCCTAGTGCACCTATTTCGCAGACTTCGAACGAGGCCGGGCCCAGCGAAGATGACGCATCATCTGTGAAGAGAACATTGCCTACACCAACCACTTCACCGTTAACCAATCCTCACTTGATTAGCATGAACCACAACGAACGTGCCGATAGAATTCTTGACACTATAGCAAGCTCGAACCCGGCGCTAAGTGGTACATTCTCTCGATTCCGGGACGCCTATTCAGACTACAAAGGTACGCAAAAGCAATTCGAAGTAGCGTGTCGACTTTTGCTAAAGCACAACTCACGACAACGCGTGCACTCATCTCTCTTGGACGATTTTGTGTTCCATTATACGCAGACCTATCCCAGCTACTTCGCTGAATGTCATGAATTAGGCGAGGAGGCTCTTCCATACGGCGACTTCTTCGACACTGTGCAGCCCACTCACATGAAGAGGATTATTGATTTTACTGCACTTGAACGCGAGAGTGGCACAAATGTCGCCCAGCCGTCCAAAGCGACTGCGTCAACGAACAATTTGCTCGCTTCACAGGGACCCAAAGGCAATAATCCTTTTCAGGCAGCGCAGGAGTCCTATGGTGGCTCAGATGCGTTCTGGTGCATCACTCCTGCCATAGCCAGCAAAGCCGATGCTTCACTCGCTCGGGAACCGGCGCTCCCTGGGCAAGATCTGACCTCATCTCAACATACATCGGTCCAGGAATGGATCTTGGCTACACGAGGCGAGTCACCTGAACTTGGCACTCCTGACATCGCTCGCTCGTCCAAATCGCCAAGAAGCTCATTGCAAGCTACCCCAGCCATGTCATTCAAAAGGTCGCCGCCCGTCGATGCTGAACATCTGGCAACCATCAAACGATCCAAATCGAACCCAACAGCTGCAGCCACGACCATAGCCGCCACAGTCGCCACAGTAGCGAGAACCTCGCAGAAACATCACGCAAGTTTCGCCACAGACACTCCATCTAACAACAAGACTGATCGACCTGCCAATCAGGCTGTTGCTGCTACTCCACGTTCAACACCAGCAGGTGCTAGGAGTCTTCCAGCTTCCTTCTCGGCTCATCGGAGTATGATGGACCGCACGGTTTCTGCTCCATCTGCAGGCACAGCCGTATCTGCAACCCCATCGAGACCACCTCGTCCGCCAGTCACTATTCGGCCATTCGCATATAAGGTAAAGCGCCATGCGCCGTCACAGAAACCCGCCGTTCCTCCAGCATCCGCGTCGCCCTTTGTGTTACCCTCTAAAAGCGCAGCGCGGCTGGGCGAATATTGGTGGAAGGATGAGAACACGCCTTTTAAAAAGTTTTTCTCCAGCTGGAATAAGCTGTACTCGGAGAAATCTCAGGATAGGACCCCAGCTGCCCAGGCTGGCGTGAATCCTTACGCTCTTGCGGACGTCACGCAATGGAGGAAGTAAACTATCAAATCTGAACGCCACGAACAACTGACGCATTCACTGTTGCACTGCTGTGTCTCGTTCCGCACTGCTATGAGCGCTTATGTAAGAAATCGGACAGAGGATCTAACGTGTACTAATAGCCATGTAAGACTGATGTCTATATGTTTTGTGGCAACTCTGAATCATAACCTGGAGTGGTTAGCAACCTGCGGCTCGGAAGGAGAGGCTCCGTTGAGAGGATGATGGCGGCGCGGTCTTCACGGTCGATGATGAGTTCTAGATGGGCCTTTGAACTTGCAGCTGTGTTGCACAGCGTTCATTCCAGCCACGCCCTCACTAGTGGTGCCAATGCCTCCAATAGCCACGGCTCCTGGAACGTCACTTCAGTGTCAAAGCCGTGGTCGCCTTCCCTCTCCAGCAAACAAAAATTAGCTTGAGGACCGGCCTGCTTCACCACCCGCTCCAGCGTTCGACTGTGCTCCACGGGCACCACACTATCCTGAATACCGTGCAGCACCAATATCCCACCCTTTGGAAATCTTTCCCCTCGTTGCACCCTCTCCAATGGGAACTGTCGCGCGTCGCCCATATCGAAGTAGTCTCTATACAAGCCATGCTGAATGAAGGCAAACATCAGCATGATTGCTGATAGCTTCGGATCTTCAGATAAGACAATCTTCTCCTTGGTGGGCTCATCCTCGCTGAGTTTCTTGATCATCGCGGAGCGTTCCTCCACCACCTCCATCCCAAGCTGCGGGATTTCGAACAGCTGTTTGTGGAAATGTTCCATAAACCATCGGTCTTTGATATCGACCATCGGGTAGGAAACGCATGCAGCGCGTACGCCTTCCGGGTGCGATAGTGCTGTTTGTAGGGCCAGATAGCCTCCGGCACTGTCACCAATGGTAAAAATGCGCGAAAGATCGGCTTTGATGGTGGACTGGATATTTGAGCTTAAAAAGTTGTGAAAGTCGGTATGCAACCAACACCAACAATCATCGATGTCGGCCAGGATATCCGAGACTGCAACCTCCGGGAGCAGGCGATGGTTGGGTGAGATGATGATAGCAGAATATTGAATAGCGAGATCGAGGAGGTAAGTAGGAAAGAAGGCGGGCAGGAGCGAGGATCCGGTGATCAGTCCGCCGCCGTGGAAGCGGAGGATCAGGGGGGCACCGGCAGGCTGAGGGCTGAGAGATTTGGGAATGAGGACGTCGAGATGAATGGGGTGCGAATGAATCGTTTTGAAGACGGCTCTGTGAATGTCGAAGGCTGCATAGCCGGACAAGTCCTCCAGGTTGTTTGGATCGTGTAAGACCATCGTGGCTTGGGATCTGGTCAAGACTCGGCGAGGATTAGCAAACAAGGCAACGAGTTATCATTCGAGAGTCGAACAGATAGTTGACTGCTAATGAAAGTGCATGTATATCACAAATCATCCTGAGACGGCTCAGATCGGCATTGACAGGGTACTAAGGTGACAACTAGGGCTTACTGCCACTGATCGCGCTTGGACTGATGGGGCGCGTTACGCAAGCTGCAAACGCGATGTACTCATTGGGTGATGCAAGGCCACATTCACGCACTACTTGACGAATGAACTGCGATCACGATGCCACATATGACGGACCAGTCAATTGCCTGATGGTATGCGTGCAGAAAGACAACAAAAAACCAGGGAACCAGGTCGCGCACCTAGGCCAGGTCGGATTTTGCCTGACAAGGCAAGGGGCAAAGATGCGCCGGAACGAGCGCCAAATCAGGTCTAGCACCGCCCGAAAATTGAGGGGCTGGTCGCCTCCAAGTCTTCACTTCTAGGCTCGTAAGGCGGCTCAAGGCTAGGCAAACGGGCAACCTCGATTGGTCCTGGCGTCGAGCTTCAGCAAGTGAAAGTGCAGCCTGTGCCAAGTCACCCAAACATGCCGGAGATTAAGGCGTCATCCTTTCTTGCACACTTCTTCATCTCCAATCCATCAGTAATTCCTTCGAGTTTCATCAATCCATCCGTGTCGCGCCGCGATCGCCATCAAAACAATGAGCTCCGATGATTTGGCGCTTGCCTCGCCGCCTTTGGACCACGACCGCCGCGAGTCGCTCAAACGCCCTCGCAGCGATAGCTCCGATGACGAGCCCTCTCCAGAGCCCATAGGTTACGCTCAGTCCGGTGTACGTTACGGCAAGGACTCTCTGGTGTGCGATCAGTGTGGAGTTGCGTTCCGAAAGCACTCGGATCTCAAGTGAGAAAATCTTTTTGCCTTATCGGCCTTTTTGACGCGTAGCTGACCGTCGCCCCAGGAAACACAACGCCCGCCACGCTCGTCAATACCGCTGTGTTGAGGAGAACTGTCCCCGCAGCTCCATTGGCTTTGCGACAATCAATGACCTCTATCGACATGAGAAATCAGTCCACGGCAAGCACGTAGGAAAGTCAAGGATGTACAAGTGCTTCGCTGCTGGCTGTGCTAAGGCGTCCAAGCTTTGGCCTCGCCTAGACAATTTCAAACAACATCTCATCCGCATGCACCCCAATGAAGACATCGACGCATTGGTCAAACGATCCGAGCAATGGCATGAGGATGAGGAAGGCAGCCAGGACGCCATGCAGCTTGACAACACCCAGGACTCAGTCATCTCGTCACTCCAGAATGTCAAGCGCTTGCGGTCTCCACCTCGCCTCTCTGGCCCTTCACACTCTGAGAGTGACCGTCTGCTGAGTGGTCCTCGATGGGACGTCACTCCGCCAACTACCGCTATCACTACTGAGCGCCGCCAGGACCTTCAGCAAATTCTTGCCAACAAACCACCGCAGACCAATGGCACGTCTGGGCCCACTCGCCAGCCTGGTGACCCCTATCGCCAAATTCAGCCGACCGGTCCTGATGCTAACCGTCACTCGCAACCCATGGGCAACCACCAGTCGCAACAACAGCACCCACACCGCGACAGCCAAATGACTGATCCCCCTCCTCTCGAGCCAGACGAGAACAAGACCATCTCACGCGCCGCTGAGGTCAGAGAACTCTCTTCTGAAGCTCGCTGTGGAAGTTGCCACCTAGCAGGTCGTCGATGCTACATTGACTCCGCCAATCCGCGCCACTGCGTCTCATGTCCAACAGAGAATCACTGCATTTTCCGTCGAACGGTTGTGCGGGAGGGGCCAGCGACTCACTTTCTATGGCACGAGTTGGTCGGCATCCACAACATTCCGCAGGTGATGCCTGCGCATCACCAGCAAATGATGGTGCAGCAACCTCAGCCGCAGCCACAAGGTCAGCCTCAGCCACCGGTGCAAATGCAGCCGCAACCTCAACCCCAGCCTCAGCCTCATCCTGGACCCCAAGCTCCGGTCCAGCTTCCACCCAGACAAATGGAGGTAACTGTTCAGCATGGAACTCCTAATCATCAGCCAGGCCGTCAACCAACCCCACATCAAACTCCCGTGCAGCAGCAACTACAGGGTCCTCAGAGTGCCGGCAGCGCGTCTCAGCCACAAAGCCAAGGTCCACATCCCCAGCCGTCTCAGTCTCAGTCTCAGCCTGGTCCTGCGGGACAATCACAGTAAGTGCAGACGGCCGCGATGCGACTTACACTGGTTCGAGAAGACCTCAGAACGAACCGGTCTCTAGCTACTTCGAATTCGACACTCAAATCTCAATGGGAATTTTTTGGAATGGAACATACGCACATCAAGTCAGACGCAACTTGCCCCGAACAACACTGCATAATCTTATCTTTACAGCATTGCTTATGGAGCGCGCGGAGGGCTCAGCGCTGACACGACTCGAGTGGTCTTCTCACATGCTCAAAATCGATAGGCGCAGAGATATGGACAATGCTAAGGGAGGACACTGGGAAAACGGCGCTTTGAGCTTTTGAAGTTCAATGACGGTATGGTCGTACTTTCTGGCTGTCTCATCAATGATAAGCTTAGCTCAGCAAGCTAGAGATTTCTAGCTCTAACTAGCAAACAAAAGCACGATGACACACGTTTGCGAATATGGCGGCCTATGAGATTCTCGTGTGACGTTTAGGAGACATTCGGTGAATCTTCCACCCGTTTGCCTTGATGCCTGCTTGATGCCTTACAGGTTGCCTCCTAGGCAACGACAAGACTGCACAAGGTAGAGCACAGGGAGTGGTCGACAACACATCGTCAGCAGGGACATCGATATCACTCTGGAAGAGCAGCGACTGTGGCTGCCATTGTCTTGAATTTCTCCACTCATAGACGAGTACCACAGCCAGATCACTCACCTTGGCATCGCGCATTCACCATCGGCGCTTTTATGTTGTCACACCCTGCATCGTAGACTGTTCACTATAGCATCGCATTCAGTGCACTTCGACAAAGGCCGTCTCCAGAATCTGGCGCAAGAATGAGAGATCGCTCACCACGTTCCCCGGGGCCCAGCCACACCCAGATAAGGCAGCGAGTGCGGGTGGGTCTCCATCGACCCACTTATTTTCCAGCCTTCAAACTCCTCGCCGTTGGAGAACCCGGAAACTCTTACGATGTCCCTGTGACGACATCATAGAGCAAGGAGCAAGTGCGACAGGAAGAAAGAGATTCATAGATTGCGTACAAAATTGGCGAAATGCGGCTCAAGGCAAGACGGCGCTCAGGCAACCAGCCGGTAATCAAAAGGCGAGCACGCTACTAGCACTACGGCGGCCGAGGCGGCCACCAGAGCAGCGACGCAATCACGTGCGCCAAGATACAATTCCTTAGCTTCGAGGACGCCATCTGGAACCCGTGCTCACGGCCGCTGTGTCTACACCCGCTGCAGCGTCCACAGTCGTCGTGCTCACATCGCTCTTTTGCCCCTTTCTTCACCCTGAAGCCGCCACCATGGTCCGTCCCCCGCCCCTATACGCGCATCATCCACAAACCCTACTGACAAACGCAACACACAGGTCTTCCTCTTCTCCCGCAACTTCCCCGACCGGCGCCTCGTGACCAGCGCCCTGCAGTCCTTCTTCGGCATCGGCCCGCTCGTCTCCCAACAGGTCATGGCGCGCTTCCACCTGCACGACAACATGAAGATGCGCGAGCTCACGCAGCAACAGGTCCTGGACCTGAACGCCCACTTGGACGGCATGAAGATCGAGAACGAGCTGAAGAGGAGTATTCTGCAGGATATCAAACGCTTGAGGGACACGGGCACGTACAGAGGCAGGCGGCATGCGATGAACTTGCCCGTGAGGGGCCAGAGGACGAGGAGTCAGATCAAGACCGCTTGGCGCTTGAATGCTGTGGAGCGGAAGCTGTGATTGGGGTGCTGGTTGAGAATCGAATGGGGAAGATTTTCTGGAACAGCAAGAAAAGGAGCCTGAGCGGTCGCTGTGGCGTCGTGTTTGAAGGGCGACCCCCGTTCTGGTTCAGGCTTCGCACCTATTTTCTGAAGATCCGCGCTTTCATGCCGACGGAGGGCAGAAGTTACGTCCTGGAGCACGTGCACCAGATGAGCGCAGACACCGACTGAAACCGCATACCCATCACACGGCCGGCGAAAGCGGTGATATTGGATGGGATCACGAACACGCTCGCCGCTGAGAGGCATCCTGCGACGTGAGAGACTGCACGAGGAAAGGAACGCGGTGTACCAAATCTGACCTGAGAGGTGGGCCCAAGGCGTTGCCGCGGGGTCTGGTGAACATGCTTGTATCAAAATGCTGTACAAAAAGTCAAGCATAGACGGAATACTTCGAGGGGAAATGCGAAGATAGATTTGGATTTCTTGACGCGGACATGAAGCTGTAAATGCGGCTCCAGGCTATGCCGAACCTCTCAATCTTTGGAGTCATGTAGCTATGCAAAAAAATGCCCAAAATGAACGCCGGACGCAATCCACACGCGTCTCCCTCATTTCATGTATGGCCCACGTGTATGCTTCTAAGCTCTACCCAATGCACTCCCCCGACCTCCCTTCCCTCCCCAGCCCATCATCCCTCAGCCTCACAAATTCGTCGTAACAGTCATACTATTGCTATGCACCAACAGCGTCGGCGGCAGCCCCCCATACAGCACCTCCAGATTACTCACGTAGCCCAGACTGTCGCCCTCGCTCTTGAAGGTGCCTTCACTGGGCGCCGGCAAAGTCGTCAGTATCACGGCCGTGTCCTCGCTGTTCTGCGCCATGAGCTCGTTGAGGATCAGGTGCTGTGCGCGCGCCGGCAGCGTGTTGAAGGAGAGTGGAATCGCGCCCGTCGCGGGGAAGCCGCTGGCTAGCGAGGAGGCGGCGGTGTGGCGGGAGGGAGAGGGGTCGCTGAGTCGTTGGTAGATGGAGATGCCGCCGGTTGCGGGTTGCTGTTGGGCGGACGCCTGCCGCCGCTTGGGGTGCGGTTGGTCTACGAATTGGATGGAGGGGCCGACGGGGTTTGCGTCCACGCCGTCGTCGGGTGTTTGCTCTGATGCCTCGGGGGTTTGAGGGCGCGTGCGTGGCGAGGTTGAGTCAGGAGATGCGCGGCGCGAATGCTTGCCGCCCCGGCCGCGGCGCTTGTTGTTTGGTTGGAGGACGTCTTCATCGAATTGGATGAGTTGTTGGGTGTCTTCGGTGTTGTTGGCAGCATAGTCGCCGCTGACGTCGCGCTTGTGCTTGCGTGCGGACTTGCGCGAGCTGGCTCGACTGCTCTTCTTGGACGAATGTTTCGACTTTGACTTTGCTGAGGGCGATTTTTGCGATGTGGAGGCAGTTGATGTGCCTTCTACTTCGTCTTCGGTCTCTTCGTCCTGATATGGTTCGTACTCGTCGTCGTCTGCATCGTCGTCCGGATCGGACCACTCTGAGTCGCTGGGGTGCGATGCGTGCCTGCTCAGCATATCGTCGTCTATTCGCGATGTGCGCATGCTCAGACTGACGCCGGCATTGGACAAGTTGCCGAATGACGAGCGCTTTCGCGGTCGGAGTAAGATTCTTCTGAGCCCTTCCATTCGTACAATCGAGGCATCACGGCTACCTCGAGGGCCAGGGCTACCCCACTGCACCTCGTCCGCCAGAGACAAAGCGTCTGCTGCCGAGATGTCCCCACTCTTTACCTTACCGCGCACTTGGTTCAGCTCTTTCCACCAGAGTTCATCTTCCAGTACTTTGTCCACTTGGCCTTCCGTCTCTGAATCGGCGTCATTACCATTGACAATATACTCGTATGATTTGATTGCGCCAGAGGCAAGACAGAATACTTGTATCTCTGCGTTGATACGAAGATTTTCAAGCAGGGAGGCGACTCGAATCCGCTCTTCTTCCAGATCGGACTCATACTCGACGAAAACGGCCACTCGAAGGCTGTAAGATCTTTTCCAAGATGGGACGGTGTTGAGAATACAACCAAGCTGTAGTATGAGGGTATAAGTGTCGAAATTGGTTGTCTTCACATTTTGGGTCTCCTCCGCAATCTCAGCCGACATTTGAATGGGCCAAAGATCGATGTACTTCTTTGTGTTCCCATCCTTGGCGTTTGGTAACTCTAGGTCGCTGAAGCCAGCTGCGATGGCTAGATTTGTTCGAAGACTGAGAATCATGTCTTCCAACACCATCACATAGCTCTGCACGTCTGTGCGTTTTTCTATCACACAAACATCGGTTGGCAGCTCTCCAGGTGGCTGACCGGCGCTCCTACGCCGTCGTGGACCCTTGGCCTCGTGCTTGCGTTCGGGAGGCGGGCTCGGTACGTCGACAAGAGGTTGCTCGCTGCGGAATTGCTGTAGATTGTATGCACCGAAGATGACAAGGTTTGGACGCATGCTGCCCAGTCCTGCAGAGAGCAGGATATTTCGCGCACCCCACTCGATTGATGGCGATATAGCTACATTGACAAAAGCCTTGATGTGAGAGAAATCAATGTACTTAGTCCATGCGGCCTGCTGTTTCCGTGCCTCGGGAACGGATGAGGCAAAATTCTGCGTGACAATGACATGGCCCAGAATGTATAGGCCACCCTTTTTCAGCGAGTTGCAAAACTGGATAAGTTTGTATCCTCGTCGCGGATCATTCACGAATAGTAAGATTTGTGGTCGCCAGAACTTCACATGCTCCGTCTTTAACCGTAGTAGATACTTTCGAACTTGGTGGTAGATCAGGACCTCGGAGATGGAGCCCCACGGTTTTGGTGGTGTCGTATAGTGTATTATGGCAATCAGCAGCAGAAGAATGCATATTGAACCAGATGCAGAAAGACCGTCCACGAAAAACATGCTGACAACACTGAGCACTGCCCCGAGTGCTGCTGTTCCCCAGTTGAAGTATTGAAATGACGGTCGGAAATTCGGCGCAGATCCAATCTTGAGGAGAAACGTTGCCACGTTCAATGCAAAGAAAGTCATAAGGTAGGCCATGGTGATCAGTGACGCGATCTGGTTGATGTCGAGTAAGAGCACTAATTGTGCTACGACGAGCGTGACGAAGATAGCCATCAACGGGTCGTCAGAGCGAGAGGTCCCTGACCCCAATAGTGAAACGCCGGGGATTATCTGGTCTCGCGCAATCGCTTGTAGCTGATTTGCGGGGCCTATAATGCCCATCAACGTTGAGAAGAACGTTGAAGCGAGTTCGCCAGCCAGGATAAGGATACCAGAGATGTTGGTGTCCTGGACAACGTTGACATTGCGGTAGAAGCTTTCTCGGGTGATGCTTGCGGCTAGAGAAACGATAACCAAGCTATAGGCGAAGAACGTAAGACCCATACCGCCGAGCGTACCTCGAGGAATCGATCTGCTTGGGTTCTGGAGGTCGCCAGACATGCTGGCACCGGCCAGAATACCACAGGTTGCTGGGAACAGGATGCCAAAGAGATCCTGGAAATTTTCATGACCCTTGATTCGGCTGCCTGCAGCGCCCTTCGTGAAGTGTGGCAATAGGTTGTCGCGCAACGTTTCCACACTGAGGCCTGTGAAGTTGACGTACTGCTTGGTGTCCTCGAAAGGGGTCCGCACAAGAGCCGACAAGGGTATGCTGAAAGTGGCAACAAGAAGGACTAGAAGTAGACCGTTGCTGACGCGGGCGAACAAGGAACTGCCTGCTAAGCATATAAGCACACACACCACAACCACGATGCTGCTCCACAGGTACTGCCACCAGCCGCCTTCAGGTAGTGTATTCGCCCAATTTCCAGACTTGGATCCAAAATTGTACATCAGACAATCAACCAGGCCGGCTGCGTTCAGGCCAGTGTTGAAAACGTAGCCCATGTATGATATGATTCCAATTGCACCCCCGAACTCTGGACCAAGAGACCTCGAGATCAAATAATACGCACCACCCCCTCGCACCACTCCATTTGAAGCTACCGCTGAGATGGACATTGTTGTAACGAGGTTGATCACGTATGCTGCCACCAGCATGCCTAATATACCGACCAAGCCACTTTGACCAAGTACGAAGCCGAAACGGATGAACATGAGAATGCTAAGCACATTCAAGCTGACAGGTACAAATACGCCAGAAAATGTGTCTAGCTTCTGTGGACTTCGAACAGGCGGCGGCGGGACCTCCGACTTGGTCTTTTGTTCGTCAGTTTCGCTTCCTCCATGAATCAAGAAGTCTTGGTTGAGAGGGACAGTGTGTGTTCTGCCATCCTCACTTGTTTCGGCCAGTGCGGTTGGTGGTCGACTGTGGTCGCCAGACCCATCAGTAAGTAAATTGACCACCTGCTTGGCAAACCCTTGCCTCGAGATGCTTAAGTCTGCAGGCGGCGTCTGCTGGCCACTGAGGATCTCTGCTTCCTGCGTGTTTCGAACTTGTGGTTGATCAGCATATACTGGCAAAGATGGGTCCGAGCTTCGGCGCAGAAGCTGAGCTGCCTCATCGGTGGCGGTACGTGTCAAGAATGTCGGTCGCCCTCTGCGGGCGGGGCGATGCCCGCGGGTTGCGGCCGGCCAGTTGCCATCGGGTGTCGTCGACATGTTCACAAAGACAATATCCGAACCTGCTCAATACCTTCGTTGGGTTGCATCATTCTGTCGTCACCGGGACCCAAGCGAATCCGTTCGTTCCTTGGGAAAGATAGCCGAGCGAAGTCCAGGATGTGTAATGAGCCAAAGTCCCGCCAGCGAGTAGGATATAACGTAAAGATTCTTAGAGCAATCGCTGTTTCTTCTGTGAGAGCTGCTAACCAGCCAAGGAGGTCAGTTGTCGTTGCAAGATATCGTAAGATATCAGGTGTGTTGGCAGCAAAGCTGGAGTAGTAGAGCAGGAGAGGCGAGACAGGAATGATGCTCCAAGCGGAGTAGACTGCGCTTGGCGACTAGGCGTGGGGGCTTCGCCCGGATTGGCTGCTCACTTGATAAAGAAACTGCAGTTGGCGGAAACGGCATGTGCCTCTGCATTTGTGCCAATATTCTCTAAGACCTGGCCCATTGTTGATCTGGTGACCAAGATAAGATACTCACTCGACGCTGTCCCTCTGACCCGCCCTTCTGAGCTACGAGCTCACAAAAGAGGATCCGCGCTCCCGGACTTGATGCCGAACAGGTTACAATGTCCACTCCGAGAGACATAAGCCGTGCCGGGCGATCTGCTTCGCCAGCTGCAGGCTCGCCGGCTAACCGACAAGCCTCTATAGCCAGGCTATCCTCTCCCGTTCCCTCGAGCCGCTTGGGTACGAGCCCGCAACAGGTTCCCAACTCGTCACACCATCCGCCGAGTAATTCGGATTCCAAGTTACCTGCACTCGAGAGTCAGTCTTCCTTGCCTCGGCCGGGCCCCTCCGCCCTTTCGAGTGCCCTTGCTACCAGTGCCGGTCGTGGTGCTCCTGCTGTCGCCGGGACACCTCCTCGCATCCACCAGGGTTCCATCGGAGCAGGAGAAAGAATACCAAGAAGCAACTATGGCTCATTCAGTACTCGAGAAGTGGCTGGAAGCCCAGCACCGCCAGCTGCGGATCCAGAGGTAATTAAGAGGCATCTCGTAATGCCGGATGAGACACGAGGCCGCCAAAGTGGCTCACCTGGCGTGCTCTCACAAGGCGCCGGTCTAGGCCTCGATTCCGATGAGTTTTCAAGCCTCCAGCTGCAGGGAGGTGACATGACCAGGAACGTTTACAAATGGGCCCAGGAAGCACAGAACAGTGTTCGAGGTCAGCCTCAGAGAAGCAAAAGCTTTGCGTTGACAAGACCGGAAGCAGAAGATGATTCGGAGAATATCCACAACATCCTGGTACCTGGAGGCTTTCGTCGTGATTTCCTACGGAGGACAGCAGACAGTCCAGCTCCGGCCAACCGGCAGCACGTTGGTCCTTCGGATTCTTCAGTGCCAGCAGGCAAAGCGACGAAGCCGCCGCAGCGGCTCTTCACAAACAACTTCATCGAGTTTTTGACACTCTACGGTCATTTTGCTGGCGAGGAGCTTGAAGAAGATGACGAAGTTCTGGAACCTGATGAGTACTTCTCTTCCGATGCATACGACGAATACGCGGGAGATGATGAGCCCGGGGAGGGCAGTGCCTTGCTCGGAACACCTGGGCTTCGCAAGAGAAAGCACAAGCAGAGAACGCAAGGCGGAACAGGGAGCCCACTGAACGCAGCATTGCTGTTACTCAAGTCGTTCGTCGGCACAGGAGTCTTGTTCCTACCCCGAGCATTTCTCAGTGGTGGCATGCTCTTCTCGTCCCTCATCCTACTCGGCATTGCGGCACTCAGCTACTTCTGTTTCATCCTCCTGGTCGACACCCGGCTGAAGGTTGAAGCTTCGTTTGGTGACATGGGCGGCATTCTCTATGGCAAGTGGATGAGAGCGGCCATTCTGTCTTCAATCGTACTCAGCCAACTTGGCTTCGTATCAGCTTACACGGTCTTCACCGCAGAAAATCTCCAAGCATTCGTGGAGGCTGTGTCGAATTGCCGAACATTCATCGACATCAAGTTCCTGATCTTGATGCAGATTGTCATCTTTCTTCCACTGTCATTGATCCGAGATATCTCGAAGCTTGGTTTCACGGCCCTGATCGCTGATGCCTTTATTCTCTTGGGCCTGATCTACCTCTACTACTACGACATCTACACCATTGCATCACCCGGATACAAGTTGGATATTCAGTTGTTCAACCCCTCGTCTTGGACCCTACTCATCGGCACCGCCATCTTCACCTTTGAAGGCGTGGGCCTCATCATTCCTATTCAGGAATCGATGCGGCACCCGCAAAAGTTTCCATTTGTCCTATTTGTGGTCATGATCATCATCACGGTTCTCTTTACATCAGCTGGCGCGATCTCATACGCAGCTTACGGTTCCAAGACCCGTACGGTGGTCCTCTTGAATCTCCCGCAAGACGACAAGATGGTCAACGGAGTGCAGTTTCTCTACTCTCTGGCCATCCTCCTTTCAACACCACTTCAGCTATTCCCGGCTATTCGCATTATGGAGAACGAGCTTTTCACTCGCTCTGGGAAGTACAATCCATACATCAAGTGGAAGAAGAACGTGTTCCGTTTCCTACTTGTGATTCTTTGCGCACTCGTCGCATGGGGTGGCGCAGGCGATCTGGATAAATTTGTGTCATTGGTTGGCAGTTTTGCATGTGTTCCCCTGGTGTACATCTACCCTCCCATGTTGCATTTGAAAGCGGTGGCGCAGACTAGAGTGCAACGAGGGTTGGACTATGCGGTCTGTGTATTCGGCATTATTGGTTGCGTGTACACTACGGTCTTGACTGTTCAGCAATGGGCTGGTGGCAGCGTGCATGATCCTGGGTATTGCGATTCATGAATAGAAGGGCAATACATCAGATACTTTTGAATGTAAATAGTGGCATAAGACATGTCGTTGGTGCGCAAGGGCCTATTGCCACCGTGAATCCTAAGCCGCTGCAGCCGATCAAGCCTAAGCAAAGCAGATGACATTGCCATGAAGCAGGTCATGATCCCCACTGGTGACGACGGAGAGTTCACTCTGCTCTCATCCCTCCCTCTCAGAGATCTGGTCGGTGAACCACATGCCTTCGAATTGCAATAGGGCGTGCTCAAATTCAAATCGAGACTACAATTCCAAGTGGTACTGCGGACAGCACATCCTGCCTCCCCCGTGCCAGCCGCAACCCCCGTATCGAATTCTCGGCCGGACCGCGATTGGAGCGCACCAGCCGTACCTTGCATGACCACCACCCCCAAGCAGCAGGTCAGCAGGGTCCTTGACTTCTGGAAAATTCTCTCGGCTGCCTAGAAATAGCTGCTACTCCATTTTTGACTGGCACTGACGTTTGCTTCTATTTCTATAAGATAAGTTGTAGGGTAAAGGGCGCCAAGTTATAGGGTAAGCCGCCACAGAATACCACGTTGGCTTTCTGCAAGTGACTGGACATAGCCTGTTAAAGACGCCACTGATCCCGCGGCTGCTCGGCTCAGCCCATCGTTTGGATATTGCGACTGGGAGCGAGGGCTTTCGACAAGCAACTTTTAGACCATCAAAGGTCCGGTCGCCGAGCTACCATCGTCCTCAACTACATCAACATCACCCCCGCCACCGCTCAAATATTTGACAACATCACACAGCAATTTCCGCCTCGCTCTGATCATTCAACTTTGAAAGCTCTTTTCCAACAGCAGCCATGGGTTCTTACGACCCTCCCCCTCCCCTCCCCTGGCGCACCACCCCTCTCGTCGAATCCCCCATCCTCTCCCAAACCGCCGGCTGCCGCATCTTCCTCAAGCTCGAAAACCTGCAGCCCGGCACCTCCTTCAAGTCCCGCGGCATGGGCAACATGATCCTGTCCGCCATCCGCGACGCTCCCGCCTCCCAACCCCTGCACTTCTTCTGCTCCTCGGGCGGCAACGCGGGCCTCGCCGCCGTCAGTGCGGCCAAGTCCCTGGGCTACCCCTGCACGGTCGTGATGCCTGTCACGACCGAGGCAGCAATGGTCACGAAGCTGCGCGCCGCGGGCGCCAGCGACGTCATCAGCCAAGGGAAGAGCTGGCAGTTCGCCGATGCGCATATGCGTGAAGTTGTCATGGAGGAGGCCCGTCAGCAGGGGGTCCAGGCTGTTTATCTTCCACCTTTCGACCACCCGCGTGTTTGGGAGGGCCATGAGACGCTGGTGGAGGAGCTACGCCAGCAGTTTCCCGAGGGTGAGCGGCCAGATGCGGTCGTGCTGTCCGTTGGTGGAGGCGGACTGTTCATCGGTGTCATGCAAGGGTTGGAGAAAGTTGGTTGGGGCAAGGAATCGGGGACGCAGGTCATTGCGGTTGAGACGAAGGGTGCAGAAAGTCTGAATTACTCGCTGCAGCAGGGCCAGCTGAGTACCCTGCCGGGCATCACGAGCCTGGCGACGAGCTTGGGGGCGGTGAGGGTCGCGCCACGGGCCTATGAGCTGGCGACGCAGGAACATGTAGAGAGCGTGGTGCTTAGTGACGCCGAGGCCTGCATGGGTTGCTGGCGCTTTGCAGACTCGGAGCGGATCCTCGTCGAGCCTTCATGCGGTGTCAGCGTGGCGCTGGCCTACGAGCCCGAGAGGCTCAAGCAGTTGGTCAAGAACTTCGGGCCGGAGAGTAAGGTTGTCATTGTGGTTTGCGGCGGTGCTCGCATCGATCTCGACACGCTGCAGAAGTACCGTGAGACCTATGGGCCGGAGATCGAACGCATGGGGCTGGCGGAGCACGTCTTGTCCCCCAAGTGAGCCTGCATGGGATAGCGACCGGTGATGAGCTTGTTGAACAAGCAGAAACACAACGCCCGGGGTTGTATCAATGTGTGTTAAAGGGGATTTCATCGCCGTATCAGCGATAACATATTCATCGCTCTTCCCTACGAAAGCACACTTTATCTCATCTTGTGGCTGGGAAATTGTTTGGGCAGGCTTTCACAGCGATGCCGCCCATGCTGACGAAAGCGCTTATAATATTTACGAGGATGCCATAGATATGGGAGGGCGCCAGCTGCGTGAAGCAGGCCCCTATGCAGACGAAAGCGCATGTACTGCTTTTTGTCTTGTGACTGATGCTATCAAGACTAATACTACCTCTACCTGCTCCTTGCTGTATGTCTCATTCGACATCCTTACTACTCATCGACTGTGTGCAGAGACGCGTTGGCGTACATCCATGCTCCCACCAACTGTGGCAGTGACTTTATACATACTTTGAACCCTGGTGGGCATTTTACGCCCCTCGATGCTCGTAAGCTCTACTCATAATTCGTGACTTAGGCCAGCCATCTCTCCCATCACTGCCTCAGGATGACTATTCATTGGCGGTGGAAGAGACTGGGCACCGCCGCAGCAGAGGTACCGTCTGCTGCAACTAGGATGTCTGCATTTGCATGGTCGACTTATCCGCGGGTTCGATCATGAGCTCCGGCCGTACAAGGCGGTCAAACTCATCTTCGTCGAGAGCGTTCAGTTCGATCGCACTCTGCTTCAGCGTCAAGTCATTTTTGTCTGTATGAGACATTAGCTTGTGGCTCGTGAAGATGGGGAGATGGCGAGGAAAGAGTCTGCAGAGGGGTCTCTAAAATCTACGAGCGGGCTGCCCGAACTCATACCGGACCACACCCAGAAGGCTTTCCTGTGAGTCCGAGGAGCCCTCCTGTCAATCTTGTCGGCCGCCTAGTGAGCGCACGTTTGTCTTCTCTGCAACCCGTAGCATAGGATGGACCGCAAGATAGCATATCGAAGTGCTCAACTCCGACATCTTCCAAACGGAGAGGTTTGGGCTCAGGTACACTCACTGAACCATCAGTTAGCAGGTTTCACAGAGAACGATATCATATGTCACTCAATCAACGCTGCGGGAACCTCAAGCCTGTGGTGCAGCCTAATACACCAACTTCCCTTCCGCCCAGTCCATTACTGGATCTTCCATAGGAAGGACTCACCGAGCATGCTTCGCAATCTTCCCACTAAGATCGTAGCCCAAAGTACCGCTCAAACATGTCACCAGCATCAGACTAAAGCACGGAAGTCAGTACCAGGCTCATTGACACAAGGCTCAGACTCACTTGTTGTCCATCAGCTGTCTAATCCTCTTCTCGTCCGCCCTCAAACCCTGCAAGCAGTTCTTCTCAAAGCTCCCCATGCCGTCCGCGAGCAACCTCACCGAATGCAGCAAGCTCGATATCAACAGCGGTTTGAAAGCGTTTAGCTGGAACTGACCACTCAATCCCCCCACTGTGATGCCCGTATGGTTAGCCACGACCTTTGCACAGATCATCGTCAGCGCTTCACACTGCGTCGGGTTCACCTTGCCAGGCATGTACGAGCTCCCTGGCTCATTTTCCGGCAGCAACAACTCCCCCAGCCCACATCTCGGGCCACTCCCTTCGAGTCTGATATCTTGAGCAATCTTGAATAGCGAACACGCCAGCGTGTTTAACGCGCCTGACGCATGCACCACCGCGTCATTCGCACTGATGGCCTCAAACTTATTCCTTGCGACATAGAACTTCTTCCCCGTGCGCCTGCCCACCTCCTCGCAGAACTGCTCATCAAACCCCTTGAACACGTTCAAGCCGGTTCCCACGGCCGTGCCCCCCATAGCCAGATACCTCAGCCCCTCCAGCGCATGCACCACTCTCTCCCTCCCCAGCTCCAACTGCGCCGCAAACCCGGAAAACTCCTGCCCCAGACTCAACGGCACCGCATCCTGCAAATGCGTCCTCCCCACCTTCACAATCCCCTCAAACTCCCCACTCTTCCTCCTCATGCACCCCTCCAAGCTCTCCAAAGCGGGTAGTAACAGCTCCTCAAACTCCAGCACCGCCGCGATATGCATTGCCGTCGCCATCCCATCATTCGAGCTCCCACTCCGATTCACATGATCGTTCGGATGCACCGGCTTCTTGGCCCCTCTCTCCTTGACGCCCAAGATCTCGTTGGCCCGGTTGGAGATGACCTCGTTGGCGTTCATGTTGGTCTGCGTGCCCGAGCCCGTCTGCCAGATCACGAGCGGGAAGTGCTCCAGCAGCTGGAGGGAGGCGACTTCGTCCGCGGCGGTTTGGATCGCGGTCGCGAGGTGCGGGGCCAGGACGCCGTTGGCGGCGTTGACGGCCGCGGCGGCGCCTTTGAGGTGCCCGAAGGCGCGGATCACGGAGGGGGGCATGCGGTCTGTGGGTTGGTTGATGGCGAAGTTCTGGAGGGAGCTGCGGGTATGGGCCGGGTTAGGTTGCGTTGGAGCGAGGCAGGAGAGGGCTGGGAAGGAAGGCTATGTGGAGGGCGCTGACCGCTGTGTTTGGGCGCCCCAGTACTTGTCCGCTGGAACCTTGATGGTGGAGTGAGCTTTCGCTGTCGAAGGGTGCTAGAAATGAGCTGTATGCCTACCTCCATCGAACCCATCGCGTCTGTTTCTATGCGTGTCTGTCCGCAAGTCAGATTAGTGTGAGATACTCCGCTTCCTTGGTACAAGCTGTTCATACCTCGCCGTGAGTGGCCATCTTGACACTCTTGTCTGAGTTTGATCACTACAATGAATATAGTTGTGAAGAAAGACTTGACTCTCTGTAGCAGTGTTCGTAGACAGGATCCCGAAACACCCTGAGCATGCAAAAGGCATGCCACCGGGTGCTTATGTCAATAACTCACCCCAGCCATCTCCAACAGCATACTAGACTTGGACCTCGGGGAGGACCAGCCGAGTGTCGGAGTCGTGTCAGAACGGTGGACGTCATAATTCTCAGGCAGTGAAAATACCAATCGAGACTAGCGCAGATTTCTCTATAGTACCTGATAGGTGACTGAGTGTTTAGGGAACGTCTATACCTCCTTAGGGGATAATAGTGGAAAAGAGGTGACACGAAATTTGTGGGGTGTTTATACGTATGAATGCTCAATCATGCTATACATATGTATGCTAGGTTGGCAGAGCACAACTCTATCATGTACGTCTGGGTCGTCACTGGCAACTTTGCCTCTATGCTGTCTTGAATGAGCCTTCAAATGGCCATGGATCTCGAAGCCGAATTTGAATCATGTATGGGCAGGAGGTGCTGGCAAGGAGCGTGCAAGTTGGCGCTCCGTACTCTCGTTTGCCTCTTGAGCGATCATCGTAGTCTTGGCGGTCACGTGCGCGCGCATCAGATTCGTGACGATGCCCGACGCGTCTCTCCTTGACGATTTGCTCGCGCAACACCTCTGGCAACGCCATGGAGGTTTCGTTGCTGGCCGGACTGAATGAGGCTCAAAGAGCCGCCGTTACCTCGGAGGCGGCCGTTCTGCAAGTCCTAGCACCTCCGGGCTCGGGCAAGACGAAGACATTGACCTCGCGTGTCGCGCATCTACTCGCCCACCGCTCATACGACCCTCGCAATGTCATCTGCTGTACGTTCACGATCAAGGCCAGCCGCGAGATGCGGGAGAGGCTCCGCGGTCTTATTGGAGAGCAGCTCGAATCAAAGCTCATCCTGGGTACCTTCCACTCGATCTGCAGACGATACCTCGCAGCGTACGGCAACCAGATAGGCATTCCCAAGAGCTTCGGCATCGCGGACAGCTCGGATAGCAAAACCATGGTGAGAAAGATCATCAAGAAGGGAGGAATGAAGATCGAACCCAACACTGCTCGCAACAAAATCAGCTGGAACAAGGCACGATTTCGGAGCGTCGAAGTTCTCCGGCAGGAACAAGCCAAAGCAAAGCACACCAATGAGAATCAGCAAGAGGTCATAAAAGTGTACGAAGAGTATGAAGCTGAGCTACAACGAAATAATCTACTGGACTATGACGATCTTTTGCTACGCTGTGTTGACCTTCTGCGAGCATTCCCACTCTGCGTGGCTAATGTGGAGGCGCTTTTAATCGACGAGTTTCAGGACACCAATGTCGTACAGTTCGAGTTGATGAAATTGTTTGCTTCCTCGAGGCGCAATGTCACAATCGTTGGTGATCCTGATCAGAGTATATTCGGCTTTCGTGCAGCAGAGATTGCAAACCTCAAGAAGATGAGGGTTGTGTTCCCGGATACCGCCGTCATCAATCTTGAGGAGAATTACCGATCCGCTGCAGCAGTGCTCTATCTGGCTCAGGATGTGATCGAACAAGACAAAGATCGACCAAATAAGAAGCTCAAGTCTACTCACTGCTATGGTACGACTCCGGTGCTTCGAAAACTGCCAAATCCCCACGAGGAGGGTCTTTGGATCGCAAGCGAAGTCAAACGAACCATGTGCATGACCGGAGCACTTATCGACCATTCAGATATTGCTGTGCTTATTCGCTCCGGCTATCTCTCTCTGCTGATCGAGAAGGCTTTTACTGCCGCTGGCATACCTTACCGTATGGTTGGAGGAATGCGGTTCTTCGACCGAGCTGAAATACGACTTGTGGTGGATTACCTGCGCACTATCGCTCATCCAGAAAACAATTCTGCTTTTCTAGCCATCATCAACGTGCCCTCGCGCAAGATTGGTGAGACTGCAGTCTCCTCCCTAGCTGCACTTGGGGAAGAGCACGGTTTGTCAGTCTGGGAGGTTGTTCAGAAAGTCATTCGTGGCGATCTTAAACCCGAGAAGAACTTGTCAAAACCTTCACAACAGGATCTCGGTAAGCTGATCAATATTATCAAACGAGGCCGCGAGAAAATGTACGGCATGTCTCCCGCCACAATTCCCAGCCAGCTCATTTCGTATCTCGTGGACTGCCTCCATCTACCTGCATACCTTCAGCAAAAATACAAGGACGACTACGAGGACCGTCTTGAGAACATTCAGGAGCTGATCGCTCACGCGAACCATGTGGCTTCTTTGCCTGACAATGCGGAAAGCCTTCCCGTTATTGATGGCGCAATCCAGCAGGAAGTTGACCAAAGACAGGAAGCGCTTGACCAGTTTCTCACCAACATTGTGCTATCCACCGAGAAAGAAAACGATGCAGATGACAAGCCTCGGGTCACAATCTCTACTATTCACAGCGCCAAGGGTTTAGAGTGGCCGGTTGTGTTCATTCCAGCTGTCTATGAAGGCAGCATTCCGCATTCGCGCGCAGAAGAGCTTGACGAGGAGCGTCGACTGCTGTATGTGGCCATAACGCGTGCGCAGGCCCTCTTGAACATGTCGTTCCCCCTTTACAACACGCGCGATCAACAAAGTCTTGACCTGACGCAATTCCTGCCTCAGGACCTGCACCACAGAACAGCCGAGAAAGCACCAAGGTTCAGCGATGGAGTCATTGCAGACATTGCCACTACTCTGAGGCGCGAGATGCCAAGTCAAGAAGCAATTGCACGGGGTGTGGCTTCGTTGACCGACAAGCAGAGCCCAGAAGATGACCTGTGGCCACTCGATGGGCGACCAGCATTGGGTCCGGAGCAGAATGTTATGCTCGGTAACGTATCGTTTCCTGGGAAAGGGCTGTCATTGCATGAAGCCGAGCAGCTCGCCAAGGGTGGGAAGGTACATGCTAATAGCGGCTTTCAGCGCGCGTCGCCGATGGGGTATCAGACGAGTATGAGCAATGCCAACAGCTTCTCCACGGCCAACACCAGCATGGGCATGGGATTTACCACCGCCGGGCAGCAGATGCGCACTGTTGGTGGTGTGAACGCCAACGCAAAGACCTCCGACAGCCAATCCGCCAAAGCCCAGCTCGGCTCCCAGAGCTCTGCGCAGGGCATTGCAAAGGGTGGCATAACACGGTTCTTCCAAGCTCAGTCACGAGCAACACCTCCGCCTACTGCCGAAGCCGCCCGCAAAGCCTGGACGAATCGTCCGTCCATATCCGCACCCTCCCATACACAACAGCGCGTCGAGCCACAAGCACAACCGCAACCTCCTCCGGCGCCGGCTCGAGCCGCACCCACCAGAAGCCACTCCGACATTGCCCCTCAGCTTCCTGTGCATCATTTCGGTGGCGTCCCGGGTGCAGGCTTTGGTCGTGCTTCCGCACCAGGCCGCGTTATATCGAGCGGTCCTGGTGTAGCAGCGGCGGCAGGCATCAAGCGGCCCCGACCACTGCCGCTAGAGCAAGTGAGTCCGAACCGCGAACGCAGAAAGTACGTGTTCCTGTCCTCGAGTCCGGCCCCGGAAGAGGTCGATGCTGGGACGTTGGGTCAGGAAGTCGACCTTGGAGACGACTCGGATTTATTTGAGTGGACAGGGAAGGAGAACGAGCCAACGAAGCGGCAGAAAGGCATTGGTGGCGGGCAGGTCGATGGGTGCGAGGATGTGAGGAAGTCGGTATCGCTGGCGGGGAAGGGGAGGCCGGTGGTCGGCGTCGTCCCAGGTGCCTCTGGGTATCCGAAGAAGAGTCTGGGTGTTAGAGGCGTGTTCGTGCCGTGGAGTGAGCGGAAGCGGAAATGAAACTGGGGTATATCATAGATATGACGATTTTACGACGCTATGAGATATGAACATTCATGTAATGTATAAGATTGCGTGGCAACAGGTCAGGGAACACGTCCAGCGCTTCAAATCCAAGTCCAACAAGAAGCAGATGCGGTGCTCAGGGATTTGATGCGTCTTCGATATCTAGCTGGAGGAGGGAGCACGCAGGCTGCTCAATCTGTATGATGACACAGCAGACGTTGCGTGCCCTACTCATTACTGAACAAAAGCGAAATCCTCACCATTGGTACTAAGCGACTGTTCGAACACACTGCTGTTATATCATTCTCGCTTGTGTACTAGATGACGTCCAACAAGCAACTCCTCTCGAAATATTTCCCTTCCCTTTCACCTTTTGCACTCGCCAAGCCATCATATGACGCGCGAGACCAGACCGCCAAAACCGTCAGGTCAGTCCACGCTCAATCAACACGGCAGTGCTCGCACCACATCCTCGCTGCATGTGTCGAAACGCGACAGACTGACGGTCGCTGCTGTCCCCCTCACACCAGACCACCTCACCTAATTCTACCTGCTGCAGCCCTTCCAGACGACTCGATGGCTCCTGACTTGACTTTCCCACTACGAAGCACCTACCTACCTACCATAAGCACAGGACATACATAGTACCCTCAAAGACTCTCCCCATCGGAACGGAAGGTTTTACAAAATACTTTCTCGATATATCCGACGCATTGTCCCCCTCCCCCACACCTCGGTGTCGTCATGGCGGTCCCCACCCCTCCCCAGGCCAAAGTGCCAGAAAGTTTTTTTGACTCAGCTTCCGGGAATGCACAGTGTCTTGCATTTTGCATACTGGGAAATCTTGATGCGGAATGGGATTTCTACGAAAAGTCTGTCGCCACCTACTCCATTACCCATACACCAGTAGTTACTTGGTGGAGGATGGTATGGTGATTTTAATTATTTAATGTGGGAAACCGTGGGCGATATCGCAGTCATGCATGCAGTGTATGGATCTTCGGGGGGAAAAGATGGCGGAAGTCATGCACTTCTTAGCGGGGAATGGATATGTCTGATCCGGGGTTTTGGGCCGTGACCAGTAGTCCGGGTGGTAGGGTAGGGTAGGGTAGGATAGGGTAGGGTACGGGGTGTGGGATCAGCGCTTGGCCGACGTTTGTGAAATGCTCTGGTACATACTGTAAAGATCGCAGCGAGCTGTACGAGAGTCCCAAGGTAAGAGGCGCTGGCTTGGCTTGCTGAGACTGTATGTAAGGAGTAGGCTGTGAGGTCACAGGGTTAAGGCCAGAGGCACTAGGGAGTAGGTGGCTTGGGGAGTAAGGACGTAGACGGTAGTTTTGGTGCTGGTGTTTCCGTTGAGGGTACGGAGTAGAAGTGGTAGCTTCTTGGTCTCTGCGGGGTACCTGGAAGCGAGAGGGCGGGTGTGTCGCGTATTGTCTTGGGGTGAGGAGAGTTTGAGGGTTTTGGGCTTGGGCTTGGGCTTGGACTTGGGCGTGAGGGGATGGTGAGGGAGGCTGTATGATGTGGATGCGGTCAGAGGATTTGGTTGAGCGCATTTCTGATACGGCCCGTAGGGTTGAGGTTGTGTTGCATGAGGTATGGAAGAAAGCTATAGATTGTAACCTGCGGATTTTGAGGAAGTATCACGTAGCAGGTCTTGAGAGATGCGCACTGATCTCATTATCGAAAGATTGTGTTTGAGGTATTCGTAGTTCGTACAGAGTATTAAAAGCAGTTATAGGTATCATTATTTTCAAAGATCGCAAAGCCACAGCATCTGCGCCGGGCGAAGCAGATAAATGCCAGGATATCATTCGTGAAAAGCCATAATCGTTTTTGGAGACAGTCTTTCGCACTTCTGGGTATCCATAACGTCCAACGCTCCCAACCACATCAACATCGACAACAGCAACGGAGTATTTTGTGTCTGGGTTAGCACATTTAAGCGGTGTGCTCGGTGGTCTTGCGGCGCTGCTGCTTGCCAGTCTCAGACCAGGGGAAGTGGACAACGGGAATGATGAAGAACGAGTTGCTAGTATCGGCGATACCGGCCAGAGCGTTGTACCAGGCAGCAAATGCAGCAAGGATGCCGAATGCGCCACCCGCTTTGATGCAGCCGGAGTTGGGGTGACCGCCGGAGTTGCGGAGGTAGCCGATGCCGAGGAGGAGGAAGGCCAAGTCCAGAGTGAAGAAGAGGAAGAAGAAGGCCACAGTGGATTTGAGGGTGCAGATCAGGAGGATGAAGGTAAAGATGAACCAGCCCTGTGTAGCTAGTTAGTTTGTGCGCTCCGTCGGCCATGGGCGTAGGAGGTGCTTACCATCAGGAAAAGACCGATATTGTTGAGTAGACCAGCGGCGCCTTCGCTTTCTTCCAGGGTAGGCTCAATGTCGAAGCCGCCAGGTGTAAGCAGAATGGCAAAGGCGATCCAGAAGCCACCGTAAGAGGAGAGCGCGGTCGCACCGAAGGTGTTGCCAACGGCCATTTCCCTGAAGCCGCGATTAGCCGGGTTCAAATGATAATTCACGCAATAGATGACTTACCACATGCCAGCGAGTAGCTGAACGAGACCGCCGTACGCAAAAGCCAGAGAAATGATGATGGTGGGCTCGCTGAGACCGAGAGTGCCCATGTTGATGAGAGACAGGACGAACGTGGTCAGGGCGAAAGCGGACAGACCAAGAGGCGCAGGGTTGGCGAACTTGCGGCCCTCGACGCCTTTGTAAAGACCAGGCTGGAACTCACCACCGAAGGCAGGGAGCATGGTCTCAGCAGTGGATCGCATATGAGCCAAGGGACCGTATCCGAAGCGGGCGGCATGGACGGCGGCGTGCCGCTCGTCGTGAGTCATGTGGGAGGTAGCCTTCTCCAGGTCGGCTTTTGGATCAGCAGAGTTACCGTTGCTGTTGCCATTGCTATAGTGGCCGTTGGTGGCACCGGCCGTGGCCGTGTTGGCGTGGTCGGTGTGATGTTGGGCAGCGGTAGCAGACATTTTGAGTATAGTAATGGGTGGTTACTGATAGCTGGTATGAAGTCGCGTAGGACGGCAACCTCGAAATATGGTTGATATATCTAGACTGCTCCTTGAATACCCGGTTTGTTGACGACGGTGAAACAGGAAAAAAAGGTCTGAACGCGGGGACAAGCATGTATTTGTAGTGACGAGTACTGGCACGGGGTTGAGGAGCCCCGGCCATGGATGGAAATGCCGACACTGGGGGTCATGGTACTGGAATCTGGAGACTGCGGGTGGACTCGAGCAAGCAGGGATTGCATCATGAACCTCGAATGGCGATCACTGAAGGCGGAGGTTTGTTGTCTGGGCATTAGGCTGAAAGGGGAGCAGCGAATGGACGGTGAGGATCGCGTACTAGCTTTCCACCCTATTACAGCCGCCAAGGGGTAGTGCCCTTGTTCGGGTGACTGGAGCTAAAGCTTGACGGTATTTAGGGTAAGGATGACAGTTGCGTTGATCTTTTCGAAGCATAGCGGAAGGATACGCTTTTCCGAGGCGACTGCACACTCGGCGGCTGCGAAGACTGCATCTACGGTTTGCCCGGTACCGGAATGCCTCGGAACGGGCCAACGACAAAGCCATCAAAAGAATACGATCTGAAGCACAATGATGACCAAGCGAGGAGTAGGTGAGAGCTACGATGACGATGACAGGGTGATCGGAGCGTGGTGTGAGCGGGGATGCGCACGCTGTTCAATCTGGCCAGTAGCGCGTGACTCGGGTAAGTGCTGATGAGGCCATACGCCTAGCTTGACTTGCGTTGGCGGTCCAAGGCTCTGAGTACGAAGCGCCATATCGATAACAAGTAAAGACCATCGACATCGAGAGATGGCAGTGGAGAGCATGACACCGCTGATGTTTTCTCCATGTCGTCCATGCATCGCGGTTGGTACAAGCAAGAGGAGGCTGCCCTTGGCTGACGTTCGGCACCTGAAAAACGTAGGCCAAGCTGAGTTTTAGGTCTTTGGGGGCTCGACGCGCCGAGGCTTGTTTGGTGACGGCGTCGATTATGTGGAGCTTGTTCTGCGGTCCCGCTCCGTTGCTTCCGGCACCTCCATCAACCGCCGCAACTGCCATGGTGCAGCCTCAAACGCGCCGCTGACAGTGGTGCTGTAGTTGTATGTTAAGCTATACTGTGCACCCAGCGATCTGTGTCGGGGTTGCAGATACACACCGTCAATCCCGAGACCCAGACCAGACAATCCACTGGATCCACCCACCTGACCAGATGTGCGTCGCCCTCTGAAAAACTCAATCATCACCAGTGCACCGCGCCAGCTCGTGTAAAACGACCTGTGCTTGCGCCGTCCTGTGGGCGCCGTCCTGCTGCTCACACGTTCGTTCAGTCGCCTTCGGCACCGGGACTCGGGAGATGGCAATCCTCGATGTCCGGCACCATCACACCACACTACAGCTCGTCCAGTTTCTTTTTGGGAAGGCGCTTTCTGCAGTTTGATCAAATTTGCCATCCATCTCCACAGATCTCCAGTTTCGTTATGCCTTCAGTACCCCATAATCCTCCCTCCGTCCGTGAGCGACGTGTCTAGACTCCTTCCGGCTCGCCTATTCACCGTAATGCTTCCCCATGCCCCAGATGTGGCGGACGACTGGTCCGCGCTACTCGACTATCACAGTAACACATCAATAATCAGTTCTCCTTGGCTCCACCAAGCATCTTTTGACAGGTAGCTTCTCCTTTGCGTGCGAGCGGCACATGAAACGACAGAAGCCCATGCACCGGGCTTGCGAGGGCCCGTAGCATTTCAGGCTAATTCAACGTCAACGATTCGCCGCTCAAATTATGGTTTCTCTCGAGCTGATGCCACCAACAGCTAAATCTCAGTGTATTTCCCGCAAAAGGCGGCCCGGAATTCTCTTGCTGGCTCATTGCGCCCCCTTGGTGCGAGTACGAGCATTTGTTGGGACATCTCTTATGACTGTCTGCCAGCCCGTGGTGGCATGATAGCAGGTCTGTTATCTCGTGAACCCATTGACCAAAGCCTATGGCTCCCCGATAATTCCTCGCCGAGTCTTGACGCCCGCGGCCCTCACTCCTTCTCTATCGCTCCCGTCGATGGATGTTGTTGAATGACTGGACAGCTCCCATGGGCCCAGAGTGATACGAGCCTCGATTCGTGTCGAGCGTCTGCCACCCCAGAACCTCGTCGGTGGCTCTGACAGCGTACACGAATCCATTAGTGCATTACGTACCAAATTGCGCTCTCTCCTCCAGGCGATGATGTACGATCGCGATCCGTGGAATCCGCCGGCTCATCTCGGGGCACTTCTCGCTATCTCTGGGGCCGGGTTTCGCCAGTGATTCCCGCAGCTTCCCGCGGCCACAGCATCCTGAGCATCTCTCATGGTTTTGAGCGAGGCAATACGTTCGTCAGAAGTCGCGCACAGGAGCTGTCGACTTGCACTTCAATTACGAGTTGATTCAAAAGGTAGTACTTCAATCGCCACGTTTCATGTTGGACACTGCCGTTCGACAACACTGATCCGAGCAGAGCCTAATAATCTCTTCCTATCCGACCGAACTGCAAGTACAAGCAGCGGTACTGCGCGAATTGCCTTCTGCGATTCCAGTCAATCGAAGAGAAGGGTCACAAAACGTGCATGAACCATCAGCGCTTGCCAACCACATGTGGAAAGGTAAAATGTCATGATATAAGAGAGAGTAGTGGGCTTAAGTGACGTTTCGATCACCACGGCCGTCTCGTCGCTAGATCTGGGGAGAAGGACCATGAGTTAGGCGAACATGTGAGCACCGGTCATGCACTAGGTGCCCTTTCAGAGAACGCTAGGAGATTGGGCTTCTTCACGAGTAGCTCCGTGGATGAAGGCAAGCATGAATGTCTGTCGACCGTGCTGAATTAATGTCCGTAGTGTACAAATGGTGTATTGCCGGCCGAAGGATCCTTGAAATCGCTCGCATTGGGGGTCCGCCGCTCACTGTTGATGGTCCTTACACCCCTGGAGTGCGTAACCAACAATACAGCTCAACCTTCATGATCAAAATCTATGGCATAAGACTGAGAACAGCATGGCGACGCATATCCCCTCGAATCTCTATGCTTCGGACTCGGCACGGCACACCAAGGGCTGCATCTATGGAAGGAGCAGTTCAAATCCAATTTTGTACGGATTAATACTAGCCGAGAAAAATCAAGACCTACGACATATGACGAACCTCCAGATGACAAGTGTCGAGTGCAAGAGACTCATTCCCTCTGACTTTGTGACATCGGTACCAACAAGGCAACCTTTTGGCCCCCAACGTAGAAATAGAAATAAGCTCATTTTCACTGCCTGGTCTCACAAGGCGCCCAGCCCAGACTTGTCTGGACGCCTAGGCAGTGATTGCTTGTGCAACGCCTTTCACTCAACGTGGGTTTCACATTGCTTTGTTGGAACTCACTGGCTGGATGGAGGAGCTGTTTTTGGTTCTTCAGGATTGGGACTGCTTCCTGCTTGAGGGTTTGGTCTCGTTGGAGTGTCGTCTCTTACCTCTTAGCCGTGCAATGCTCCTCCTGTGCCTCTACGACGCTGCGCGACTTCGTCTTCGCCTTCCAAGACTATTGTTGCCTCTTTGCATCGAGGAACCGGCCGTATCTGGCTGCTGCTGTCGTTTTTGAGTCGCAGAAGCCTCGAAGATCGTAGTCCCTGTGTTCGGCCGTGTAGAATAACGCTTCGTTCGCATGGCACCGTCAGCTGCCGGGTCATGCGATTCTCGGGGAGATGCCGTTGTGCATGGATCAAACTTGCCGATGGAAGCGCGTCCAAGTGGCTCGGGGCAGCTTGCCAACGGTCGCAAAGTCGTCCACCTGGTACCATAATAGCTGCTTCTGCTCTAAGCTCGGGCAGAACGTGACGCGGAAGCCCGGAGGTCCTGATAGCAAAGCTGCGGCTTCCACGAGTTGCACGTAGGAGGCTCAGTAGCCGTGTGCGCAGCCGTAGGCCATCAAACGCGCCGCACGCTGCGTTTGCCAGCGTTAGGCGGCGAGGCAACGAGGCTGAACTCCTGGTGGTCAAAACTTCTTCCGCGGTTGCACCATCTATCTCTCTCCTCCCTCTGTCGCCGTAAGCAAAACACTTCGTGCACAAGCACAACACGCACAACAGCGTCGTTCTTGCCTCTTCTCTTGCGCCGACCTTTTCTCCCTCGACCTCTTCCTCTTCACCTCCGCCCTCACCACCACCACCTCCTCCTCCCACCATTGTTCCTCCATCTTTCCTCCGCCCTCGTTTCTCCCGCCACAGTAAGTCACTCGCCCAAGTCAACTCCAACTTGACAGTGCTGATCATTCACAAGAGATGTCAAAGCATGTGAGCATACCCGACAACGGGTACATCACCTGTCCCGTCGCTTTTGAGAGTGGCCAGGCTTGCCTCGGCACAGGCCGAGAGTGCTTCCTCCAGCGAAAGGAGAACGGTAAGTTTGGCGAGGTTTGCAAGGTTTCAGACCTTACCTTTGATATCCTTTGGTTGCTAACAAGCCGTTAGAAATCTCGCGACACATGCGTCGCTACCACCTTTCCCTCCTCGGCCCAAGAAATAGGGTCGATTATGGCCGCTGTGCCATCATCTGCGAGACGGCCGCTCGTGCGCTGGCGGGTCCCCAGATCTTTGCGGCTGCCCAGCAAGCTGGTGCCCGCCTGATCGACGCCGACAGCGTCAAGACGCCGCGCTTCGACAACTGGCGTCCTGGTGGCGGTGCGCCCGCGGCTGCTGCTGCGCGTGCCACTGTCGCCCAGTTCGCGCCTGCCCTGCTTGGTCCTGTCGCTTCTGCCGCTCCTGCGTCCGGCCTGCCTGCACCTCCCACCGCCGTCGCTGCTCCTCCTACCGTCGCTCCCCCTCAGCCCGCTCCTGTCGGTTTTAGTCGGCCTATACCACAGGCTGTCTACGATAGACGCCGCCCCACCGACTCCGACCCTAACGCGGCGCCTCCTCGAGGCCTCCCGGCCAATATGATCCCGGGTTGGAGTGCCGAGGTCGCTTTACGCGACAAGATGCATCGTCGTCGCCTGAAGAAGCCTCCCGTACGGCCATAAGGACGGGGGAAGACCGAGGATGTCACCTGGTCGCTCTGCCCTACATCCAGTAGGGAGGGGTGACTTGTGCTGACTAGGCTTCCGGTCCGCTACGGGCTCGCCTTCACGTGGCGCGGACTGTGAGTACTCTCAGCCATCGACAGGCTGGGACGAAACCGAGATAGCCCAGAAAAATTACGAGATGCAAGAGATGGAGGATTGAAGAATGAAGTTAAAACAGGTTGAGGGCTACAGGCTACAAGGCTATGGCGCTAAGAGCTGCTCACCAATCAGCGTGCAGGAGGTAAGTGGAATATCATAGTCACGTGACTATGACTGTATCTGGTGTGGAATGCTCTTCCTCGCGCTCCTTCACTCCTCACACAGTGACCAGCCTATCATCATTCCATAGCGTTGGATGGTAACTTCTTTAGTCATGCTACTGATCTCTTTCACGTGAAGCAGTGAGAACACTGCCAAGCCGGTCTGGCCAAGTCCCCAGGAGATTTATCACGCGCTAACACTTAACAGGGAAGCAATCTTGGCAGGGACGCGCAAGCGAGCCAGGTCGATCAAAAGCTTGCGGACCTTTTTCTGTGCGGGCGGGGTGAACGACCCTTCTGGACGATCGGGCGTAGGGCCGAAGTCGACGTTGTTATCATCAACCGCGAGCTCTTTCTACGACATCTGAAAGCGTCATCAAAGTCTGGCCACGAGTATCGGAGACTGGCGCAGCCGAAGCGAGCCATCGTCGCATGCGTACGCAGGGTCGTAGAGGCGTTGGTGCCAAGTCAAACGCGTGAGCAAGCGCCGCGTGTCGTTCGGTGAGAATGGCCTGTGGTGGGGATATTCAGCTCGAAGTAAGGCTGCATTATTGTTACATAAGTGTGTCAGCTTGCGTTGCAGACAGCGAGAGACTCTATTCATCAGTCATGGCGGCCAGTCTTACTCGCCAACAGCTTCACAACCCCTTTCGCTAAGAAGTCTAAGAAGAGGCGCGCTCGGTCCGCATTGCACACGCGAGGCGGTTTTATGAGACGACCTATCTAGTGGTAGGGTGCGGCAACCTTACGGGAGGCTTGTTGAGGAATGTGAGACAGATCAGAAGACGACATAGAGCCAGTCTTGCAGGTGGGAGATTGGGGGAGTGTCGAGGAAGGATATAGCGTTTTAGGAATGAGGGTCGTCCCACGGCACAGGCTTTTTTGTACTGTCCGGGCGAAGCGGACGACTGCCGCCGGTAGCCACGCGGGCCGATGGGGTATACAGTGCCCTAAAAGAGTGAGTGGGTAGACTTGAGATCCCTGTCGAGATTACGAGCAGAGAAGATCCGGGGAAGGGTTCATCTGCCTCTTCGCTTTACTGAATTACGAGTGCGTCAACAGGACTCACGTACAAGAGAGTTGCCGAGACACAGAGCTACGAGTAGTACCATAGAATGAGCATAGAAGATATGCCGACCACGCGCCCGGCAACCCGATCCGAGGACAAGCATTGTTCGGGGAGCTTGGTGGGATACTAAACACGTCGGGAGACCACCTCGCAGGGCAAGAATTGGTGAAGGCTGCAGGCGTCCCACTTCAGTCTACGGATCAGGGGTGGGCAGGGACCAGCAGTTGGCACCGCCAAGATGGCTTTGCTGCCGAGTTGGAACGAGAAGAAGCCGAGTGTGGGCGGAGGCCAGTAGAGCTGAGTGGTGCGCACGACAGACAAGCAGTAGGCGTAAGATTGAGCGCGCGTTGCTTGCCGAAAGCCCAGCGGAGGCCACATCACGAACAGAAGACACCTGTAGATCAGGTACGGTACGCGTGCGTCAGATGGGGCCAGACGACCAGGTTGCGGTCTGGGCGAAGGTGAAGCAGAACACAACAGAAGAGTCGTCGTCGACAACGAGATGATCAGGTAGAAATAAAATGCCATTATGTAGTAGTTGGTCGCACGGATTGCTCCCGAGCATGCTAGAGTCAGCAAGAGCTTGCGTACCAAGTCAGGTAGATCCAAAAAAAGGGATCGAAGGGATTGGCAAAGAGGGTTGCGTGGCCCTGGTTAAGCTTGGGGGAAGCGGACGCGCGGCGACAGCACAGGCGGGCGAATTCGTCACCCAGCGCCCACCGCCCGCGCCGCCCACCTGCGACTTCAGGCTGCGACCTTCTCACCCTCGACTCGCCGTTGCGACCGGAACCACGCACACGCAAGCAGTTCTCACGCACACGCACACCGTCGCCTCCTCCGTCTTTCCTCTGATCACTCCCATAATACACAGTCGCTCTCTTTTCTACATACTCTACCTAGCGACAGCAACCTCTCCGACTATCGAACTCTGCGTCTTTTCTCGGCGGTTGCAGTGTGGCGAAGGCTTCTTCAGAGTCGGCTGTGCTCCACGACTGCGCCAACCTGAACAGCCACCCTCCCACCCGGACCTTTCTCCCGCACATACTCCTCTTACACACTCTTGATATCTCCAGCGGTCACTGTAGTTGTCTCTTTCAACCATACCGGCAAGATGGGAGACCAGCATCGATCGCTCGATGAGCAGTTCGACTTCGACGCCAGCGATCTTTCTGCGCAGTTCGAGCAACTGCTCCGCACGCGACGACTGAACGAACTCGAAGAACAAGCACGACCCTCCCGATCCCAGTCTCCAAGATCCAGTTATAGATCCTCTTCTCAGTCACAGCTGTCACATCTATCCCAACAGTCCTTCCAGTCACCCAGAAATTCTCAAACACAACCTCCGCAATACAATGTATACCGAAACCACCCCATCATTCCTCAACCGCCCTCAGATCCCAGCGCCTTCAAGTTCAGAAACTTCCTCATCACTATGTCAGTCACACCAACCAAGTATGAAAACCCGGGCTTGCTCGACGAGGCCCTTACCCATGTTCCTATCGACCGTATCTATCAGGAAGCGGACGAGGAGCACAACATCATGAAAGGCATTGCTGCCTCGATGGGCGAAGGCGCCAAAGAAGAATGGAGCTATCAGGATTGTGTCATTCGAATGCTGCTTCGGTGGTTCAAGCGCTCCTTTTTTACGTTCGTCAACAACCCTCCGTGTTCCAGATGCAACGGACCAACTATGGCGAATGGCTCAACCCCTCCAACCCCCGACGAGTCGGCCCGTGGTGCTTCCAGAGTAGAACTCTACCGATGCCAGAATGGTGGCTGCGGCGCATACGAGAGATTTCCCAGATATACCGATGTTTGGGCTCTTCTTGAAACTCGCCGAGGTCGTGCCGGTGAATTCGCCAACTGCTTCGCCATGCTCTGCCGAGCGATGGGCACTCGCGTTAGGTGGGTGTGGAACAGTGAAGACCACGTATGGACCGAGGTCTACAGTGAACACCAGAGGAGATGGGTTCACGTTGATCCTTGCGAGGAGGCTTGGGACAACCCAAGAATCTATACTGAAGGTATGCTTGGCTTTGAGCTTCACGTTGAATGACTACTAACAGTCTACAGGCTGGGGTCGCAAGATCGCCTATTGCATAGCATTCTCAATCGATGGTGCCACCGATGTCACTCGCCGTTATGTCCGCAGTCCTTCTCAGCACGGTCTCGGCCGCACCAAGTGTCCCGAGGAGGTCCTGCTCTATATTATCCACGAAATTCGCAAGATCCGCCGTGAGAACTTGGACAAGCCCGTCCGAACTCGCCTGATGAAAGAAGACGAACGCGAAGAAAGGGAACTACGCAGTTTCGTTGCTCAATCTATCACCCATGAGATGATCAACAGCCTGCCTGGAGCCGTCGCTGTACCCACTGGAGGGGATGTTGTCAAATCCATTGAGGAACGCCAGCGCGAGATCGAAGCTCAACAGATGCTTTGGCGGGGTCAGGATAGTCGGTGAGCATTTCGATAGGTTCGTCGGCAGTACGAACTTCGAAACTACCATTATCAAACCACATCGCCATTTCATGGCTCCCGCATCTTAAACCTGATGCAGATCGGATCGGCCAACGGATGCCAGCACGCCAAGCCCGGATTTACTGCACAGCCACTCTGGGTCTGAACGTCAGAGTAAGCCGAGGAGTACGGCATGCCATACCGCACGTCATTTTGCCTCGAGCCGGCGTCGGTTCCCAACAAATCAAGACGATGTTGGAAGATACTCCCGCCGCCAAGCTGCGAGACGTCGTTACGACCTTCATTACCCATCATGGATGGCAAATCTGACGCTTACGACGCAATCGACCTCCTCACCCGACAGAACCACATGTGCATCTCATCCATGAGATCTGCCTCTCGTCCCTGCGCAGCAGGGCATGTACTATATCTTGATACAACGGCGCACTAATTACTTTGGTCACTGGAGGCATGGATTTTTTTATGTTATTGAAGCAGAACCAAAAGACGAGTCAATGATGTGGACAAGAAGTGTCCTTGGAGCGATACCCACAGGGTCGGCGTCAGAGGTGTGTATTTATGCTTGATGTCGTTATGGATTGGACACCTTTGCGACGTCCACCGGTCTTCTTCCAGAGCCTCGGGGATTTCCTGGTCTGTTTTCTAGGGAATTGCATAGCGTTATCGGAGACGAGATCACGGAGGCAGAACCACTTCAGCGTGGGGCACTGCAGTGCAGTGCATCCTTGGGGCGTGCAAGTTGTCAAAGTTGCATAGCGTATAGGAATTACAATCGGAGAGCCTTAGAGCGATAGCAGCGACGATGAAGAAGTGCGTGGTGAGAATACAGAGAGCAAAGAGATCTTTTCGCAGATCTGCTGATTGAAATCTTAACTTTTGCTTGAACTCGTGGTCTTTTTCCCCCTCTGGTCCCATCATTACGCGTCCCAGTCCTGTCCGCCCTCGAAGCGTTCAGGCTGCCCGACTTCGTACATCGGCCGTTCCACGATGACCACCTCGAGGCCATTGCTGCCCACGTGGCCGCCTACCTTCTCTTGCGTGTCACCGGTGCCGTTCATGTTCATGCCCACGTCCACGTCCACGTCTTTCCCTTCCCCACCAACCTCAACCTCTTCGTCACGCATCGCAGCCTCGACCCCATCATTGCGCAACACCCCAACGCCGAATATCGACCGGTACCGGAACGTGAACCAATCTCTCGGCGCCTCTCCTTCCCTCGGTGCCCTCCACCCACCACCATCTCCCCCTGGGGAATCCGCGTTCGCAGACTTGGACTTAGATCCGTCCGGCGACGCTGGTGGTGGTGGCAGCGACAGCCCCTCCTCACCGCGGCGCAGCGCGAGCAGTTGGTCGTCCGCCTCGTCATCTTCCGCGTCACTTCCGGGTTCCATGCGACGGTCGAGATCCACGAGCTCCATCGCGCCTTCGTCGCCTTTGTAGCGCAGGGCCGTGGCCGCGAAGGGCGTGTCGCGGTCGCGGCGCTTGGTGATCTTGTCGCCGGCGCCGGTGCCGCGCAAGTCCTTGGTGGGGCGCTTGCGTTTCTTGCCGGGTCGTGCAATCTCGGCTGCGCCGTCTAGCTGATTAGGCACCGGACCTGTCGATGATGATGGTGTGGGCGCGGGGAAATCGCGTGAGAGGTCGAGCATGTATAGCCAATTGGGCCCGTAAAGCCATAGGCGCTGGTGATGGAAGAAGCCGCCCATGACGCGGTCTTTGATGCGCCGGAAGTGTGGGGGCAAAAGAGAGGAGGGGTTGCGGCGTGACCATGGCGTTAGCTTGCCTCTTGTGATGTCCAGTTCAGTGAGTGTGTGGGACGAAGTGATGGCGACCAGGGGCGCTAGAGTTGGGTGCTCGTGGGCCACAGGGTTAGGCGTGTGGCGGGTTGGATGTAGGGCAATGTTTGATGAGGGAGGGGAAAGGTGGTGTCTGTCCTTGATAGCTGTGGGAGAAGAGGAAGCTGGTGAAGACGGTCGGAACAGTAACAACAGAATGGATGCATCAAGTCGGGGAAGGGTTGGTGTGCGTGTCCAGCGCTGGGCATGGATCAGAGGCGAGTCGTCCTCTGTGTCGGAGTCTGAGGAATCTGAGTCGGAGTCGGAGTCGGATGCCGCATTTTTTGCGACCGATTTGGGTGATAGCGAATTGCGGTCTTCATGACCTTCGAGCGTCCAGGCAGTGGTGTGTCCGGAAAGTGTGCCGACAGCCAGCACGCGAGACTCGGGAGAGAATGTGATGGCAGATATTGCGTCTGCGTAAGCGCGAAGCGGGCTATCGTCGTTATCGTCCCCGGTAGGTTCTAAGCGAGCGATCGTTGGATGTATTGAAGGTAAGTCCTTGGGTTCAGCACCAGGAATAATCTTGGCAAGAAGAATAGTGTTGTCGAATCGGGCAACGCACAACCACTTCCCATCCGGAGAGAAGGTGACGTGGCGAGCACCGTAGTCGTGAAGAGAAAGTGGTAAGGGCACAGACCTGGATCGCATCGCCAGACCGCCATTAGAAGACGTGCGGCGCAACTGAAAGAGCCGAACGCCTCTGGGGGTAGCTGAGATGACCAAGCTGCCATCTCCAGATATTTGCGCCGATTGTATGTTCTCTTCACCCTTCAATTGCAGTGTGGCAAGGAGTTCATAATCTTCTGAGCCCGTGGTAATCTCACCGTCCGTGGAGCGGCGTGGAAGATGGAACACGTTGAGTTCTCGGCCCCACCAGGCAAGCATCAGGCGGTTCCTCGAGGTCGACATCTGTGGCTGCTGTGGTAGATGCGAAAGACTCCTATGGTATTCCGACTGCCAATTCCTCATCGGCAGTACGATAGGGGATGCGTCCATACCTCCTGACACGAGTACGCTGAGACCTCTGCTTTCGTAGCTTGCTGCGCACTTGACGTCGTGATCATGGAAACGTCGGTGCATAACTTGGGCCCATCGCCTCTTTTTTTGGCCAGATGGGTTTGGCAGAGGTTGATATGCAATCGTCCTTCGATCGACACCAAAAGTAAAGATCTGGTCTCCTTTAGAGCTCGCGGTGATGTCGAGAATATCTGCTTGGTGGGACTTCAGCCGTTGGGTCAAAGAGAGATTTTTGGCATCCCAGATTTTCAGCTCGCCTGACGAGTCGCCAGAGACGATGGTTCCGTCTGGGAGGCATTTTACGGTCCATACGACCGTCTTGCTGCCTTCTGCGGGCTTTCCAAGACTCATTTGGCGTATCACTTTGCGAGTAGATACGTCGAAAACCCGGATCAAGCTATCTTCGTACCCAGCCACGACAGTATTGCGATCGCGCCAGGTGATGCTGAGGACTTTTGATTTTTTCGACTGTGGCGCGTGGAGGACTTGCGAGTAACGAAGGTCACCATCGTCGGTTGCGAAGAGCACAATACTGCCATTGCCACACCCAGCCACCAGCGACTGCGAAGGTATAGGTCCCTCGACTTTACCATTTTCCGGAAGCTGATAGGCAGGCTGTGCAGCGAAGCACCAGATGTCGCCAAAGTTGCCTTCTGCTCGTCTCAGCTGCTTGCCTGATGCCAGTGACCACTCAGAGATTGAGCTAGAGCCGCCAATACTGAACAATCGCATCGCACCAGGCTTCGCAATGGTATCAGCACCCTCATCTTCAATGGTCAGGTCTTGCGTCCAGGCCAGTTGCTCGACGGTGGCCCCAACGCTTCCCCTAAGCACTGTTTCTCGAAGCCATCGACCACCGCTTGGGTTCCATATCTCGATATCGCTGTTTTCCCGACCGAGGGCCAGGCGCAGTTCAGGCGGCGCTTTTTGCGTGAGGTCGGAAGTGTGTGAGAAGGCGAGGGCGCTGATTGAGGCCGGCTGATGTGGTACAAAGCGGCAGCGGTGAATGTCCATGACAGCTTAGTTCTGGCGTCAGCGTCTCATCGTGCGCAGTGTTGTTTGTAAGCCACGTCTCGAGACTGGTTTTCTTTGAGCCTTTGCTGCTGCAGCGTTGCAAAAAAGTCCAAAAAGTTGGAGCAGGAATGCTTATCGATACCGGGGTGCCAGTGCAGGGGTGCCATTACCCTAAACCCGCTCCGGCTGGGTCCCGCTCAGATAGGGTTAGCGCCGCCTTGCCTATGACTCCTACGGAAGTTGACCGCTGTTCACTTCCCTTGTTGCTATTCTTCCTCAGAACTGATTAGGTGACGCGATGTAACCTTCTGTCGGCAGATGTCTCCTTATATGTTGGACTGAGGAGGTACTGCACAGCGCATATACAGATGATTCTCTCAAATATCATCACGCCCATCCATAATGCCAGTTTCCCCTGAGGACATTGTTAGGGACTACGTCCATGACGGAAGTTCCCTGGAACGGGTGAGCAGACGCAACGTTAGTCTACAGATGGCCATCGTGGAGCCCAATCCGGAATGGCCGCAACGGTTCTTGAACACCAAAGACCGGATCGAAGCTGCCCTAGGCTCGACCGCGGTTGCCGTTCATCATTATGGATCCACCAGCGTCCCAGGTCTGCCGGCAAAGGACGTCATCGACGTCGACCTGGTAGTCAAGGACATCCAGGACGAAGGCTCCTACATCGAGCCTCTCGAGCGCGTGGGCTTCAGATTCCTGTTCCGTGAACCCGCCTGGCATCAGCATCGCTTTTTCGTTGATGAGGGAGATCACCCTGGCTCCTATCCTATCAATCTCCACGTCTTTGGGCCGGATTGCCCTGAGGTCGAGAGACATCGAATCTTTCGCGAATGGCTCTTGAAGTCGCCAGCGGATCGGCAGCTTTATGCGACAGTCAAACGTGAGTGTGCTGCAGCTTGTGAAGCAGCTGGTGAATCAATGCAAGAATACAGCTTGCGCAAGGAGAAAACTGTACGAGAGATCTTGGACAGAGCATTTCGCGACCTGGGCTACATCTAAGGGGTATAATGACTGTCATGGACGTGGGGTCTATTATGAATCGTTCCCCGGACGAATCACGGAGGTGATCGCGAGCTGGATGTTTTAGACATCTCAGAATCATTTATACTTAACATCTTAGCAACGCAGATATCTTGCGTTGGCTCCCGAATTCGGAATTTCTTGCGAGCTACGCTAATACCAAATCCTCCTCAACAAGACCGAGATCGGACATCTCGTCTATTGCCTCTCCTTCCATCATTCCGTGCAAGTAGCAAGCCCCAATAAGCCATCTAGCGTCGTCTTCCCTGGAACGACTCACGAACGGCGCAGGTCCTCCATAAAGGACATGGATGTCATCTCCTGGTTGCAATAGTTTGGCCCCTCGCCCAATGCGACCTCCTTCTGTAGTGAAAAAGCTTCTCTCCTTCCCGTCCCAGCACTTGTCACCAAATTGCCTCCAATCCACGTTCTTCTGTCGGACCACACAGAGCCCAAATACGAGAGACTGTAACATTGCGCTTTTCTCGTCGGCCGCCGAGGTTGCGAAGATGTTATCAACAAGCTTCCGACATTGGTCTACTTCCGCCGCAACATGTGTGCCCATTGTGTCTCTGATCACATCTGGATCATGGGAAACAGCGTCAAGATAAACGGCACACGTGGCTGCAAAAACACCTGATTCGGGGAAGAACAATTCGTTGCTCAGGGGTGAATCCGTTGGCTGCCTGCAATAATCTCGCACCCGAGCAAGCGCGCTCTCAAGTTGGTAAGCAGCGTACAAATAGACTGTTTCCTCGCGGATATCGTCCGAAGTCATCCGTTCACGAGAGCTGCAACATATGGTTTCGATGAAGTCCGGAACGCGACTAGCCAATACAGCCACTGGATCGAGGTCTTCCGGATCTTGCTCTGGGTTTATGAGTGATGATTTCATCAGCATCCAAGCATCCTCGAATCTCTCAGCACTTGGAAGGTATATCTGCATTGATTCCTGATATCCAAGGGGAATTGGTTCGGTCACGGCGAGGACCCGATCCACCCTTATTCCTCTTGCTCTGAGGATCTCTGGGCCGTCGTCGAGCAGATTCCCAAGCCGTGGAAGCGATTGTCCGCAAGCTACTAAATTGGAAGAGAAGAACCCAGCGTCCACCTCTGGAATGGAATTTTCTCTATCGGGCGAAAGGCTCCATGATGGCAGGCCGTTGGTTGGCGGTAGGGAATTATGGCTGACGTAGCAGAGAATCTCAAGGGTTGTGCTTGCGTAACAGATCGCTCTGCAGGTATCTCGCATAACCTCCTGCCATGTGAGATTGTAGTCGGCCTGAAGCCTCTCTGAGGCATCAACTTTGTGGGTGTCCTGGATGAAGTGTTCGTTAGAGACGCCGATCGTAGAACAAACACCGACAAGGCCGAATATTTTGTCTCTCTTATCAGCGCACTTGTGAACAGTCGAATCCAAGAGGTATCGGAGTAATGTACTGCGTGGTCCTTCCTTCTCCTTGATAAACGGAGCTACCAATATGTGCCATTCATTGGGTGGCTTGGCGACTAGGTCTGGGTGAACAAAGTAAGTCTCACAGAATCGGATGGCATTGTACAAGAGCGGCCACTCTAATTCAGATTGACCCCAGCGCAATCGAGCAACTCCAGCTGCGTGGAGTTCTTGGATCGTCCACACTCTCGAAAAGTATCTGGATGTCAAACACTCCCATAAAGACTTCCAGTCGGAGGAATCTGCAAGGGGAAGGCCATGGCATTTGAGAAACTCCTCTCCAGAGAACGTGGGGATGGCTTTAGTTAGGTCGTATATCGGCTTAGTTCCAGGAATCGAATCTTCCTCCGCAGTGACAGAGATTTTGCTACCTGCGGCCAGATGTTCCACACCAATAGTTGCAATGGAGTCTATCGCACAGTCGATCTGCATCAAGAGCGTTCGCAAGGTTGGACCTAGTTTCGAAGAATCAGCCCCCAGCCAGGCCTCAATCGTCTGCGCGGAAGAATATATGCTATACATCAAATTGACTTGTCTGGACCTTTCCTGAGTATTCGACTGGTCAATACAGCACTGGTCAATCCAGAAGACCTCTGACCTATCTGACGATCGGAAAAGCCGAAGGACGTTCGCCAATGTCTCGGTGACTGGGAGATCGGAGCCGTTACATGAGATGTAAACGATCCCAGTCTCCTCTCCCCAGGTGTAGCTCAAGGCTGAGTAAGGAGGTGCATTGTTGAGACAATGGTTGTCGACTTTGACCGCAACTTCCGCGTCGGCAGTTCCTGGGAGGATCTCGATTAGACGGAAAGAATGGACTGTTTCCAAAGGCCGGTGGCGGTATAAGGTATGGCTAGGATTCTCCTGGATGAATCTTAGTATCCTATCGTCCATGGCCCTGAAAGTAAGCCCTTAATAGGCCCCTGCTGTGAGAATTTTCTGCTGACTGATGGCAGCGAAGACCTCATCGGATGCCGGTTGCAACAGTGCTGCTCACCGTAAATTTCGAGAGGAGTACCAGCGACAAGCCAAAGAGGCGTAGGGCAGTAAGCCTTCTCACATCCGGCGCGAGCAAAAGTGTGGATAGAATGTCGAACGTGTAATATGTAGAGGGCTGTAATGTTGGGAGGTGTCTCTGAGCGCTGGCTAAACTCGATTCAGAGGCTGAGCTAGCTTATATAGTAGCGATATTTTCTGACTTGAGCTCTCAAAGTGCACGTGTATCCGATAATACATCGATCAGGCTCGAGATTGGTGTTGAACCTCAGGCTGATTAGCCGCTGAGCCAAAGTGCATATGCATTCCTTCTAGGCAGCAGCTTCGCCCCTGCAGGTGTCCCTGCTAGACGCCGCAATACACCCTAGTAAAGCGGCCAGAACCGGGCTCGCCGGGCCCTGCCGAGCGAATGAACAACCTAAAGATGGGGCACTCAGGGGGGTTTCTGGCCCACCACCTTTCTGCGGCCTTACGGCCTTGCTCTTGGTGCCTTTGATGCGCGTCGCCCCGGCGGCCAGGCGGCGCTCAGGATTACATGGGGCAAAACTCAGGATCGCCTAGTCAAGATTCAGGCAAATGCAGCAAGTTGCTGAAGTCTGGAAATAGAAAGCGATTCGGGAGCGAAGATTTGCAGTCTAAGTACATCGGTACATGGCACTAAAAGCCTGAGCGATGCTGTCAGGCATTCGAAGGGCGCGAAGGAACGTGGTCGGATTTCTTCATATATGTATAGGGGCAAGATATGAGATTGATTGAGTCAGACTTGGGTAATGCCGCCGGGCGCTGTCAGTCATGTGTGCCAGGGTGATGCCCCTTTCCAGAGCGTGCGGCCTCTGAGAGGTGGCTAGTGGCCGTGTCGCAGCCTTCACATGGAATCGCGGTGGATGTTCGAAGACGCAATAGGCGGCGCGGGCACAACAGGACATCCTCGGCGGCAACGCCTGAACAGTTACCGTCGCACTGTGGACTTCTCAGGCGCCCAAAGCGATAGGACTGAAGTCTTCCAGAGGCGGTCCCAGAGGACTGTCCCAGACGTTTGCAGAGCCGATATGCTGTCTGAGTAGAAGCAGCAATTTCTCGGTATACGCGATGACGTTCTTGATGGTTTCAATGTTGTCTGGCGTGCTTGCCTGGCCTATCGAGGGGTGGTGGCCGAAGACAAGCTCTTCTGCAGCCAGCCGCAGTCTCTCGCTTTCGACCTTTGCAAGCCATCTGGTGTTGAGAGCAACAACGGCCAGGACTTGGTCGGGGAACGACGCGGCATCGGACTCGTCTATCAGCCGGGCTAAGGTCCCGCAGCAGGTAGCCAGGGCATTGTTTCCGGTGCAGCAGGCCTGAACCAGAATCTCAACCGTAGGGAGTGGTCCTTTTCCATGAATTTGCAGATAGTCGTCGTCTGGGACATCCACTGTTGGCCCAACTGTTTCATCGCTGACACCGTTCGGCCCTTTTGCGATTTCTAGCGCAGGCCAGAAGCTCCCTCCGCAGGCCAGCAGTGCTGCTGCCCTGGGATGTGATTTGGCTAGCTTGTTGGATGATGTAGCTGTATTGATCCAATCTCTGCAGCACTGCATGCACGAGCAGGAATTTATTCCGCTTCCTAATGGACCCCAGAATATACCAACTTCCGACCTGTTCCAGTCAGAGAGTATTGCTTTTTGGTGAGTAGACCTTGACGGGGCTGTTTGTCGTGGCCTTGAGAATGACGGATGAGCGGATCCGATGGGGTGATTCTGCTGTGGAGGCCGTTCCAGCAAAGTCTGTGCGTAGGTCTGGAATCCCTGCGTCCACAATGTCCATATCGCGTCGCCACAAGAGTAGGAGAGTTGAGCGTCATAAATGGTTCGCCTTCGGGCGAGATGTCTGACCACCCTCTCCGCACTGAGATCGGAGATTCCGCCGGCGTCAATATTGCAGTGGGAGCTCAGAGCCACGGCTTGATTCTTGTATCTTCCTCCCACGGGCGCGCGCCGAAGGCCCGCCATTCTCCTGGCTTCAACAGAATACAGAAGCCAACCAAGACGCATGGGGTCCGAGAGCTCGATCTCAGCGCGGACATTCTCCCGACCGGATCGATAGTATGCCGTTGTGCCGAGAACGCTATGCTGAGAGACAGTGAGCTGCTCCCCGCATAAAGTTCTCCCTATGATGCTTCCATTGTCAGAGAAGTGCATACCGCCAAGGACTGCTAGCAGCTGCACGTCAGCCATGGTCGTCTCTGCGCTGGCTCCGTATAGGTCAGCAGGAATGAGAGAGGCCAGTCGCCATTCCCAGCGAAGATTTGCGTGTCCCCACCACGTGGCTTGGTAGTTCATCAAGAATTGCACCCAACATGCCGCTTCCAGGCCCGGTGTCGACGATGTCGTGACCGTTGAAGTTTGCGCCTCGGTTTTGCGTTTGATGGCACCTTTGAACAGCCAGGGAAAGACAAGAAAGGGACACAGTGCACATGCACCTAGCGAAAAGCCTCCGCATTCATGCTCACCATTGGAGTCATCTTCACCCCAATCCCACTCCCCGGTTGAGGCTCCTTCATAAACCCACTTTCCCAAGCATGGGATGCATAGAACAAGAGACAACGGGAACGTAGCAAGGAGGAAAGGGCACACAGCGATTCTCAAAATTAACGCCCAAATTGTCTGCCGATACGAAATGGGTAGCGCCCGCTGAGGACCCGTGACGCGCGCCGTCTTTCGATCCATGTACGAGTTAAGGGTTTCGTCAAAGTTCTGGCCGTAATGAAGAGTGTTCTCGATTGGCCTGTGCTCCATGATCGGGATGGTGGACCGCAAGCCCGGCATCGTAAGCACAGGCATTCTGTATCTTGGATTAAGGGTGAGTGAGAGCAGAGACCAGAAGAACCCTTGGCGCAGCTCGAAGGCGCCTGTGATGGCTCGGCCGCATCGATTCATCGACGCCAGATACTGCGACAGTGCTGAAGCGGTCTGCAGGATGGCGAAGAGCAGCGCCGCAGCAGCCAGGATAGCACCCGTGACTGCTACAACGAACTCGGAAGCAGCCATTTCGACTTGGTGAGGTGAGGTTCGTACAGTGGCGTATTATATCTCAAAGCTGGCTCTGATAGTCCTTCGACCGGCTACAAGGATGCGGGTCATCGAGGCCGTTGCGGGTCTATGGCTTGTTGAGCAGACATGATCTCTTTGCCTGCCAAGAAGCAGCAATTGAAGCTGTGCACGTTGACGCGACCTGCGAAAAGGGCGGACCGAGGGGTTTTAGCATGCCACTTGAGCCGAGCGGCTGTAGTGGCGGTCTCATGGTCGGACTCGAAACTGTCCGCATCAGATCGTCCGAATTAGGACGAACGCTGGTAAAGGGGGATGGCTAGGCTCTGAGAGAAACTTGTGGCGCACGCCACATACAGGGGCTTGCCAAGTGTCTGTCAATATGGATTTGCATTGGTCGAGGTCACGCTCAAATGGTGCGGCGACACACGCTTCGATGGAGTTGGCAAGCTTGTCTCGCACCTTTCAAAGGTTCAGATATCACTATGCTCAAGCAAAAAGCCCTCCGATGAGGCTGCAGTGATGGAAGGTAGTAAATAGATCATTTGATTCCAGATACCTGGTAGGCGGCGGAGTGGGCGACAGCAACTCCGCTAAAGTCCGGGCCTGGACGAGCCCCAATTTCCAAGAGGCGACTTGGCAAGCCGAGGGAAGGCTTAATCAAGGTCTTCCTTTGGAGAGGCCTCCGGTGCGATATCTTCTCATTCTTGTACAGCATCAAATCATGCCCAGTATGCGGCATGCCGTTGCTTTATCATCTGTAGCTTCTCTGGGCGGAGACAAACCTAACACGGACAGCGTCTTGGCGTGATCGAAGTCGTTAGGGGACGTGAATGGACTGCTAATTCTCTGCATATCTCACCTTCATGAAGGCTGAGTATAGACTCTCTTATTGGTCGTGGTCCGGTAGAAGCAAAAGATTCTGCCCTCCCTGCTCATTAATGTTTCCACAGCCTTACTCGTTCTCCCTAACATCGATAACGGTCTTCTTGAACTTCCGGGCAGAAACCTTGCGGTTGAACAAGATGTCGATCTCACGGTAGGACCGGTGCTTGAGCTCAGGCACGCAGAAGAAAGCCCAGATCCAGCAGACGAGGGCGGTACCCGCCCAGATGTAACCGCATTTGCCTGCGAGATTCCAGCCGGTGGGGTTGAGCATCTTCGATGCTAGGTAGATCATCGGGATCTCGGCGACATAGTAGGCGGCACGACCGACACCCGTGCTCAAAGCGCGGAGACGGACGGAGGAGGTTTCGGAAATGATCGTGTACGAGATCGGGCCCAAAGTTCCGGCATAAACGAAGGAGATGATGATACCCAGAACGGCCTGGGCGTAGTTGGTTGCGTTGTTCTGGTCGATAGAGGCGCAGATGCCGAGGAGAACGAGGAAGGTGATGTTGGCGGCCGTGCCCCAGAGATAAATGGTTCGACGACCGAACCACGCGGTCAGGAACCAAGCTCCCACGTTCGCAACAAATCCAAGACACGAGTTGATCAGGTTCAATTCGAATGCCTTGTCGCTTCCGACCCCGGCCTCTACGCGAAGAGTCATTCACTGGGTCGATAGTCGCGGAACGGGGGAATACTCACGCTCGAAGAAGAAGGTTGCTTGATTCGCGATTAGGTTACCCGCGAAATTCTGGGACGCATACATCAAGCAGGTGATGACGGTCCGCCGTAAGTCGACACCCTTGACGAGGTCGAGGAGGGTAGGGGAACCACCCAATTTGGCTTCGATCTCGACGGTACGCTCCATCATAGCGAAAGTTTGTTGAGGATTCTTACTTCCTAGGCGCTCGATATTGCGAATTGCCTCCTCTTTGCGTCCACGACGGGTAAGCCACCAAGGCGATTCGGGGCAGAAGAAGATAAGGACCAGCAGGGGCACCTGACTGAGTCAGTAGAGGTCGCCATACGATGGGCCGTGACTTACAGGGAAAATCCACTGCAGCGCAAGGGGAATTCGCCAAGCCCACTGATCGTCCCGCTTGTTAAAGCCATAGGTGACGGCGGCGACAATGATGCCGCCAATCGACCAACTCATCTGCAAGGTAGCAGTACAGGCGCCCCGAAGGACAAGCGGCACAATCTCGCTGGAATAGGCCGGGGAATTCGCGATGAATATCCCCCACGGAACGCCTTCCAGCGCTTGTCCAACCACGAGAAGGGCGAGGGAATTGGCCTTTGTGAGGTTCATCAGCCGAAAAGCTCAACAACGGAGCCGGAATGCTTACAAAAAAGCTGACGAAGATAGTGGCGATCATCAGAACCAGGGCAAGAATGGTCGTCATGCGGTAGCCGAGGCGGTTGGTGATGGGTCCGGCCATGAAGACGCCTACAAAGGCGCCGCATTGGCCAGACTGGAAGAGGGCGCTCTGCCAGCGGGTGGGGATGGTATAGCCATCGCCATGGGGCACGCCGTAATGTCTCTGGAAAGCCGATTGCGCGACAAAGTTGCCATTCAGGAACATGTCGAACGACTCCATGACCTGCTAGGCATCAGCTGTTGTTCTGGGCAAGCAAAGTGTGTGCAACGACTTACGATGGTGAAGCACATAATGAAGGCCCAGAAGCAGGCCCAGGGATAGGCCTTGAAGGCGGTCCAGATGCCCATGGCATGTTCGTTGTTCTCGCCGTCGATGGCATCGACCATGAGGTCCTGGTTACCCAAGACTTCGGCATGGATGCTGAGGGAGCGTTGGCCGCCCTTCTCAGAGTGGCTGTCGACTGGGTCGGCCATGTGGACCTCCTCCTTCATCTTGTCATCTGACGACATGCTGGAAGTTGGCGACAAAATCACCTGGTCAATGTGAGGAGAGCAGACAATGAGCAAGACAGGTAGGGTTGGGATAGCGGCTGTCTATTATAGCAGCGCAGGGCAGTGGCACATGAGTCGTACGACTAGCCCTGGAAGAGGCCATCCACCGCAGCTCTTCCCTTGTTGGCTCACCGGCATCTGGGGCTAGCGGCTCGCATCAACCTGGAGTACGTTTCCTGTGCTCAGAGGAAAACTAATGTAACATTACGTGCCCTCCATTTTCCAATCAGGCGCGTGCAGGACATGGGACTAATTTGCATCCAGTAAGCGACGTTGCTTTCGACAGCCAGCCATGTGGTGTGAGATGCAACATTCGATCTGGCTTGTCCTGAAGTCTGTTCAAAGGTGCGGAGGTTGATCCTGCCGCGTTAGCTCAGTACAACGCGGCTCGCACAGAAGAGAGAATCCAACTCCGTCCCCTCTGGCCCCAGCAGTCTAGCCAGGCTGGCACGAAGGCGGATCGGCCACCTTAGCGGTGGATCGTCAGCGGGCACCAAGCAGGCTAAGCAACATTCATGAGCTTACCAGAGCTTGTTAGTGGTGGCAGACCTCCATTCTACGGCGCCACTTACATACCACGGGCCCAGGATGCTAACTTGCTTAGCCTGTATGAGGAATCCCGCCGTGGTCAGGCGAGCCGCCCAGCGTGGTATTCTGAACGCGGGGAAGACTGGGGTGCCCAACGCGGGGGCTTGTCTGTGCCTAATGCCTTCTCTACATCGTTCGGGGTTGCCGGAGTCCGACGTTCAGCAAGGGTTCACCTCGGTTAAACCGGCCTGAGCAAAGGTATTTACCTACCACGGCCATCATCACCCATGTTTGCAGTACTAGCAGAACTTTGCCTCGAAAACTCACTGCTGTCTCGAAAAGTCAATGCTGTCTCCGAGACTCTTCCAGCTACTGGCTTGGGGCGAAGTGAGGTGCGAAGCAAGAGCATCAAGATCATCGCTAATTGCGCCTCCATCGCCGGTCCAGCAGCTGACTCATCCTTCCAAGCAGACCTCAACGTTACCTTGAACGAGCATCTTCTCCTCAGTATGGACGAGTCAAGAAAGCATCGCTATGCGCAAGAGAGGTGTCGCTGTTGCGACAGATGTGCCTTTGGCAATCACTCATGCGAGTCATGGTGACATGATCCTTTGATACTTGCTGGCTTTCGACTTCGACACTGCTGGCTTTGACCTTCTTGTTAATTGTGATGTATTGTGTTGGCTAGGGAAGCATCCAGGCTATGGGCAACCTAATTTTAACAGCCGAGCGACTGTGTCCCGCACCCAACGCAGCGTCAACACCTCTCATCTCATACCCGATGAATACATCACAACATTCCCATACAGCCTCTCAAGGCAGCGGCGGTTTCGGAATCAAGCCCCAAGCGAACATATTCACCGACCTCGCAAGCAGATACGAAAGAATCCGATGCTGCGTCTGCCATCTCTGGAACTTGTCGAGCGTGTTGAGCTTCCCCATGAAGTAGGCGTGGTAAATCCGAAACTTCTCCTCGGTGCGGATCAATTCCTGCACATAATGCAAAATGGCGGCGAGCCAGTCGTCGCTGGCGCGCGCGACGCGCCCATTCGCCATCGTCACATGGATGTCTTCCAGACCCTCGGGTTTCTTTGCGAAGGGGGGTGCTGGCTTCGGCTTTTTCGACTTCTTCTTGGTGCCTGCTGCACCTGCTGCTTCTCCATTCTCCGCCAGATACTCTTCGTCGCTGGCCCGACAGACCTCGGCGAGCTTGTCGCGCAGCTTGAGCAATTTCTTGAACTCGTCTTCGACCTGGTAGAAGCCGACCTTCTGCTTCGCCACGGATGGGACAGCGGCGAACCGGACGGCCGCGGCCTGGACGATCTCGTTGATATCCTCGTACATCTCGGTCGCCATGCCGTTGGAAACCGCCGGCTCCAGAGCCTCCTCCAGTTCGACTTGTGTGGGCTTCGGCACCTTGTCCTTCTTCATGGCCCGCCACACCTTCCGCGCCCACACCTCCAGGGCACTCTTGGGCTTGGCGTCTTCCTCTAGCGCCTTCAGGACGCGCTGCACCCACTCATCGATGTCCCCGGACTCGGTGCCCGCGGGGTTTTCGACGACTTCTTCCGCCTTCTTGCCTGACCGGTGTGCCGGGACGTAGCCATCAGCCGTGGGTACCGCACGCGGTGTATCGTCGGGCTCATCGGTGGTAATGGCTCGGGGTTCGTCGGGAACGTTGGGGTCGTAGCCTTGGTGTCTTGTTTCAAGTCCAGCAGCTTCAAGCAATTCGTCGTGCTTTGACCGGCGGGATGGTTGGGGGTAGAAAGTAGCCCTTTCTACGGGTCCAGCAACAGCAGGTTCATCGGTTGTTATAGCTCGTGGTCCGTCAGGGTCGTTCTCATCCCAGCTCGAGGTTCCTTCTTCTGAGTCAATCCCGGCGGCCTGCAGCAGCTCTGCCTGCTTGGCCTTCTCGCGCTTCTTTTTCAGGGCCATGGTGGCACTCTCACGATATCAAATCTGAAACACACACTGGAAGCCAACAGATATCAACAGAAATCGAAAGTTGCAATGTCTGACAAGCCGGTGCTGAACCTTGCGAGGATTGGAATATCCGTATACTCGGAATGCGAAAGACATGTCTATTTATATTGAGTGGTAAGGTCATTCGTCGGAACCAGTCCTCGGTTTATTATCTTCCCTAATCAGGTATCATCAGTAAGCCACATACGTTAGAAGCATATATCATCGTACATGGTTGAGCTACAGCCGCAACCAAACGAGCTGAAACCAACCTGGTCATCAAGAGGGTTAGCTTCCGCCGTCCTGCGCTCGTTATCAGAAATTAAATTCTCGTTCTCCTTGACCGAGCCTCACCTAAAGGACGAAAGCTGCTGGAGTACAAATCACTACACTCCATATCCGCACGTGTGTTGGCTATAGGGAAACCCAGCGCAAGGCTGCCCCCCCGCCCCCCCCTCCGGCTGACAATGCAGGTAATCAGAAAGGTCCTTCTGCTCGGGCCGGACCATGGTCTATGGCCTCTCTCCCTAACGTGGGATCGTGATTTCGGCTTTACTTACCGCAGTGGTGAGTCCTCCGGTCGGCCTGAGAAACGAGTGCGGCCGCGATCGTGGTGACTTTGTTGGATGACGGCGAAGGAACGAGCCAAGGCTGAGGAGCGGCGGCATGGAAACGTGCGCCGCTGAAGGAGGCAATGGGGGGGAGGTACCTAATCCATGTCGCCTCGGAGCAGTGCTATATACATAGCCTGGCACGTGTTTTGACTGTCGTGCGAATGGTCTCCGTCACGATGATGCTGGTCTCCATACCTCATAGGCAGTCGATGGCCTGTCACTATACTGTGAGGGGTTTGCGGTGGCCGGAAACAATCCGACTTTGAGTTGCTCCCAACGGCATCTAGCTATCTACTTGTTAGCCGCTTTCATCGAACCACGACATACGTTTCCATGTATGCTAGTGACGGCCATGAGAAACGCGTAGCCGCAACGATTTACCCCCAGCTGTGTAAGTTGCTGTTGATTCGTCATTTGAAATGCGTTCCAATATGAGAGCGGCGACGTCCGATACATACATGCGTACGAATCTACTGCCGCCTTCTTTCAGGCTTAGTTCCAGACTGTACCGCAAGAGCTCGGCGTTTTGCGGCACTTATCGGATGCCGCTAGATCCCAGACCTCCTTTCTAGGCAGACATGTAACAAGCAGGCCACCACATCGGCTGACAGCACACCAAATGGTGACATACGCGGAAATCCAAGCCTCGAACGCACTCATCAACGATGCCACGCCCCCGCGTGTCGCCGTCGTCGTCGGCGGGACCTCAGGCATCGGCAAATTCACGGTGAGGGCTCTAGTCGCGACCAAGTCCAGGATGCGGATCTACCTCGTCGGGCGCAAAGACGCCGCGGAGCGCTCGAAAGTCTTCATACAGGAGCTGCACGCCACGAATCCCCAAGCGCAGGTGGTGTGGATCGAAGGCGAGATCTCGCTGCTGGCGGATGTCCAGCGTGTGTGTCTGGCCATCAAAGCCCAGGAGCCACGCGTCGACTTGCTGTTCCTGAGCGCGGGCTACACGCCCTTCGGCACGCGCAAGGAGACGGCGGAAGGCATCGAGATCGCTCAGAGCCTGGTGTACTACTCGCGAGTGCTTTTCGTGCTGCACCTGCTGCCGCTTCTGAACCGTGCGGAAGCCCCCAGGGTCGTCAGCGTGGGCATGGGTGGAATGGAGAGCGCGAAGATCGACCTAGACGACATCGACCTCAGGGCACCCGGCAACTTCAGCGGGATCAAGGCGGTGTCGCAGTACGCGGCCATGAAGACGACGACGCTGGAGAAGCTGGCTGAGGAGAACCCTCATGTGACCTTCGTCCATTCCTGGCCCGGGTGGGTGGACACTGGCAACGTGAACAGAGGGGTGGATGCGAATTCGGCGTGGTCCTGGTTTGTCTGGCTGGTTCTGCGGCATCTGATCACCTTGTTTTCCTTCACCGATGAGGAGTCCGCACAGAGGCATCTGTTCCAGTGCACCAGCGCGGCCTATGGTGGGAGGGGCACGCCGTGGAAGGGCAAGCCTGGGGTGAACACGCGAGGAACGCAGGAGAATGGTTTGTTTCTCGTAAACTATCGGTGCGACTGTACGCCGAACGCGAAGGTCGTGCGCTTGCTTCGAGACAAGGCAAGGGAAATGGTGTGGATCCATACTCAGGAAGTTCTTCAACCATATCTGTGATCCATAGCAACAAGAAGATAGACACGATGCCGATGATTAGCTGCACCGATCGAGTGACGCTGCCTTCCCCAGCTTGCACGTATATGGGAACCATGTGTACATCGGGAGACTCAACAGCCGTGCTCTAGCGGCGATCGATTTTCTTCAGGAAATAGTAGGGGACATTAAACATAGTGGTTAATGGTCACATTGGAGCCACGTGGCTCGATAGCTACATGGTTCTCCTCATGCCGCCCGCCGTAACCAGCAGCCATCACCAACTGTCCGGTACACTTACAGGCAGTACCAGCATTGAGGCAGCAGACGCATTGTGGCGAATCGTATGCCACGCATCGCGGAAGCCAGCGCCCGTCGCTACACTTTCCCCTGTACCGAGGTTGCGAATATATCGAGGGTGAGAACCACCTGCGAGGAGAAGGCGGATTCTGGTGCCCGTTCTGAAGGTGTGGGCGCAATCGTGAAGGCCCAAATGGAGGGGACTAGCCTCACGATCTGGGTCGAGGCGGAGATATCGTTCGGAGATGCTGCGCGAGATACCGTTCATGTCCACCTCGCTCAGCACGGCAAGAAGGTCGACGTGGGGATGGTTACTCGAGTGAAATAGTTGGACAGAAGGCCGCCCACATACTTCTAGATCATGTTCGAGGACTTCTGTGGTGAAACACAGTACGTCCGAGCGCGAGACAAGAGCGTCGACCTCATCGCTCTTGCCCTTGCTCCTGGCAAACATTTGCCGCGCACCGATAGCTGGCGTGGGATGGATCGGGTCGAATTTGAAGATGGAGTCGGAAGAATCTGCGCCAGGCTTGTTTTCAGAAAGCTGGCCGCCAGTATCAAGGAAAAGCTGATGAGGAGAAGTTTGGGGTGGCCACCGCGGCAGGTCTCGCCACTCTCCGGCTCCGGTGTCGAAGATACGAACTGGAGACGTCCTAGGTTCGTGTTTACGGCCAGCCAGGTGCTCCTCAAACCAGGGAAGTCCTTCGTCAAAGATGTTGCGTCCCTGGGCGCCGAGATGTGTCCATGGACCAACAGTGAGGGCAACGGTGCAGCCACGTTCAGTCAATTTCAAGTATTGCTCAATCACCTCACGTACCAGGATATCATACCAGCCTGCGACTAGCACTATTGGGATGTTCGCTCTCTCCAACGCTCCGGTGGGATCCCTCGTCTTCCAGTATGGGCTTTTGGGCTCTGGAGACGAGATGGTTTGACGCAGAAATTCCGGAGCATCCCCCTCAAAGTGTCCATCAACTACGTCAAGTAGAGGAGCGGAGTCAAACACCGGCGCAAGCCGAGTCTGCTGCGACCTCAGATGCAACATCATTGAGATGAAGCCCAATCCAGCATTCATTTTCTTCGTCAAATCGGCCCACGTGATGATGTTCGAGTACAACGCGCCGGTACCCCAGGTGAACTCGTGGAAACTGTCCGGACCAGTGAAGATGGCGGCCGCCTTCATGTCTGTTGGTGGATCGGTAAGGAGAGCCCACTGGGTGTATCCTAAGTAGGAGCCACCCAGAGTAGCAAAAGAACCAGTATACCATGGCTGCTTCCTCATCCATTCAACAACAGCATGTCCATCTGCGACTTCATTGGCTCCAGGCTCCAGAACTCCGTCGGATCCAGAAGTGCCTCGACAGCTACTCAGTAGGACCTGGTAGCCCCGAGCTGCAAAGAATCTTGTATGGCCAAGGGCCGGCATCAGTCCGATGCCATATGGACTGCGGATCAATAGTGTTCCGCGTGGCTTGGAACCGATTGGCTGATACAGGTCTGCCGAGATGTTCATATCACTTGAGATGGGAATATGTAGGCTCTCAATCGTGTAGCTGTTCGACTCTGGAGGAAGTCCATTTAACCAAGTGTGCAGGCGATCGAGGATGGCGCCCATCCAGCTTCTGGCTATTGGCGCCATTGTGAGATCTAGAGGCGGACTCTGGGGGTTGACTATTACGAGTAAAGGTGGTAGAGGCCGTAGGCAGGCGTGGTGTTCGATGCTTTTACATGACCTACAATGTCAGCCTAATGTGGCAATCCTAGAGTTATCGCCGAATCTCAGTTTTAGGGACTTCGCGTGCCTGCATCGAGGTGCCTGCATCGAGAGTGCGACTAGCCCACACTCGTAAAAGCAAGCCATTGGCGGCCTGACTTTACGACGCTGGAAAGCTGGGGATAGGACATAACGAGGATCAGAGAAGCAGCAGGAGGCAGCTGGAGAGAAGAAGTGCCGCCAATGTTGCCCTCGGCGGCACATGTGTTCTCATTCCTTGCAGGTGTAGGTAGTACAGACAAACTCTGAGGTAGATGAAGTACAGTAAAGTCCTGGAAGACTTGGGGGGGGAGTACTTGTACGATTCTTAGGTAAGCGCCGCCGGACGTACTTGGGGGCACGACTTCCCCCCAGTGAGCCCTAGACAGCTGGTTCCGACAATACCTGTACGTCCGAGTCGTTGGAAGCCCACCATCTTGATTCTTTCTGGCAGACACCTAAACATTGGTCTATTCCTTGATAGACGACGGGTATCTTGATGAGAGCCAGCAAGTAGACCTGTCAGGGTGGAGAGTACTAAGGCTGCGAACTGGGAGCTCAAACAGTCGATCTGTCAATCGTACGATGGCGATACGAAATACGACTTCTACCAGTCCCTGTCAGGCGGGGAAATCAGCCCAAGAATATCACAGAACGATTCAAGCTTGCATTTAAGTGACAGCGCCGAGCCAGCGTTGCCATGACCGTGTCAGCCTCATCCAATTCAGATCGGCCGTGTCCCGCAGTCGAGCGCGGCAGTGATGAAAGCGTACCTTGATACCGCGGCTACGTAGCGCGCAGGCCCCAGCTTTGGTGATCCAGCGCTCCGACGAGCTTTTGCCAATGATGATCGGCGACGGGTGCCGCACACCACGGGCGCAGGTCGAGCAGTGATCCACGCCCAGCTTAGCAACATATCACCGCTTTGGGCTTGATGCGTGATGTCCAGAGAACGATTGGCTAAATAATCATGGATCCATCCCCAACTGCCAGACTCGAGGCAGTGCCTTGACTATGTAACGGAACTGTAGTAGGTAATGCGAGTATAAGAGCTGGTGTCGAACACCATTCCACGACTGCTGGGCTTCGCAAACCATCATCACACCCAAAATACAAGTCCAATGCTGCCAATATGGTCAAACAAAGGAATTGTTCCGGCGACGACAACTGCGGCAACACCGCCACCACCCCTCCACCCACCGCCGTCTTATGAAGTTGTTTCGCAGCCTGACGTTAGACACCCATCTCACTTCACAGAGACGTCGATTACTGGAGAGGAAGACTTTAGGACCACACCGACCGCAAGCACCATCAGTTCAGCTGAAAACGCCGCCACTCCGGCCGACAACGAGCTTGTGAAGCAAACTCTCAAATGGATGCCACCACCTCCAGCGGCCAGGCCATCCGCTCGTCTGGAAGTACCGGTCGGTATCCCTCAGACTGAGAGCGACAGTTTTTTCTCTGGATCATCCCCCTATTGCCGCGCCTACGCCCCCTGCCTCTCGTCTCACGGCATTGCAGCCCCAGATTTCGTTGCCTTCATCGATGGCCTCACCATCACGCTCGCGCCCTCCCCGCCCATTCAGGCCGCCGACCTAGTCAGCGAGGGACTCGGCCTCGTGCCTGAACCAGTCTGCCAAACAACCAGCGCTGTCCTTGGCCTCGTCTCTGGTGTTGCCGAAGAAGTCACCAGCGCAACGCGCAGCATACTGTACCTGAAAAAAGTCAATGCGCAGTACTTCGGACCCAGGGGCCTCAAGGTGTCGCTCATGAAGGATAAGGAGCTGCAACAGGCATTGAAGCTCTCACCGAAGCACGTGCCCCTAGCGCCAGTTGACAGCCAGAGTGGTCGTGTCACTGTGACGGATCGTCGGCTGGCGGCGCTGGAAGGGTACATCGCGTCGTTGACGCTGAATGTGCCGGCGGCCGCACCACCAACAAACGTCATCGATCGCTTGAGTGCCAAGCAGGTGCAGTCCCGGATCAAAAAGCAGAGGGAGAAGGCAGAGAAAGAGGCCGTGAAGCACGAGGAGAAAGCGGCGAAGAAGGCGGTGGAGCAGGAGAAGAAAGACGCAAAAAGGGCAGCGAAGCAGGAGAACAAGGACGCGAAAGTCGCGGCCAAGAACCAAATATATTCTGACGGGGCAGCTGAGTTACAGGGCTCGACCCCCGCAGCCACAACAAGCTCCTTTAGCCAGGCCCAGCCGCTGGAGCCGTATCGATCGTACGAGCAGCAGTTCCTCGCTCCAATGACGTCCCCACCGCAGGCGCCCTCATCACAGGAGAACAAGAGGCTGAAATCCCTAGAGTTCAAGATGCAGAAAATCAACCTCAAAGCCGACGAGCGCCTGCTGTCCGAAGACAAACCTGACCGTCGCGAGAAGATCGACAAGGAGAGAGCAAAGAAGCTCGCGGAGGTGGAGAAGGAGATGCGCAAAGAGGAGGGCAAGGATGAGCGTCGGGCTGCAAAGTCAGTGGGACGGCCGACGCAGGAGGTTGATGGGATTCAGTCGAGACGGCGCTCCAGCAGCAACAGCGGGAGGCCCAGCTTGAACAGCCCGTCGAGCGGTGGACGCGAGGGTTCGGCGCTGGAGAAGAATCGCAAGGCGGCGGCGAAGTTGCGCTGGATCGTGGTGCAGAATCTGCCCGAGGAGAACGAGGTGGAGGAGGCGCCGCAGAAGAGCTGGATGGCGAGGGGGTGGGAGAAAGCCCGGGCGGAGCTCTGAGGTTTGAGGCCTGTGCGAAGCATTCGGAATAATTCCTGTATATCTTATACATATATCTAATCACCACGGAAAATCTCAGAGATTCGCCTTCCCACCATCCAAGGCCCCTGTCCCGCCGCCGAGCAACCACGCATAGGCCCTGACCATGTCGTCAAACCTCGTTCGCGACGCGCTTACCATGGAGAACGTCGTCCACCAGATGTGCGGCAGGCCGTGGTACGCATCGAGACGGGTGGGCACGCCCGCCTTAGCCAGCTCCTCGGTGTAGATGACGCCGCCGTCTCGCCAGGGGTCGACGCCGGCGACTTGAACGGCGGTCGGCGGCAGGTCTTTATGGGAGGGGAAGTGGAAGGGTGTCAGCAGCGGTGAGTGGTCTGGGTAGGTTGCGAGCGCTGTTCATAGCAGAATCAGTTGTCGTGTCTTACATCTTGAGTGCTCGTGACGGTCTGCAATGTCTGGGGTAAGAAAACTTACTTCTGATGGCGCGATACATCCTCTCGTCCATGAGAATGGCCTTGCGGTGTCGGTCCCAGCTTTGATAACGCGCAGGCCCGAACAACCTCCCGCCGTGCGCGTCGTCTCCCTCGCTGAGAATAGGGCACGTGACGTGACACCCCGTCAACGGCGGCTTCAGTCCATCGTCACGTGCTAGGTGACAGATAATGGTGGCGAACGTGCCGCCTCCGGAACTACCAGCTACGACGAAGCCTTTTGTTGCGTCGATTACGCACTCCCTGGAGCCGAGGCTTGAGTACTCGGCGGCGACGTACGTGACCGCATCATACGCATCCGTGACCGGCACGGGGAATTCGACGTTGGGATACAGCCGATAAGCAACGTCGATGACGGCGACGCCCAGCCGCGCACAGATGACGCGGCAGTCGTGAGCTTCGGTGTCCAGGTCGCCCATAAACCAGCCGCCGCCATGGAAGAAGACCACGACGGGCACGCCACCCGCTGATGCCTCCGTCGGCGTGAAGGGCAGGTACACGCGGCCCAGGATCGAGGTGCCGTCACGGACGGGGATCTCGATAGCCCGTTCGGACCAGGTTTGTGACGGGGGCAGAGTCGACTTGACGAAAGAGGAGTCGTTGTACCGCTGACGACCTGCTGCAAACTGTTTGCGGAAGGTTGGGATCGTTTTGCGCGTCGGGACGGGCAGGGGTGGGGGAGGACCCTTGCGCGCAAAGAGCTGGTCACGAGAAATTCAGTGTTTGGGGGGCCAAAGAGGACATCGGTTCAACGTACCTTCTGGAGCTCAGGGTGGAGTGTGTCAATGTCGGCGTCTTTGTTCGGTTTTGACATGTTTGCGGAAGTTTGGGCTGGCGAGGAATGTGAGAACAGCCTTGCGTAGGGCAAGCGAGTTCGGCTGCTTACCAAGACATGGCTTGTCTGATGAGGTGAGGTAATGTTGGATGCCTTGCCAAGACCACTACTCTCCGGCCCACGAGGCGCCCCCAGTCGTGACGACGCGGGAAGAATGTGGGCAAATGCTGGCCCCAAGTAAAGTTTTGTCGGATATGTACGGTAAATTGACGTTGGTGGGCCGTTATTTGCGGCTGCTGCCTTTGTTTCTGCTTCTCGTTATCGCTACTTTGGTACTGGTATCCAGTTATAGGCATCTTGGTGCAGATCCGTGAGCAAGATGCTTCTGATAGTAGGGCACAGTCGCGGCAACACGATGCACAGATGCCTTGTCGCTCGACTGTCAGCCTGTGCGAGTCTTTTCCGCTCTAGATCTTCGCAAATTCACATGCAAAACATTGCCAACCAATTCTGCGGAATGTGCGATCGTATGCTCAAGATTGCCTGTGAAAAGGTGCGTAAATTGACTGATTAACCTACCATCCATCTTCCCCAATCTGAATTGGCTGGGCGCCCGCAGAACATCTTGGCCTACCTTCAAGACAGTGGGCAGCCGGCATCAACCGACTCACACATTACGTGACCACCCTGGTGAGAAAATCGTCAGGCGCAGGCTCTCTCGAGGATGTGCGAGTCGAGGAACAAGGAATTAATGCATTCACGCTGGATACTCTGAAGCATAAGGGCAGTCCAGGCCTGTTGCGATCAATGCCGACATCAAGCGGGCGCCGTCAAGACATGCTCGAGGATGCACCTTGGAAGCTGATCATGGCTGGAGATGACGTTTGCTGCAAGTCTGTTCAATGATCCTGTCGACAGCATAAAGGCGCATATCTGTAGAGCATTAGCATTACCGCATTGGCGCCGATCTGGTTGATCTCAAAATGCTTTCCGCTCATCAGTGCGGCGTGAGCTGAGATCGTTTCGTGATACTGAGAGCAAGGAGGGTTTCAGGAGTATTGAGTGATCTGCAAGTTCTGTCGCTGAACACCTGAGACTTTGTACCGTCTCTCGTAGCCACGTCTAGCTTACGTCTCTTGGTCAAGAAAGGGTAGCAATATATTGAAACCGGGCCCATGTGTCTGGTTTTGTGGAAACGAGCTCGGCGAGCTCGGATTTGACAGCGCACGGTGCTGGGGCCGTCGGCAAATCATGCACGGCGTCATTTCTGGAAGCGAGGCCATCTCCACGTGTGCCAAGAACAGAAAGCACGGACGTCCCGGAAAGACCGTGTGGCTGATTCTGCTCAGGGGAAACACAGACAAAGACGAAGGGAAGGGCGTTCCATGTCGAGGAGCCTGGACTATTGACACTAAGCCTTTTCCGGCCGAAGCGCCAAGACTGGGTCGGACGTCTCTGCTTCTCCTGACTCTGCCTCAACCACCACCACGACCACACTACCAGTACCAACGCGCCGTGATCGCCTCGACCAGTCGTGTACAGGTGAGCCATTTCTCCGGTGGGTAACCCAGCTTGGCAAAGTCCCACTGCTGGTCATGCAGCTGTCCACAACATTGTCTCGCATTCTTGCGGGCGTGGAGTTACATTCCGAGCAGCAGTCTGGACGCCACGCGAGCAAAATGACCATGGCATGTTTTCGACCGAGTGTGTATTCAAGGTTCCGAGTCATGGAGTGGGCCAAGGCATTGCTATGGCTCTGATATACCTGTAAGTTGGCCAGCGGTTTTCTCTTTCTGCATACTCGTTAATCGCCTACTGCCGTTCTTTACCAAGACCACTACTTTGGTCGTAATCATGCCGTCCTCATCACTCTTTCTGAGGTCGAGCACCACACTCGTTTCTGCCTTGTCTTTACTGTCGGCTCCGGTTCTAGCCGCTCCCGCCTTGCCTGGCCAAGTTTACAGTCTCAATACATCGTACTCTGGCTCCGAGTTCTTCGATGGCTGGAACTTCTACGATGGAGCCGATCCCACCCATGGCTTCGTCACCTACGTGAGCCAAAGCGAGGCGCAAGCCGCAGGCCTGATCTCGGCTGGATCATCTGCGAAGATGTTGGTGGACTCGCAGACTGTCCTGCCAGTTCCCGCGAGCAGAGATGTCTACTGGGACAGGAATGGCGTCGGTCGCAGGAGTGTACGTATCGAGAGCCAAAAGTCCTGGACTCATGGTCTCTTCATCGCCGATCTAAACCATATGCCCTCCAGCAGTGACGCTGGATGCGGTACCTGGCCAGCTTTCTGGGCCATCGGTAGCGGCCCGTGGCCCAACAACGGAGAAGTCGACATCATCGAGGGCGCCAACGATCAGCCAGCTAATAACGCTGCCGGACATACTGCAAATGTCTGCACAATTGATAACCGTGGCGGAAGCGGAGTTCCTCTCTATAGGAACTGCAACTACAACGATATCGATCCGTGGGGCGCCCTCAAGAACCCTACTGGCTGCCAGGTCGCTTCAACCAGCTCGCAGAGTTATGGTGCTGGGTTCAACTCTATCGGCGGCGGTGTTTACGCCATGGACTGGACCACCGAAGCCATCAACTTCTACTTCTTCCCCCGTGGCAGCATCCCTGCCGATGTCAACAGTGCAAACCCTAACCCATCGACATGGGGTATTCCCTTCGCCACCATCGGCGGATCGGGCTGCAACGTTGAAAACAACTTCAGAGACCTGCGTTTGGTATTCGACACCACCTTCTGTGGTGACTTTGGTGATGCCACATGGGGCACCGGAACTTGTGCTACGCGGACCGGCTTTGGCTCCTGCGCCGCCTATGTTGCATCGAGTCCAGGTGCTTTCGCTAACGCCTACTGGGATATCAACTCTGTTCGCGTATACCAGGCGGCTCCTGCGCCAGTATTCGTAAGGCCAGATAGTCCCCACGTGATTCGCGACTGACCTTCCTCTAGTCGACCACTGCCTCTAGCTCCTCAAGTGCCGCCTCTACCTCCTCGAATACCGCCTCTACCTCCTTGACTACCTCCTCTGGCTCCTTGACTACCGCCTCTGGCTCTTTGACTACTGCCTCTGCCTCGTCAACTACGGTCACATCCTCCATGGTAAGAGCCGCGCTATATACTTACGTGACACAGTATGCTGATCAGTCACAGACCTCGAGCTCCGGCAACTACACCTACACCGGGCAGCCCGATCCCGTCAAGACCTGGGAGGACTCCAACATCAGCGTCACCAAGACTGGCACAGATCCTGAGCACACCTGGGAGGACTCCTCCGCACCTGTCGCCCCTGGCAAGCAAGGTTGGCAAGATAACTCGATAAATCCCGCCAAGCCTTGTCACAAATGTGACCACAGTGACGGCGCCAACGGTGCTGGACAGCAGTGGAACGACGCTTCTGGCTCCAACGGCGCTGACCCCAAATGGCAAGACGCAGCTGGCTCCAGCGACCCCGCGCACCAGTGGAAGGATGCCCCCAGCGCCAATGGCCCAGGTCAGCAATGGCAGGACGCCTCAGGTTCCAGCGACCCGGCGCACCAGTGGAAGGATACTCCTGCCTCCTCCGACCCCGCCCATCAATGGCAAGACGCCGCCGCCGGCTCCGCGCCCGCCCATGGCTCGTGGCCCGACGCGCCAGCTCCGGCAGGTGGCGCAAACAAGCCCGCCGACCCCGCCGCCGCCTGGTCTGATGCCGCAGCGCCCGCCGCGCCATCGAACACTGTAGCCCCAGCCAATGGTGCCTGGTCTGACGCCGCCGCCGCGCCCTCGAAGCCCGTCGATCCCGCCTCCGCCCCGGCCGCGTCCTGGTCCGACGCCGCCGTCGTCCCCGCCCAAGTCACGACCTACACGGTCATCCCGCAGAAGACGCCCGTCGCCGACGCCAACGCCAGCAACCCCGCAGCTGAGACGTGGGCGGACGCCCCTGCTGCACCCTCTGCGGCGCCCGTGAAGCCTGCTGGCGCAAATGGCTCTGGAAGCGACGATAAGGTCAGCCCATATACGGGCGCGGCGGCCAGCAGCCGCTCCGTTGTGGCGTATGGCGTTGTGGCGATGGCGGGGCTTGTGGGCGCGTTCTTGCTGTAATGTCAGGAAATACAGTAAGTGCGGGTGAAGTGGGATTGGGATTGGGAGCTACGCAGCAAAAATATACGACGGGTTTGGAGTCAGCGGGTGTTCCAGACCGGCTTGGGGGGTTTCAAATGGATATAAACGTTGTGCCGGTTGGGCAAAGTGTATCTTTGAGGCCCGAATGTTTTTATGGTTTGACGTTTTCTTGGGCTCTTCGAGCCCGACGCTTTTTCTAATGAGACACTATCTTTGATGATTGCCAGGGAGGGAGAGATAGAGAGAGAGAGGTTCTGTCAATAGATTATTTTCATTTCTTCTTCCAGTGGAGCTTTCTACTGGTGTTCGGCTTTCAGCGATACCACAATGGCTGTGGCGTCGTCGTAGGTGGGCACTATTTGGTGCTTTGAGGATGGCAGATGACGAATCTCGGACTCGTAAGGGGGCCACTACCATGACGCATCTTGAGCCGTTAACGGCTGAGCGGCTTCACGACGGCTCGACGGGCTGACCGAGTGCTTGACCGGTGACTGCAGAGAGAGATGTTCCCAGATCTGCGGTCGTTCCAACCCGGACGAACTCAGTACTTGGTGTTCATCGCGACCTGAGCAGCCAATCCATCATAGCAGCTCGGAGATCTGGGGATGTTAATTCGTACCAGATGATTTACCGTGGGGATGGAAGACGTGCGTCAAATCCCTTTCTCATCCTGCTCTCGTATAACGCTCGGGTCTCAGCTTGCCCCTCGCATAGGTTGCTTCGATGCCATGCAGTGCGCGACAAGCGTGCAGTCATGGAGACTCCGGCAAAGCTTAGGCGCAAATGCTCCTGAACCGGAGCACGGTAGGCGGGTAGCATAGAGCGAAGCCGGCTTGTTGTTGTTCAGGCTGGCTGATGTGCTTCGTATTCGACAGAGATCTTGTCTAGCTGCTGCCCAGCATATACTGGAGCTTCAGCCATCTTTGGCCATCGACATAAATCGCATCATCACGTCCAGAGACATCGGAGGGACGGAGGCACTGACATCTGCTGTCGTAGTTGTAGTACCGGCATTAGTTATTGGGTCGACTTCCATAGATTCGCTGTCCTCCTCTTCGCCCTCCTCTTCCTCGTCTTCGAACTCTTCATCGTCGTCGTCATCTAGAGGAGGCTCGACGAGCTTCCGTCTCAGTCCAGTCTCAATAGTCTCGATACCAGCCTGTACTTCGGCGAGCGTGTAGTCTGCACCCCACTTCTGTTTTCTGGCTTGAGCAAGTGCTGCCCTTGGGGCATCGTACCAGATCTTGCGCCGGTCGAAGTCTGAGAGCAACTCTTCCTGCACTGCCTCGCGAGCATACTCCTTTCCACTCTCGATCCATTCTTGGACCGGCAAGGGGGTGTTCGTCTGCAGAAGATGCTCGGCAATCATGTACTGGGTGTGAATTGGGAACTGCGGATTGGGAACGACGACCAGTCTCGAAAGGACATCTTCGTTCTCCTTGAGCTCATGAGCAAGCATTCGCAAGCTTTCGGAGACCTGACTGGCATGGAGCTGTAATTCAGTCCTGCAATTGTCAGCTCAAGCCGGGCAATGAGAGGGACGGATTGTACTGGTTGGGTAGCCGACTGGTGAGGTTTCCATGCAAGCCAGTCAGGTTTCTGCTCACAGTGAACAGCCGCGATCTGAGCTCTTCAAGCGACTGGACCTGGTCCTGACTCAACTCGGTCATTCTTGCTTCGTCGTCAAGTTGCAGGATGAGAGGTGTATGTGACGTCCACGCCGGGTGCGGCGCGCGAAGTGGGCGCGCAAGTGCGGTGCGGAGTTCAAGTCGCAGTTGGAGCTCTCCGCTGTCGACGACCTCACCACTTGGACTTTTCTTTGTCGTCAAGAGATCAGTTTCGCAACCGCAAATAGGCAATGGATTAGTGAATTATGGCCGAGGCACCTTTGAGACGATTGTTTGGCGGCGGCATCTGCTCTAGGTGTCTCACTCGCGCCGCCCGGTCCTCGCCGCAGAGCACCTCCTTCAGATACACACTGCAACCAAGCAGGAGACTACACGGGAGCCTCGTCTCAGACCGGATCGAGCAACGGCACTCGACAGTCGCTCAGCAGGGCTTTGTGCAGGACTACTTTTCAGCGAACAGCTCGATAGATCGAGGATGGCTGCAAAACAGCTTGCTGGCCGTTGTCAGAACCAATGCTGAATCAACTACAAAGACTACGTTAAACCAGAGATCCGAAAGCAACGATTCTTCGATAGAATATATTCGTCCTGCAGAAGCAACAGCGTTTACAACCACCACCCAAGATGCCGGGTCACAGCAAATGCCTCCGAAGGCCGTGCAGGATACGCCCGAATCATCAGGAGAGGATCTTTTACCACATCGCAGAAGGAAGCGACGAAAAGAGTCTGATGTACCACCAGCTGCTGCTCCGCCGGGCTCCAATGACTCGCTTCCTCTCGATGCCTCGTCGCAGCTTACCACAACGGCCACGAGCCTCCCCAGTACCGCCACTCTCCGCCGGCGTTTCGCAACCTACCTTGCCCTCACCAAACCTCGCCTCTCGTTCCTCATCCTCCTTTCTACCACGTCCGCCTACTCCCTCTACCCAATCCCAGAAATCCTCTCCACAACTGCGACGGCCGACTTTCCTACTACACTGTCGACCAGTACCCTCACGCTTCTGTTCCTCACAACTGGTACATTCCTCTCATGCGCCTCCGCCAATACTCTCAACATGCTCTTCGAGCCCCGCTACGATGCCCTCATGACCCGCACACGTAATCGACCCATTGTACGCAACCTCATCTCCCCCCGTGCAGCTGCGGTATTCGCCTTCTTCTGCGGTGCCACCGGCCTCACTCTCCTCTACTATGGCGCCAACCCCACGGTCGCCGGCCTAAGCGCACTCAACATCTTCCTCTACGCCGGCGTCTACACACCCATGAAACGCATCTCGGCCGTAAATACCTGGGTGGGTGCTATCGTCGGTGGGATTCCACCGCTGATGGGCTGGTGCGCCGCGGCAGGACAAGCTGCCACCACGGAGCACCACTCCTGGCAAGACCTGTTGCTTTCCGAAGAGTCTGTCGGTGGATGGCTGCTGGCGGCGTTACTGTTTGCATGGCAGTTTCCGCACTTCATGTCATTGAGCCACACGATCCGCGACGACTACAAGAATGCGGGCCATAAGATGCTAGCCTGGACGAATCCGGCAAGGAACGCCCGAGTAGCGTTGCGGTACTCGATCGCCATGTTCCCGATCTGCGCGGGGCTGTACGCGGCGGGGATCGTGAACCAGGGGTTTCTTGCCATCAGCACGGTGTGTAACGTGTGGATGACGCGGGAGGCGGTGCGGTTCTGGCAGAAGCAGGGCGCGGGCGGCACCGCGAGAGGACTGTTTTGGGCGAGCGTGTGGCAGCTGCCGCTGGTGTTGGTGGGGGCGCTGATATGCAAGGCTCGGATATGGGATGGAGTGTTTGGTGGCGGCGAGGAGCCCGTCAGCGTGTACGAAGAAGATGCGACGCAGGAGATGGTGAGCGAGAAGGACGGCCAGACATTGGGCATGGAGGAGAAGCACCGACGGTTCAATATGGCTATGATGGGCTTCAAGCGGCCGAGCTGAGGGGTTTTGTTTGAGATGGGGCAGAAATGTGCGCCTCGTCTATATGTAAGACAGAGAGATGCTTGTATGACCAAACATGTTTTCATATTACACCAGATCTGCATTTTCGTGGCTACATGGATTCATCGTATCGTGAACCCGAACCCTTTCAGCTCGGATTCTCGATGAGATATCCCCTGTAGCTCAGCACTGTCTACTCAGAGAATAGCCACAACCCCCAACAGCAAGCCACCCAGCTTTCCCACCGCCGGTGCGCCCTCCCATCCCACCGCCCCAGCCGCATTGGCGGTCTGCACACTCAACTCGCCCGACATGGCACCCAGCGCACTAGATACGCTGACACTCAAACTACTGATCTGCGCGGTCGCGTTTGCCGTAACCGAGCTAATCTCCGACGAGATGGACGGGGCGGCGGCGGCGGCGGCGGCGGCACCTGTGCCTTCTGCTCCGGTGATTTGAGCCTCTAGCGAGGCGACGTGGGAGGCAGCTGAAGCGCTGAGGACGGAAGCGGCGCTAGCGGCGACGGAGGAGAGAGAGGTCATGGCGGCGGCGTTGGTGGTGTCGGCGCGTGCGTCGCTGATGGCGGAGCCGGCGATGGAGGCGAGATCGCCGCCGACGTCGAGGAGATCGCTGCCGAGGTTTTGGGCGTGGATGGGGTGGAGGATGAGGAGGTAGATGGGGAGGGCGAGGATGGGCTTCATAATGGGGCTCTGTGTCAAGCGTGGGGCTTGGTTTACGAAGGTACTTTTTTCCCAGGCTCGATGGGTCGTGGTGATTGATGGAATGAGGGGGGTGAGACCTTCACATGTTGCTGTCCCTGCTCTTTATGTCGTTCAGATGGGCCGACGGGTCGTTTTCCTTCACGCAGCAAACGTGCGGCAATTTGCAGTGTGTAGGGTGCAATGTTGAAGAGGAAAGATATCGGGGTATCACGGGACGCTCGTACCCGGTGTGCAAGTTTGCTCCCTTTGTCTCGGAAGGGGTTCGCGTTGCGCTGGCTGATGGGTCTGCAAAGATAGAAACGGGGCGTCGTCTTGAATCACAGTTCTCGGTTGCGCGCAGTCTGTGCGTCTCTGAATTGATGCAGGAGACGGGTGGTGTCCGGAACAAATCTCGTGAACAGTTAAGCAAGCCATTGCTGTATCGACAGCTCATGTTGAACGAAACGTCGGAGAAAGGACACTGGCTGGCTGCTCATCGACCTCGGACAGCTACAGTATAGATAAGACGTAGCGAGGATGTAGCGCATGAGCACAGCGCCCATTCTCAGCCGGTGGGCAAGTTGGTGGGACGAACCGACGTCCGGTGTCAAATCATAGAGCCATGGCTTGTATTGGTTGCCTTCCTTTGGTCGACTTTGATCCGTTTCCCAGGTCCCGGTGTTGGCGAGGTAGGCCGTCGGCTTCACGTCCGATGCCTTGCGAATCGTGTCCGAGAAGTCCAAAACAGGAAAGCGCCCTTAATTTACGGGTCGGAACCGGGATAGACTTAAGCCCAAGTTGGAAGAACAATGCTTAAAAAGATCCGAGACAATAACGCGGGTGATCTGAACAAGAAGAAGCAATCAATCACAGCTGAGGCAGACTGCCAAGGAGACCCATGGAAAAGAGTGCTTACTAGATCAGGTAGTGGCTACTTCCCAATTTGGAAGCCTCCCAGTTAGGTTTTGTTGGCGATCGCCGCCGGCTTTTCTCTAACAAGCAACATTTCTGCCCGACTCATCAAGCCCCCTTCTTCAAAAGCCTCACTACTTCCGTTCACCGTCTCAAGATGAGACCTTCGTCGACTCGATCTGGTGTCGCCAGGTGGAATGTAAAGCCGGGGCCTTGGATATCATGAGGCTGATGGGCGAGATCCTCTGCGACAACCCGGCTAGGCAGGTCTCACAATGCAATCGAGCCCATCCCACCGTGGGCAATGCCCAGCGATTGCACAAGCTGAAGATAATACTGCCACGCGTGCAGACCAGGATTCACAACTCGGGGGTCTTCCCACTTCACTTCCGGTGCCTAGCGGTATTCAGAAAAGAGGTTGCGGAACCCTGTCGCCATGTGCAAGGCGGACCGAAACGGCGAAGACCGGCACCTCAAAATCCCATCCCTGAGGAAAATCAGCATATCCCTCTGCATCCTACAAGAGGTCTCTGCTTAGGGTAATGTATCAAAAGTCGTTCGCCATCATGATTGGAAGACGTACCTCGGACGTTCGAGCCCGTGAATGGAGGTGAGCTGAACCCCTTCTTCAAGCACCGGGATCGACAAGTCTCCAAAGTGGCGCCGAATCACAGCCACAGATGGAGCAGGGGTCTCAGAGTTCTCATCACGCTTGTTGCATCGCGAACCACTACTTTTCCACCCCATAATAATGTAGATGGTCGAGGCCTCAACGATGCCTAAAGTGCTTCTTTCAAGCTTCGCACCAGATCGATCATCTTAAGCAGCCAACGTCTCTTATCAGTATCTGCCTCTCTGGCTACCGATTTGATCAGTTTATCTGATATGGCCCGAGCAATACACCTCCTTTCCGACTACGGGTAATAGGCTTCATCTTCCGTCTCCCTCTCCTGCTCGGCCCTGGGAGACTCTTGTTGGGGCGCGGTGTCTCATGCGCCTCTCACACCGCTCTCTCGATGTCGACCCAAAATAATACTTATAAGCAATCCAGACGCAAGCACAAAGATGAATTTCGGCAGCGACACCAAGTCGATGAACTTGCCTCGCCCAGCGAAGACTCGACCAAACTGGAGTCGCCATCTTCGACTGAGACCCACACTTTGATTCCAACAGCGCTGGACGCTCACAGGAGGGACTTCTTCAAGGCCTACCCCGTTGAGGTCGGGGGCACCACTCTCGCAGCCCTGGACGAGCAACTCCATGTTGTGCAGAGGGAAGAGCTCGTGCTCCAAATCACAGGAGGCTCTCAGCATCCGGTACTCGCTGCGCTATTTGCCGCATCTTTGCAGGACTCGTGTCTGTTTACATGCTTCCTTGCTTCTTCACAGTGCCTCTACGAGCAAAGGCGGTCTGTCGGTCATTTTCAGCCTTCAGACCAGTTGCTTGGTCTCCAATCAAGGGGCCTTGCTGCTGTGCGAGACCGATTAATGCAGTCTGGAGCCGCTCAAGACGATGGGTTAGCGGCAAGCATTATACAGCTAATGGTTGCCGATTCCGTCTCCGGCGATACCAAATCCTTGATATCACACCAACGGGGCGCCCGGAAGCTCCTGTCTATGCGCGGGACCGGGACAAACGAAGCACTCTACCAGACATCGCTTGGTATTCTGGTAGTGATCGAGTTCTACATGGCTCTCGTTCAATTTCTCCTGCCAGAGCCGACCACTCCTCCGGCCAGCGATAATCCACTTCGGTATTTGAAGCATCCATTCCCAGCTTCAGTCTGTGTCAGGATCTCAATTCTACCAGAAGGACTCCAGAACCTAGTACTGCGAAGTACCCTCAGCCTTCAAACCATTCAGCTCCTCGACATTGTGAGTGGCTGGTCCCTTGCCCTTCGAGAGTTGGTCGCAACGCCGCAGAATGCCGAGGAAATCTACCGCCAGCTTTTTACCCAGCCTTTCGAGTGTACGCGGTCGGCCGTCTTCATCCTTCGACACCTGAGACAGGCAGAGTCTCAACTCACCATCGAGTACATAATATGTATGGGTATTACGATCATAATCAAACACCAAGGAAGCACCAGCAAGACCAACTACCTTGACGATGGGCTCGTGCATGTCTTCACCCGCACCGTCAAACAGTTCGCACACCCGAATGCCGCCGAACTTGAAACTATCATTTGGCTAGTGACGGTCGTGGCTTGGCGCACAAGCGTGACCTACCAAGCGAACGCAGAAGACTTGGTGGACTTTATTCTGCGAGTGCACGAATTTACGAGAAATTTGAAGAAAGTCCAGACGATCTGGTCCAGATTCCTCTGGTACGACAAATTTGCGGTCCCATGGAGCCGATACTGGCAGGCTAGCCTAGACCGATGGCAAAACAAAATCCAGGAACGGGCCGCCCTGTCGGCACAGGAGCGAGTGCGCATTGGTTCAGGTCCTGCACCGAATTGTGCTTTTTCCCGAGGGGTAGCACAGATCAAGACAGAGTCATCAAGCGAGAGTTCCCAAGTCCTGGGGGGTTTCAATGAATCCTACACACAATCAGAAGGTGGCAGCCGTTCTAACTCACAGGAGACTGATTGAAGATCCGATCTCCATACCCGCCATGATCCGTCCTCTAAACTCAAGGAAAGCCTCGAGAAAACAGGGCGATGCGTGTTTTGATCTGCTGCATGCTGCTTGCGGTGAGCGACAACTGCTCCTCGGTAGCATAGCACCGCCCTGCATCATGTGGCAACATTTGGGGCCGGTAAAGACACGGAGTATGTTCCGCGCGACGGCAAGTGCCGTTGCGGCCGCGCCTCGAGGGGACCAAGAATTTGCGAGGGGGGCCAAAATACTAATTAATACTTTTGGTCGCTCTAGCTCTTGATCAACCACGATCGGCCGTCCGGACTATCTGATTCTCCGGTATCCGGATTACCTCTTTCGGCAAGCGCATCCAACATGCTGGCGAATCACGGCGTGCTAGGTTTTCCTCACCATTCTGTTCAGTCTGAAACCCCATGGTGTACTGCGCATTTATGCATCATCAGGCATTCAACGGGTGGATCTCCGGCACCGGGATCAGGGTTAAGGGTTAATGTACTGAACAACGCGAGGTCTGCGAACTTGAATATGAGAACCACCCAAACTGAGAAGTCGGTGCTCTAAGTTGTGCATACTTGTCTTAGCAGCTGGGATTCGTTCCTTCTCCCAAAAGCATTCTTGTGATTCTGGAGTAGTAGAGTAGAAGAGTAGTTGAGTCGGTGGGATTGTGTAGGTAGTAGAGTAGGCTTATGTAGCAAAAGACCCCTCCTCAACGATCGAGAGGAGAGGGTAGGATGAGATAGGATATTCCCCTTTCTTAGACTTCATGGAATCCTCTGTGCCACAGATCACCTCGGCTGCCAAATCACGTTCCTGTCCTAGCTTCTTCGCCTCATCAAGAACAGGAACTCTAGCTATAGTCTCTCTCTCTCTCTCTCTCTCCGCGCCCTTGTCCGTAACGTCGTCCATGGCATCCACGTATTCGCACAGCATATGCACAGGCATACATCCATGCAGAGAACACATACACATACTACAGCTCACCCCCACCCTGCTCGCAGCAGACATTACAAACCTACTTCTTGAGGTCAGGCCTGACCCTCACCCCTAAATCCGCAGGACCCGCACGCAGCAAGAGAGGCGGCTCGCACCGCCCTCGGGCTCGGGCTCGGCCTCGGCTGTTCCCGCGCCAATAGCTACTTGAGTCAACCTCGCCAAAAGATATCAGCTCACTTCCCTTCCCTTCCCTTCTCTTGAGTGCCCTCCAATTAACGCCCATACCCGTCCACACAGTCCAACTGAAAAGGAAGACAGGGGTCCAGATAAGCCAACAAGGCGTTTATTGCCGGCCTCCCATCTCGTTTCCGCGTCCCTAAGGCGCCCCATGTGTACAGTGGCGCGCGCCAAAACATCCCCCCCGCCAGGGTAAAGGGGGCCATCAAGACCCGCCCCGCGTCCTGCTGTGTGTCGAATCGCCCAGACCCGTGGAGGAGGAAGATCGGATTGCACGTTTTTCGCCCAGGGCTCGCAGTCTCATGCCAGTCTGCTGTGTCCGGTCTCTTCTTCTCCTGTTCCTTGTCCGCACTTTTACAGGGTGCGCTCAACGACAAGCGAGAGAGGAATCCACACACACACACACACACACACACACACACACACACACACACACACACACACACACACACACACACACACACACACACACATCTTTTCCCACAGGTGGACAAGCGGTGCGCGTGTTTCCTGACTCGGACAGCCCTCCTGGAGCCCTCGCTCTTCCCTCTTTCAGACGCAGTCCGCAGCGCCAGCTCATATACATTTATCTCCCATGACCCATTCTTCGTATTCTCTGTCGGTTTTCCCATATACATCTTTCCTCTTCTGTGCAGCATTCCACACAACTCATTCCAGCTCTTGTCAACCCGTGATTGAGGAGGCGGTAGAAACGGAGGGAGGGGGATAACAAAGCTTATCGAAAGCCTTGCTGCCCTGGCACCACAGTCTTCATCAATGTCCGTATCGAACGGCGACGAGCGAGTGGAACGCCCCCTAATCCCTCGCTGAGAGACAGAGGGCCGTGCCACAGGAGACATCAAAACAACGCTCACGCAGTGGCCATCTGGAGCCGCGTCAATGGGGGAGGGTATTACTATACGTACCCTCATCTTGCCCATCCGGTGCGCGTCTTCTGAGCCGATTCTGTTTTCGGGCTTGAAGGTGAATTAGTATCCCAAGACACAGTCTATGGGACCCTAAAGTTTCCAAGGTCCTCGTCATATCAGCAAAAAGTCCCAGCCATTCATCTGCATAACGTCCCGCCAGTGGACGCTCTGCGCGGACCCATTGCCGCCACCAACCTGCTTGGTCGGCGTGATCTGCTGCTGCTGTGCCTGCACCGCAGCAGCCACGATCCCGGCACCCACCACTGGCGTGGTCCCACCCGTCGTCGGACTGCCGCCACTCTGCGTCACCGGCGTTGCTTCACACGCACCGCCCTCAACCGCGTCACTGCGACGCCACACCTCGTGCAAAAGGCGCACCATTCTACCAAAACTGCCCGTCTCGGCCTCGTCGCCAAGCAACTCGACGCGCTCAGCCAGCGCGCGCCGAAAGGGCGACGCCGGCATGCTGTTAGCACCGCAGATCAGATACGGCCACACCAAGCACTTGTCGAAGCCGTTGGGACCGGAGGGTACGGAAGCTAGCATCTCGGTCATCTGCTCGATGAGGGCGCAGGCGGCGGGTTGGCTGCGCTGATATTGGGGTACCAGCGAGCACAGGTAAACGCGCGCAGCCTTCTGGAAGATGGCCGTGATGTTCTTGGACAGCTGACGGGGCCGCAGTGCGCCCGAGCGCGAATACGGCGACTGCGGGTGAATGGGCAGAGAGACGGTATTGCCACTCTCATCGACAGACGTGACTGTTTCTGTAGCGTTGAGCTGCTCGCCGAGGGAGGCCACATGTGAACAGATAGCGTGGTCGTCGAGCTTACCATCGCGTTTCAGGCTGTCGAGGCACGCGATTTCAGAGAGCAGGTACATAACGCCATCGTGGCAGCCCATTAGTTCGGCGAGTCCTGAGGTAGAGCCAGAGAGGTGCTTCGTACGGTACGTGTTGGCAAAAGTTGGCGAGCGGCCGAGCATAGTGGAGCCGAGGATGTCGATCCAAGCCGTGAGGGTCATGTTGAACGGAGGAGACGCACCGGTCGCGGGCATAGACTCGAGGCTCTGCGGGAGCGCGAGCTTGGTCACGAGCTCCGTCGCGGCTTGGAAGTGCGAGTGCCAGGGGATGTCGGCCGCGGTTAAGTCGGGGGCCTCAAGGGTCGGCGAGGGGAGAGATTGTGTGGGCAGAGACGAGGGAGGAGCACGGCCAACGCAGGTCGAAAATGAAATCATGCCCAGAGTCGCCTCGAGGATTTCAACGTGGTGCGTGTCGTTAGAGAGCGCGGTGACGACTTCTTGCACAAACGAGTACTTGTGTCGCACAATGTCGCCCTCGATGATGGCCAAGTCAGATTCATCGACAGGAGGATGCCCCGGGGTGCCAAGCGCGGCTCGCTGGTGAACAGCTGCAGCGGTGAGGCAGGAGTGTAAGTATGCCTTGTTGTTCTCGAGCGCGGGCAGCAAGATATCGGTGCGCACGCTGCCGTGTTGGTTCGCGTTGAGGATGGGGAAGAGCAGCGGCAGGACATTGGCCAGCATGTAGCTGAAGAGTGGGCGGTCCGCATCATCAAGTGGAATCAGGGCATTGGCGTCGTCGGTACTCGATACGGCCTCGGGTTTCACGCTGAGCTGCGCCGAGGGCAGAGGATGGTTCAGGTGATGAGGGTGAGGGTGCGAGTACTGGAAGAAGTTGAAGTCGAGATCCTCTTCGTTGGAGAGCTCGTCGTACTCGGTGTCTAGACGGTGAGGAGGGGGCGCAGTGTAGTAGCTGTCAGTGGAGTGAGTTGTCTGTTGTGTCCATTCCTCGCCGGTGTAAGAAGGCAGCATCGCATGGGGCGGTGGTGGCACCCATGTGGAGAAGGTGGAGATGGATGAATCCCTGCGTGTGGGTACGTCGTTGACGAACATCTGTCTCTCGGTCCTGACATCGACCTCGTAAGGGTGTTGGCTATACTGGACAGGAGTCTGTGTCATGGAGCCCGAGTACATCGGCATGTGGTACGGGTCGTAGAAGCCAGGCGTGGCGAAGGACTGGTCAAATTGATCATAGTCTTCGGAGTCTGGCGATGAGGCACCTGACTGCAGGTTGTGCTGGGACGTATGATGACTGTGGCCATGGAGGGTTGAACCACGTGAAGTACCCGGCGGGGCATCTGCAGGGGTTGAACGGGTTGGTACTTTGTTCCTTGAGGATGCATAGGAAGACGACTTGCGAAGAGACATGAAGACTAAGGAAGGATTGGGAGGCGAGGTGGGTTGCCCTTGCTGAAGAAGACTGTTATGAAATAAAGACGACATACTCTTCTCGTTGGTCTTGGTCCGCTTGATGAGCTCCTTGATGTCGTCTTTCTGCTTCCGACGAGTCTCATTGTTGGACCACCAGAGAGGGCGCTTGTACTCGCAGGTGAGCCCGAGGTGCCTGCATGCTTTGCACTTGGGCCGACCCTCGTCACACTTCTTGCGGCGGAGACGACAGGTGAAGCAACCTGGGGAGGAGCGCAGACGTGTTAGTGCGCGAGATCGAGAAGGCCTCGGAGTGCAAAGTTATACGTACCTGATCGTGAGCGTCTGTGCATCTTTGACGAAGTCTTTGACGGAGATGGTTTGGTGGTCGCATCGACCTTGGGGTCCGTCGTGGTTGCCATTGTTTCTGTTGCTGTGAGGGTTGTCCTTTCGGGGGAGAAATGTTTCGGTGGCTGTGTCTATGTCGCGCGCCGATGGCTCGGAGCGGTAGATGTCTCTCAATTAAAGATTAAGGAAAGTGGATGAGGCTGTATACCGCAGTTTTGATCAACAATTATTAGGAGGGAGTGGTCGCGAAGTCTGTCCAGCAGTCTTCGCTTGTCTATCTGGGGACGGCGACGACGACAACGGGGGGATGGAAGGGGAGGACAGCAACGAGGCAAAAGACTGCCGTGCAGGAGTGACCAAACGCATTTGGCTTGCAGGCCTAGTATATGTCGCGGAAGCTTTGAGGAAAACAGATGCAAAGAAGGTCGAATCTATTTTTGTCGCGAGCAGCAGAGAGGTGGTGGAGGAGGGGAAGGTAGCAGATGAGGCTCCCGAGATCTGTATGCAGCAGAGGAATCAAGCGCAGCGGAAGCGGGTGATTGGCGCGAGAAATGAGTTGATGCAGGGTCAACGAATGAGAGGGTCATTGTTGGCATGGTGAGAGCGTGTGATCTATCTTTATCGCGTCTGTCTGGAGAAATATTGGGATTCATGTGGTGCCTTGTGAGGTTGGAGAGAAGGAAACCAAGCGAACAGACAGGCTTCGATGGCTTGGATAGTAGTGGTCTAGCGCCAACGGACAATGTGGGAGGGCGGGCAATGGATGGCTGTCGTCGATGACCCCTGTCCATGAGCCGGTGGGTCGGCGGCTACAGGCTATTTTCAACCCCAGTTAGCGCTGGGCGACAGTGGGAGAGGATGCCGATGAAAGCCCCACGCTCATCAGAGCTCAGAGCCCCTCAGTGCTGCTATGACCGGGGTCTGCATGCTGACTGGTTGCAGGACCCAGCCTATCGAGTTGGATAACGAGAGCTATGAGCTAAGCTTCAATCTCCCCTTGCACCCTGTCGAGCCTGTGCTAAGGCACACCAAGCTTACTGACTCGGTACGAGTCATGCAGCACAGACGACCGACGCAGTGTACGCAGTGTAGGTATATGCAGGCTTTGTACAGAACATCAACGATGCAACAGCAGCTGGCGGCTGAATCGCTCAACAATAAGTATTGTGTGTGTGAAAAACAATGGTGATTGTGCAAGGATCCGACAGAACGGACAGTTGCATGTGGCAGATGGCAGATGGCGGATGGAAAGCTGGCTGGCTGGTTCCGTGACTCGTGCACAAGAGGGTCTTTCCATAGAGGGGTGTCACACTGTCCGCTTTGCAATTGTAATTTTCCGTGGCAGCATGTCAACGAGGTGCGCATGGCTGGTTTAGGCGACTTTAGGTCGTGTCTGATCTCCACCTCGTCGATTTTGTTCTGAATCTCTTTCTTCCGTTCGGTGATCGACACGGGGTTCAAATGGCATCATTTCGTGCATATTATTTGCAGCAGATACTCGTGAGCACTGGACAGGACGTACGTGTTTCAAGCTGTTGCTATTCTCAGTCAGCTTCTTCGTCTTTTGTTTCCGGACAACTAACTGCATCCGAAAAGAGCAGTGACTTGGCTTGGAGACGGCTGCAATCTGCCTGGCGAGGAACGGAAGCTCGACTGTGATCGACCGAAGTGGCTCGAGCTCCGGAGTGGGGGAAGAGGGACTTGGAGGCTCGAGAAGGTTGAATGCAGGTTTGGCGATCTGCCAGAGGGACGCCAAAAGGACGCCACCAGCGCATCATGACCAGTCGTGACGCCAAGTCTCAACGTGCATTAGTCGTGAATGCGGTGGACCCCGCCTGGCCGCGAATCAACGCCTTACGCTTGGACCATCCATGCATCAAACTGTGCTGCAACCACGCCTCTTGCCGCCTCTGACTCGCTACAACTACTGCCAGGATATTTCAACCAAATATCCACTTGTGATGACTGCGTGACCGCGGCCATGACAGCGACCTTGAACGTGACCGTGATCGCGACCACTTCAAGCCAGGCCTCACTCAACAAAGACACTATCGATTGACGAGAAGAGAGGAATGTGATGACTCCATATTTAGCAACCACGAAGCACTCGATCATGGACCGCATGATCAGGTCTTCTGTTGCGCTTTTCTAGAACACATATCCAAGACCACCTTCACGACCCTCTCCGACTGATCGCCGGAGAATCTCGGCTCGCCAACCGACACCTTCAAGCCACCTCAACCGACCAGACCGAGGACCCAGCTACCTTCCGCGCTGGTCTTAGCAGCGATTCTCATTCTCGAGTCTCGCTCTCACTGCTTGACTTTCGTCGCACACCACGCTGATAACCCTTGTTGCGGGACACGAACGTCTGGATCTTTCCCTGCATCGTGCCTGACATGCCACTGTTGACACAGCAGCATTGGTTGACGGGGGTTCTGTCAGGGGTGTGTAGTGTGTGCAGCTCCCGTTGTAGACTCACAGGCCCACTATTCTTCGGATAAGGAGCGGGGGAACGTAACCTCGCGGACAAGCATTTCCCACCCTTACTTTTCACTGGAATGTGCTCCAGCATACATCACAATCCATGTGACTTTATGGAGGGTCGTCTCTTAGTCCACTTATCCATCACCCAGCCCGGAGATAAAACCTCACGTGCAGAGAGAACCACGAGTATTGCAAAGTTGACCGCATCATCTGATCGAATGCGGAGTCTATCTATGACGGACGTGGTACCGCATATCGTGGCTGTTCAGTACCTGACTGAAGCCAAGCAGCGGTGACTTCACCGCTGTTGCTGTGAGAGGGTACTCGTGAACCGACCTGCGAATAATGCTTGCACAACGCTGTCTGGATGGAAAACTAATTCCTACCCTCGTCGCTCGAGGACCTTGCAGCGTAAACGCTAGAACTCTACATCACCTCAAACTATTGTCGAGGTGACGTGATACATCAATTATGTTGCAGAGGTGCAAGGTGTGCCGGTATAGGCGAGCTTGGTGATGAGCTCCATAGTGCTCGAGGTTCCGCCTGTCATTCGCATGCGCTATGGCTAGCCTTGCAGGGGGCTCTCCAGCCAACCGAGTCCATCACCCTCTTTTCTCGTCCAAACATTCGACCGAGCGCAACATCACCCAACCTCTCGATTTTTACATGGTACGGTCCGACATGGTGCCCCGACCACCTACCATCTAGACCCCGGCTTACAACGGAAACCCGGTTAAAGGCACACGTGCACGGCATTGGAACAACCGTGTCTCGTGCCTTGTCCCTCTGTTGGATCTCAACAGTTGAGTCTATCGGTCCCGTGCCTCTACTGCATTCCCGTTGGTGGTGAGGCATAGCGAGTGAAAGGCCGTGCTCCGCAAAGTCACTTAACGAGGATCTGCAGGATGCGAAAGCAAGCGAAAGACGCATGCAAGTGACATCTTCGCATCCGTTATCACTAGACCAGCACAATCCGAGCTACTACTTTGGTGCAAGACAGCTTCATTGCGAGACCTTGGACCTGCCGTGTCAGGGTGCAGAGCCTTTGGACTTAGTCCGCTTCGGTCACGGTGCATTTGGTCGCTCTAGCCAATCCCAGCCCGCGCAGCACCCAATTCGGAAAATAAGGGTAGAATTAATGAGAACGGTACGGCGCGGAAGGGAGGAAAAATGGTAGGAAACGGCTCGTGCCAGGCGAGAAAAAGCAGATGAATGTGGAGGTACCCTCAGCGAGTGAGCGTGCACGCAGCTACTATTCTGGTGGTGCGAAAAGAAGGTGGACATGGGGAGAAGTGGGATGCTCAGGCTCGCTAACAAGAGAGAGCAGTGTATTTTTAGGCGGAGATCGTCCAATCAACCCTCGCAACGTACGCCAAGATCACAGCGGACGGGGCTACCCGCGAAGCTTAGGTTCGACATCACACTGCTCATAGTCCTGATTCGCCACATGTACAATGTGCTACTAGCCGTTTGAAGGTTGGACCTCCCTCGGGCATCTCCATCGACTCTGGCTCGGCCTGCAGGAAACTGGCGTTAGCGTTGGCAAGAATAGCCTGTGGCCTGCATTAGTGCGCGAGCTTCCCCTCCCACAGATCGACACCCTCGTTGCTCAGAGCTCCTCTTACCGCCCATATGGAGACACTCAGAGCCTGGTACGGCCTGACTGGCTGCTGCATGTCGTTTCACAATGGCCGGACCTTCTATCCCTGGTCTGTGCTAGAGCCACTCATCACCATGAATATGCAAGTCTCTACAAGTGCGGGCGCCAAAGTGATGCTCGTATCCCTGGTCAATGAAGGCGCTTCGATATACATATCGTCAAGGTTTCCTCAGATCTCCCGAAGGGGTCTCAAGGTTTCTACGTTCCAGACTGTCTCCTGATCCTTTGATACACAAGGGGTTCGACGCCGTCTGGCATGTACCCATAAGACTACCACACTCATATCAATCGGCATGGAGCAGCCGCCATCGACCCAAGATGGCGCTGCCGTCGAGATGATACAGAAAACCATGTCCTTTCCGTCCTTCCTAGGTCGGCGGTCATTCGTGCCTCGACCAATCTCAAATGCTACAGACTTCTTTGACGTTGACGACGAGAGCGATTCGGGCAAGTCACCGAAAAGCCTGGCCTCTCTCGACAATGGCAGCGATTCAACCCTCTCATCACAGGGGCTGAAAACCCCACACTCAGCAGGCCTAGGAGCCTTCGAATTCCACTTCGACGACCGGCCTGTCTCGGGACCCCAAGGCCCGCACCTCTTCCAGTCAGTACCAGAGGAGGAGTCAAAGGAGACCACACCTGAACTCCTGCCATCCGCCAAGCCAAGAACACGGCCTGTCACCGCATTGAACCAGGCCGTGGCCGAGCTCGATGAGACTCAAGTCCGAAGCTGGAGGCCTGATCAGGTCGCCGAGTGGATGGCTGAGGCAGGCTTCGAATCCAGCGTGATTGACAAATTCCTCATCCACGACATCAGTGGCTCGGTCCTGGTTGACCTCCAATTCGAGGATCTCAAGGAACTGGACATTAGTTCCTTTGGGAAGCGCCACCGGGTCATGAGCTCCATACAACAGCTCCGAGACTCGGTCTTGATCACAGAGCCCGTCCTCTCCAGAACACCTTCAAAGACAGCAAACACCAGCCCACGGCCGTCTCGGACGCTCACCCGAAGTGTTGCCCCCGATGAGAGACATGTCATCGCCGAGTCAAGATCCCGATCTCGTCGCCGCGGGAGAAGGCTCAACGATTCTTCTGAAGTCCACCCGGGCGAATCTGTCTCTATCGTCGCCATTGAGCAACTGCTACCGAAAGTCCACAAGTGCTCCAAGGGAGACGACTGCCCCAAGTACCAGAAATACCTCCGCAAGGTTGAGAAGATCCGAGAGGAGTTTGCTGCCGAGGTCGAGGGCGAAGTTCCTCCGACTGATGAGCAGAAGTCGGAGGCGATGCCCTCCGTCATTGGCTCATCTGACGTCCTCGGTCCTACACCTCCTTTCAAGATCACTGCCGAGCGGCTCAACGAGGTCGAGATCCGCGACAACCAAGAGAATGTCCGCCGTTTCCTACAACTCCAACACCTCGCCGGCAATGCCAGCCACGCCCCCTCGCCACCGCCTGCAGCCTCTGCGGCTTATGCTGCCAAGCCTACACCCAGCCTGTCCGAACACCTTCGCGGCCTGCCTAAGCTCACTATTCCCGCCGAGAGTGGCGACAATCCCAACTCCAGCAGGACACCGCTCCCAGAGTTCAGCAATCCATCTGACATGCAAAGTCAACTGAAGGAGCGGCTTCTTAACGACCCTTATCACTACGGCGGCGTCGCCTCCCCAGCTGACATCTACCGTATCGACACACCTTTCTCCGCCAACGACATTCCCGTCACCATGCACGCTGCCGACCCGGTCGGTGAGCGCTTCGTCTCCCAGTCCGTCCCACCAGAGATGCGTTACGGCGGACCGCACATATGGACAACTTCAGGAGAACCCATCGAGCGGAGCCAGTCCACCGCTCCCGCACCCCGCCGGCGCATCACAAGGAACATGTTCGAACCCAAGATCACGCCCGTACAAGAGAACTTTCCCCTTTCACCAGCACAGAAAGACGGGCACGTGAGTACCGACATCCTCTCGCGTGAGGGTTGGATGCGGAAGCGACGTACCAACCGCGCAATTCGCCACAACGAGTGGAGCGACAATTACTTCCGCCTCTCCGGCAACCAGCTACTGATGCTCGAGTCCGACCACCCCTCCGCGGCGCGCGACATCCTCGAGTCCATCGACGTCGACAACTATGCCGTACACGCGTACAGCATCGCCACGTCGTCCAAGCTGTCCGCCGCCTTCAAGAAGTCCATCCTGGGATCTGGATACATGACGTCGGAGCCCAGCTTCGCCTTTTCACTGATCCCGGATTCCGACAAGGGCAAGCGGCGCGTGTTGGAGAAGCAGGGCAACAAGGCGCACCACTTCGCCGTCAGAAACGGCAACGAGAAGGTCGAGTGGATGCGCAGGCTGATGTTGGCCAAAGCCGCCAGCCGCAGTGGCTCGGGCAGCTATGAGTTCTAGTGGGTAGGTTGTGTGGGTGAACCTTTGCCTGAAGATGCTCCTTGACCGCAACATGCGCAGTCCCATGGCCTCGTGAGGGCTGCTGCTGTCGTCCTCACACATGGCTCTCACCTGTCACCCACCATCAATCCATTTTCCTTTCGGTCCTCTATCGGGCGGTCAAAAACACCAGAAGATTCTCAGGATGCCTCGCGGCACGTCTCCTTACCATCATCATCATCTCTAATCCGGAGAAGCATCCTTCCGAAAAAAATTAACTGTCAATACCCGTCTTATCATTTCAGCATTATCACGAACACGGGGGCCATGCAAGACCCCCCCAAACGGCCGCTCTCATCTCATGACCAAACCACTTCACATCATCATCGTCGTCGTGCTCGACGATACCGTCACCATCACCATCAAATCTCGCGCGCTTTCATTACTCTCGGGACTCGCTACGGCTAGCTGGCGCAGGACAGGGCAGGGGACGGGACCCGGGACAAGGAACAGGAACAGGAACAAGGACAAGGTACGGGCAAGGAGGGGAACGCATAGCGACGGTTTGAGATTCTCTGTTTTTGCAACCACCTTTTTTCCACAATCAATACCAAGCGTCCCCCCATCGTCGCGGTATGAGCGGCAGTATGGGCGGCAGTAACGTCTCCAAAACAAAGATAGCAGATACTATACGGTATACTACTACTACTACTACCACCACCGAAGCCAGGTGAAGATATGACATATCAAAACGAAACGAAACGAAACGAAACGAAACGATATAGCGGGGGCGCCGCAGCCGGCCTTCCTTGAATTTGAGAAAATTCCAGATAAAGTATCCGTATAGCTTCTCAGATCGCGCCTGTGTGTGTGTATGTGCTTTGCATTTTTTTGTCCATTATTCTCCAGCAGGCCCCGCCGCTTTAGCCATTTCGAGCCTATTCGTGTCAGGGGGTTCATTTTGAATCGTCCAGCCCTCTGGTGGGCTCATTGGGCCCATTCACTCTTAGCCGCGGTTGCCTTGCTCTACCCCCTTCCCACGTCAGACAAGCTAAGTAGCCTAAGGAGGGGCTTTATACCGGCAAGCGCCCCAATGAACACGTAGACCCCCGACCAAAACCGGCAGCACCTTGCATTTACCAGGCCAGTGGAGTCCACTGCGGCAAGTGCTGCAGTGCGAACCACCCACCGTCGCCACTGGCACCCGAGTGGATGTGACCCGAATATAGGCAGTAATTGAACGCAGTATTGACTGACACATCTATAAAATCGTTCTGAACACCTTCAGGACACGGGATGTGGTTGGCACTGCCGTGCGTTTCCATGATACAGCCGCAACACTTTACACACGGTGACCCCAAATTCTTTCGCTCTGACGGTCATTTCGAGTCCGATGTCATGCGGCCAAGGCCTTGTTCATATCCATGGGCCGTTTTGCGCATACCCGATGGCAAAAGACATGTCCCAGCATATAAAGTCGTCCATCGACCATCGCTCGAGATGTTGTTTTCCGATATCAGGACGCCCGCAGCAGTCAATACAGTACAGAGCCTTCCAAAACCAAGCGTCCAGTATACCTAGACCAAGTCATCACTGCTGTCAAGCTGTACGGTATGTTGTCTCTCATCCAGTTGCCCCGATCTAGCACACTCACTCCCTTGAGACCTCTCGCCTTCCTCCGCCTAGTGTGGTCGAGTCACCCCCATCGCACCTGGCCTGATGTACCATAGCTAGCACCCCTCTGCTACCCTGACTGACCCACATCAGGTCCCAGTAACATGTCGAACACGACGAGAAACACCTCCTACACCCTCGACCGCTTCGAGAAAGCCGCTCCAGAGGTAGGCGAGCGTCTGCAGGCTTCCCCGGCCGGCACCGGCACTGGCACGGGCACCAACACGAGCCATGGCGGCTTTACCGTCGATGCCCTCGACAAGTACATGAGCAACATCACCGACAAGAAGCTCCTCGATCGTGGACGCAAAGATCAGAAGACACGGGACGACGGCGGAGCCATCTAGCTGTCGGGCTGCTGTACCGTCACGATCGTCGGTCCATGGTATCGTGCTGTCGTCGAGGCACACCCACACCAAGGGATATTATCGACGGAGCGGCCTGGCATTACATCTCATATCAAAGGGTCGTTGATCATGTCCAGTGACACATGGTGGGTTACATGTGCGGTGCGACTGATGTATGTCGGCGTATAGACGGTGGGTCTTGGCACTAGGCAGTGAATGGAAAGGCTGTTTCTCTAGTGTGACCCACCCTTCTATAGCGTGGGAAGGTCCGGAGAAGCATTCCGTATCCACTATACCCTCTCACCAAGCGCAATGCAGAGTATAGTAGTCATCGAACCCTGTGCAGTCGCATTGTCAGATCAGTGATACTGCCATGTACCCATCTTGGTAGCACATCGTCTCAGCTTCTGGAGGTAGTCGATGCTCCCTTCGCCGTGGCCGATGCGCTTCACACAGGCCGAACGACACTTGAGGCAGTCCAACTTGCTGGGGGCAAATCCAATGACAGTCGCATACGCCACATGATCGAAAAGTCCAACCTTGGAGTTGAACTATGATCGACAATCAGTTGTCGCATTGAGCTCTCGAGGTCAGTGACAGATACTTAGCGGACGTTCCGAACAGTGAGGCAGCACCTGCTGATACCAAGTATCTTTTAGAGCAAGCCAGAACCGATCGGGAGGGCACGTGCAACGTACGATCCATCCACTCCAGGATATAGATAGTCGTAGCGGAAGTGTTACAATGCATCCGTCGGGCGCTGCTGAGATCGAGACGCCTGTGCTGCACCGGATCGGGAAATCCGAGATGGTTGGCAGAGTATGCTTCAGGTGTGCGGCGCGCCGGTAGGCCAATCTGGCGTGTGTCACTCGTCGGGGCTCGCCACTTGTGGCTGGAGAGGGCTGTCACTGGTCTTGCGTCTCTCTTTCATCGTCATTGATGCAGTGTAGCTTGGCTGCACTTGAGCCCGGGCGAAAGTTCTATGCATAAATCTGCGAGCGTCTGCTGTGGCTCCCAGAAGATGAAAGACCCCTTTGTGACGTGGGCGCGAGGTCATTTCGGATGACGTGGGGGCTCTTATTGGAAGAGATGTTGTAGTTCAACGGTGTCGCCCCGAATTGTTCTCTTCCCCGCAAACGCTAGCGTGGGGATGAAGGGTTATTGACCAATTAACTCATGCGCTGCCTTGTGGACGGCCACGTGAGCTGGCGTGGAGGTAATGCTCCTTCACCGCGGATCCGGGACGACACGTTCGGTTTCGAAACACGGTCAAGGAGTCAGCGCGATGAAGTGAAGCAGCCTTTTGGGACAAAGCACCGCACGTGCCTCAGTTCCAGTGCGGATGGAAAGGGGGAAGGCGTATAGAATCCCACGCTTCACGGCTGCGCTGGTGTGCTAATTGGACCACCCCCGTGGGATGCTGGCGGATACTTAGCCTCTGGCATCTTCGGATAGTGTTGTCCTGGTACTTTGGCTTCGCTACCGGCCACTGACAGCGCGTAGACGCATTCGGCCCGCAGGCATGTAAACCGGTGCAGGGGATGATTATTACGGTTTCCAGATCAGTAGACGTGTCCTGCGGCTCTTGCTGTTGCGTTGGTCATCTGGACAACTTCTGGACATGGTAGTCTGAAGCAGCATGGTGGTTGCCTTTTTCCGAGCGGTAGAAAGATGTATATATATCGGGCATCCGCCGTGACACGGCTTTGAACCTCCACGCATTCAAGACATGCGAAAAGAGTACGAACGACCCGGTTGCAAGCCCTTCTTCTTGTATACCTTGAGTAAAGGAAGCCCAACTAAGTATCCCAATCAGTAGGAATGACAGAGATACGCGAGTAAGTGGCCCTGTCTCGAGCCGTTGCGTTTTCTTGTGGAGACACTGTGCTGATATAACCTAGGAAGCACCATGCAGTGGGCGGACATAGAGCCCAAGGACGTCGACAGAGCCAGCAGTGCTCCCAGTCGGGGCAGACATCTCCTGCTGCTGGCCAAGGCGCAAACAAGGCCGATGCCAGCATCGACGACCTAGACCGCCAGATGGAGTCAATGACCGATCCGGACTTCCTGAATCAAGCTCGCCGCGAACAAAATCGTAAGTTGGCCCCACTGCGGATGTTTCAAATAATGTTGATTGCAGTTCAGACTTGGATGCCGGACGAAAGGCCTTCTCCTAGTCGTAGCAACAAGATTTCACTCGAGCATGTCGCGCCGCCTCAATCAAATTGTACAACACTTCCTCGGGCCCAGCCGAGCAGGCGTGCCTGTACATCTAAATACGGCAGGAGGCGTTGCTATACCAAGCGGTCAATGTAGCATCCGTTTAGACAGCATGTGTACCATAGGCCATAATTTGCAGATGGTGAGCGAATATGATCATGCTCGAAGAGACTTTGGCGCGTGGAGGCAGCTGTCTAGGTAGCGTTCCAATTGAACTGTTCAGAGAGATTGCGAGATAAGCTCCGCGACTTCTTCTGGTTTGATGACCGGGACATCGTGTCCAGCGCCCAGAACGTGGAAGTCGATATGCGCCGCACCAAACACCGCTGCGGCATCTTCACGGAGCTCTGCAGCATCAATGATGGAATCACTTTCGCCAGCGATGATCAAGACCTTGTGCACCTTGTCGCTCTCGGCGCTTCGACCGTTCCAGGTCTCACCAACCCGTCCCCAAAGAGCATGCTGTTGCATGATGGGACCGTAGCGAATGCTTGACATGAATGCGGGCACATACCCAACATGATGATCTACTTGGTGAACGATAGCTTTATCAATCGTAACGTTTGGGTGCTTCTTTGACAGAACAGCGGTCGAGTTTGACTCTATCGGCACTTCTGCCTTCACCGCCGCCGAGGCTCCGATCTTGTCACCATCCTTCTGAGGCTTTGGCGGGTATAGCGGAGTCTTGAGCCTTCTCTTGACGAGTGACAGCAGCAACGGCTCCGGAATGATACCTTCGCTGTAGATGATGCGACTTGTTCTACTGATATGCCGAGCTCTAATCAGCCCAGACGGGCAAAGCAGAACGAGGTTCTCTATCATGTCGGGAAAGTAAGACGAAAACCCGGCTGAAATACCGCCACCAAAGGAGTATCCAACCATAGAGAAGCTTTTCCAGGAAAGAGGCGAGGACGCCAGGGCCAATAGGACCTGCGTCACAAACAGGCGCAGATCGTGAGGAAGGTCGGCGGGGTTGTCAGAATATCCACGTCCGAACAGATCGAAAAGCATGACTCGACAGCCTTTGTCGGCAAGCTGATGGGCAACGCCTCCCAGAGCTAGACAGGGTGTGCTGATGCCGTGAACGAGCAGGACCTTGCGGCCATCTTCGGGACCAAATTCATAGACTCGTATCGAGCCATACGGCGAATCGACATCTCGAGCTCCAGGGAGTGAATCAGGCGGATAAGGGAGCTTACTCCGCTCCTCGGCCGAAAGCTTTGGCAGCAGTGTTGTCAGCGGCGAAGGGACAATGTAAGCGTGCTTGCCGGGTACAAACAGACTCCGAACGAGCAGGCCGAAAGTGAAGGCAGTGGCACTAACCACTGCCACGCGTCGGTCGAAGGTCTCGGAGAAGGTGCTGAGTAGGCTCGCCATGGCTACAATGCGTTTCAAGGCTCAGTCAGAGGGGAAGGGAGAGATAAAGGAAGGCAAGGACCTCGGCGCCTTCGGCATCAGATTATCGTCCACCAACTTCGAAGTGGAGCCTTGCATAATCTCGGAGCAGCGGTTGATTGGTACGGAGTACCTGGTCGCCTTACTCGACCTACACAGTACAAGCCACGAATAATTATCGACTTATGGCGAAGGACACGTACTTATTCCGGTGAGCTCTGGTAAGATTTAACATATTGTTACAGTGTACCGAAAACCGTCTCGCAGCGTGTTGTTCATGAATATGTCCGGGGTATCATAACTTTTGCCGGTGAAAGCAGATCTCCTAGGTAAAACAGCCCACGTGGGGTTACAGTAGGCCACTGAAGTTCAGAGCCTGGCCTCCACTCTTGTCCTTGCCCTCATTCCTCTTGCGCTTCTTTCGTTTTGACTTGTCTTCTTCGTCGCTGCTATCATAGTGCTCCTCCTCGTCATCCTCGCTTCCATCTGAATCCATGGCACGCTTCGAAGCCTGCCTCCCACCCCCAGGCACGCCTTTAGCTTCCGTCCAGACCTTGATGGTCTGTCCGCCGCCGGTCACCATGCGGCCTGCAACATCGAAATCAAGCCCGACGACGCCTTCGATCTCGTCGTGCCGGACATCCCATTCACTCAGGATCCCATTCCTTCCCACGCGTAGAAACTTCACAGCTCCATCCTCAAGCCCGGCTGCTACCAATTTCTCGTTCATCTTGAGCTTGCCCTTCCCAAATTCAAGTGGCACTTCAACCATTGATTCGATGCCGCTCTGTGTTCGATCAACGACTATTCTTTCGTCTTGGTCTCCCCAAACACCTCGTTCCCATAGGCTGATGACCCCATCACCTTGCCCAACGAGCACTTTTTCGCCCACGCTGGTGCCGCCTTTCTTGAGACCTTGCACGCAGATGGCTGTCGTCAGCTCAGCCTCCTGATCTTCACTGGTGCTGATGATGCCTTTTCTCAAGTCTGTGACCACCAACGTAGATCCACCTGCGGTGACCCATTGCTTCGGGAAGCCGCTTGTGCTTGCTTCGGTGACAGGTAGAGGTACCAGGCTGTTAACATGCTCGTCTTCGTGAGGCTGCCAGAACTTTACTGCTTTTCCTTGAATGTCGGCACCTTGCTGTCTAAGGTCGTGAAGGTAGAGCTTGCCAGAATCAGTGCCCAACAGCAAGGCCTGCGGGCTGAGAGCATGTAGCACTGTGGGTGCATCTACATCGCCAGTTTCCGAGTCTGGCGGTATTGCAATCTTGCTTACTACTTTCCCAGTCTCGGTATTGAATGCTTTCACCAAGCCATCAGTACCACCAGAATAGCACAGGGAGCCATCGTGGTTGTAAGAAATGCAGCGACACGAGCCACTGTGTCTCTTCGTCTTCCACACGGTGTCTATTGAGCCGAGGCCGTTCTCTGATGCAGTCGATGATCTTCGGAAGGTCGATATGATTGGTGTTGGGCCGTTTCCGTTTGCCGTGCCTGGTACTGGAGGAGGCGGACTACTATTGCTTCCGCTATCTTCATCTTCTTCGCCCGAGGGCAGTCTGTAGGTGATCACATGGCCCGAAGACAGACCGACCGTAACGATAGACTCGGTAGGATGTACGGCCTGGGCAAAGAGATCGGCGGGGAGCGGGAGAGTGCATATTGTATCAAACATTGTGAGAGGTAGGCGCTACCGCGGCGGCATCCTCAGACGAGCACGTGGGACTGGCAATCAGGTGACTCGTGTGAGCTGCGTGCCTTAAGTGCCGAGTACTTTTGTCGCCAGACGCGTGAGATAAGTGCTAAAGCGGAGCTGCGGTTTCATGCTGCCAGCACTCGAAGCTCGTTCTGCTGAGAATATTGTACCCGGAGGATCGTATTCCCGGTCCCGGTACTCACCGGTGAACCGACGCGTTGGTCGCAGTCCAAACAAGCGCCGGCGATGAGGCGTACAGTAGCTTTCGGATGCCAGGGAGCAAACAACACGAGTAGGAACTGTTCCTGATGGAGAATCATGTCCGGTCTGTTCTCCAGGCTGTTGTCCTGAATCTGATACGGAATGGTAGAACCCAGCCAATAGCAGCGAGCTCGAAGCGCGAGGCGAACATCTGCTCTGCCAAGCCACGCCATTTTTGGGGCCTTCAGCGTCATCCCGGCGCCTCGATGTCGTTCCATCTTGACCTCACTTGTTCCTTTCGCGCTGACCTTCTCGTCGACCCTTCAGCACGTTTCTGTAACCGCCAAGGCAATGGCCTCTTTGCCACGCGATCGTGTCAATCGGCGAATCATGCAGGTCGAACCTGTCTGGAGGTGAAACGATCCCCAGCCTTTGCGCGGCTATCTCATGTGTCCTTTGGCTCCTCCTTTCTTGGTCAAACCGCCTACCTGGGCCCTTCGTCTCTATTCTTGACCTTGGGTCAAGGCGCTCTGGTCGGCCCTGCATCCTGAGGCCATATCATTCGCCCACGTCATGCGTCTCTGCAGGAAGACTGCTCAGCAGACCACTTCCAAGCCGTTACTGTGCCTCCTGCATAGAGGTGCATCGCCTCAGCATGTCGTCGCCCCCACCAAAACCGGTGTGTCTTCTAGAAACAGAATGATCTGTTGTCCAAATATACAGCCTAATGAGATTGGTAACGGTAGGTGAACAACCGCCTCGCATGTCTATGCGACAAGCGTCTTACCGAGCTCTCTACTCCTCCCCTATACCGCGCTTTTCTTTCTACGTCCAGCGTTGTTCTCTCTCTTACCCTTCGCGTTCACTTTGAGTGTCAAGCACATTTCGCATGGTCCGAAGCCATGGTCTGGAAGATTCCACACATGCGCTGATCTTGTGCCTGTAGCGGCTCAGCAGGGCTTTTCTTTATGGCCGACGCGCTAGATCCAGCTGCGAATATCTATCAGGGCACTTGGACAGACTGGTCGAAAAGCAATTCTGCTTGGGGGTTGACGTGGACTCTGTGTCCGGACAACGCTGTATTAGTCACGAGTGCTCTGGCTGTCTTCGTTACACTAGCTGGAAGTCAATTGTGGAGCATCACCAGATTCGTGGTACACCAAGCTGGAACGAGGTCTCCAGCAGCTAGTCCTTCGACGCCGAATCACAAGAAGGAACAAGTCATCCTACGGAACGCCACAACCGATCTGGCAACCGCAAGGCTGATGGCATACCTAGCTTGGAAATCTCGAAAGAGGGCCGGGAAAATGTACCCACGGACTGTATCCATCGCAATCTTTGCGCTTCTTCATGCCATCGTTTTCATGGTCGCAGGAACGTTCTCCAACCTTGCCATCAGTGCAGGCTCACCAGTCGAAGGCTCCATGGTGCTCTCCCGGAGCAAGCACTGCGGTATTTGGAACGAAACTTATCTGGCCTTAACTAATGGTTATACAAATGCGGACAGCAACGAGACTCTGAGTCTGTCCGTTGAGTTCAACGCGAAAGTCACCCACAATGTACAGCTCAGCCTGGAATATGCGCAGAAGTGCTACCTTGCTGAAGAGTCCTTTAGCTACATGTCGTCAATCTGCAACACTCTCAAGAAACCAAGACTGAACTGGACCACACAGTTGACTGGCACATGTCCGTTCGAATCAAGCCTATGCCGCACAGATGCCACCGTGATGGTTATGGACACGGGCAAGATCAATTCCCACGATGATCTCGGTATTAACGCCAAACCGAGCGAACGCCTCGACTACCACAGAGTCACGACGTGTGCCGTTCTAAACGACACAGGCCGTGTCACTGGCTGGGACGGTACGATTCTATCATCTAGCAGCGGCGCGGCGTCCAATCAGTCCAGTAATATTGCAAAAGCATTTTATGGGCCATCCTTCGAGAAGCGCACAGATTGGACGTACGCCTACTCGAATTTTGCTCAATTCTTCGACAATTTCTCGACGATAGCGACAGTGCCATATCAGGTAGTCTCTATGAACGCCTGGGCACCCAGTGACCCTGTCTGGAGTCTGAGCGATTTCGAACCGATCGACGAGATGTCGCAAGGCGCCGCGGATCTGATTCTCTTTTTTCTCAGTTATACAGGCACATACGCGACTGAGATCGACGATCCGTGGTTCTCGGCTCACCGAAGACAATCTTTCGATGGCAGTCCCGCCCTTCTAGAGACGCGATTCGCCCGGGATTCAGCCATTAGTACTATAGGCTGCACAGAACATCATCAATTCTGTACGACCAAGGGCATATGCACTCCTTCCGGTGGCTTTGACCAAGTGCAAAACGATGCGAACTTCAATAATGCCTTGACCCCGCACCAGAATGCAACATTCGACAGGATATTGCGCGCAGCAACTCAGGGATCACTGAGGGCCGTTGTGAACGGCTTGGCTGTGACCAGTACACCTCTTCTTGCCATCAGTCAAATCGCGGTCGGTAGTACTGTGGTGTCGATGGGTTTACCTGAGACACAATGGCAGCGGGAACTGAACTACTGGCATTCGATATCCATGGCACAGTTGCAGCGTACCATCGTACAGTACGCCACCGGTCAGATCGCTGCACAAAGTGAATACCTTCTTCCAGCAAGCGAGGCACAAGACAAGTGGTTTTGCGATAACCTGATGATCCCATCAACGGTCTACCAGTCCTTTAGCATACTTAAGATGATTCTCATTCTCCTCTTTGGAGCCGCAGTCATTACGATCTCCCTAAACATCGAGGCAATAGAGCGCAGCGCCCGCAAATGCCTCGGTAAGGCTGACTCTCAAACACAGTGGGACCATGATGACATGCTAAAACTCCGGGTTGACATGCGTGAGAGTCTATGGCCTCCTACTCTTCCTTCACCGGCAGCACCCCCACCCCCACCCAAAAGTCCTCGTTTCCAGTCAGTGAACTTGCCACGGCGGCTTGAAAGAAGTCCTGAAATTCATACGACCGTCCGGGCAGTCTCACGCAGTCTCAGTGACGAAGACCAAGAATGGAAACGATCATCTTCCCCCACGTTGCCATTGGAAGATCGAGCATTGTCTGTATTGAGCAGACTGGACACACACTCGGACTCTCGGAATTTCCTTGAACCAGGTCCTATGTATCGACAAGACAGCGACTCTTGGATGGCGATCAGCCTGAGTGATCTTGATGCCCCAACTCAGGATTTTCCACTTCGTGATCTTGGAACCAACGATGCAACCAGCCAAAAGCCCATCACAGAGAGTCATAACCTGCCCATGATGCAACGTTTTAGAAATCCTATGCAATTTCATGTCCCACGGCCGCAAGGACATTGGGTATAAGGCAAGCCGACTGCATGACCTCGATCAGAGCAGTGGGCGAGGGATCACGGTACCTTGACCTCCGTCCTGGACAAGTCAATTCCACACTGTGGCGGACTCGGTTGCTGGCTCAGTCCCAGAGAAGTTGGGTCGCGCAGCCAAATCGAGCTCGGCTTCGTCCTTCTCGATGATTATCATTGTTCGTCTGCTGCCTCCGCTCACTCAGCTATGACATGACGCTAAAATCCACCACCTCGGGTGCCGCCGCTGCCGCCGACGCCACGAACTTGAAGTTCCTCAGCGGCTTCACGCTTGAACCCGCCGCCTCGAGTACCACCACTGCCACGCACCCCCCTCGCTTCAATACCCTGATCGGCTTCACGCTTGAAGCCGCCACCGCCCCGCGTGCCACCTGCGCCAGAGACACCTCTTGCCTCAATATCCTCGATCGCCGAGCGTCTGAAGCCCCCTCCACGCGTCCCGCCACTTCCTGACACACCCCTTTCGACGATGTCTGTTGCCGTTAGACCTAGGCTGTGATATGGATCAGGACTCTGAACCTACCTGCAGGTGGTGCCGCGGGAGCGGCCATGACTGTGGCAGCAATGAGGGCGAGCAGTACGTTGATGAGCTTCATGATGGGTTACTGTTATGAAGTATATTCTCGTTCGCCTAAATGGATGATGCAACGGGTGACAGATGGTGGTTGTCCCTTGGATTGGAGGTGGAGATAGAAGGAGTTCGAACTGTTACGGAAAGCCAATGCTGTGTTGTTGTGGAGTTGGAAGCATCGTGGAACCAAGAGATGGACAACTATATAGGTGGCAGCATCGACACACAGTAACCACTGACGCTCAACCAAGGAGGACCGATACGGAACCTCGAGCGCTTCATGCAAATGGCATGATGGCCATCACTAGGTCGAAACACCATCGACGACGAGACAGAGCGAGACTGGACCAATATGAGGCGACAGCTAGACAACGTGCATCGGCGGAACAGTTTCAGCGACGAGGACATAGCGCTTCAAAGACTTCACTATTGGATCGAAGAGCCGCGTGGTCAGCCCAGTGCGGGAGACAAGAGAATGGCCCAAGTCGAAGACACTGGATTGGACAAGAATGTGGGAAGAGCTGTACGTGCGACACAGGAGCACGGGTTTGCACAGGGCGAGGGGCAACTGGACGACACAAAGGGAGAAAGTCACTGTGATTGACCGTTGGCGAACCCCTGCCGGCAACTTCCTCGTCCCCCGGGCAGGGAACCCAAGCACAAACGAGCACGAAGTGGGAGGCTTGACAAGCCTCAGACTATTGACACACCTTTGGCCGGGCCACATGGTCATTGAAAGGCGGGACTGACTGTACGGAGGTACAAGAGGAGCGGCAGGAGAGATTGGACTATCCAGCCTGACCTACTCAAAGGGGAGAGCAGGGAGCGCTTCGGTTGGACAGGCTTGAACGGGCTCGGACTTGTGCACAAGAGGACAGAATCCAACCGAACGACTGTCGTACGGAAGAATGATGACGCCAGAGAGTATTTTAATAGAGGAATTGGCGTTCAGAACTGCGTCTTTGCAGCGCAGTTGGTGCTGGGGATTGATTGGTAGCAAAGTTGGGGATAACGAATCACTTAGGCGCAAAGCTGGCCTCTATGAAACAAATTCACAGCCTATGAACGGACGCCAGGCTGCCCTTGGCGCTCGACCTCCGGGGCTCAACGTTTGAGGCCCGTGCGCCCCCCAGCCCACCCACACTTCGCTGCCTATCACACCTTGCACACCTCCCCCTCCTTTGACGTCGAGCTACTGTTTCAACTTCCCATATCACGGTGCCTGTTGCCTGTCTTCTTCCGTCCTTTCTCATTAAGAACCCTTGTCAGCCATCATTCATATTACCGCCGTGCCTTACTCGGATGTAGCAACTCGTTCTTGTGTACACAGCGGCTCTGTTCCCGCACCTGACCCGACTCACGACCGCCAGGTAGCTACCTGGTCATCACATCCTCTACCGAAGATGAGACCAGTTTGCGGCCACCTGCCCCTCTCGACTATTGCACAAAGACCGGGGTCAGCCTGTGGCCGTCACGCTGGTCCGACCAGTAACATCAACCTTGTGCCGTGTTCATGTTCGCAACATACTGAAAGTTCACGGGTCTGCCTCGAGACGACCTTGCAGCGTACCTCGCATTGCAGAATGCAACCAGCTCGGTCCACACCTATACTGCAGCCTTTGCGAACATCAGCCAAGAAACCTCACGAACTCACAATGATAGACAGGCCTGCCCTTGACCGCTGACCACAGATTGCAGGATGATTGAGTCACCTTCTCGAACACGCGCCGAGACTACCACGCTGACCTTCCGTGAGACCATTGTTCGCTCGGAGCATTTCTGCACACAACTTGCTTCTTCTCTATCCGCGGTACTACCTTGATTACAGATCTGCCCGTGCCGGCTCGCCCGCCCACGCCCTCCTGATCAGCTCCCGAATGGGCTCCTTTTCCACTGACCTTGGGTTAGGGTACTGGTTGCTGACCGCAATTTCTGCCGCCTTGTCAATGCCACTCTCTTCCATGCCGAAATCCTTCAGCGCCCTCTTCACCTTGAGCTTCTCTAGCAAAAGGTTCAACCCCTTGGTCGCATCACCCTCACTGCCAGGCAAAACACTCGCCAACTTCTCCATGGCATCTGGGATGGCCGGCGCATTGTAGCTCAGCGCGTGCGGCAGCACAATCGTATGCGTTTCCGCATGCGGCAAGTTGAAGCTCCCTCCCAGCGTGTGACACAGCTTGTGATGCAACGCCATAGCACTGCTCCCCAAACACACACCACACAGCCACGCGCCATACTGCGCCCGCTCCCTCGCCTTCTGATCCTGCGGCTTCTCCACAATGACGGGCAAGCTCTCCGCCAGCGCCTTGGTCCCCTCCAGCGCCATCATCGTGATAATCGGATTCTTATTTTTCGCATACAGCGCCTCGACCGCATGCGCAATGGCATTGACGCCACTCGTCGCCGACAGCCCCGCCGGCAGCGTCATGGTCAGATCCACATCATAGATAACCGTTCCGGGGAGGATCTTGGGGTCCGACCTCGTCGTCTTCTTCCCATCCTGCGTCTCCCCCAGAATCGGCGTCATCTCGCTCCCAGCATACGTGGTCGGAATGCAGATATGCGGCAGCCCCGTGCGCACACTGATCGCTTTGCCCAACCCGGTCGTCGACCCCCCGCCGATCGAGACGACGCAGTCCGCGCTCCTGCTCTGCAGGAAATCCATCGCCTCCTGCGTGATGTGCGACGGCGTGTGCATCGTCGCGTTGTTGTAGGCGCCCGCGTGCGTGATGCCCGCGTCGGACAGGATTTTGGCGAGGTCCTCGCCCTGAGAGATCTGCTGCGGCGTCGTGAGCAAGAGGGGCTTGGAGAGCGAGAGCCGTCGGATCTCAGAGGGGAGCTGGCGAATGCTGCCCGGGCCGAAGACGACGCGGCCGGGGTTGGCGTTGTATTCGAAGGGGTCCATGGTTTTTTGATGAGGGAGGTAGGTTGAGGTAGAAGTCGGGGAGGGAAAAGAAAAGGAACCAGTAGTTGAAACAGTGCTATGTAGAGGTTTTGTTTGTCGACTCTCTACGAAATTTCCCCGTTCCGAAGTTGTGACGAGTGGGGGGGGCAGAGGAAGGGTACCTCTGCCGATAGAAATACAAGTTGCCCCGCACCAAAACGGTGTTGCGGATCAATACTGGGTAATTTCATTCCCGCGCCGTGGGGCGGACATGGGCAACTCCCCAAGGCATCGGGTAAGCAAAGCCGGGCCCCCTTGGTAGATGGGTCACCTCCGGGCCCTTTTTTGGGGCCCAGAGACATTATTGTGGCGGCCCCGTTGCCTTATCTCATACAGATTACACAGTGCTGTATTTTCCCCCCACCACCCCGCTATACATATCTCTCCAGCCGAAGCTCGCCCCGCCGTCGTATGCTACTCTCCTCTACTACTGCGTCGACTCTCCTGTCCCGCAAACACTGCATAGTCTCCCGACATTGCCCATCTGTCGGTCCGTCATCACCCAAATAAAGCCAGCACAGCAACGACCCACCACGCGCCCGCCAGCACGAGCAGCCAGGTGCGCAGCTGGTTGCTGGCCTCGACGGCCTCGTTCCACTGCTTGGCCATCGGCACGGGATTTTGGCTGTACCAGAAGGCGTTGAAGTGGTAGGTCGCGCCGCTGAGAGCGATCGCGGGGACGAGGCGCAGCCATAGCGAGGCGTGGTGCGTCATGAGGATGTGCAGGGAGGAGGCGGCGGAGAGGAAGATCTGTTGGGGGGAGGAGGGGTGTTAGCTAGCCTGGTGGGAGTGGGGGAGAAGGGGAAGGGTTCTGGGTAGGGAGAGGGGGGGGCCATGGGTGTGTCCAAATGCAAGCAAGGGTAATAGAGGTGAGGATGAGACGGCCTATGCGCATGATAGCAGCGGCAGCCCCGGAGGAAACGAGAGGGAAGTCATAGACTCTGGGGTCAACAAGTTATGGCTCGTAGGAGGGTAGCCACGCGCCGTAGACCGCCACCAAGAGATACCGCCGTAGACCGCGAAAGCTGCCAGCCCAGCATGATATGCGATTAATCCCACAGTGGCCAACGAAGCCACGGCGTCAAACAAGCAGCGTCAAACACCGTAGAGTCTCGACATCCGAATCCCATCATCTGCAACTCCCCCCATAAACCCTCCGAAAACAACAAAACTTCCCCAAAGAAAGAAAAGGTGAGCAACATACCGCACCAGCAGCTCCCCCCTGCGTCGTCCGCGTCCGCCACAGCTGCTTCTCAGCCGTACTCGACACCTGCGCGGCTCGCTTGGTCGTTTCCTCCCAGGTCTGGAGGCGTGTGATGGCGGAGAAGGAGAGGGAAGTGGCGAAGACGGAGAGGGCGAGGAGGCCCGTGCTGAGGATTGTGGGGGTGGACATTTTGTTCGTTTGTGGTGTTGGGGTGAGTGTCGTGGCGTGGCAGTGAGTTGGAAATCGTTGTTGCGAGACTGGGGCAAGGATGTCTGTTGGTTGAGCGGCGGGAGGCGAGTAATGTCCCGGTTGGTGGCTAGGTAGCCGTAGACGCGAGCGTCACATGGAGTTCGTTGAATGCTGAGGAGGCAGCGGAAGATGGTTTCTCCGAGCGTTTACTGCCTGGCCCTCAGGCAATCCACGGGGAAACGCAGCATGTATATTCAGTCAATCAATGATGCTTGTAGATGTCTCTATGTTGGCTGAATCGAAATCTCTTTTCCAAGACGTACTGTAGGTACCCTCATCACCGACTACAGCTTCCCAAACTCCTCAGCAAAAGTCTCCTCCGCCACCTCCATACAGTCGTGGCCATACATCTGCTTCTGCACATTGGCGTCCGCCCACTTATCCGGCACGTCGCCCTTGCCTCCCTCCCTAAACTTGGCAAACTGCTTGTCCCGCTCCTCCTTGGCCGCACCTTCACCCAGATGCATCGCCTTGCCGGACGACGCCGCGAGGGCCACCAGCATCTCGGCCCGCTCCTTCCTCACCGTTTCATATACCCGCAGCGCCTTGTTGATGGACTCGGCTGTTGTATCCGGTAGGCGCGCGAGGACGACGCCGAGCACGGCCGCGTCCTCGATGGCCTGTGCGGCGCCTTGTGCGAGATGGGGGAGTGTCGGGTGGCAAGAGTCGCCGACCAGGGCAACGGAGCCGTGCACCCAGGTGGGTAAGGGTTGGTGCACCCGCAGCTTCCACTCGCAGACCTCGCCTTCGGGGACGAGGTTCAGCATGCGTTGGATCATGGGGCAGAAGTCGGCGTAGACACTCAGCATCTCTGGCTTGGACCCTTTGGTGGTGTATGTGGCAGAGGGTGCTGCTGCGAAGTTTGTGTCTGGCTGCGCGGTGCTGATATTGTATATTGTTTTGCTGGCGACCGGGTACGCGATGATGTGTCGCTTCTCGCCGATCCATCGGGTTGCTCGGTCACTGTCGATGAGTTTCAGAAGCTCTGGATCGTGCTGCATTTCTTCTCGCGTCAACATGATTCGGTATGCGGCTTGCCCCGAGTCTTCGACCTCTGCTGTGGCGTTGATTGTCTTGAGCAATTCGACTCGTGTTTTGGATTTGACACCGTCTGCACCGAGGAGGACATCGCATTCAACGCGATAGGGTTCACCATCCTTGGGAGTCGCTACGAAAGACACCTTGGGTGCAAACGTCTCGACGCCGCTCGCCGAGGTGGAGAAGTGGAATTTGATGGCCGATTCCCGCTGGCAGCCGGCATAGATGGAACCAGCCAGAGAAGAACGATGGCCGACCATGTGTGCATAGCCATAAGTGGAGTGAACATAGCCCAGGTCGACGTTGGCCAGTTCTTCGTCGGTGCTACCTTGTCGTATTGACGTGTCCTTCAGAATGACCGCCTCGCGTTCAATATCTGCCCAGACACCCAGCCGGTCTAATATGCGCGCCATGTTGGGGGCAAGTTGGATACCGGCGCCAACAAATCCGAGGTCTTTGGCAAATTCAAACACATGGATGTCTTCAAAGCCACGCTTGGCGAGGGCCAGCGCCGTGGTGAGACCACCCATGCCTGCAAAGTGGTCAGCGCTGTGGTGTCGCCTTCTGAATCGAGTTGCCTACCAGCGCCTATTATGCATATCTTCAGCTTTTTCAGATTCGAGTCCATGGCGTAAGGTCGCGTTTGGGTAGCTGTAGGCTAGCGAGTTTCTGAATGTGTCTTTGTCGACAGTCAATTGCCACGCTTCATGGCACGGAGAATCTTCGATGGAATATATTCCCCAAAGCTGGTCGATTGCAAACGTCAAGTCAACCCCGCAGGGCGCTGGAGAAACAGCGTGGGGAGCGTGATGTGGGCCTGTGGGAGGCGTTGGCTCGGCGTGGCTGCCCCTTCGGCACTTGATATATCAGCGGGCGGCCCCTAAGGACTGTCCGCCCAGCAGAGGACGGGCGGGCTGTTTCGAGGTCGCGATTGAGAAAAGGCCGAAAGCAGCAATCCTGTGTACGATGGTGACGAGGTACTTGGAAAGTACATAGCACGTGAGAGTCATGTCCATCAAGATTCCCCTTCTCTAGGCTACGCTTCCACACCAGCCTCGCCTTGCAGCGTCCATTGTCACGAGTGGCATTGTTCTTTTCGTCGCCTCTGGAATTGTTGCCATTGTCATGTGTCTGTTAGATATTGGCAGCAAGTACCAATATCCGAGCATAACAAGGTAGCTTACGGCCACTGGAACCAAAGTAAAGGAATGGCAAGGGAAATTCAATTCCACCTTTACGAGGATGCTTGATTCGATGGATACTCACCCGTCTGCCGTAATGAGTCGTGGAGCTTTCCCAAGAGAATGAGTCTTCTTGAGCACCGACGATGCCAGACCTTTGAATCATTTGTGCAGCTTCAGGTCATAGCCGATACCGAGTCCGTCAAGTATCAGATTGTCCGCTGAGACTACGAGTCCTGAGATTAATGTCAGCCGGACTGATAGGCGCAGGTGGAAGATCGACACTAAAGGGAGTGAAGTAGCAGTCTGCCCGCTATGCTCTGAGTTTATCGACTGAGACCAGTTCCTGCAACTGCTCATGTCTGATGTTAAATGCTAGTCTTCAACTCCGATGCATAGAACTTGACCGCAGGGTGCGTTGTAGGTGGTCCAGATTATATCGCGTTTATGATTCGAGCTAAAGCTTCACAATGCCTGCGCCGTAAACCAAGCCCCTTCACTCCAGCACCCACACTGCATCATGATTTCTTGCTAAGCGGACAATTCGAAAGAAGGGAGAGTACAACAGCGTCAAACCACGCGACGTGGATTGTGGCTGACTAAGGCCGGCCCACCGTTCGCCAAGCATTTTGGTTGTACGCGTTGTACGAGTGAGGCAATGCCCAATTTTCGCATGTGGTGGTAGACGTCCTCAAAGACAGCCCCGATCAAACCACAAATATGGCGGAAGGACTCAGTGCTCCTCCTGTACTGTCGACGCCAGATACACATATCCTGAACGATGCTTCTGATGCACATCTCGAGTCTGAGCATTTGTCAGATGAGCAGCTGGAGACCAGGTACGAAATCGCCAGAACGCTCAAGGAGATCAAGCAGCACAGATGGCAGCGATTAGCCTTGCAGTTTCCCGATGACATGCTGCCTCACTCAACCCGTGTCTATCGGTTACTTGCAAGAGGCCTGGACTCGAAGTCCCACCCGCCTCCTGCGAGCCCGGAACCTGTGCCCGAAGCGGAAGGATCAGTAAATGGGGACATTTCGAAGCTTGCTCTTGACGAGGATGTGAAATTGACCATCCTCGGAGACACCTCTTATGGCTCCTGCTGTGTCGACGAGATTGCTGCCGAGCACGTCAATGCCGATGCCGTTATTCACTACGGTCGCTCCTGCCTGTCGCCCACGGCAAGACTGCCTGTCGTCCACGTCTTTACTGACAGACCCATCGATCGCCACCGGGCCATCGAAGCATTCAAGTCAGCATTTCCAGACCCGTCGTCCAAGGTCGTCGTCACAGCAGACGTTCCTTACGCGTCTCATGTCTCAGCCTTGAGCCAGCAGTTGATAGACCTTGGCTACACCTCCGTCTTCCCGGCTTCTATACTCCACGACCCGTCTTCAGCCATTCCAAACCGCACAGTTCCACCTTCCGTGGCCGAGGATCCTACATCGCTCAGTGACTGGCACATGTTTCATATCTCGGAACCCCCAACGTCCCTCTTGCTTACTTTGACGTCCAGCATGGCCAGTATCAAAGTCTTTCCGACCGACAACACCACTATTCAATCGGTACCAACCGCTGTGGAGAAGTCGACATCAGTACTCCTTCGCAGGCGATATGCCTTGGTCACATCGTTGTCTACTGTGGCTGTCTGGGGCATCCTCATCAACACGTTGAGTGTCAAGAACTACCTTCATATCGTCGACCTCGTGAAGAAGCAAATCTCGGATGCCGGCAAGAAATCGTACCTTTTCGTGGTGGGCAAAATCAATGCCGCCAAGGTGGCCAACTTCTCTGAGATTGGAGGTTGGGTTGTCATCGGCTGCTGGGAAAGCTCTTTGATCGACAGCAAGGACTTTTACAAGCCCATTATCACCCCATTTGAGCTGCAACTTGCTCTGAGTCCAGACAGCAGCAGAATCTGGACAGGCAGATGGCGGAGCGACTTTGATACCGTCCTGAATGCGACAGATGCGGCAACTACGGCGGCAGACGAAGGGCTGACGGATGAAGAGGGCGAGTTGTTCGGTTCCGACGACGAGTCCGAGCCGCCGGAGTTCGACCTGAGAACCGGCCGGTACATCACCAAGACGAGGCCGATGGGTGTTTCCAGGAAGAGGCAACAAGCGGTGACTAGCAATGGACCATCATCGTCGACAGCGCTGGCTAAGCGGACTGGTGGGGATATTGTGTCTGTGAACGGCGTTGCCTCACCAGCTGCCGAGTTCCTGTCACAGAATCGTACCTGGCGTGGTCTAGAAGTCCGCTATGATGAGGACGAGGATGAGGACCAAGGGGGACTGCTCGAAGAGGGCCGCACGGGTGTAGCCCGGGGTTACACTGTTGGCGAGTCTGGCACGACGTGATAGGACTCTTTCGCTCGCCGGGCCATGCACATAAGAAAGAGCCTACAAGACCGTTCGAATCATGACCGCTAATTCTATTCTATATACTTTCCAAACCAACCAATTATCATTTCAGCACTGACGCCTCAACACCAAGCCCCTTAAGCTCCCTCTCCGTCCACTCCCACAACTCCGCCGCCAGCTCCTTACTCTGACACTTCGCATCCCCCTCCACCTTGACGCCCACGGGCACGAACAATCCCCCATTAACCACCCCTTCTTGATCCACCCCCGCCGCCGCCGACGGCGCCGTCGCCGCCCACAACCCGGACATCGCCCCCTCCTCCGCCGTATACACGGCCGCCACGCGATCATACACGCGCTGCACCACGCCCATCAAACTCCACTTCCCGCCTCCGCCCAGGAACCCGTCCAGCAGCGTCGTGCCCACCCTGCCGGGATGCACGGCCACGCTCAAAACTTCGGGGTACCGGAGCGCGCACTCTTTGGCGTACAGGATCTGCGCGAGTTTGCTGATGGCGTAGCGCTGGAATTCGTTGAGGTCCGGGCGCGTGCTGCGTTCCGAGTCCCAGGTTATGGTGCGGGGCGTGAGGGGGGGGCGCGTGAAGGCTGCGGCGGAGGTGATGTGGATGACGCGCACGGAGGGGGAGGAGGACGGTGGGGAGGAAGAGGAGGAGGCGGTGCGGCGGAGGAGGGGGAGGAGGAGGGTGGTCAGGGCGGCGTGGCCGAGGTAGTTGGTCCCGAAGTGGATTTCGTGGTTGGTGGGGGTGAGGGCGGCGGGGTGGCCTGTGTGTCCTTATGTTAGAGAGAGGGTGGAAGAGGGGAAAACGGAGAAGGGATGGAGACACGCACCGAGGATGCCGGCGTTGTTGATGAGGATGTCGAGGCGAGATTCCTTGGCGAGGAAGGTCTGCGCGGCTGTCTTGACGCTGTCGATGCTTCCGAGGTCTAGTTCGAGGAAGTCGACGTTGGCGGTGGGGTTGGCGGCGAGGATGTCCTTCATGGCGGCGTCGTACTTGGCTCTAGATCGCGCCGCCATGTACAGCTTGCTGGGGGAGTGTCGAGACAGCTCGAGCACGGTGGCTTTTCCGCAACCGGCGTTGCCGCCTGTCACGATGATGACCTTGCCAGAGAGGTCGGGGATGGACTTGGAGGCATCCCAGGTGTGGACAGTGTAGCCCGGCATGGCTCTGTATCGGCTGCTGTTGTTGCAGTCTGGCAACTATATCGTTCGGGGTTCGGAGGTGCACACAGGAGGGGTTCTGTAGGTTACAGCTTCGCGAGAGCCTGACGGTAGACATTATGACTCTGCTCTGCGCGAAGCCAGTATATCACTGACCCAGCCCAGATGCCCTAACCCACGAATCGTCCGCGTCATCGCTCGAAACAACTAACGCCAACTATCAAACGGGGTGGTCATTCATCCGCTCCCGCCAGCTGGCGCGCGAGATGGACGATGCCGCCATTTCTCATGCTGGCAGGCGACGGTGCGTGGGTCTGTGCGATACCTTACCGCTGACATCGGAAGGGCGCTCACAAGACCGTTTTGGCTTGGGGCCGATTCATTTCTGGCGGTGGCCATTGCTAGCTGACTCCGTCGTGTAGATGGCCTGAAGGATAGTCTTCTTGCCGTCTCCGGACACGAAATTGACGTCGACTATGCTATATTTCCGCTTTGGGCCAATTGGGTGGGTTCCCTTCGCAACTGCCGTATTCCGTTAGAAACTCTTCTGATGCCTCGCTTGAGCCCGGGGAGCCAATCGGCGAAGGGATCGCGTAGGTAAGGGCCAGACCTTTGGCAGCAGCCTTCGAGTAGCGCAGGGTTAGGTAACACTTGTACCCAGGCATGCAAAGAAGCTCCCTGGGTGGGGTCCGGGGTTAGACAGCGTCTGTGCTGTGAGCAACGGAGTTAGACGTGTCAGCGTGTTGCATGAAGCGGATCTAGCCCCTTATCAACGGGCATTTTTGTTCCGTTTACCTGACTATTTGTCCCAAATAATGACTAGTACTGTGCGTCCCATGGTCTATTCATCTGACCTGACGTCAAGACTTAGGTAGCCCAAATGTTCAGTGATACTTCTCCCACGTCTAATTCTGAGATGCCACCCTGGGAACCTCCTCTATCATCCAGCATGTCGCGAACATTGGCAGTCGCTGAGACATACCACTGATGGGCGCACCGTCTGACTCGAATGCTTGTAGCCTCGTTGCAACATAGTTCCACCATGCCTCAGGAACGCAGAGGGAGAGGTAGGTTCAAAACCCCAATGGGGTCACAGCTGAGACCAATTCCATGGCGATCTGAGGCCTATGCAAAGACAGTGTCATGACTTTGCAACTGAGCTCTGTGAACTGAGAAGGAGACCCGTCCTCGTTAAGTGCTCAGCTTCTATCTCATACCAACTGCGGCTTCGGTGATCTCAATTCCTCACGAACACTCAAAGTCGTTTCGACCAACCCAGACACCCGCGATACTTGGTCCACATCTCACCATGCCGGCATATTTGACTCACTCCGGAATTCCATTCCTTCGACAACACTTCAGTTCCCTCCTTCACCCTCCACATCACCACCCTCATCCTCAACCTCCACATCCACACCACCCCACGGCTCATGCGCCACCGCCATCCTCCCCCTTCCCCCCGCCGGATTCCCCTCCTCCAACCACCTCACCACCGGCGTCTCAGGCGGCCACCCCAAATGCACCGTATGCACCGTCAACGTACACTTGGGACAGATGCTCTTGACGTCCGGAATCCGTTCGCGGCTCTTACACAGCCCTACCGACAGCTATGATCAGTCCTAGTCCCGCCACACAAACACCTGCGGCTGCGGCTTCAGTTTCTTGACTTTGCGGAGCGGCGGCGGCTGCTGGTGGTGGTTGATGGCGGTGGTCGAGAAGCTGAAGACGGCCTGGGGCGGCGGTCGATCTCGGCTTGGCGCGCCGCCTCGCTGGCCAGGTCGATGGGCATGCTGGCCTTCTTGGGGCAGTTGTTCCAGTACTCGCACTTCTTGCCGGCGATGGGCTGGTATTTGCGGCAGATGTAGCAGAGGCGGCGCTCTTTGAGCCTGTTGCGCTCGGCGCGGGTAAAGGTGCTGGCGCCGGCGGCCCCGGTGTACGCGCGGTTCATCCAGGCATCGAGGAGGAGCATGAAGCGGTGGCGCTCGAGGTCGCCGCCGTAGCGCTCGCGGATGCAGGGGAAGCCGGCGGCGTTTTTGGTGGCGAGGTTGCCGAGGCGCTTGTTGGCGAGCCCGAGGAGCGTACGGGTGATGGGGTCGCAGTGCGAGACGATGCGCTCGAGGGTTTCGTTGGGGAGAGCCAGAAGCTCCGCGGGGCCAGTGCGGAGGACGGGGAGTGTGCTGATGCGGTCGTCGGGCATGGAAGCTTCGGATCCGGCTTCATCGTCGTTGGTGGACGCGTGACTTGGGGCAATGGAGTCGACATCGGAATCGTCGTCTGAACTGTTATACGGGACGAGCTTGATCTTCTTGGTGCCGCTCGCGGGCTTTTCATCTCCACGCTTGCGTTTCTTCGAATTGTCGCTTAGGGCATTCGCCTCCTAAGACTTGACAGCCTTGCCTTTGCCAGCCTTAGCCTCGGCCGCCGCCTCAGTATCCCCCTCTTCATCTGGCGACGGAACATACTTGTCATTGCGAGCTTTCTTGTTGGACTCTTGCTTGCCATCACCGTCAGCCTTGCGCTTGACTCCTCGCTTCTCACTCTCCTTCTCCTTCTCAGCCTCCTTCTGCGACTCGAGCTTCGCAGTCACGCTACGCGTCTTCACAAGCTGTTGCGCCTTTCCAGCAGCGGCGTTCTCGCGCTTAATTCGCTCGTACAACTCCTTGGCCTGGCGTTTCTTCTCCTCCAGTGCGTTGGCGTTGTTTGCCTGACCGGCTTCACGCGCAATCCGGGCTTCTTCTTCCGCTTGAGCCTTGGCCTACGCACGCGGTGCCCGCTTGCGGGCACGGCGACGAGCTTTCTTGGCTGCTTTGCCGGAGCCGAGAGGGTTGTTGATCCAGTAGGCGATGACGATGGGCTTGGTAGGCATGGGCCCGGATGGGACTTGGGGCTGAGTGGCTGGGGTGGGGCAGACTTCCTGTGGTGTTGGGTGAGTAGGTATTGAGGATGATGACGGGAAGGACGAGAAGGCCGGGCTTACGAGGCAGGGGATATGGAACTTGCGGTACGGCTTTTCGCGGCGGGCTTTCCTGGGTCCCTGTCAAGGCTTTAACATGGAAATTGGTGTGAGATACAGGAGGGCAGGATATACGAGACTTGGAACCGGGTAGCCGGTCACATAAGCGTGGACTTGGAGGTTTGCGTTGGCCATGTTGAGCGCAGGGTTGAACGCAGGAAATTCAGATAGAACAATGGAGACAGAATGGACCGTCGTATATGCGGATCGCGTGTCTATCGAAGTATTCGAGATGGTGCGCGCTAGAAGACTTGTGCGAAGAGTATGCAAGCAATAGAATTGTTGCAACGACGATGACGAAAAGCTGGCTTTGCTGAATCGAACAAATGCTGGAGGTTTGAATGATTGTCATGATTCGCGTCGAGAGAGTAGGTAGCGCGGAGCGTAGAGGAGTGATAAAGAGGGTGACAAGAGTGGGCTGGGGGAGGCTGGGGGTTGACTCCATAGCAAACAGAAGACAAGGCAGGTCGGTGACTCAACTGATGTGGTTCATTCACTAGCGGAGTATGCTCGATGATTGAATGGAGGCAGGCCGCCGTACAAATCAGCACCTTGTTGGACCGATGGGTCGTATTTCACGAACCTTCACCGGTGAGTCTAACGTCCATTGTAACGCATTGTCGGTCGTAATCCACCATCCGTTCCCTCACAACTAGTGATTTGATGTCGACATGATGTACCTGACACATCTGCTAGGGAGTAGGGCAGTCGTGATCCTGAAGGTCACCCGCAAGATCGTCGCAGGGCCCTCGCGCTCCAAACACCTTACATCCTAGCTCAAAACGGCTCTTTCTTGATCTCCTGCTTATGGGCGAGGGCTGCAATAGGCGGACCTCCCTTAACCTTCTTGCGCTCTCCCTTGTTGCGGACGTGCAGAGATTGGCCCTCGAGAACGCACATAGGGCACCGCAGTCGGCCATCGGAGATGAAGGAAGACCAGTCCTTGTTGGCTCGGAGTTCTCGAAACCACAATTTGACGTCCCAATTATCCAGCCAGTTTCGCACTTGCAGATGGCAGGTGCGATTCTTTTCCATCTTGAGATATACTGATTTGGAAAAACGACCGTAGGGCATGAATCGCCAGCAGCCGAAGCAGAGCTTCACCTTGTCCTTAGGAATCCAGCCACGGGCTAGGGCTAGGAGCAGCTGTTGCTTCCATGGTCCCGTCTTGTTGTTGGCCTGAAGCGCAAGGGCAGGTTTGGTATTTGCGTCGAGGTCACTGACGATTGCCAGAAGTCTCTTGCAGCTCAATGCTAGGCAGTACTTGTATGCACTGTCATTGAGAGACTCGGCAATCTTAAGCAGCAGCTCATCCGGCAATTCGAGAATTGATGGCTCGTGGAGGCGGCTCTTGTACTTTGGAACGAGCATGTTGCCCAGAGCGTCTTCCTTGGGTGCCTGGTAAAGAATCTGCTAGTATTAGCCGGGTCGCTGTAGTATACTGATGACCTTCTTACCCAATCGTTGATGACGAATGAGAAGTCGACGCGAACATCCTCACGCTTAGCCTTGAAGTGGAACGGAGCTCGGCGGTTCTCCTCGGTCTGCGACTTGAGCGATTCCTCGCATCTGGAGCAGCTGCAGGCAACAAAAGGATTGGGTAGGTGGTAGCGGTCGTTGGCCGACACGATTTCGGACATTGTGCTTGCAGAAGCTGAACAGATTGATCGCGGAGCCGAAAAAACTCACAGACAAAGTAAGCAAATGCGAAGGACGTTTACACGGTGCGCAAAGCGAGGATAACAAGTGCCTCGCGGCGAGGCAGGGGGCAGGCAGCATGGCACGAAGTCTTGGCATCACGGGCAAGCATGCTTGCAGTGTCACTACTTCTGGGCAATGAGCAGACATCACGGGAGGCGATCAAACCCATCGCTAAGTTTTGGGATCTGATCTGCTCTGAGATCGTGGACCCTGCCAGTCAACGGGTCGACCACGAGGGCGACGTTATCAGCTGTATCGATGCAAATAGCATTGGCGCCATCGCAAGCGTGGATCGACGTAGATCGCTGCATAGACGCAGGAGCCGCACTTGTAAGCTTGGTGTCGAACTGCTAGTGGGATTATCAGGGAAAGAAGATGAAGCAAGCAGTTCAAGGCTGAAGTTGAGAAAGGGGGAGAACAAATATGCCAAGCCATACCCCCGCATTGGGACGGGCTGGAGCCGCTTTCTCATACGCTTCCTTCCCCGTCGCACAAGTTTCGAATGAAATGTGCAATGAACATGGGGTCCCTGGAGACTATTTCCGCGGCTGAGGAAGCTCAGCACGAGCAGTAATAGTGGCAAGCAGTGGCGATAGCGAAATTGTTGCGTTCATTGTAACGCTGTTGTCGTAATCTATGTAGAACTCAGGGCTGTGGCTTTTGGATTCTGTTGCGGCGCCGACTTCTTGTAGGACCTGCTCTTCACGACTGGTCGCAACCAGGCAGTGTCTTTGACCAAATCAGCCTCGAGAGATCCGGATTCCGCCTAACAATGCTGATCGTTCCAGATGCGGTCGGTCTATGAACATGCCCGCTCATCGACCAGCCACGCGGCTTGGGACTGCCATTGACATCCAATATTGCATGCATCCTGCGGAGCATCCTGTCGACTCCAACAGCACGCCGGGACAAAGTCCCCAGCGCATTGCCTAAAGGCGGCCTAGGATAGCCGCAGATTCGGGCCAAAACCGTGAATGATACTTTCGTGTCAGCGCCCTGCCGTAGCTTGGAGGCTCTGATGCGCAGTCTGTCGCTTGAAAATGAGCCTGACCGGTAGGCGCTTGATGTGGTACCGATTCTTGGCGCGCGCCACGTCCGTATTCAGCCTGACACCAGATGCAGTTTGATGGCACAAGCAGGGCAAAGAAACTTCCGCGCGTAGATGCAACCTCCTCAAACCTAGCATCTCAGTTCGCAGGGAGCACTCCGATGGTGGACGTGCGTTACGTTCAGTCGCAGGAACAACGTCTTGTGCTCCGAAGCAGAACGAGCGTCGAGAATGCGTCTACGATGTGTTAGCAAAGTTCGATTTTCGATTTCAGCCTGAAAATCGTTTTCTCATCGAGCGTCTTTCAATGTGATATGGTGTGTGGTATGAACAGACTTAGGTGATCAGTAGATCCATACTTGCGTCTAGATCAGCACAGTGGCTGCTTCTATCACGAGCCTAGGAGTTCAGAAATTCGCCTGCTGTTACCTATCTTTGGGACATTAGCTTGGCATGCTGTGTAAGTGGCATATATCACGAGGCTAGGGAAGGAAAAATAGCCGATAGTGTCGAAGATAGAAAAGGTTGAGTAGGAGGTGAGGAGCAGGTGAGGCAAGGGCGAGTCAAGGGTGATGATGCTGAAAGGAGTGTGGGGTGGATGAGTGTCCACCTTTACTATAGTACTTCACACAAACCAGCTAATACCACTTAACATCATGTCACCCTTGACTTACCCTTGACGCACCTTCTGCTCAGCTCCCACTCACCCTCGCCCGTCTACCCCATGAAAAAATCCGACCAATGGAAGAGTAGGTTATAGAGTAGCCGCAGAGAACTGACCAATCACAGCGCAGTGTACAGAACAAATTATGTGAGACACACCAATCAGGAGAGGGGTGCACATAGAGCAATTAGCCTCTGTCCTCCTCCATGGCCTTGTTTGCCATCTCACATTGTACATACTCATCGTTCCTCTCTTCGCAGTACAATTTAGCCATTTCACAACACCGAGCTATAGCATGCTTGCTACGTTCAGGACGTCACTGTCACCTCGTAGCTCCGTGCGCCAGTTCTTAGTGAGAGCTCACACATGCTTCTCAGTAGCTGTCTCGTTGTGAACAATCTCGATCTCCTTCGCAGTCTGTTCCATGCTGATATGAGCCACTGCATCCTCGCCATCGAAAACCTTGGCGACCTCTTCGAGGGTGAAGCCCTTGGTTTCTGGGAACATGAAGTACACCCAGACAGCCTCGACAAGGTCCCAAAGCTAGAAACACAATCATCAGTACTGGAATCATCACAAGCTTGCATGGTGGGACTTACGGTGTAGAGGAGCCAGAAGTTCCAAGCATGGGGCAAGTTGTGAATCGCGAGTGGGTTTGTCTGGGCCGAAAGGGCGAGAATGGCTTGAACTGTGATATTCATGATCATCACACCCTTGGCGCGGAGGTGGAAGGGCAGGACTTCGAGGGTATAGGCGACAAGGAGACCCGAGAAACCAATCGAGTAGAAGATACCAAAGACCCAGACAAAGACAATCTGGCCGATGCCATAGCCTTTCGCCGAATTGTGGGCTTCGTATTCGCCGGCCAAGGCAGTCCAAATGGTGAAGGAAACAACCATACCTAGAAAGAATACCTGTCAGTCGTCTCACGTTGCTTTGGGCTGTGTGTTCGGCTGATACATACCAGAAATAGCAAACAGGAAGAGCGGGCGTCGTCCAACTTTGTCAACAAAAAGCGCAGCGGAGATGGAGACAATCAAGCTGAGGGTGGTGTTGCCAAGGGTGAGCTGGGTACACTGGTCAGTAACAGCCAGCCGATTTAGGCGAGTAGGGGGGCGGAGGGAAGCGGCAACAAGAGCCGTATTGTACGTACACCAAGCTTCTGCGTCTGTGATGTGATTCCAGCAGATTCGTAGATCAAATTTGCGTAGTTGGAAATAACAGCGTTGCCACTGTACTGTGAGATGACACCAATGGAGATGATGATGGCAAGTCTCCAGCGATTTCCCTTAGTCTTGAAGAAATCCATGTAACTGCTTGTTTCACGAACGTGCTTCTCGAGCCTGAGGGTTTCGCTGATTTCGCGATGCTCAAATTGTACTGTAAGGTCTTGGTCGTTACCATTGGCGTGCCACTTAGCCAAGATCTGGAGGGCGTCTTCGTGGCGGTCCTTGGAGATCAGCCATCTGGGTGATTCAGGAACTCCTGAGACAGGTAATCAGCTCCCGTAGAAGGTTCAGTATTCTTTTGCTCAGACTTACCCCAAACGAAGAGAAGCTGTACGATGGCCGGCACGATCTGGAAGAGGGTCAAGATCCGCCACGACCAATCGCTCTTCACATATTGGAGACCAAAACCGATGGCATTGCAGACTATTTGCGGTCAGCTGGCTCTAATATGAAGCAAGAACGGAGTGTTTCAGCGTACAGAAGCTTCCCAAATTCCACAAGCAGTTATATATGGTGGTAAAGGGAGCGCGATGCTGAGGGTGAACAACCTCGGTCAACAACATCGGTGAGGTCAGCTGGCTGAGCGAGTTGCCGAATCCGAGAATGAAACGGCCTGCGCAGAACACTGAAGGCGTTAGCCTCTGCATGGAAGTTATGTGCCAATGCAATTGTGTGCAACTCACTTGCGTAGTTCTGCGCGGCAGTGTTGATGATACAGCCGATGACCATGAAGACGCAGCCGGCGACGATGCAGGGCTTCCGACCGAATCGATCAGTGATAGTCGGCCTGAGCTTGAACATTAGCTAAATGGCAAACGCACTGGTTGCTTCGCACGCAGGCGGACACTTACACGGTGAACATGGAGAGGATGGAGCCGATAGTAAACATATTGGTCAAGAGGCCGAGGAGATTGGACTTGTTTGCGTCCGTTCCAACGTCATCAAAGTAGGACTCCCAGTAGTCGTACTGCTGTAGGAGGTTGAGGAGTGATCTGGAGCAGAGCAAAGTCAGTCAGGACGAGAGCTTTTAAACAATACCAACATTGCTCTTCCACAACCAACTTACCCATCATAACCGGTGGTTGCAGAACCGATCAGAAGACCCAGGGCGCAGTTGATGTAGAGCTTGCGAAGACTCTTGTCCTTGGTCCAGGAAACCTTCTCGAACTCTGGTGCCTCCGCAAGGGCCTGCTGCCGGTTTTCCTCAGCCTGGGCGGTGACATTTGCTGACTTGAGAGAAACCATGTTAGCAGTGGCCACGCAGAGCTATGTGACACTGGCAATGTTTTGTTGAGAAGAGCAATGTAGCAAGAAAGGTCAAGCACAATCAGCGAAAGAACGACCACAAGACAAGGAGGGCCGTCTTTATGGGCGAAGAGCACATGAAGACTGAACAGCGCTCCTGAGAAGTAGCAAATGATGGGTCGTCCGACAGCCTCGTATTTGCCGCGGCGAAGTTCTGCCGATAGACCACGGAAAAGGCTAGATCTAGATCTTCGCCTACTCCGCAAGCTCGAAAAGATCCGGGGTAACGGTCCATACGCCTAGGTAGGAAATCTTTGTATGCAGAGCCATCGCGCAGTGGTCTCGCATCCTACGCAGCCCATCTTTACGGACATTGTGTGCTGCAAGGCCTGGATTGAGAGTGAGCACGCCAGCTCTCTTTCCCGTATTAGGCGAGCCTCTGCACGCAGATCAGAGACCTGAGGTTACTGTAAAGCTGTAAGGTAACGATGCCACGGCTGAGGCTGGGTTCTGTACGACAGTAAGTTACCCAACTTCGCGTTCCGGCTAAGCATCGGGGTACCCGGCTAAGCATCGCTTGGGTAATTCCACAAAGCTTCTCATTAGTCTTGGGTTTGCCCCTGCAGTACGGAGTATGCGACTCAAACACGGCTCTTGCCAGTGTGCAAGCAAAGTGCCGTAATTTGCAATGGATCGGCCGAGGATCTGCCACATCGCGACTCAAATTTAGGCAGATATGGCCATCTGACCAGCTGTGATCTGGGCTAGTGGCGGAAATGCCGAGCGTTGATTGCTTGCCGCTTCTCTTTTATCCAGACATCCAGACCCAGACCAGTCTTGAGTTTGAAGCTTTATCAGCGTGTTGAGGCGGATCTGCAGCTTCCGAGTCCTTCGAATGTGGACGGTTGACGGTAGGACCACGATTGCCTTGTTCAAGATGACGCCTAATATCGCCGAGGCTGTCTTTAATTTTAGGCTTAATTCGCCAAGGACAGCCAATTCTCGACTGCATTCTTAGGGGTAATCTCGACACAGATTGTACCCAACTTCAAGTTGGCCGCCAAGGCGGGTCTTGGCCGGTCAGACTTACCGGTGCACCCTCGTTTCAGACTTGTAACTCATCGCGCTGTATATCGAGGTGTATACCTTTTATATTTATCATTATATAAAGGCTCTTAGATGTTCTGTTAACGCCAGCATAGCAAGAGCTTGTCCGTACGGCATGCTCGTCCTCTCGATATCATAATAATGCTTCAAGTCGGCTCCCACGGCTGTGCCAAAGCTGACATCCTGCAACTCACCTGACGGACTTATCCTGTCAATCACAGCTTTTATGGCCTTCATTGCGACCTCGGTGTACTCGTCTCCAATGTATCGCTTCCGGACGCCTTTGAGCATTCCATAGGCGAATCCGGCCGTTGCGGATGCTTCCTCATAGTTTCTCTCGTCCTGAACGTCCAGTACCGTGTTCCACATGCCGTTGGGCAGTTGATACTTTCGGAGAGCCTCACACTGAGCTCGAAAGACGTCGACAAGGTACAGCCGCAACGCATCTCCCTCCGGCAATTCCGCTATTTCGATGAACTCAGGTATCGCAATAGTGATCCACGCGTTTCCTCTTGCCCACCTCGCTCGGGCGAAGTTGTGACCAACACCGCCCTCAACACTTTCGTCAAACTTCCATCCGTGGAACCACAGCCCTGATTGCCGATCTTGGAGATAATTGACATGCAACATGAATTGACGCTTGGCTTCCTCGACATAGTGGGGTCTGTTCAACATCTTCCCAATTTTGAGGAGCGGCATCACCGTCATCATCAGCGTATCGTCCCATAGCTCGCCCTTGTTTTCTAGATTGTAAGTGACATGTTGGAAGCCACCATACCGAGTCTTCGGTAGCTCATACATGGCCCATTCCGCCCATCGATCCAGCCATGGGATGTAGCTGCGTTCGCCAGTCTCCTCATACACGAACGCAAGCGTAAGGAAGACGGCCATGGTATTGATGTTCTTGGTCGTACCTTCCGCTAGGCGACCATCGAACCATTCCTTGATCACTAACATAGCCTGCGATTTGGGCTGAAGCGAGTGGTATTGGTACAGGCCGTACAGGCCGATCCCATGTGTCCATTCCCAGTCGTTCCAACCTGCCACGAATCAATAATCCAGTACTCTGCTACGAAACCAGGCATAGCTACCCTTGGTGTCAATAACACGCCCATCTGGCAGCTCCAGCAGGAATTGTCCAGTCTTATCTTTGATATTTACCAGGTTGTCAATCAGCAAGTCGATCTTGCCCTGGATGTCGTTGGCGCTGTACCCAGCAACTTGCAGAGGCGTTGGCATTTTTGTGGTGAACTTACGCGCATTCCGGTGCGCGATGAATGATATCTCCTTTTCAGACAAGCCTGATGATTTTCCTCTTGGCCCCAAGACATGGAAAACTCCGACGCCCAAGCTCGCCGGCCGGCTCAGTGATGGTCCGATATCCCGCCGATAGCTATTGCTGCAAGCTTCGCCAAGTAGCGGGAGGGAGGTTAGTCCTCGCCCTCGCTTCGGGGCAAAGTCGCCTGCTGTTGATCCCTTGTGAAGCGGCGAAAGACCATCGCAACACCGGGCTCACATCATTGCTGGGTGTCACAGTCCACCGACTCAAACGCAGTAGTCATCCGGAGTGCCCCCATCATTATGCATGCATGTTCCGAGCCATGGTTGGGAGCAGCTGTCGGTAATCTCGGGATCCTTGAACATGGCGCCTAGTGTCCTTGTACTCCTCCCTAGTCTTGACCTGCCTCGGTGCCTCAAAGCTGTCTGCCTTGCTGCCTTGGTTCCAAGCTACCCTAGCGTATTTGACTGTAGGCGTTGAGCAGAGCGGACATATCGATCCGCTCGTATTTGAGAAGTTGATCATTCGCTGGGGACTTTCGCACGCGCAGTTGCTTAGTACTGAAAACCCCTGGAAAGCAGCTTTGATGACGATCTGAACTGATATCTTGCCTTCCTCGACTCGAGAGGCTATCCTGTGAAACGGTATATTCTTCTTGCAGTCAATGTCATAGCACAGATCCAGAGACATAGCCATCGGTCTAAGCCGTCGGTGCAGTACCCCCATATCCACAGTTCAAGAGGACGAGGCCTCATCACCGCTCCTCCCCTTTACCTACAGCACCTTAGAAACAGGACATGCCTTCCGCCTCCTGGAGCTCCGTTTGGATCGGGCGCCTGGCTTAGGTGTGCAGCGCGAGTCACGCAACAGATCCATCACAGCACGTCACCCAGCAGAAGCGGGCGTACTCCCTCAAGATCAAGCTGCAGCGAAGGCGTACCACACCCGCCCATGGTCCTTTGGGTTCCGCTCTGCATGCGCACCAAGTGCGGCCATTTTCCCCAAGTCATGGTATCCCAGGGAGATGAACATATAGGCACCAACGCCGGCCAATCAGCAGACCGTGGATATTCATATCCACGGGATCTTCCGAAAGGCCAGCCGCTCCGTCTGCATCATCCCGGACAGCAGAACAAGATTTGGTGGAGTTCCAGAGCCCGATTTTCATGCCCGATTTCAAAATGTCTGCGGTCTATCGAGTCCAGAACCTATTGATATCTAGGCCGGCTTCATAGTTCCCTTCACCGCCAGCGGCGGGACCTATTGCTCTCACCTGCGTCATCATGTCCCCCCGCCGGGATGCAAGTCGTCCGACATTCTACGGTTCCTCGTCGTCGGCACCCGTGGCATCTTGCCTGAGCAGGCCATACCTCCCATCAGGCCGGAAGACAAACCCATTCATGTTGTGTCTGGGCTGCATCACGTCGTTCCTGAAGTATGTCTTGTACATATCCGTGGGTGTACCGCCAGCGGCCTTAATACCATTGGTGATCACGTTTACGTAATAGTTTTTCTGGTCGACTTCAAAGTGCTGCTTTCCCGTGGCCGACCCTCCGGCGACGAGTATAATGACGGTGTCTTGGTCGATGTACTTCACCATCTTTTCGAACCAGGTCTCGTCCGGGTTGCCGCCAGGCAGGTGCGTGAGCGTGCGGACCTTGGTTTTGGCATTGTACGTGGCGATCGCGTCGCACCCGCTCATGCCGAACGTCCAGAGGATCTTGTCCGTGGCCGGCGTAGGCTTCTGAGACATCTTGACCTCGATGGCATTTGACGTTGGTTCCTTGAGACCATTCTTGACAGGCGTGAGCTTGAACGGTTTGGACATGTTGGCTGTTGGCGGCGGCGGGCGGCGTAGTTTTCAGTTGAGTTCTTGCTGCAACTATGATAAGAGATGACTTGATCGGACTCTGGTTGGAGCGTCGATTGTCTTCTGTATGCATAAGCGCCAGCACCGCACGACCACGAAGATTACCCACGTCTTTATACCCAAAAACAAACAATAACGATTACCTTTGTCAGCTGCGTTTCCCTGCTCAGAGTGCTGCGTGATTCGGTAGGAGGCGCATCCATCTGACGGCAGTCAACGTAACCGTATACCAGAAGCGGCCGTTTGTTCAGCCTGCTGGCATCACAATTAGGCCCTGTACATCAGCTCGTCAGCTGCTTACGGCCTGGTTGGACTGGTAAGCTGCACTACGACAAGGTGTCCGTCCCCGGAGATAAATGCCTGTGGATCTTGCAGGAAGTTGCTCTGCCAGCGGCACATCGAGTGGCGCTGTAATGCGGCCAGCGAAGTGTTCGTCTGGATTCGGTGCTGGCTTTCGCCCGCTTCGCCATGGGGTGGGAGTGTAAGATCGACAGCCTGACCTTCTCGCGAGCGGCAAGCCGGTGTAATTCCCTGGCCATGATTGAGAATGTCAAGAAGGTTAACGTCGGCCCGTTGGGGCTCTTCCATCTGTTAAACATTGCGCACTCGAAGGAGGCGACTAACGCAGTCGACTATGTCTATGGCATCCACAGCCTGGCCACCGGGAACGGTCTGACTCTCCCAATGCCAGACTATCGCAAGTCAGTCGAGCAGATCTTCATAGAAACTGCTCGCCACTGTATCGATACAGAAGGCAAATTGACGATTCTGGCAATGGTTGACGGGAAGGCTGAGCCTCCATTGCCATCTTGTGCCCCAAAATTTCCCACTTCGTCCGAGCAGCCAATCATGGGAGATTACAGTGTTTCCTCGGACAGCAAATCATCCTATCGTTTCGATGATTCAGGTCTACGTTTGACCGTCAAAGGCGTCTTTCTCGACTCCGTGCAGTCATGCGGCCGGGCAGTTCCCTACAGACGCGGTGTACTGTCTCCCAGGTTCGATGCCTTGAAGAACGACTTCCAGGGCACCGTCAAATCCGTCGTGCTTGACTGGTTGGGCAGAGTAGTAGAGAAGTTCGAGGCTGACGCTAACGATGCGGTGGACAAGCTGCTCTGGACCATGAGCCTCGACGAACCCACCTCCGATAATCAAGAGCCAGCCATGTTCGACCTCGGCAACTTCAAGTATTATTTCTTTCGAGACGCTGAGAGCTTGTCGGCAAAAGACCAGAGACAGGCAAACTTCATGGTCGAAATTCTCGGTACGAGGCTAAACGGGCGCCGGCTCGTGTTGACAGAATCTGGTTCCATGGGCTTAGGTCCAGAAGCCTGCGAGCCGGGCGACTCTGTTGTTCTCATCGCCGGAATGCGGATGCCATTTATTGTCCGCAAAGCCGGGCTATACTGGAGACTCGTCGGCTGGGCATTTGTGTACGGCATCATGTACGGTCGTTCGTGGCGGGGAGATGAGGGACTAGATGACATAGAACTTGTCTGATTGCTGTGGTTTACTTTTCTCACCTGACCTCGGAGAGTCCGGGCCCTATTGCGCGATCGTTACTCCCTGGCCGAAGGATATCGAGCCTGGCGGCTTATCAGATTGCAGACGCCGACAATACACACTGGCACAGCCACGAGCGCTCGTACTGAGTGATGCCAAATAAGCCGAGCCAGCGCATGCCACATACGAGGCATCACGTCCCCGGAGAAAACGTGTGCGCCCTACTTATGCAACAGAGCTGTCAGCGCTGCGCCGATTCCCGAGGCGCCGCCCTTGAGCAAGACGACGCTGCTCCGCAGGTCGCCGATGAAGGCTGTATTGGAGTCAAAGGAGATCATCATGGCGGTGATTCGGCCGCTGCTGTCTGTACCTCGTATCTGCTTTGAGAAGGGGCTTGGGCCGCGTAAAGAAGCCCATCAGTTAGATATTACATGGTCGTCTGACTGCTATGATAGACGCATTGTCCAGAGCCAGAATTTAGATATTGCAAACACGGATGCAACTCAAGGCCATCGCGTCGAGATGGAGTCTGAGAGGGTCATGCTGTAGAGGCCTGATATCACCGTAGGCAAGGGGGAGTGGGCCGTGGTAGTCATGATAAGGTTTGCCTAGCTTGCGATATTGCCTCGAATCTGACGCGCATAGGCAAAGTCATCAAGTAATTCAAGTGTGATAGATCGTTTGCAGCAGTATGGGTAGTGCTGACAGAGCTCATATTGCATCGGCATTGGTATAGGAGCCCTATAATCGCTCAGCAACGCCTGTTCTAGACTCGGTGAATTGGCCATCCTTCGTTCAGTTGCCAGGACCCGAACTGCTTCCGTAAATATACAAGTACCACTACCCATGGAGTTCAAAAACACGCTTACTGCGCCTTCGTCTTCGCAAGCGCGCCCTGATCCTTGTCAAAGGCCGCATAGGTGACCTGAAGGCTAGACAAGGCAGAGATGCCGACGTACAAGATCATCAGAAGGATGAATCCGACCAGGAAGCCCATAAAGATACCTGCGATATCATTAGCACACTGATTTCTGGCCACGCTATTGGGGGCCTACCAGGTGTGAAGAACTGGTACTTCTCGAACAGTGGCCCATCGACAATGGTCTGATTCGACGCCCTGCGTACTAAGCCAGAGCTGAGATCTCTCTTCATCTCCATGTGCAGCGGATTTTGAACCTCAGCGTCCATAAGGTGCTCCGCTGATGGCTCCGGAGCACCGTGAGCGGTGGTAGCGTAGAGAACTGTGTAGTTACTTGATGGTAACATGTCCAGGATCGATTCAAGGAATGCATCATTGACTGAAAGGTCGTGTAGTCTGTTACTGGTCGTAGGCGCGGGAAAAGCGACAGAAAGCACCTTCGGCATCGACTTATACGAGGGAATGGATCCGCTGGATGCATCTACGTGCAGCACCTCTGCGCCGCACTCTCTCTCGAGAGTCTGCTCCCATCTTGAGACGTCGACCTCTCCGACTACCTCTGATACAGATACGCTGCTTCTGATGTTGGACTGGTGTTTGGCAGAAAGCCTCTGTGCAAGTGCAGGTGTTGTCTTGCGGGAAGCGTAGTCGCCTGCACTAACACCTGGCTGGGAAATGAGGACATAGTGATCTGATGGGCAGTGAGAGAGAGTCGAAGAGATGTCGGAGGTAATGGCTTCGCCGCTTGACAGCTTGTTGGCGGAGCTTAGGAGACTAAGACTATTAGCAACTGGAGGCAGGCAGCGTTCTGGAAGGTAACGTACTCGGACGTCGAGAACATAAAAAAGGGGGAAGTGTCGACATAGCCGTAAGCAGCTCTGGCTGCCGAGAGCGCCAACGCGCACCACTGTATTGAACGCATGGTGGGAGCTGGTTGGTATGGGATGGGCTCAGCTTCTCATCGCCGTCTTTCAATCGAGAGTCGCTGCTACATGACGCCCGCAAGCAATGCCTTGGCGCCGGCAGATCTTTTCACCGAGCAGCCTCGCCAATGCCGACAAGGCTGATAACTTTCTCCCAAACTTCGAGAATATGCGAAGAACTGTGAAGTCTTACAACGCCTACCTTGCCAGAGCACACATGATAGCAACGTGTGGTGTACTCAGAGTAAACCATGCCGCCACCAAACAAGAAGCGGCGCGTCATGCCGGCGCCCAAACTCACGGGACCTCGACCGGAGGAAATCAGCTTCGACCTCTCTGCAAGGAAAGAATACCTGACAGGCTTTCACAAACGCAAAGTACAGCGGACGAAAGCCGCACAAGAGGCTGCAGAGCGCCGTGCAAAAGAAGAGAAACGACTACAACGGAACAAGCTCCGGGATGAGCGGAAACGTGAACTCGAAGAGCGCGTAAAAGTTGTGGATGCGTATATGAAACCAGCGCTAGGAGAAGGTGGAAGCGGTGACATAGAAAGCGACAGCGACGGAAACGACGAAGCGGATCAGGTCTCCGACAACCAGCCTCTGGAAAAGATCGATCACGAGGCAGAGTACGTGGACGAGGACAAATACACAAGCGTCGTGGTTGAAGAGGTGGGTGTGGATAGAGATGGGTTTGTCAGAGCAGGAGGGTCTGAACAGTCTGACGACGAGCCGGCAGCCGATGATAGCACAGCTGGAGACCAGACGGTCGGCACGAGGCCCACGCCCACAGTGAAGCGGAAATGGACGCACGACAAGCCTAAAGACGCTGCATCGAAAGCGAAAATGAAGCGAAAGAAGTTTCGGTACGAGAGCAAAGCCGAGCGAAAAGCAGAGAGGGACAAACAGAAAGCAAAGAACAGCAAACAAGCGAAGGCTCGACGAGCTCAGTAATGGAGGATTTATGTCATTCCATTCTCTGCCTGATTTGTTCAATCCTTCTTCGCTCCAATTGAATGCTCGTGGTATCGTAGGTTCGTAGTCTATGCGCTGGACAATGGTGGCCGTACCACGCATTCAAACCCTGGGCTTTAACATGATGGTAGCCGTCATGTGCTTCGCTATTGGTGTTGGTGGTCGCTGGTAGTAGATGCCGTACAGGAGAGCGAGACAAGCCTAGATATTACCCATGGACTGCTCAAGCTCCTGCAACTCCTTCTGAAGATCGGCGTGTTTCTTGGCCATCTCCTCGTACTTGGCCTCCCACTCGTCGCGGGCCTGCTCGGCAGCCTGAACCTTGCGCTCGTAGTGACCAGCTTTGACATCGGTTTGGCGGAGTCTAGCACAGTTAGTACGTATCGAAACCAGAATGGTCAAGACTTATACTTCTCATTGGTCTCACGAAGGGTCTTGTCGGCGGACTCGGCCTCTTCCTCGAGTAGCTGCAGCCGTCTTGTAAGAGCCTCGTTCTGTTGGCCATGCTGAGAGGCATCGCTAGCGGCAGCTTTGGCTTCCTTAATGCCAGTCTCGAGTTTCTCGACCTCGGCCTCGAGCAGCTGGTTGCGGTGGTTCAACGAGGTGATCTCTTGCTCTTTTTGGAGATTGTCTTGCTCGAGCTCCTTGACTCGCTTCTTTGACTCTTCGGCTTTGGCAGCGTTCTCATCCGCCTCAATGCGGAGAGAGTTCATTTTCTGTACGATCTTAGACTGGGTATTGGACGCCATGGTGGGGTATGTGTGCGGTGGTCGCTTCGGTAAATGATGTGGAATGTCTTGTGTATGAACGGAAGGGAGGGTGAGGATTCAGAGTGGTGGGCGATATTTCAATCGCAGCTGCGACGGCGGAGCGTCACACTGCAGTGAAGGCCAGGTGGTGTTTCGGTGGTGCCTGCCTAGCAACGAGGGTACACTGTGACTGGCGGGGCAGATGCGTAGCAACACTTACCTCCTTGATGCGGTCCATGGTGGGCAAAGGTCAAGCAGTTCGAGTACTGAGTGGTAGGCAAAAATCGAGGAGTAAATGGTAGTATGCGGACGAAGCGGAGGAGCGGTCACGATATAGTTGATGTTGTGAAGTGGGATGAAGACAGAAGCCGCACCAGAGGCTTGGTTCGGTCAGGGTCAGGACGTGTGGTCTTTGTTCAGTGGGTCACCTTTGTCTCATCCAGTTAAGCCAGCGCCCCCAAGGCCAGGCCTCTGCGTTTTGTTACTGTGGTAGGCCGCTTCGGGCGGCCCCTGAGTCGATCATTCAACCCCCCAAGGCTTATCGCATGCCCCGCTTGCCTTATCACCATTGGGCCTGGCCGAGGATTTGCTGAGCTACGACCCTCGGTTACCTAGCGCAACCACCTGTCAACAATCATCCCCGATCTCATTACGCGTTGTTCATCGACAACCTTTTACTGCTACAGGTACACTAACAAGGATATTGAACAGCAACAACATCGAAAATGTTTGCAGCAAGAGATCAGGAGAATCTGGTTCACGCGCATAACACTACGGCTGCTAGCAAGCCACTGAACCAGGGAATCCGGGCGCTGCATCCCAAGACACCTGGGCCGGCGAAGACGCCGTTCAGAAGAGCTCTGAATGACGAGAACAAACCCCTGACGCTCAAAGGCCAGAAGACTGTACACAAAGATGGACCGAGCAAGCTCGATAAGAATGCTTTTGTCACGCCAGCGCCGAACAGAGCCCCCTTGGGCATGAAAACAACAAATGCGAAGGGAAATGCATTGAAGACTCCGGCGCCGCAGCAAAGCGCGAAGCCCGAGAAATCCATCAAGAAGCCGTCGACTGCTCGGCGATCCGCCAAAAGCAAGATCGTCGTAGCTCCCACCGAGCCTGTTCATGCAGATGTCTTGACCCAGGAGGCGGAAGATGATGATGAACCAGAGTATGGATACGCTCCACCGCCAATCGTCGAGTTGCCAGATCCTCCTATGGAATTCGGATATAATCAAGACTTCCCCCAATTCCAGGGTAAGAACATGTTTAAGGGGTATGGCGAGATATATTGCACATCTCCTACCGACGAGAATGGCATGTCGTTGCGGAAGAAGGCCGAGGAAGAGACGCGCAAGCAGTGGATTGAAGAAATGGAGAGAGAAGCTTCTAAACCGCCGCCGATGCCATCGTTGCCCACGGAAGAAGAGCTAGATGCCCAAGTTGACGCCATGATCCTGGCTGGGCCAAAGCAATCGAGAGTTAACACAGTCAAAGCCAGATCGGCGGCAGCAGCTCTGTCAAAGCCTACTGCGTCACTCCCGTCAGCAGCCATGAAAGAGACCAAAGCATCAGAGCAAAAGCGAAAACCGCTGGACTCTGTCGGTGCGCCCAGTGTCGGCCGTCGGACACCCTTAGCCGTATCAAAGGGCACAATTGGCTTTCCCAAGGCTAAACCTGCAGCGTCAATCATTCCGAAGGCCGATCAGCTTCGACAGAAGAAGACAGCACAGAAGCCCAAGGTTGACCAGTCTCAGATCCACCCGAAGGAGTTCGTGCGACTGTACGGTCAGCCTCCTGAAGAGAGCAAGATGTGGTTTCGGCTGAAGGAGTTTGAGCTACTTGAGCGGGAGGTTGAAGGTGCCGAGCTTGCCGACGAACTCTTTGACACCGACTTCTTCACTTCGGGCTCGAATGATGCGGTGGACGATGACGACGATGTTTTCCAGTTGCCCATGCCCGAATGAGCGTTCCGCCCGCCAGCGTTTCATTTGTAACACCACTACTGCCTGATATTCAGACAACCTAGGGCGATCGAGAAGACTGGTAACGGACGGGGTTCGTACTTCACAACGTCGCACTGGCTTGCACGGTGTCCTTTCTGGCTTTGACCAGCAAGACTATTACGATATTCGATACCCTTACGAACAAATTTTTTACTACAAGCATCATTAGAACCAACCAGCGAGACGAAAAACTTGTACGATCATTGATCACTCATTCCTCAATAATGATAATCTCGTGCTTTTGTCATCCACTCCACAGCTCGGCAACAGCTTCGAAAGTCGTGCTTCACGGTAGCTCATCGACCGCGCCATTGACACCCTTCTCACCGTTCGCCTCCTGGCCAAAGCCTTTCGGCGCCTGCGTGACGGTGAAGCACCAGCCGAACTGATCCTTGACCTTGCCGGCCTGCATGCCCTTCAGCGTCGACAGGAGCTTCTCGCACACCGGGCCAGGATCCAGCTTCTCGTTGACCGGATACTCGAACTTGTCGCCCTTGCTCTGCATCGTGATGCTCTTGATGGGCACCAGACTGGCGGCGGTACCGCAAGCCATGACCTCGTCAAACTCCTTCAGCTCATCATACGCGATACTTCGTCTCTCCACCTTGTACCCGAAGACATCCTGCGCAATCTGGCACGCTGACTCGCCCGTGACGCTCTTGATGACGTTCTTGCTATCCGGCACCACCACCGTCGTCTGCTCGCCATTCTTTTTCACGCCTAGGAATGCTGAGGTCGAGAATTCGTCTATCTCCGTCCTCGTCTTGCTGTCCAGATGCAGGGTGATGCCGAAGCCCTGGTTCCTCGCCTTCTCGCTGTGTCGCAACACCGGCGCATAGTTGCCACCGACCTTGGCGCTCCCTGTGCCCTCTGGTGCCGCACGATCAAAGTCCTCGAGGATCAGTGCGTCCACGGCGTGGACTCCATGGTACACGCCTGTTGGCATCACAAACACGCCGAATGTGTACTCGTCTGGCGGGCTGAGTCCCAGCTGGGCGCTGCTGCCGAACAGCAGTGGTCGGATATACATCGCGGCGCCGGTCTCGTGTGGTGGGACGAACTCGGCGTTCATCGCCACCGCCAAGTTCACGCACTTGACGAAAACGTCCTCCGGGACAGGAGGTACGGAGATGTACGAGGCAGAGCGTTGCATGCGAATGGCGTTCTGATCGGGGCGGAAGATGGAGATGGAGCCGTCGGGCCGGCGGAAGGCTTTCATGCCTTCGTAGCATTGCACGCCGTAGTTGAGACCAGGGGCCATGCCGTGGATGGAGAGATGTGGGGAGGTGACCCATTTCGGGGACGACCAAGTTGCACCATCGCTGTGGGAGAACTTGGACTCGATGTGGCCATTCACCTCGCGGACCTTGAATCCGACATTGGCCCAGTCTGAGATTGGTTAGACGTGGTTCTGGAGGAGGATCGAGGAGAGACTAACCTATTGCTGAAGTGGGAGGGGGAGGGAAAACAGCCATGATGAGATGGTCGAATTTACGATGAATGAAGTGGTCTGACGGGCTTCGGGGACCGCTGGTGCTTTGTAGATCGTAATCCTTGATCTCTCTGTTGGCTTTTCCAAGAGCTGGCGGCCAGCAAGCAGGGCAGACGGTGTTTGAGCACCAGAATTGGTAATCGTTCTCTGCTGCTTCGGGAGCTTGGTGATGTGCGCGAGCACAGACAATAGCAGAGGATGTCCAAGTCAGCACAGAGCAAGGTCGTATCTGGCCAATTCTTGTAAGATCAACAGCTTACGCTTTCAGCACACCGTTCGAATTATGATTTTGTGGTTACACCGATACCGGGGCAGCCGCCTGTCACGGTACCTTGCCTTAGCGGAACTCGTCTAGTGGGGAAACCAGTCCGAGTCGAGCCCGGGATTCATGCCAAGCTTCCGCATCCCGTCTCTGTCGCGTCTTCAGCCGGGTATGTGCAGGTCTGCGTGAAATCATCGTTCCACGTTCTTGCTTGTCCCTTCCTTTCGCACATCGCAGTAGTCGGCCTCCAGGCTGCACCACCGTCACGATGCCTCGAGCACCTCCGCCGGGCATGATCCTTGTTACCGCCATTGCTCTTTTTGTTTGGTTCATGTTCTGGGTTGGTCAACAAGAGCGGCCCGGCGATCGACTGGCTGTAGCACCTGCTCCCATGCCAAAATGGATGAAACCAAAACAGCCCAAACCGCCCATACCGACCGTTGGACCCATCACTCAAGCAGGTGATCCGATTATGGGGCATCTTGGCAACGAGACGCTGAAAGAAGAGTTGGGCAGGGCTGCTTGGAAGCTATTTCATACCACTATGGCCAGATTTCCAGATGAGCCTACTCAGGATCAGAGCGACGCTCTCAAAAGCTATCTTTACCTTTTCGCGCGACTGTACCCTTGCGGCGAATGTGCCGAACACTTCCAGGCGCTGCTCAAACAGTATCCTCCACAAACGTCGTCAAGGTCGGCAGCGGCAGCGTGGGGCTGCTTTGTGCATAATCAAGTCAACGAGAGGAAGAAAAAGCCCATATTTGACTGCAGCAATATTGGTGATTTCTACGACTGCGGGTGTGGTGACGATGAAAAGGAGCAAATGTCGAATCTAGGAGCGAAGAGTACGGCTGTTGCAAAGGCGGAACCGATAGATGTTGAAAGAGAAGGTCCTACACGAGGGGGATAATGGTGCAGTTCCCTATAACGCTATTGATAGCGCACCAGAATTATCGCCTGGCATCACAAGACCGACTCGCAGTGGTTGTCCGTGATTCTCCCCTCAACCCGAGCGTTATAATCCTCCAACCTCACGGCCTGAAATGCATCCGCCACCGATATCTCGTCACAGCAGGGACTGGCTTTCTTGTGCCGCCGAAAGACGGGAAAGATCCGTGCGACCGGGCCTTTCTCCGCCTTCAGACTGGGCAAGGCGCCCCATACAGACCCAGTCTTTGGTGTGACTGGGGAGACTGGAAGAGAGGGCGATATCGTCGTTAATAGAGACACGAGATCGATATCTGCCTCAGCGCGGAACGGATCCAGCGTACGATATCCAATATCGACAAAACAACGTGCTGGGATATACCACGTATCCTCGAAGACCTTGGGATCTCTGACGCGAGACTGCTGACGTCGTTTCTGCTTCTCATAATCTTGAGCGCATCTCCGACATTGTCCTTCGAGAAACTTGTTTGTGTCTCTAATTCGACAACTTCGGCCTTCGGATTGTTGGCAAAGCTGATTACGAAAGCGATGCGTCGCTGGGTGTCCACAACAGAAGAAGTACTGGACCGTGATACACATGGCTTCTGGGTCAAACGGTAGTGCTCGAGAAGGGCATGCTCGGCCGCGCGCAGCAGCTGCATATACCGAGATGATGATTTGCCACGTAACCTCGCTGCGTGGTATGGCCGGTCAAGTGTACAAAGAACAATGTGCTGAGAGTGCTTTTAATCCTCTTAGCTCCTTGGGTCGATGTTCTGAACCACTGGAGAGTCAACAAAGCCTTGGTCTATGGCCGAGACCGCGCAAGAGGCGTTGCACTGGCCACCGACGGTTCCGCTTTTAGATTGAATGCCTTGGGATACGTTCCAGACGCGGAAAATCATCTGCAATGGACGGTCCACCGGCTAATGGGGCCCCTATCCATAGAAGCCCGTACCTATAATATAAATAATTGATATTGTCTAGAACCGTGTAGCTTATATTGTGCCTGTAAGTACCCAATCTTCCCAAATATCTGCAGCCTCAACTCTCGAAGATTTTGTTAAATTCTTCGTAAACACGACAATCAATTGCTCTGTCTCTTCAAGAGCCCGACAGCGGAGCAGAGCAGAGCAAAGCAGACCCCTGCTTCTAGTGTACACGCGAGGCTGCCAAAATGCGGCTCTTGTCAGGGGGCGACGGCCTTTAAACTGTATCGAGCGACTGGACGCCCATTGTTAAAAAAAGAGAAAACCACCTCTCCGAAACTTCCGTCCACGTGGGTCAGCAGTGACGTTACTGTAGGCTGATCTGGCGGTGACGGTGATAGACATCATCTGCTGTGCGAAAACATTACATTTAGCGATTTCGCTCTTCGTTCTCTATTCTACTTGAACTAGCGTATTGTATCTCTCATTTATTACTATTACTATTATCATTACCCTCTATAGTCGCGTTCCCGGATATCTTGAATATTTTTTTTGGCCTGGCACGTCGTGAACAGAGGTTGATAAGTCTGGGTAGGATATAGACAGGCCCAGTATTGGAGTAGGCACAGAAAAAGAAAGGCATCAGGTCCGCGAGCACAGCGTCCCACACACCATGGCAGCCCGCCGCAGCGACAACGAGGACAATACGACCGGCGCACCACTTGGTCTTAGCCGCACCCCGTCGGACGCGCTCAAGGAACTGATGCGCCACCACCCACTCCAGAGGCTCTCCTCCCCCTCCCGCGAACTCTCCCTCGCCGTCCACGCCCTCGGTCTCAGCTCCTTCGCCTACTCGTTCTGGTACCTGACCGCGCACCCCAACCACATCAACCGGGCGTACGGCTGGCATTTCCAGTATCTGACCATCATCGGCCTGCTGCTCGCGACGCTGACCTTCAGCTTTGGCGTCTTCGCCGACGTGACCCTCTCGCGACGCCTCTTCCAGGCCAAGAACCTGCTCAGCATGACCTCGGCGCCCATGAGCGTGCTGATCTCGCTGCTCTACTGGGGGCTGCGCGCCATCGATCCGGAACTCGTGGTGCCCAAGGAGTTGGAATTGCCGCTGCCGCCAGACCTGAGTTTTCATCTGGCGCCGGCGGCGTTTTTGGTGGTGGATCTGTTGCTGTTCAGTCCGCCGTGGACGATTACGGTGGGGCCGGCGTTTGGGTTGAGCGCGGTCATTGCGTTTGGGTACTGGTTTTGGATCGAGCATTGTTTCCGGCAGAATGGGTTCTATCCGTATCCGATTTTCGAGCTGGTGGGGACGGCGGGGAGGGTGGGGTTGTTTGGTGGCAGTGCGGCGCTGATGGCGGTCAACACGTCGGCGTTGAGCTGGGTGTATCGGATGGTAAATCGAGCGGGGGAGGAGAGAGTGGGCGAGTTGAAGAAGCAGCAGTGAGAGAAAATCTAGATCCAGTTGGAGGGTGTGGTTGCTGTCCAGTCACCTGAGGTGTATTTGGGTGGAGGCTCAGAGGGTAGTTCCACCGGGCTCGAATTCCCGTTGAGGAGGCGTGGGAAGCGGTCCTCAAGCTCGCACAGCACGTCTCTGCACAGGTCGAGAAAACGGTGTAGTGGCAGCGCGGACAGTCGTTGCCGGGCCGAGTTACGCTTCGGGTGCATGGTCGCAAAAGGCTGGAGGGCTTTGAGCTGGTCGCTATCTATCAGGCCCTGCATCAGGGCCTGGGCTTGTCGTCGGCGCAGCTCATCAAAGACATCGGTGCAGAGATCGTTGAAGTTGGCGAGTGAAACCCGTTGCAGTCTTTGACGTATTGTGGATGGTGAAATGGAGCCAGGGATGGTGGTTACGAAGCTGACCAGAGCCGCATGGAACACGCTTATGTCACCAGCGAAGTTCTCCTGGGCCATGGCTGGTGATGGTGCGGAGGTTAGAGGAGGGATCAAGAGACAGTAGAAGCAGATAACGTGTCCACGACTTAGGTGAGGTATAGAGCTAGCTAGCAGAAGATGCACATAGATCTGAGAGCCTGCCCGGCTGACTCGGCACCCACCACATGGTTGTTACGTACATGAGCAGATGGAGTCAACGTCTCGGTAACATCCGAGCTTTCGTGTTTGAGCGTTTCAGGTGGACCATGTGTACCGGTCCTTGCATACCACGCAAGCTAAACACGCTCCTGGCGATCTGCAGGAGGAGTCAGGCCACGCTTCATTCCTTGCTCCTGCCCTGTTCGTGACAGCTGGAAGAGACGAAGCCTACCGCAACTCGATCACTCCCTGGTAAATCTCGTCGTCAGCGTTTGGTCTTTGGATGGCCCTTGGACTTCATGGATGGTTTCCCATGAGCCAAGCGCCGCTGCTTTCATTTCATCCAACGGCGTGCTTTCTTGCATGAAGAATATGTACGATGTGGAATAGAAGTCCTCGACGCAAAGATGGCCGCCACTACCATGTGCCACTCTACCACCCTCAGCCACCGTCAGGTCAACGTTGTGGAAAAGATAGTCCACCTGGTCCGTGCCGGGCTTGGTGAACCACACACTCATCTCTGGGTCATCGCCAGCGACCGAAAGCCTCCAGACATACTTCTTCGAGAACGGCACTTTGACATGGTTTGGTAGCTGGAACTCGCCATTCTCACGGTAGAGCATCTCGGCATCCGCCAGATGCAGCTTGCCGTCTTGATCCAAGACCGGCGACGGGGCGCGGGTCTTGAAGGTCGCTGTTCCCACACATCGGCCTGACGGCTCGCTGGCGTTGGCACTCTGCAGGTCCCGATCTAGCAACCATGTGCCAGCCAGAGAGTCCCACAAGGTGTGCAGATAGGTCGCACGAGACATGGTCGGCGGTGATACGCCGAGTCACCGGTTTGTGGCGCGCGACCTGACAAGTGCGTGTCCTGGGTACCTGCAGCGATGCCACGTGTGAACACACTGTAGTGACACAATACTGTGGTCGTACTCGTTCTTTACTGCTGAAGACTTCGACTTGCTGTACCTACTGTTTCGTATGCGCCGTAGAGTCAACCAAAGAAGCATTCCTTCTCAGTGGCCGATTGGTCTGTTTGCATATCATAGGCAATTCGAACCGGCTGATGATCTCTTTAACCTTCGGGGCGTTGTCGGCGTTGTCGGCGTTGTCCAAGGGTTCAAGGGTTCTCAACTGCTCGTCCCCACCGGATGGCGCATTGCGGGGATCATGGATTCCACCCGGCGGAATTGTGGGCATGTCGCAATTTCACTTCAGCTGCACTCACAATCCAGTCATCCACTATCGCGCTGCGAAAAACAACATCAGCCAAACTGACCCTATTGACTGGTCATGCAACATGAGTCTATGAGGCACGTATCAGGGCCAGTTCCTGGGAAGATAGGAGACCGAGAACCAGGGAGGCTGGACGCCCCTTACAATCGCGCTGCCCATGCCCGGCGCATCCCATTGGGCCACCACGATCTCTTAACCTTGCCTGTCGATGAACCCCGGTCGTTCTTACACACCCGCCTCCCCACCACCGTTTATCCTTTCTTGTTCGAAAGTCCCGGAGTCTCATTCAGATCCCCTCCACTTTTCGCCTCGACTTCTTCTCTTCGTCGCGTCATGCCACCACGACATGCCTCACACTCGCTTTTCATGAAACCTCGCCGACCCGGCAGCGTCTGTCGCTCCGGCAGCATCCTATACAACTGACCATCGATCGCTACAGCACTATCTGCTCCACGCTCGCTTGCAACCCCGACGTCCCGCAAAAGAATAGCACTACATAGCACAGGGCCATCATGAGGCCGACATTACAGCTCTTCGCACTCCTCCTCACACCTCTCCTTTCCTCCGCACAAAACTTCGTCCCGTCAACTGGACTCGGCAACTTCCCAGCCTGCGCCGCAAACTGCGCCGTTCTACAACAAGCCCAGAGCACGTGTCTGGCCCAAACCGGCCAACAGAGCTCCAGTCTCGCGGCCGAGAATTGCTTCTGTCAGTCTCCCACCCTTCAAGCACTCTATACTACTCCCGATGCCGTCTGCGTGGCCGAATGTCCGACTCAGCAACCTGATCGCGTCAATCTGCGTACCTGGTTCACCAGCTTCTGCTCTCAAGTCGGCCAGGGAGTCGACCCAAATGCCCCAACGACTAGTACTACCATCGTCACCTCGACTAGCACCAATACTAATGGGCCCACCTCAACCTCTGGCTCCACGTCGTCAGGACAGCAGCAATCCAATAACAAGGACGAATCATGGTGAGTATCCGGCTATGACTCCTGAAGCAAGTCTGATTGTGCTAGGTTTGCCGGTCATTGGCAGTGGATTGTGATGGTGATCGTTTTGGCAATCGGATTGGGCGCTCTCGCATGGCTTCTCATCTTCCTCAGAAACCGCCACAGGCGAAAGCTTGACGAGCGCAGAGCCCAGATTGGTGGTTTCCCCACCGAGCGCGAGAAGGCGAGAGGAGCTCAATCCGCGACTCCCGACTTATGGGGTCCTCATCAGGTTGGCAGCCTTGCCGAGTGATACGAGCTGGAAAAACTAACTCGTCTTAGCATATGGCCGCATCCCAGGGATGGGACTACCATGAGGATCCGACAGCGATCGGAGCGGGCGGACGCCTGGAGAGGCGATCAAGGAGTCAAAGACCCGAAGCGGGAGAACGACGGCACTCGTCTCACCGGCGCGCAGCACACAAGCCTGGTTCCAAGACGAGACACGCCGTGAACGAGGTTGACGAGCAGAGATCGAGCTCCGCGAAACGACACCACTCTTCCAAGCGGAGATCCAAGGCGGATCCGGACGCAATAGAAGTACACCGAGATCCCAGCGCAAGCCAGAATCGAAAAGGGCGGTCGCGAGGCGGCAAATATGATTTCGACAGAGACGTCGAGGGCCAGTGAGCCAGCTGGCTGCGTCAGAAGCTCAGACGCCGGCGAAACGGAGGAGCTAACATCTATAAGCCCCATCAAGACCTTGGTGTGTATATTACGAATCCACGGCGGAGCATGGGCGCTTGGGTACAGCGGCGCTCTGCGGGTTTACTGCATATACACCTACACAAAGCTGCGATAGCCGGTGGGGGCATGTGTTATGAGGTATGAATGTTCTGAGTTTATGTGAGTACTATTCAAAGACGGGTTTTCCGCACCTATCTGCATATTCTACCTGCCTCTGCGTTTCTCGGTTTGCAGTTACACACCTATCTTGTACTTAAGGTAGGTGCTTCGATATTAGAAACTCCCAGTGGGATCTCAGGTTCGAATGACCTAGGTCTTGAATGCGTCCCTCACTGCTTCAGCCCTCACTCTTGTGCGTACGAACCAGCAATTCTGGCACAAAGCTCTTCTACTACCTTCTGTGCCACAGGTTCGCGCCTATGTTGACTACTTTCTCACTTGTGACTGAGTGGGCTGGGCTGGGCTGTATCGGTCTCCAGGAGGACTCGAGCATTCACTCGCTGCGGACATTCACTGCTCAACACAGACGGTCCCTCCCATATCTTGACCTTCCTTTCAAGCCGTTGGCTTCTTGTCGCCCCCTTACCACGAATCAGCTCATTCTTCTTACATCTGGTAAGCGGAGGTACATTACTCCTAGTGGGGGAGTATTAATCTGCTCTGAATCAACTCCGAGAGAGGTTCTTTTCTTCAGCCATCACCGAGTCATTCCTGAGGCGCCTTCGCTGGGTTGACAACCTCTCATCCGAGTCCCAACAACTCTCGTCTCTCGCCTGGACCAAGTTCTTCTCCCATCTCAATCCTCCGTTCTTTCCCACAATCGTATGGCACGTTCAACGACCTCTATCGAGCTTCGACTCAACAGTCTGTGAGCCTTCAGGCTTGGATTGACAGCTCGGGCCCACCGATCTAACAGTCGCTTTTCAGTCTTCTTTCAATCTTCGCCTTTCTTTCCAAGACTACGTCTAACCCCATCGTCTCTTCTTAAGACTATCACACATTTCTGATCCTCTACGTCGACAATCCCACTCTCAACAACCAATAATGGAACCTGCAAGGATCTCTCAGCGCTACGTTGGGCCTCCCACCCTTGGCCCGATCCTAGAGACTGGACAGCGTCGAGCACTCATCGGTTGGAAGCATAACCGAGATACCGTCGCCGCTCTTCCCAATGGCCAACTCTGGTGTTGGGTGTCTCAAGGCAAAGGTCAAAGACCCCCAGGCCAGCCCAAGTTGCAAATCTTTGATACTGATGGCAACCGGTCGAGGTTCTTTGGTCCACGGATTGACTGTGGAGTGGCCAACTTCAGCATGGTCCGTATGTTCCACCCATACTGGTGTCCCAATGGCCAGATTCCTGTGGATATGGACTCTGATGACAAACGGAGATGCCGAGACCTCTATCATGAGCTCATCGACCAGAATATCGATGACTATAACAACAATGGCTCAGACGACGATGACGATGACGATGGCGATGACGACGACGACGGCGGCGGAGGTGGTGGTGGAGATGGAGATGGCGACGACGGCGACCGGCAGTATCGGCGTTTTAATCGCGAAGAGAACGGCATCTTGTCCAACGCTCGTACCCAAGGGATCATACGCAGTGGCCCCTGGAAGCGACAGATGGCTGAGCGCCGAGAAAAGGTCATGTGGGACGAGTGGGAGGAGCAATTGCGCCAGAAAGGACAAGCTAGCGACCGACGACGACTCGCTGCTGCAAGCCGCAACCGGGCTGGGCGCAACGCCATCGCTGCTCGGCGTGCAGCTCGCTTCAACCGACAGTCTACTGGAAGCAGCTCTGATAGTCAGCAGCAGCGCCAAGCTAGACGCGATGCTATGCAGAACGACCAAGCTAGGATGCGCCGTGAGCGGCGCGCTCGCAATGAAGCTGCTAGCAGTAGTAGGCTTCAATCTCAGATCATCAGTGACTCGGAGTCGGACGATGGAGGTGACTATGGTGATATCATGCACGGCGGCGAGGACGACGAGCAATTCTTGCGAGATGCGCTCATGTACAACGCCACCAACGGCGTCATTGAATTGGACGATGATGATCTGAACGTGAACGGAAGTGGGTATGGATACGCCAATGCCCTTCAACAGCATGATGAGGAATACGAGCAAAAGATGTTCGTGTCTGAGTCTAGCGACAACAATTCTAACAATGGCAATCATCCGGATAGCAATGCCGGCGACAGCCAAGAAGGCAATGCCAACAATGACATGGCTAGCGACAACGATGTCCCCAACGATCCTGCTCGGAACTCCAATGAGCCGAACACTCGTGGCGGCAGCAATGACAACGCCGACCAAACCCCCAGGGGCGGTAACGGTCGTGCTTCCTCCCTGGCTTCGCACAACTCAAACCGTAGCATCAAAGAAGAGAAAATCAAGCAGGAGCAAGCCGTGGATCTTGAAGCACTGGAAATTGACCCCGATGAAGTTGAGGTCATGGGTGAACGAGTGATCAACCCACCTCCGCAACTCACGGGTGCTGGTAGCCTGGATGACCCTTTTGCCTTCGACCGAGTGGTGGAGGATGAATTTAAGCAAAGATCTGATTTTTCGATCGCGTATTCGGAGATGAAAGGACCCCTTGAGCTGTATGAGAATTCCTGAACGAGGTCCGAATACGACGTGTCACGGCTGGTGCAGTGCTAAACAATGCAAGACAACGCAACGGCTACTTGGGCGCAGGGAGGAGAACGAATGGTTTTGAGCTGACTTTGCTTCCACTTGACCAGGACAGGTACCAGAGGTTGGATGGATCGGAGAGGCGGGGAGAGATAGACGGGAGAGACATACAGGACAAGCTACAAGGATGAGATGCGCTGACTTTATTCATCACGCACAGCTTGACCGGTGGACAGGCGACATATAGAGCACAGACACGCTTCGGGCAGCGGCAAACGAGAGCACAGCAACGACACAATGATATTAATCGAGACCCCTTGCGCAACCCGCTTTGGCCACAAACAACACAAACGCACGCACGCAATCCCCAGGTCCACGGCACAACCGTACCCAAATGCCCTGTACAATCAACGATCTCAGCGTCTTGACTTCCTATCTGACTTACCCTTACCCTCAACAGTGGTACAAACCACTCCATTACCTCAGCTCAAAGACCGAAGAACCACAGCACGACCTCCCCTCCCCTCCCCTACCCTCAGTCCCAGCATGCGATATGCCCTCACTCCGCCTCCGCCCCGCCCCAACGCCCTCCTCCTCGTCCACCTCGTCATCCTTACATCGCTCCAAATCGCCTAAAAGCGTCGATGTCGCCTCGGCGAACACTACTAGCGCATCTCGCAGAAACAGAAACTCGCCGGAGTCTTCGTTTCCGGTGCCCCGGTCTCCTTTCGGCGGTGAGTTACTTCAGTGAGAGCTGGCTCCTCCTCTCTTAACACTGATAGCGTGGACCGGCCCACCCAAAACGCCGCTGACACCGCACTTTGCCCGCAAGCTACCTACGCGAGTCATCACGCTCCTGGGCCTCGCCGTCATCCTCCTCCTCTGCTGCCTCCTCTTCGCCGCCGTGTGGGACATACGTGGAAGCTGGATCCCAGGCTTAAGTCGACCACTACTACTTACACCAAGTTCAACAACGGCATATATTCAACATGCCGTGAGCAGAGCCACCAGTGATCGGGGCCGGCACTGGAGTGGTGAAGCCAATGCACCGCCAAGGCAAGACAGCTCCTACACCGTCCGACCGCCAGAACCCTTTGTGCCGCAGTTCCCATCTATTGCGCTCCCTGTGCGCGATGACCCAGCTTTCCAGGATCCTGGAGAGCCTGGGCACGAGGCGTGGCTGCGTATGCTGCCAGCGGGCAATGGACTGGTACAGGTACGATATCCGAGTCAGTACGGGTTGCCGAGATCGGAGAAGCAGACGGATGGGTATGGCCGGGAAGTAGCAGATGTGGAGGTGTACGAAGTGGCCGTGGTGAGGGAGCTGGAGTGTCTGCTGGTGGTCAGAGAGCTGCTGGGTAGGTATGAGGAGCTGGGGAAGGGATATCACGGGCAAGGCGGGGGAAAGCAGGGCGAGGTTGTGCAGGACTGGGAGCGTGTGGATGCGTTGAGGTGTTTGGATCATTGTAAGTCATTTTTGATTCTTGCTTCTGGGGTTGGACGGTTGGGGTGCTGACTGACAGCAGTGAGGCAATCAATTCTTTGCCATGCAGACACAACGCTGGAGCGCGTAGGACAGCATGCACAGAGGGCAAGCAGAGATCATGGACAAGACGACACTCCTGTGCCAGACCTTGACAGCAGTAGTGGAACGACGCGAGTGTGCAAAGATTGGTCCAAGATCAAGCACTGGTTGGAGGAACACCGCGCCGACAAGAAGCACTGAAGTCGAAGGAAGGACGTCATGCTGCCTGATGCTGATGGCAAGTCGAGAATTGAGCATGAAATGGGCTCAGAGCAGGATCTAGAGAAAGACCATCCAGGTTACTACTTTCCAGCAGAAATGGCTTCCCATTCTCTCTCAGATCTCTTCCTGCTCAACCTCTACCGCCCAATTCCTTTCTCCTCTTCCCGGCAGCCCATGCTACCTATGCTCAGGCTCCGCCCTTCAGCCTCTTCTCCAGATTCTCCTTCGCCAGCGCCAGCAACTTCTGCACGCCTGCAACCTGCTTGCTATCCAGCATCTCCACGACTCGCTTGACTTTCTCGCCAGTCTCGTCGACCTCAATGACGAACATGTACTCGTTGAGGAACTGCCAGTCGACGGAAGGATCATCTGCGATCGAAACTTGCGTCAGTTTCAATCACCACTTGAGGAAGGAAACAAGGGTTGCTAGATGGAGCAGGGACGGGGCGAGGTGGCGTCTGCCGCAAGCAGCATCCCCCTGCCTTTTGCTCTCTTCTCTTCACTCCTTGACTCTTCCGCCAACCCACAGCATTGTCCACGCATCCCTCCCACTCCAAGCCAAAGAAAAGGCAACAAACAGGAGTCCTAGTACTCACCACCTTTAATCTCATCCCTGAAGAACGCCTCACTCTTCGCCCACACCGTCACCACAGTCCCCCCTTCCTCCCGCTTCCCCTCCCACACCTCGATAGGCGTGACCGGAAAGCGGTACACAAAAGCGTGAATGCCCCGCAAGTGTTTCTCGTGCTGCTCGTTGCTCTGCCCCGCCGGCGAGTAACCCGTCGACGCCGGAGCCATGTGCCATGTGCAGTCCGGGGTGCGGAGGCCAATGTTAGCGGCGACATCCATGGGCTCGAATGTCGCCAGTAGGGCGAGGGCGGTTTCTTTGGCGGGCATTTTTGGAAGGGTGTTGTGTTGATGGCGTTTGCGGTACTCTCGTGGTTTAGTACTTAGTCTGGGGTTTGCGGCGTCGTGGACAGTCTATGCCGTACTGTAAGCTCTATCAGATACTAAGTGCAGGAGACAGCGGGAAACCTTTAAGGGCTTTATACCTATTCAGATCTCACCGTATCCCCGTGCACTGGACGCCTCTCTCGGTGATCTCCCCCGCATAAATACCTGAATACCACTCCCGCTCGGACGAATCAAGCATCTAAACTCCGACCTCACTCTCGCCCTCACCTCGCCTCACAAGCCCGGCCGCCTCACCTGCCGCGGAACCACGCTTGCATAAAATCCAGCCCCCGAGGCCCTGGACGCCTCATGAAACCTGGCAGACGACTCTCTTCTTAAAACGCTCGAATCGCGCGCCAGCCACCCGGAAAGTCCACGCTCGATCTGCCAGCCGAAGCCGAAAGGTGTCATAGCGAAAGGCGCAAAGCCAAGCGTGCTCTTGTAATCATATGATATGATAGGACCTCGACGCAATAAAATCATGTAGGTAGATTCGCAAGGGCATACATGCAACGTCGAGGAGTCTGACAACAACAGCAACAACAACAGCAACAGTAGGGTATCGGCCATATCACATAACCAACCTATGTAGTCACCAACAGAGCCCTTGTAAGCTTCACTTCACTTTACTCATCTTGTCGGGCCGCCCCATAGCATAGCCGTCAACGCATGGCCGCCAACGTCAATGTTCAGGGTCAGATTCCGGTCTCACTCAGCTTTCACGGCACTGTATTTGTAAGTGTGTTGAAAAGTGTCTCTCCGCCTCCGCTGGCTGAGTGAGAAAATTGAACGTTACAGTACAGCCCACACCTCCCTCCCTCCCTCCCTCCCTCCCACCTCTATCCTCACTCGCTCGCTTGGCTGGCTTGGCTCGGCGTTGCCTGCATCTCTCTCCCAAGCACAAGCGGTACACCCTCACCTCCCCGCAATGTGTAGCTTAAGTATAGCGAGGGCGAAAGGTAGTTGTTTTATGGCTTACAAACCGCACTCAACAACGAAGCAGCCACGGAGGGGAGGGGCGGGGTAAAACCAGCATGAAATGAAAAGTTCAGCAGGGCAGTGTATGCATTGCTCAGTAGATTTCGATCTTCGATTTTCGATTCTGGCAGTCTTATCTCACCCCCCTCGATCCCCTCTCCTTGTTCCTGTTCTGAATGGGCAGCTCTGTCTGTGTCTCTTCCGCCCCCTCCCGCCCCTTGCCGGCGTAGTCGAATCCAAATACACAATCACTCCCTTATTCACCACCCTTTCCCCCCAAGCCCCCATATGGACAGGACACCAGTCCAAAGATGCAGCAGTAGCGGTAGCAAGTTGCAGTGGAAGGAAGGTGTTTTTATACAGCCAGTCCGACCGACCCCGATCCCGTTACTACACAAAATCCCTGCCACAACCACCTACCCGCCTTTCCCTGCCTCTTCTGCTCCCACCACAACATTAAGGTACTAACCATTGACCAAATATATAAGAAAAACCGAACGAGAGACATATTGTATCGGCCCGTTGTTTCTTTCCCTGTTGTGGGCCTGCGCTTGTCATGCAAAAAGGAATGCTCTTCAATTGAACCCCGTCCGTCCATCAATATCACGTGAACACGTCGTCCGGGCGCACCGACCGGGGCAATAAAGTCGAGTTCCGCGTATTCTTTCGTCTCTGTGTGCTGCTGTCTTTGCGGAAAGAACATGGTTTCTCGATCTCGACCTCTCCTGCACGCGCTTGCAGACGTGATCACGTCTCCCTTGCCTTCGAGCCCGTTCATCAATGTGCTCAACTCGGAAGTGTCGGATTGAAAGCCAGAGGTTGTGCAAGTGTGCCATTCATTGGACCAAATGTCCATCTCTCAGATCTTTTTGTACACCCCGTACCGCTGCGTGCGACGAGCCTGCCCTCCTTCTGAACGCCAGTAAAACGAGTGATGTACCAGCCATTCTTTTTCGCTTCCTTCCGTTCCGTCACGCTAGCCGCATGATAAAAGACAACCAGGGTGCGACATTGGGTATAAAGCAGCGCCAAAATACCGAGGCGTGTGAGAAACATGTAAATAGCAATCAACATGTGTAGTATTTCCGAAAAGTCTTTCGCTGTCGTCGCTAATCTTCAGTCATGCGCGTGCGTTGTTTAGTGTCAGACTCCTCGCTGACAATCTTCGCGAGCCCTTCTGTTTTCTTCGGTGCTCTGTCGTCAAACTTTTTTCCTTCACATGAGCTTTTGGGGCGCCAATGGTGCCGAGACATGTTGTTACAGATGCATTTTTCATTTACTGTTCTTGCTTAGGCGGCACGCGCCTGTTGTTGTGGTGCATTTCCGGTCGCGGCTGCGAGTTGTGATCGAAGACTGTTGATTTCCTCTTGCATACCGTTGACTCTTGATTCGAGATTCTTGATTACAGCCCATAGCCGATCCTCTTTGGCAAACATGGGACTGCTGGCTTCACCGCTACCATGACCTGATTGTCCGTGACTTGAGAGACTGTTGCTGTGCGACGACAGCGGACCGCTGCCACTCATGTGCGTCGGGGGTCCGGTGGGTTGAGTAGGAGGATGGGTGGGAGCGCCCTGGCTTGGCAGTGTGAACCGTGGATCAGGTGGGTTGAGGCCTGGCGGCGGCGGCAGCTGTGTATTCGCATTTGGTGGGATACTCAATGATGACCCAGAACCTGGCGCGCTTCGAGGGTACGACTGTGAGCCAGCCTGGAAGTGGGTCATGCTTGGTGAGCGATGCCGGTCTGCCGCTCCTGAGCCACGATGACTCTGACCTGGCGACAACGGTTTGGGACTTTCAGTCAACGGGTTCTGCGCAAAGACACCGCTAGGGCCGCCATGTCGAGTGCTGCCAGAGCCACTGCCAGGATATGGGAGAGGTGCAACACCCGGACCAGACCCGGAAGAGCCCGACCCCGAGGGAGCAAAGGCTCTTGGCGGGAAGTTTCCGCTCACGATTCCCCCAGGCGGTCGACCTTGGATCGGTGGGTACGTGCTCGGCATCCGAGACGAGTGGTCCTGTTCGTCTAGAGTGTCATCTCCTGACGGAGCCTGCCGTCGGATGCTTGGAGGTCGTTGAAGATTGCCATCCTCATCGTCCATAGTGTCAGGTTCGTTATACATAACGCCTTCCATGGAATCATCACCACCCTCCATGTCATCATCTCCGCCAAAGCTACCCATAGACGCCCGTCGCCCTGCACAGCCACCTGGGCCCTTGTTATGCCGAGCAAGCGCATCGCCTCTGGCGAACTTGCGACCGCATTTCGGGCAAATGTGTGGTCGTTCGCCGGTATGAAGTTTGGTGTGACGTTTCAGATCGTGCAAGCGACGGAAGCGGGATTGGCACGTGGAGCACACATACGGCTTCTCTTGACTATGGGTCAACAGGTGACTTTTGAGATTATGGTGTCTTGTGAATTCGGTTGCGCAATAAGGACACCGGTGCTTCTTCGCGGAAGGGGATTTTGTACCTTGGCGAGTATTGGAACCCGGTAGACTCATGCCACGACGGGCGTCACTTTGAGGCTGCAGGAGTGGCGGTGGGAAGGAGAATGGTCTAGTCCCGTCTTCGGGCGAGACCGGTGTATCGCCTGCGGCAGACGCTTGCCGAGCAGTCTCATCCATAGGTAGAGGACTCCCAACAGTCGTCGTCATGCCGGACTGGCCCGGCAGGCTCTCAAGTGTTCCAATGCTCGACACGCTGACAGGACTGGTCTGTACAGCACTTTCGCCCGATGTGGCATCGTGGCTGAAAGGCTGCTGTAAATTAGCGGCAACGACGGCCATGGGAGCACTGATGCTTGTGGCAGGATTTGACGTCTGAGCCTTGCTCGTATCTTGTGACGAGCCCATCAGAGCGTCAAGGACCTGCGATTGTGGATTGGGGCTCGTGTCGGTCGAGGGCGTTTTGTCCCTGGTCTTGGATCTTGCGTCAAGGTGCGCGGCCGCCGCAGTCATGGGCTGTGTGTCAATTTTGCGCCTTTTGCCGGGCCGGGTGTCGTCGAAGTCGCGGGATTCGACACTTGCTTCTAGCCCGGCCTTCTGCGCTGGACTCACTTTGAGTAGCGGGCTATTGTCCGCAGTTGGGTCTGCCGGGGTCGTCGGCGCGATTTCAGCCATCAACTAGTTTCGGTGAAAATCGACAATCGAAGTTCTGCAGTGTGAAGTTAGTGAGTGCGGCATTTTCGCGCAGGAATCAAACAACTAGCGCTGGGTGTTGCTCGCATCGACCAGGCTGTAGCGTGCTGAGGAGTTAGAGTATGGTGGATGATGGCGTGCGTACCTTCATGTGTGGCACGGACGTAGCGGCGGGGTTTATTAGCGCACACTGGCTGGAATCTGTGGAAGCGACGCAGACTATCACAACTGATGGAATGACTGATTCTAAATCTTGCGGGTACGGGCTTTCGACGAGCGCGAAGCAATGTGGTGGCTGACACTGACGACCAGAGGGTACTTCGGGCTCGACGCCCTCGAGAGTGCGGCGGAAGCGTGGTCGGATTGTTGAATATCGCGGATACCGACAATCAACTGCGACAGCTTCAGTGTGATGTACAGAGGTGTTCGAATGACAGTAGTTCAGTCGTGTGCGAAGCTGGATTAAGGGTGGCGAGCGGTCCCAAAACAAGTGGCTTGTGAGGTTTGAGGCGTGAGGCTGATGAGTCGGCCGGGATGAGGTACTACGAACTCGGATTCGGAAGGCGGTAACTCGCTATGTGAGTACAGGAGGATAGCGAGGCACAATGGTCGATTGCAAGCAGAGTTAGGGTTGGCAGGAGCTGCGGGGGACGACAAGCAAAGATGTTACAGCTCGTGGTAGTTGCTGCAGTGAGGAATAGAAGGACTTGGGGCAGACGAGAAAGAGAGCCGGGCAGTGAGTGGCACTACAAGGTGAGGGCGCCACGCTTGGGGCCTTAGTGGCCCTCCTCCGCCACACGTCAACCGGGGACCTCCTAGTCGCGTTGCCGTCATCGTGGCTGCCAGCTACTCAGCGTCCAGCGTCCACAGTCCAGCTGCCAGCCAGCTGGGTCAACTTCCCCGAGCTGTGCCCTTGCCCCGGGGTCCTGACTGCCACTAGCCTATCAATTCATTGGATTACGCGACGATTGCACCTCTCCATTGCTCTTGAAACCCAAGCAAAACTACGCGTTGCTATTGTCCCTCTGCCAATAGTGGTGCAACTATCGACTCTGAAGAGGGGAAAGACATGCTGGGATGATGCTGCTTCGGGGGCACCCTTGCCGCGTGCGCGCCACTGGCCCACTGTGCTGTCCCGACCCTGCGATCCACCCAACATCCTAGTCTTTATTTTTTGGAGGCTAGGGCCTCGCTTGCCGGTGGCTGGGGGCTTCACTGGTCTGGTGGGAATTCGGTGATCGGCTTTCACATTTGTCAAAATACAGAGTACGCAAACCAGGGCGATATTCAAACGCTTGACAAGCCACCGGTCCCTGCGTCCGCCTGGTACATGCTTTGCCGATGAGAACAACCGCTGCACCAAGCGGGGGATCGACCATCGCGTTCTTGAGTGCGATAGCCTTCATCGTATCCTTCGCGATCACGACAGGATCAAGGAAGAGAAAGGGTCGTTGCGTTTCTGGGGCCCCTGGTCAACTGGTAATAGTTTCCGTACAACGAACTGAGTGGCTTGAGACATGCTCTCCCCACCCTCCCCAGCACCATCATCCTCGTCATCATCAGCTGCGCCGCAACGGTACACTGCAGCCTGATTAATGTAGTACGTCGGCTGATAGCGCTGCTGCTAGGTCATGATGATGCCGCCGCTGTAGCTCGATCTCTGGGACTCAGCTGGGTTTGGGGCCCTGCATTGCCACACCAAATGCCGTTGGCCCTGGATCGTAACAAATCCACTCGAAAAAACTGTGGCTAGTAGCTGCGTCATACCTTACCGAATCTGGTTTTACGTGCTCGCCGTTCAGATCGCATTTTTTGGACGCCTCTCACTGGCCACGCCACCTTGATCGCCGCCTTTTTCAACTGGGCAGACCCGGACGCTCCTCCGAGAACAACCCGTCCACAAGTAACTCCCTTGGTGACGGGGTTGCCACAACACCATATCCTTCATCTACTGACTCGAAAACTAAGCATATGCGATCACCCGATCTTCACTTCACGCTTGGCTCTTGCTGCAAGATATACTCGCTTGGCACGAGCCTGGATGGATGTTGTGGTGTGCAGTGACGGATCGTGCCTGGACCCTTTGTTACCCTGTAGATCGACTCTACTTCTGTTCTCTGCAACGGGGACTTCGTCTCTGCAAAGTCCAAAGAACGGTAGCTTGGACAATCCCGCGGCTACCTGCCGCTCAACCATCTCAAACCCGGCCTCATGAACCATCCTCCGCCACGCCATCTTTATTCCGCTCCTTGGCAGCCTCCAATGCTCGTTTGATCCTGTCCTGATGCTCCGGGTCGTCTCCTATTCGTGCAACTACCTCTCGGATCAACTCGATAGCTTCTTCTGGCCCCTTGCCGATCGCGCTCATCCGTGAATTGGTGTCCTCGGCAATCTTATTGTCCTCTTTTTCTTTCTCTTCACCGAGCTTTTGATATGTGGCCCGGTCGGCATTTGAGACTCGCGCCTCTGCCACGGACACGGAGTAGTCTGCGTCGTTGAGAAGCTTGTCTGCCACGTTGGAAAGCGTGAGGAGCTTTTGGGAGTCAGCTAGCACGAAGTCGATCGCTTTCTGCGCCGCGGCCAATGTCTCGCGCACCCCGTCTGGCCCGTATAGCAGCTCCTGGGTATGGAAGGTATCCCTGAACACCATCTCGCGAAGCCTCCGGACCTTGGGCAGCATGTCGTCCACATATGTCTGATTGTCACCTAATCCTCTCACAGTGGCACGGTCGAAGGCATCCATCAATTTGTTAGCTCGAGTGTCTCTTGCTCTGGCCTCGTACAACACTTGCATCTTCTCTGCCACCGCAAATTCAGCCTCGAGGGCCTTGACTCCTTGGGTATCCCCGTTCGTGTAGAGGACTGTGAGTTCTAGCCGCTTGCGTCGCCTTTCGCGCTCAACATCCGCCTCGGTGAGTTTCTGGCACCGGAGCTCGATTTTGTTGAAGATGGACAAGGCCAGGTTCATGACGATGCCCATTTCGGCATTATCGCCATCTTTGATCAGGCATTGACTTGCTGGTGTGCTTTTTAGGTCTAGCAGGTCGATCGTAAGCGTGTACTGCGCATTGAGCTCTGACAATTCCTGCTGAAGTTTGCTGCTGATAACACCATGCACGTCTCGTGTGAAGGAGTCCAGCTCGTCCTTGTCTTCGTCATACTTGAGCTTGGCCTCAGAGAGCTTGAATTCGGCCTCCAAGTCGCCGATGTCGGCATATCCGATTTCGTTGTCATTGAACATATCATCAATTCTTGCCTCGGAATCGGCTTGTCGGTGGCTTCGTTCCTCGTCAAGCTGTTTTCTGACGACGCGGTTGCCTTTATCCCAATCAACTACAGTTTGGTGTATGAATGCGAATTGATCCACTATCGACTCAGTTTTCGCCTTGATGGTGTTCACTTCTTTGTGCGTTGAAAGGCCATAGCTATCAGGTACTGTGTGAGGCACGGTGGCCCTCAACGCGACCACAGCGCCTTGAAGATCATTAGGTACAGCCGGAGTGCCAGGCCGGAGAGAGGCTATCGGGGTTGTCGTTCGAGATGCATTGGCTGCAGGAGTAGTGGCTCTTGCGGGCGTTCCCAGACGTAATTGTGGTATCGGTGGTGGAATTGCTGAAGGCTTCTGAGGAGACTTTCGTACGGCTTTGCTTTGTTGTCGAATTAACCCTATAAATGCCTCGTCCTGCATCCTCTTTCCAGGCTGCAATGCCGCTGCAGGACCCAGGGCTCCAGAGACAGTCGTGGTCGAACCAGACGCTGAGTCGTGCCTCAGTAGCCTTCCAGAATCCTCGCCTTCTTTACGTAGCGATGAATAGGATTGATCAGCAGGCAAGGAAGGCCCTTGAACAGCCGGACTGTACCTGAAAGGCGTGTAGGCAGGTCTTTGCGGCTCAAATTTCTTGTTGGACGTTGTACTTGACCGCTTGGATGCATTGCTGCTCATAGAATTCTCCACTACAGTTGGTGCATTGGCTGACGCTGAAGCTGGATTTGGTGTTGGGGGCTCGACTAACATCGGGGCATTAGCGCCTGGCGAAGGTAACCCTGGCATGATATAGTCCTCCAGGACCATGGGCGCGTTCGCACCCGGAGATGTCGCTGCTGGTTGTGGCGGAGGCTTTGTCGGTATGCTCAGCTCTGGAACTGCCTTCTTTGCCGTGTTGGGTGCATTGCTAGGTTTCACAATGGGCCTTCCACCGGGACTGTATGCCTCTTCCGGACCTTTCTTCATACGCGGCCGACCACCCGGGCTATACTCTTCACCATCATCAGCGCTGACCATAACAAAAGACTCATCTTTGACGGGTGAATCTTTAAGCATCGCAGCCATTGAGCCAACAGTAGGGACATAACTCGTGACTGCGCCGGCGGGTGGGTTTTCCCGCGAAGAGACTCCTTTATCAGGCATATTCGTTGGTGGCTTCTCGGTCGTTGTTGGCGTAGCTGGCCGCACACTATTGTCAGGTCTCTGCTCTTGGTTTACCTCTGCGGGTACAGGTGCAGCTGGAGCTAACACAGGGGCAGCGGGTGGCTCTACGTTTGGCGGCTTCTCAACTGGTACGCTTGCTGGCACGGGAGGCGTAGACTTTTCATGTGTTTTGATGAGTTGCAAAGGAGAATCCATGCCGTAGAGCATCGCGCGAAGGCGCAACTCCTTCTTGATGAAGGCTTCGAATGCCGCGAATTTCTCCTCATCGGTGTCGGCAGCTGCCTCTTTCCGCAGCATCTCAGCATATCGCTTCAGCGATGCCCGGAACTCGGGCTCCAGATCTTGGTACGGATCTACAACTTTCTCGACTTCCTTCACTACTTCAATGACGCGTTCTCTAGGTACTTCCTGGTTGGAACCGCTGGATTGAGGCCGTTGAGCATCCTCGCGAATAGTCTTCGGTCCGACGTTCAACGGCGCGTTCCAGGCGTTGATAAGACCGTCAATAGTATCAGTCCTTCTGATGCTTGTAGAGGGCACGGATGAGCTTCCACTGTCTTGTTGCGTGGGTTGCGGAGGCTGATTGTAATCTGCTATCGGTGGTGGGCTAGCCGTTGTTGGCCGCATTGGTGGGGGTGAGTTTGCAATGGTAGGAGCAATGGATACGGGTACTGCGTGAGCTTGCGATGGTGATGTCAACGTGGGACTAACGGTGGAACCATCCCCAAAGTGCTCCCAGTCCGAAGGTCCTCCATAAGATCCCAGAGCTGTTGAATGGAACTGGCTCTCTCCGGGCGTAGCAGGCGCTTGCATCACTCCGGGGCCCTGGTGCCACTTGTGCTGGTCTGGCTCAATCGGAGAGACTGGGGCAGCGTCTTGAAGTGGCCCAGATGTAGATGCATGCAGACCGTACTGCTGCTGACTATAATTGGTCTGATTTGAAGGGTCGTAGTGATGGGTCATGGGCCGATGAGAGTATTGCTCATGAGGCAGATTCGCCTGCTGGTACTGCTGCTGCGTCTGTGCTTCGTACACCGGTGGTTTGGGTGGCGGCGGAGGTGGTATGGCATGGCCATAAGGCTCTTGCTGATTGTAGGACGTCGACCACGACGGCTGCTGTTGGTGGGTCTGCGAAGACGAAGGAGCCGACGGCTGCGTGCCATAGTTCTGTTGCCATTGATCTGTCGGTGCTGCGGACTGAGGCCGAGGGTTAGGCGCGGCACTCCCTGGACGCGGTGGAAGTGCTGGAGGTCTCTCCTCTGCAACCTGCCATTGCTGAGGCTGTGTCTGAGTTTGATTATATTTCACACCCCAGGTAGACGTATCATACGTATTCGTGTATCCTGGAGCGCTACCAACGCCGGCGGATTGGTTCGGGTCAGGCGGATGATAGGCGAAGGCTTGTGGGTTAATTGGAGAGATGGGTGATTGTGCAGAAGTCTGCGGCGGCGGCGGTGGCTGCTGATACTGATATTGAGGTTGATGCTGCGGCGCCTGCGAGAAGCGAGGATCATTCCATCCGCCGGTTCGACGAGGAGGTGCTTGCCAGGGAGGGGGTACGTAGCCACTCATGTTAGGAAGTGATCCACGATGCGGCTATGTTGCGGCTGCCGCTCCGAATGGGACGTCGCAAGTACGGCGCTTCGTCAATACCACAGCGCAACGGATGAATGAAGTAATGATAATAACGATGCATAGTCTGTGCCCGAGGCGTACACGACAATGTCGGCCCCATGGCCACGGTCGCGCAGCTGAGCATGCTCGTAAATAGACTCGGCCATTGGGAGTCAGTCGCTTCTTCGGGCGGTGCGCGGCGCCCTTGGCCGATCTGCAGGGTGCCGCGGTGCGCCTACCCGACGCTGACTACGGCGCCCCAAGCGAGGCCCCAACAGCGGGAGTGCTAGTGGGGAGATTGGCTTCGTATCCGGGCCTGACTTGGGTCACTTTTTCAGTAAGGGGGTTCAGCCTTTCATTCATGCTCGTATCTGCGACACTATGTCATTGTTGAATTCGTACATGTCACTAGGTTCTACGCAAACAAATCGAGGACGACTCTGCCCTGTAGCTGACCCTTGTCCATGCGCTGGAACACATCATTCAGATTCTCCATCTTCTCGGTCGTGAAGTGAGTCTTGACCACACCTCTGCAAAGAAATCAGTGAGCGTAGCACATCGGCCGGATGGTGAAGCTTACCGAGCAGCCATCTCCAATGTCTCAATAGCTTCCTGCCTGTTGCCAACGGCGCTGCCAATGATCCTGAGCTGGTGGACCAACATGGTCGCAGGATCGGCGCCTCCGATGGGCACTGCGTCTCCTTCGGGTACACCGACACAGACAAGACTGCCGCGGAATTTGAGGAAGGACAGTGCCTGTCCGTATGCCGCATTGCTGGCGGTGCAGACTACCACGGATGCAGCACCAAGCCCGCCAGTGGCAGCTTTGACATCTTCGGCGAGTTTCTTGTTACCCTCTGCATCGCGGCTATACTTGGTGACATCGAAGAAGACCTCTGCTCCGGATTCCTTTGCCAGCTTTTCTTTATCGCCTGAATCGATACCGATCATGCGGAATCCCATACCGCGGGCACCGATCTGCAGAGCAAGATGCCCCAGGCCGCCACCACCGCCAGGGCTATGCACGATCAGTTTCTAGACGTATTTACAGGAGCTGCTCTTACATGACAACCCAATCGCCGGGCTGGGCACCTGACTTTTTAAGGGCGGAGTATACCTGATATCGTGGTGAGTAAATGAGCAGTTATTAGGCTAGTATGGCCCGCATCGAGCAGTCTCCTACCGTAACACCGCCACACAGCATCGGCGCGGCAACGTCGCTGGCAAGCCCATCGGGAATTGGAGTAACATAATGAGCCGGCGCAAGCGCGTACTGCTGGAAAGTCCCTGGGGTGCTGTTTGAATCAGTCATATGATCAATCATGCGTCTTTCTCGAAGCCCGTACTAGTATCCCGAGATCTTGCCTGATGCGCAGCTGGCATCTGCTCCGGCGCGGCAGGCCGGGCAGTTGGTGCAGGCGGATGCAAGCCACTTGATGCCCACACGGTCGCCTTTCTTCAGGCTCGAGCTCTCGGTACCGGGTCCGAAGGCAACGATATCGCCAACGCCCTCGTGGCCACCAACCTGGCCCTTCGCGGTGGGTGCTGGTAGCCACGCCTAAGGGGGGGTCAGCAGACAGCTCTGAGTCCGAGTGACAATAGACGTGGGGGGGGGAGACGAGGATTGGCTTGCGGAGATGGGCTACAGGTATCTCTGGTTGAGGCAGACACGTACCCAGGAGTTTGTCATGACGCCCATATCTGAGTGGCAGACTCCAGAGTGAGTGAGACGGACAAGCACCTCGCCAACGCCTGGCTTGGGGGTGTCGATTTCCTCAATCTTGGTCGAGATCTTGCCGGGCTCATCGTAAACAAGAGCCTTGTGCTTCGACGGAACCTCTGCTGTGGTCATGGTGCTGAAGTTGTAGATTTGGGGAGTAGGGTAGACGTAAGATACACAGAAAAGAATGACAGAGACGGATCTGATCGAGAAAGAAGAAGAGGGGTGTTCAGAGTTCCCAGGCTGCTATTTGGCTACAGAACGGCTGCACGAGGAAAGTACCTGAGGGGTCCTGGTGTCGTCAAACCTCGGTCGCGGGGTAAATGGTCGACGCGTTCATGGTCAAGGAGAGCTCCAAGCCGATATGGGTCGAAGAGTCGTCCTGCATGACACTGACTCGTTCGGAGATAGTTTGAGCGGCAGCGAACCTCGGCGCCGGATGTCGCATTGCGGAGTGCGGATAGGTTCCTTTATGCTCGTCACTTTGCCCACATTGGGTTCAGGCAAATGGCTGGGATGTGCGGCGAAGCTAGCATGGGTATTCGCACCCCACTATCAACGCACCGGCGGAAGCTCTTGCAAAGTGTTGCGTCAGACCTTGTCAGGCATGGGTCTTGGATACACTAACATCATATTGAGATAGAGAAATGCCTATCAATTGAGCCTGCCAACACCGAAAAAACAGCCTTGTCCAGGTCCTACCTAAAATTATCGACCTCATGAGGCCCTTTCAATGCGCGAGGGCCACTTCTGTAATCCCGTCATGGTAATCTCCCTTTCGGGTCGCCAGACGCTTCGTGACGATTTAGCTGAGTTCCGTTGTTCAGCCCACGATGTCGCGGAACATGCGATGGAACCGAATCTTGTACCCATCATGGGCCCCGTATCTGTCCAGGTTACGATGAATTTCCCTGACATCTTGCCGCATAGCTTCCACGCCAACGTTGTCTCCAGTGCTCTCCACAATCTCTGCCATCAGATCCAGCATGAAATCCCCTCGATGTCGCTGTTGTAGCAGATGGGAGAACAGGCACGTTCCACTGACGCGATCCCTCCTCGTTGTGCGTGCTCTGGGATCCATCCCAGGGTCAGAAATGTCGGCGAGTAGACGAACAAGCACTCCCAGGATCTGCCGATCGTGCTCCTGCTCGTCCCGAAGCGACTCGTGTTGACGATGCTCTCTGTCAAGAGCAGCTTTCCCCATCAACTCCTCCATATTCTCCGCTGCGGCTTCCACCGCAACAACACCTTCCTTATACTCACGCATGTTTGCTTCCGATCGGTATAGGAGCTTCTCCTTGAAGGTTATAGCTCTGTCCCGAAGCGACTTCATGCGACCGAAGAGAGTGAGGATGTCTCGTTCGGGCTGGTAGCAAGCCCATTGGGCCATGGTGAACAGGTAGTCTGCCGACGAAGTCCAGTTTCTTTGCTCGGTCCTGGACTCTGGGAGAGTAATTCGGGACATGAGCTCAGTCTGCCACTCCGAGGGCAGGACGTCTCGATCGAAGGACGACATGAAGTCCTGGTACTCCCACTTTCTCTGATCCAGAACCTCCTGCGCTTGGGCATCGACCTCGCCCATCGAGCTTTCGCTGTCCGTCATCTCGCGTGGAGGCTCAATTCGGGGACCACGCAGAGGGAGCCTGGAGAATGGAGTTGTTGGAGTATCCGACATTGCAACAGCTTGCAAACTCGAACAAAGAAGCGATTCAACCCGGAAATATAAATCTTCAGGAGTTCATCCCGCACCCTGGCCGGCCTCAAGGTAACCTCCTCGAAGAAAGGACGACCTCACAAGATGAGCTCATTGTCCACTGCCGTTTTCGAGGGGCCGGGTGATAAGGCTTTCTGGTCGGAAAGAGGTGTACAGGAGGCCGCAGGCCATAGTGTTGGACACTGTTGGTTCTGAAGAGCATCGGACGTTAGGAACGGCCCGCGAACATGGATTATCGCTTTGTGGCCTGTACCTGGGGAGGTCATGATCCAGTGAGTAAAAACGCCTAGCTGGAGTACAATGATGGAGCTCGGGTATACACTCTCGATATCGACCGGCGGAGGCCAGGCGTTCTTCGGCTCGCGAACTAAGATTGACGCTAGCGGGTAGAGGCTTCAATGTTCCTTGGTCCGGTCTCGAATGTAGCCTCCGCTTCGCCGCGGGATGCACTTACAACGTGACGAACTCCTAGCTCTCATCGTGTCCGAGTTAGTGCAGTGATATTGAGGTCTAAACAACTCCCGGGACTGCTATCTGAGAGTAGCCATTAAAGCTCGCCAATCGAGGTCGAAGTATACCGTCACGTGAGCGCCAAGAAGGCGACCAGAAGGCGACCTGCAGCGGCGGCGCTTGCATCGATTGAACAATTGGATATCGGCTGATCGTGACAAAATAGACGCAGAGATGTGTACTTTTCGGGTCGCTTCGATGGAGAGTATTGTGATATTTGAGTTAGCCTGCAGCATACAATCTTCCGCATGGCCTTGTTGAACCTTGCCGGGTCAGGCCAGGTAGGTAATGGGCCTTCAATGGTGCAGGGGATCGACGGTGTACGCCCTGCTGAAGAGCCTGGGCGGCTAACTTCATCCATTTCCCGGTTACGGTATGATTCAGCCCCCTTGGCCCAAATACCGGGCCGAGCTCGATAACAGCAGTCTGCGAAAAGTGCTCCTGGGTTGGGACCTTAATGCATGCCAGGTGAGTCACTGGGTCGGCAATTACCGTGCGCTCGCGGTTGCCATGGTGTGCGCAATTCTGCCCAAGTAAAAGCTAGAAGTGCTCCCACGCCATCGAGACCTTGAAGACGATACCAGACCCGTTTGAGTAAAGCTGCCTACCAATAGTTTCGGGGCAGCAGAAGACGGTCGGTAGTTCTTCCCATCACTTAAATCTGACTGACCAATTTGGCTCTGCACAAGCCCTGTCAATAGAGGAAAACTTCCGTAGGTGCCAGGAAGACTCCCAGGGTAGATCGACTTACACGGCCTTTGACTATGCTCAGGCATGGGTAGTGGGGAACACAGTTCTATCCATGCATAACAGTGTGATACTGAACCGGGAAGGGTGCCTGGTGCGTCGGTTCTGACGCTTCCATTGTATCGACAAGGGACCAAATCCTGATAACAGTGGTCATGTGTCTCTTGGATCAGCCGAAGCAGCAGCTTTGACAATCTAGCGGCCAACACCACCTGCCAAGCAGATGCCCCAGCAATCACGTTGCAGCAGCTTAGAATGATGCTCAGCGCGGAGTTTGTGGTCATGACTTTTCTATGGTAATGGCGAGGATCACCACAAAGAGGCTAACAACGACCTGAAATCGATTTGAGTTAGGGACCTAAGCATATGACCGGACACCTGACTCACCGCCAAGGACAGTACTGCCACAAGGTTGATTTCCCAACCTCCAGAAATGGCTTTTCCAAGGGCCATTTGCTTTTGCAGTTTGAGAAAGCGAGCAGTGCCAACCAAAAGTAGCAGAATGGCCATGATTTGACAAATGCTTGAGAATGGTACACCGACGATGTGAAAGCCAAAGACAGGGCTAGGGTTTAGGGAGTGCTGCAAACGAAACAGTTGAGCAATAAAGATGCCCGTCATCGAGAACATTTGACTCGTACGCAGGAAGGCTAGGAACGTACGCTCATTTGCTGCAGGCCGATATTAGCCAAGCTCATTCATATGTAGCCCAGTAGTCAGGGGCTCTCACCGAGGTGGTCACGGCATGCCACATGGGGCACCGACATGGAGACATGTCGTCGCCAGAGCCGAGCTATTCGGCGACGAAAAGGCCCGTGACTTGGATTTGGGTCTGTGCTGATTCGAACGAACCGTACCTCGTCAGGTGGATGAAGCTCAACGGCTTCGTCCTCGGATGGCTGTTGCAGAATCTGTGCACTCTGAGTGGTTGGCTGTGGTTCTCGCTGGAGTTCGGGCATCGGGGGACGTTCTTTGGCGCGGATGGCGTGCTCCAGGGTTTGCCTGAAAACTGCCTTCGCGATTGGATAGGCGTCGAACCCCTGGAACCAATCCCCTGAAAGACTGGAGGTGTGCGAAGTTGTGGCTTCGAGACGGGTACTGAATATGTACAGAAGTCTTGCCTGCATAAGTAGTCATCGTGGTTGTTCTCGATGGAGTTGAAGCAGTCAATTGCGCTCCCAGAGCATGGAGATGAAGTGGCATTGTCAACGCTGCGTCATTGCAGTGCCGACACCGGTTGGGTGGAGTGTTCGGGGCACGACTCGAGGGCTACGCCGTTGGCTCCCGCACTCCCGCATTTTAGCGACGCGGCTTTATCGGAAGACAGATGGCTGCTTCTTGTGCGGTGCAGCACCCATGACTGGCTCAAAAATACGTTGCGTGCAGCTTATGAGCTTGCCAACATCCATGTACATAGACGAACCAGGCGCCGGATGGTCTGCACAATGACGGATCAGCAGGATCTTGGGCGGCGGGTCAATTCCAAGTTTCGCGTCCGCTAGGCGGCGGATGCCCCGCCATCTTATTTATCGCGGAGCTTCCAGAATACAAGGCCATCCCAGCCTCCTCTTCTGCTTCGTGAGATTGCCTTGTCTGCCACGTTATTCTCCTGCAGACACTTATAACCTTTCTCCCGGCCCTCGCAAAGTATTTGCGATAGGTTTCTCCTTCTCTGTTCCTGCTCGCGAGACACCCGGCCACAACAATTCACCCGGCCCGCCAAGCTTTGGTTTACTGCCTGACGCCCGGCCCCGCAGTCAACCCAACGACTTCACTTGCGCTGTTCTCTCTCTTCAGCGCAGACTAAGGCTCTGATTCGTTTCTTGAGCTCAGTCAAGTCCAGTCGACACGAGCACGATGCTCGGTGGATTCCTCTTCGCCTCATGGCGTATCTTCCAGCTTGTGACGCTGATCCCGGTCATTGGCATGCTGGTAAGTCGCAAACGGATCCCTTGACTTGGTACACCACTAACAGCTGCAGGCATGGTTTGTCGATGGCTACAATAACCAAAACCTGCTCACCCCGTCGCCCATCCTTGTCCTCTTCATTGTCTCTGTCCTTGCTGCCGCCTGGGCCTTGGCCACGGTTGTTCGACTGGGATCAACCCGACGATCCGCTCTCTTCGTCGCGTTCATCGATCTATGCTTTGTAGGCGCATTCATAGCCGCCGTATACTACCTACGCCGCATCGACGATACCGACCATTGCAACCACTTTGAAAGATCTCCACTTTATGGTCAGCTCACAATCTTCGGATTCCAGGGCCGACAGCAGGGCTTGTCATATGCGCGAGATCTCAAGAAGAATTGCAGCATGCTGTATGCGTCGTGGGTTTTTGGCATCATCAATGTCATCACCTTCTTCGTCACTTTCGTGCTCGCTCTTTTCCTTCACCGGCACAATCGGACGGTTTATACCAAGGAGGTCCGCAGGTCTTCGAGACACAGCAGTCGCAGAGGTCACTCGCACTCGGGCTCGCGGAGGAGCAGCAGCCGTCGCAGGTACTATGTGTGAGCAACTGTTAGAGACGGAAGACGCGCAGCAACGAATCTCCTAAGCCATATTTTGTTCACTTGGCCGGACATTGCAATTATTAGCGACTTTGTTTAAATAGCGGGCAATGAATGATGAGTTGAGGCTTTATCCTACTTCTCCGCGTACTTTCGGCGGCCATCAATGATGTCGTTCATTGGACTTCGTTCGATACGACTGTGCTTTGCTCACTACCGTCGTGCACTCTTTGTCTTTGAAGAATGGGGAAAGATGGGGGAGCAGGACGAATCTGGCCAATGAACTTGGCCGTAAATGCCCATCGGAGATCGCCATCCTCCCGCCTTTCCAGGCCCTGTCGTACATCCAGTACGAATGGACACCCCATTCTTCGCGACCGGAGACCAACGTCTCGAATGTATCAATGCAGAGTGCTTCAAATGGGTTCAATACCGAGAACCTCACGTTTGATCATTCGACCAACTGCGCGGCCTCCATGCCTGCCGTACGTGCTCAGATCAACCCAGGCACGGGCTACATCGAGAACATTCAGTCGCTACGTGAGATAGAGTACCCGCTGCTCAGAGACACGACCTATCTGGATCATGCTGGGACTACTCTCTATCCTAAGTCGTTGATCGAGGAGTATTCGAAAGACTTAACCCAGAACCTATTCGGGAACCCTCACTCAGCATCAGCGTCATCTCAGCTATCATCCCAACGCATTGACGATGTGCGTCTCCAAGTCTTACGATTTTTCAACGCAGAACCGGATCACTTCGATGTCGTCTTCACCGCCAATGCTACCGCTGCTATCAAACTCGTCGGGGAGGCCTTTCGAGATGGTCCTCAAGGATTTGACTATGCTTATCATGTCGACTCGCACACTAGTATAGTGGGAGTTCGGGAACTGGCACATATCAGCCATTGCCTGAGCGACGATGCCGGCGTCAATGGCTGGCTTAACGACTGCCAGGCCGTCGGGGGTGGCCGGCCGCGCTTGTTCGCTTACCCTGGACAGTCGAATATGACTGGGCGGCGTCACTCCTTGAAGTGGGCTGAGCGTGTCAACGATTTGTGCTCTAACAACACCGCACAGACATACACTCTCTTCGATGCGGCAGCACTAGCTTCTACCGCTCCATTGGACTTGTCAGACATCGCGACGGCACCCAGTTTCACAGCTGTGAGCTTTTACAAGATATTCGGTTTTCCCGATCTTGGAGCGCTACTTGTGCGAAAGGATGCAGCTGAACCGTTGTGCCGGCGCAAGTACTTTGGCGGCGGCACTGTGGAGGGAGTCGCAGTGACGGGTGGCCCATGGCATGCGTCAAAGCGGAGGTCGACACACGATCGTCTCGAGGATGGAACGTTGCCGTTCCATAACATCGTCGCCCTTGGGCACGCTCTGAGACAGCATGTTGGCATCTATGGGTCCATGGATGGAGTCTCACGCCATTGCGCCTATCTTACCAACGCTCTACGGACGCGCATGCTCTCATTACGCCACGGAAATGGAAGCGCCGTATGTCGTATATACGGCGCAAGCAGCCTTGGGGACACTCTACCAAACGGGCCCGTGCTCGCTTTCAATCTTCTCGATAACGCTGGGAACTATGTCAGTAACGCAGAGGTTGACAAACTTGCCATTGTCAGGCGGATTCATCTCCGAACAGGTGGTCTGTGCAACCCAGGTGGGACGGCGAGTTACCTGCACCTCACGGCGGATGACCTTCGTGGGAATCATGCAACAGGATACCGCTGTGGTGACGATAACGACATAATCAACGGTAAACCAGTGGGGACTATACGTGTCAGTCTCGGAGCTCCTAGTAGTTTGGAAGATGTTGATTCTTTTATGGACTTCTTGCAGGATTTCTACGTCAACCCCACAACGGAGGATCGAAAGACAACGGCAAACAAAGTCCGAGGCCATGGAAACAGCTTCACTGTCGAGGCTCTTACGGTGTTCCCTATCAAGAGCTGTGCAGCTTTCAATGTTCCTTCGGGCAGCCTCTGGGAAGTTGGCGCGCGAGGGCTGGCATGGGATCGCGAGTGGTGCCTCGTGCACGAAGGCACTCATCAGGCATTGAGCCAGAAGAAGTACCCACGCATGGCACTATTGCGACCCACAATCGACACTCAAGAACGTGTGCTGCGCGTCACTCACAACATACATGGCTCAGGGTGGCAGCAGCTTGAGGTGAATCTGGATGAAGCTCTAGTCGTGGGAAGGACAAGCCTCGTGTGCGACGCTGCCAAAACTCGCAGGACTTCCTCCGTTTGCGGCGAATCGGTGGACATAGAGCACTACACTTCACCAAAAGTATCACATTTCTTCACCGAGGCATTAGGAGTACCTTGTACTCTCGCTCGCTCTCCACAGCTGGGTTCTGTGCGCCGGCCGCAGATTCGCAGCCACACGGGCTTCACACCAGATCAGTCTGCTTTGAAAGCGTACTCAGTAGGACTCGCGAACGAGAGCCCGATACTGTTAATCTCGCGCTCAAGCGTGAATCGCCTGAACGAGCAAATTAAGGCCCGTGGAGGCGGAGGTAGGGCTGTACCGGCAGAGTCATTTCGTGGAAATATCATCGTCTCGGAAACACTTGAGAGAGGCCAGTCAGAGACCCCGTATGCCGAAGATGATTGGCGAGAGGTGAGCATAGGAAGCGACAGCGCTGGTGGCATATTCGAGATTATTGGTCCATGTCAGCGATGCCAGATGGTGTGCATTGATCAGGGCGATGGAAGCCGAAGACAGGAACCATTCAGCACATTGGCCAAGACACGGAAGAAAGAAGGAAAGGTGTGGTTCGGCATGCATATGTCTTTACGACAAAGCGAGAACAGGTTCATTAAGGTAGGGGATTACCTCCAGGCGACATCGAGGTCCGGAGCCACGTAGATGTACCAGTAGTTACCAAAATTACATAAACATTACGCAATATACGCCGGATTTACGTATTGAGCGCGTATGATCATCCCAACTCTGTCGAGTCTCTCCCCGCCTCCAATTCAGACTCCAAACATTTTTCTGTTCCTGCACCGCGCCTACACGTACGCTTGTCGTTGATGCCCACACTCCCCCACGATGTCGAAGAGAAAATCTGAGGAGCCTTTGGAGATCAGTGCTAGTGGCGTGTCTCCTGCCAGCAAAAGAGTGAGGATTGACGAGGTGGTGGATGAGGCGCATGCTGTTTCTCAAAGGTCTTCGAACGAGCGCAATGGCGACGGAGCCGGGACCAACGGTGTTGAATCCGACGCAGAATCAGATTTCGAAGAAGACCAAGTAGAACCTGCGCCTTTGCGGCAGACGGCGCCCACGGAAGGTTACAGTGATCTCTACCTAGACACAATCAAGCGTTCCATCCTCGACTTCGATTTCGAAAAGCTGTGCTCCATCACACTGTCGAACATCAACGTCTACGCCTGTCTCGTATGCGGGAAATACTTCCAAGGCAGAGGGCCCAAGTCGCACGCCTATTTCCACGCGCTCGAAGTCGACCATCATGTCTACATCAATATGGAGACGAAGAAAGTCTACGTCCTGCCAGAAGGCTACGAAGTCCAGAACAAGAGCTTGGACGACATCAAATATGTTGTCGACCCCAAATTCACAGAAGAGGACGTTAAGAAGTTAAACAAGATACCCAAGGAGTCCACCGACCTATCCAACAAGAAGTACCGACCAGGCTTCGTGGGTATGAACAACATAAAAGCGAATGACTACCTAAATGTGGTTGTACAGACCCTTTCACACGTTGCCCCTATACGCAACTTCTTCCTGCTGCATAAGTTTGCATCGAACACCCCACAGCTACCGGTGCGGTTCAGCACACTGGTACGCAAGATATGGAACGCCAAGTCCTTCAGGTCGCATGTCTCGCCCCATGAACTTCTACAGGAGATTGCCCTGCGCTCATCAAAGAAGTTCACATTAACGCAGCAATCAGATCCCGTCGAGTTCCTGTCGTGGTTTCTCAACAACCTGCATCTTACACTGGGCGGGTCAAAAAGCAAGCCGCTCTCGTCTGTCATTCAAAGGGCCTTTCAAGGAAGGCTTCGTCTCGAGTCTCAGGCTATCACAGCCAAATCTGACACCACCGGCGACCGATTACGATTCGAGGACTCCTCGAACATCACCACAAACGTGACCCCATACATGATACTGACGTTGGATCTGCCACCCACGCCCTTATTCCGCGACGCAAACGAGGACAAGAACATCATTCCTCACGTACCTCTGACAAGCCTACTGCAGAAATATAACGGCATGCAAGCTTCAGAGAGGCAGGCCCACCGTGTACGACATCGGCTGCTCCACCCTCTACCGCCGTATCTGATGTTTCACGTCAAGCGATTCAGCACAAACAAGTTCGTTTCTGAGCGCAACCCAACAATCGTCACGTTCGCCTCACCACGAGGTTTGGACATGTCTCCTTTCGTCGAGCCTAATCCGGAGATTCATTCTCCTGGAGAGCCCATCATCTACGACATGGTGGCCAACATCATCTTAGACACTGTGAGCGTGGCCACGGGGGGTGGAGAGGATTCTAATGCGGCCGATGCTGCTAGCAAGGCTGCGGGCGGAGAAAGAGAGAAGGTGGCGTGGAAGGTGCAGCTTCAAGATAAGGCTGTAGCTGCATCACAACGGAGCGACCTTCCAGAATGGGTGGAGATTCAGGACTTGTTCGTCGACCGCGCAGAAGCCGAAACGCTTTTCACGCGCGAAGGATACTTGATGGTATGGGAGAGGCGGAAGGAGAAACCATCGGGCACCAATGGAGCAGGCAAGGGCAAAGGCAGAGCCTGAGGTACTGCTGCCACTGTCTGGGCAAGTCTATTAGCGCTGAGGTGGCTCGACTGATGGAAAGTCTTGATGGTTATACCGATAGCCTGAGCACTGGATCGCAATACGGGAGGACTTTATTGCGTCCATCCTCAAAATAACGCTCTCAATAGGGTCTGACCGTCTTGATTGATCAAGGCCATGGTCACCATACCACGTGTCCCTGATTACAATCAACTGGCGTCCAGCTCGACCAACATGTCTTGTCGTCCAAGTGGGGTATGTCGTGCTGCCCCTTTACAACATGGTGAGATTTGCTCGGCGCCTCGAGGTACAGGTTGTGAGACGGCCCAATTGTGAACAGAGGTCGTGCAGACTTCTCTGCCACGGACCAGGTCAGCGCTAGTCTTCGGGACTCTTGCTGATTCATCGAGACAAGGAACTCCAAGCGTCTTTCGCCTCAGCGCGGTCAGTAGCAAGCAGCGACCGGAGTTTCCCGCCTCCTGAGAGGCGGTCGATGCTCGTGTTATTTCGTGTGTCTATCACATAATATGGCATTACAATGCGCGAGCGGTCCCACCCAGACTCAGCTGCAGGCTTTGAATCCACAGAGCTGGGGGAGTTATAAGCCGTGTCCCGACCTCTTTCATAGTACGCGAAGTCGATCAGCACTAGGAAATACAAGTTCTCAACGCATAAAACTCAACCGCTCACCTCCTGTTGTTCTCCAACCGTAGACAGGCGCCATGGCATCCTTAAAACCCCCATTCACGAAAGAAACGGCTCATCAGAAGCTGAAGTTCGCTCAAGACATGTGGAATACCAAAAACCCGGAACAGGTGGCGAAAGCATACACCCCAGACTGCATCTGGCGAAACCGCGATGTCTTCATACAAGGTAGAAACGGATTGTTGTAGCTGCTACAAAGACAGAGTTTGGCTGACCCAAAGGTTTCCAGGGACGGAGGAGATCATCAAGCTCCTAACGGCCAAGTGGGAGAAGGAGAAGAACTATCGACTGCGGAAAGAACTCTTCTGCGTGGGCGGCGACAGCAACGAGAAGATCGCGGTGCAGTTCTGGTATGAGTACCAGGATTTGCATGACGGCTACAAGTGGAAGCGGTGCTATGGTCTGGAGGATTGGACCTTCAACGAGGAGGGGAAGATGAGGAAGAGGATGATGAGCGGCAATGACGTTCTTCTGGGCATTTGGGGAAGCGGTGAAGCCATTCCGGAGCGGTCGATTGAGGGAAGGTGGTTCTTGGACGGCGTGGATGTTGAAGATGAATCCGTCACGAAAATGATCACTGAGAAGCATTACTAGTACTCTAGGAAATAACTGAGTCGCGAGGAGGAGGGCCGCCATCAGGCAGTAAAAGTCTTGGCACAGCGCTTGATTCGTCTCGTAAATCCAACGATGAAGCCTCAGGTCATCGAGCACGGCAGTGATTTTGATCCGCATCTTTGTAGTGTATCTGCTAAGTTCCATTCCATCGAGCCATTTGATGAAGTCACGGGACCATTGCTTATGACAGTATGAGGACGAGATGCGGTGTCTGTTGAATGGAAGCCCTCAGTTCGCACCTTACGTAATCACCGGCCTAGCCTCTTTAAGCTCCCGCCGTCGATCATCGTGCAAGTAAACCACCTGCGCATCGAGCCCGTGGACAAGATTCATGCTCCCATTCTGGTACATATTTCGACCCGACCATGGCCTCTCAAATAGATGCTAAGACCGCGCGATTACCGCACATCGCGCGCAGCGATCGAGAAAGCGACGACTACAAAGGCGCCTGGGAGAAGAACGAAGAGAGGTTCACGTCGTACGCCACCACCTTTCCCTTCTCGAGCCCAACTATGCATTAGTGCTACAGTTTCTATCATGTTAGCGAGAGATGCGATCTACTCGCACTCCTTCGGACGGCCCAAGAGAAGCACGTACTGATGGAAGAGGCTGTGATAGGAAACGCAGTTCTGAATACCATGATCCCTGCCAGGACTTTGCGAACCGAAGTATACGCTGCTTGCATCGCAACGGCGGCGACAAAGATATGTGTCAAGACTACTTCCAGTGAGCATGTCGGATGCGTGTGCCGGAGTGGATGCTGACAGAGGGCAGAGCTTACCGAGACTGCAAGAAGGAGTGGACTACAAAGCGGCGGTTAGGTATTACTGCTGCGGTGACCACCGACCAAAAGGAGGCCAATCCGTCCTGACGAAGAAGAGATCTCTGATATTCAGTGATATAAGGAAAGAGCGAAATCCTCGTGCAGTTGCCCATGCTCCGAGCTCGTTCAGTCTCGCTCGAAAAGCTCCTTGCCTATTTGGCGGTCGATTCTACCATTAGAGCGGTTCGCAAGCTGCCGCTGGAGTATAGAAAGAGGCAACACTGCGAGAGCATGGCGGGTACAACGTGGGACGCCCCCGACCGAGGCGGAGCGGCGGCGCAGACAGCTGGGGACATCGGTGCGAACTACACTCGGACTCTGTAAGAAATGTATATAATATGTACAACAGCGGCAAGTACGTGAATGACATGCCTAGCGCTGCGTTCACACTTCAGCAGCAGCACTTGACATGACCAGTATTTCAAAATATGGTGAGCTTCATGTTGGTACTACCGCTGTGCAGGGAAGTGGGGAGAGATGAGGCAACATGCGAATCTGGGCAACATTTGTGCCCTCACCCCACCGATCCTCACCATTCGTCCCGCTCATACCGTTCTCGACTTGCGCACAACTTTCACTTCGCCATGGCTGATTGATCTGATTTCCTGCCACGATGGCCGACGGTAGTAGTGTCGCCGAGCGCCGCATCCGCCCAATTCAGGATGCGGTTGCTTCAGAGAATTGGAAGCAGGCCCTCAAAGAGTGCGAGAAATGGCAGAAGAAGGGTGAGAAGTCAGACAAGTTTCTGGTACGTCCTGCACTCGTACATCCTGCCTATCCCGCTCCTCTGACCAGTCTAGGCTCTCAAAGCCTACGTTCTCGTCAACCAAGCCGACCGTAGCCAAATCGATAGAGGCCAGTCCGAGACTCTTGGGCTCTGCAGTCGAACACCGGCCGTTACCGATTTTGATGCCATACATACACTACAAGATGCCCTTCGCGACCTGTCGCTCGAGACCCAAGAGGGAAACAAGCTCTGGGAGCGCGCTGCAGCCGCAAAGTCCGGCGACAAGACTCTGCTCATGACCTGGCTCGACAGCTGCCTCGAGGACTCCCAATGGCAGTCTGCTCAGAAGGTGTGACACCAATCTACCAATCAATTTACTGTTGCCGGCCCTCCCCGGACAATAGACTCTCTGAAGAGACGGAAAGCTGACATGGTGTGCCAACCCAACAGGCCGCCATGGCGCTGCGCAAAGCATTCCCCAACGACCGTAACTACGATTTCTGGAACATCCTACTGTGTTTCCTGGTACACCAGGATAAGAGCCTGGGCGACAAAGAAAGGACACTTTTCGGAACGCTTGCGTATCGGCTTGTAAGCAAGGCGGTAGAAGGCGTACCAAAGAGCACGGTGAGTTGCTTCCCACAAAATCAAGAGTTGGCTGCTGATGGTATGACAGGAGCAGGTCTTGAGCCCAGGCAAGGCAGTGACAGCGCCTGAGGAAATTGCACTCCTAGTACAGATCTATCTGGCTACAGGACACGCCAATGAGGCAGTAAACTTGTTGACTGGGCCTAGTTTGAGCGTTGAGTCTACGGTCGGTGGTCAGGATCCTGCTCTCGTAGTATCGTTGCTATTGCAAGCCCTCGGTACGACCAAGGACTGGCCAAAGACCTTCGAAGTTTGCAAGCGACTGTTACATTCCTCGAACTACAAAGACGATGATCGTGTGTGGAGACTCATCAAGCAAAACGAAGAATGTGCGAAGGGCTCGACGTAAGTCTTGCAGCAGCCCCGACTGTTGAATATAGGCTGACGGAAGCGCAGAGATGATCAAGTTGGAGAGCTCCTGGCAATACCCGCGACTGACGGGGAGAAGCCCTCTCGCTGCTTGCTGCTGAAAAGGCTCGAGCAGGTTACCGAGAAAGCCGACTTCTCTCCTGACGAAGCTCTACCCATCTACAAGGAGTTTTTTGCAGCGTTTGCCAACAGGTCTTTTGCCTTCTCGGACTTGCGTCCCGCCCTTGAACGTCTTGACAAGCAGTCGCTTCAGACATTAGCTTCTTCGTTCAACTCCAGTTCGCTGGCAGCCGAACTCTTCGCTCTCAAGACATCTCGACTGTGCCCCAGCCCGGATACCAAAGACCTTTTCGCACACGCCACAGGCGCCCTCAGACTTTATGACACCTCCCTAGATGCAGGCACCCCAGTCCTAGAAGCACCTGTCCTGGCTGCTCTCTCTCTGATCCAGCTGTCCTTCTCGATCTCCTCCCGAGCGCTCCTCCTCAAAGCTACAGTCATCCTCGAAAGATGCCATAGCAAGCACGAGGATTTCTTTCCAGCATCAGTCCTCCTTGTCTCACTCTATCGACATCTTGGCTTCTTGTCGCTGGCCCTCTCAACCTTCAGCTCCTTGTCCGTGAAGAATCTGCAATGGGAGACGGTAGGGCATCTTTGCCTCACTCGGATCAGTACACTTCATCCACACCTTTTAGAGGACGTGGCTGGCCACAACGGCAAGAAAAAGATACTATTTAGTCCATTGCAAGCCGTCGAGAGTACATTACAAAATGTTGACAAGGTTATTGCCGGCTTGGCTGACAGTGTCAAACGTGGCCTTCGTGAAGGGTCTTACTCTAATATTCTCGATGCTGTGGACACGAAGACACAAATTGACAAGAGCGAATGGAATGTTGTTTGCGGCCTTGAGGAGCGAAAGCTATTACGAATGACAGCGGTTGACTTGGCCAATTCCCACCCAAAGGTCCAGTGGCGTCAAGATGTGGAGCTCAACGACTTACGGGACACTTCTTATCTACCTCATTATTCCAACGGTGATGAGAAGGTTTGGACAATGTTACGGTGCGGGCCAGACCCTGGAGCAGGTTGGGCGGCAGCAATGCTGTTGTTTGAACGCTTGTTGGATTATTTGGACCCAGTGGGAGAAAAAGAGGTCAAGGAAAGGGAATGGGCGGCTCTTGAGGAAGAACAGCAAAGAGCCAGCAAGCATTTACTCAACGACGAGTTGAACGAAGGGCAACTCACCGGTCCGGAGGAGGACCTATACCGATCAGTACTGCACGTTGTCGACCTTGTCAGGAGTTCAAAAGATGGCAAGAATCATGATGAGGATGCGCTGGCTGCCGTTGAAAAAACCCTCGCCGAGTGGCTCAAGGAAAAGCATGATGTCGAACACAGTGGCAGCTGGAGACACTTGCATCACTGGTATGTCGGCTACGAGCTCTCACATCTGGTACACGCATTTACCACCTGGGCCGCGCGGGCGACTTTACCTTCCGCTGCCGGTGACGCGAAGGGCAAGCGAAAAGGCAAAGCCGTTGTGCAGAACGTAGGGAACCCCATCCCCGAAGACAAGCTCGCACAGCTCGAGCAGCTCGGCGTCAAGCTCAGGGATGGCATCCGTGGAGCAGCGCAGCAGGCCAAAGCAAGCTTGGTCGAGGGAGGAGCCCTTGGCCGCATCATGGAGATGGTCCTACCTGCTGAAGGCGAAGCCGCCGAGTCTGGTGACATCGGTGGTGAGGGCGAGCGCGAGGAAAAGGAGTTCAGTCAGGTGCTCAGGCAGTATATCGATGCGACGGGAGGCGACGGCGCTGCAGAGGTCAGTGTGGGCAAATGGCTGGAGAGCGAGGAGGATGCTTATACGGGCGTGTTGGCTTCTGATCGCGTCTTGGGCGAGAGATTCGCGGCTAGACCTGTTGATGGCCAAAGCAGGAAGTAGTAGGTGTCTTATACTGTACGGAATGAGCATGGTCCCGGGACTGAGTGTCACCAGCGGCTGTGGAAGGGCATGAGTTGCGAAGTTGGTAGAATAAGATCGAATATATGCGTCTTGCGCCCACGACCTAGCTAAAGGGGGGCAGTAGACAGTGAAGACCTGCAGTCGATGATTTTCCGTTTAAGCACGCACTCCTAGTCGGCGCATTCGGGGTCAGAACCTGTTTGTATACAGGAAAGGAGAGGCAAGAGAGAGAGGCAGCGCCGCCGAGACGTGAGTGCAAATCAACATGTGGATGCATTTGGTCATTTTCTAGTTTCCGCGCACATAGCGCTCGCCTGTCTCGGTCGCAAGCCCGGGAGAGGTGAAGCGATAACGTCCGTAGGCCCACGCCCTGGATCAGAATTCCCGACTATCAGCGACATCGGTATAGACTTTGGACCGTCCCAGATCCGGCAGTTTGCAGCCAGCATTCTGTCAGCCCGGGGCCCGATCCTTCGACAGTGTAGTCTCCGCGGCTCAACGGGTCAGACAGCTGCTAGCCTGTTCGATTTTCCTAGCCGACGATGTGTAGCCGGCTTGCAAGCCTTTCGATTTCGGCCCTTTCCGATGTCCAACGCCCCCTTCGCAATGCATGCCTGGTATGCCGCAAGCTTTGAGACACCCGTATTGGACCACCAAATTTAGTCTTGCCTGCCCTTGAGTAACCGTTTAGTGACCTTGTCCTTCTCGATAATGTACACGTGTGCACCCCAACCTGAGAGCGCATCACGATCGACGGCATTGAGCAGCGCTTGGGAGATGGTCTCAAAGAGTGCCTCTGGCTCCTAATCTGAGTTAGCAGCTATGCGATGTAAAGTGACTGCCTATCAGAGCGTCGCGCCGGTAGACCGGTGAAGCAACTTTGGGAATAAACATACCAGATCCGGCTCCCATAAGCCTTCGCACGTGCCGAATAACTGCTCGCTTGCTGTGCCGCCGACGATGAAGTCTTTTGCGAAGTCAATGCAGCCGATACTGTCGAAGCCGCAGATGAATGGTTTGCCCGTCGTGTGATTGATGCCCGCCAGCACCGGGGAGATAAACCATGGTCCGAACCGCTTCTCGTACAGGCTGGAGCTCACCAGGTTGGCAAGCGTCTGTGGGGAGATGTTGCGTTCTTCTCTCAGTCTGTACATGTTGACCTTGTAGCGGAATGTGTCGGAGACAGTCTGAACGTCCGTTGCTAGACCAGTGAGACCGAGATATGTTGACGGGCCGTAAGAGAAGATCTTGGGGAAGTTATTCGAGACCGTCAATGCCTGCATGCCGAGACGGAGATCGCAAGCGATGGCAACGCAGTCTTTGCCGACCATGGCGACAAGGGCACCGCCATTGATGTCGAAGGGGGAGGACTTCCGGGCGGTTAGTGGATGGGTATGTCACTGTCGGCAGGAAGAGCTTACCATGGCGACGGTGGTGTGGAGGTAAGAAAGGAGTCTGGAGGCTGAGACTCGGATCTATCAGCGAATGCAGAGCAGTGTCGAGGAATTGACGACTGTCCGAGGCTTCGAGAGATGGTCGTGGCTGTAGTTAGACGTGCTCGAAGACTTGAAGTGGACGCAGGCTGTCAAGCATACTACGCGTCGGAGAGCACCGTGGCTAAGCGCCGATTAAGCGCCACAAGCGCTGCTAGAACTCACTTTTATGCTATGACGCAGCCTCGCAGCCTTGCTACGCCTACCAGTAGACCAGGCATCCGCGGGGAGGCGACAGCAACTCTCCGCCTTCGAAATCATTGTTCTGTGGTCTTCCGTTGTGTTCTCCGACTACGTGGTCACCACCTGGATTCAACCTGACAGCGCCGCAGATCCATTTTTTCCGTTCTGCGGCCACTGTTGGTGACCCACGACTTCTGCCCCGCAGACCGGCAAGATGGCCTCCAATGTGGTGGTTATCGATTCCACGGCAAGAAGAGCTACAGTCAAGACTACACCAGGAACGAATCTAAGTGAAGTACTAGAGGAGGCCTGTCGAAAGTTAGGCTACAAGCCGGAGCAGTATGGGTTGAAGCACAACAACAAGCAAGTCGATCTAACGAGACCATACCGACTATCTGGACTCGCTCCCGGTGCCAAGCTAGAGCTTGTGCAGCTTTCCAAGTCTACCGGTGTTGTTTCAGTCGCGTTACAATTGCCAGAGTCAGAAGCACAAGGCGTGCCTAATGCGAGGCTCTCAGACAAGTTCCCCAGCAATACAACTTTGTGGCTGCTTCTAAGGAAATTTGAAGCTGGTGTGGCTGGAGGTCCAGCACCCAGCAGGAACTTCACAGCAAGGGGTAATCCATCAAGTGGAGCCGGGGCCGGACGTCTATACTACGAGCAGCCGGTGGTGCAGATCATGAACCGAGAGCTATCCACGTTTACAGATCTGCAGAAGACGCTGGCACAGCTGGGACTGAACAGTGGCAGCAGCCTTATGCGTCTCAGCTTTAAACCTACGGAGAGACCCTTGGAGGATGCTTTAGAGGAGACTCAAGCATACTTTGACTCACTTGACGCTCCTTACACGACAGAGACCGCCCGCGCACAAACATCCACGACCTCTCAGACACCTCAAGAAGAGTCTTCGGCGACTAAAGACGTCAATGAACCACCATCAGCCGACACAGCTATGTCCGGAACGGAGCCGCAGCCAGAAGCGGAAACCACACCTAGTGCCTCTATGACAGAGTCAACCCCTCAACCTAGCCAAACACAACAATCCGCTGAAGAGATTCCCTCTCCTACCTCACGACCAGTGTCAATCTATAGGCCACCCACAGGCATCACCCCATCTGCCGCCTTAACCCAAAATAACGAAGCAGACTTTACGCCAACAATTGAACACGCTCAAGCGCACCAGAAAATGCTCACCGAGGCAGGTCGCAACCGGAGACTTAAAACCGATGCTGAGCTAGCTGCTCAAGCCAAAGAGGAACAAGAGAGGCTCGCCGCCATCACAGAGGTGGAAGTGAAAGTCCGCTTCCCAGACCAGTCCGCGCTCGGGACGAAATTCAGGCGAGAAGATACTGGCACGACACTGTACACCTTCGTCAGAGAGGAGTGCCTAGATACGCAAGTCAAAGGTGAGCCGTTTGTGCTAGGTATACCTGGAGGCGGTGGACGAGGATCTATGGAAGTTATTCCAGACACTGGCAAGCGGCTCATTCAAGATCTACATCTGAAGGGGCGAGTGCTACTGGTCTTTGCTTGGGATGAGAAAACTGCCAGCGCAACTGCTCGAGGAGCCAAGAGCGTCCTGAAGGCAGAGCTGCGGGCGAGGGCTCAAGACCTCAGAGTGCCCGAGGCACCAGTGTCGAGTGGCCCAGAGGAGAAAGGCACGAGAGTCAACATCGGTGGAACGGAGAAAGAAGAGAAGAGTGAAGGAAGCGGCAGCGGGATCGGCAAAAAGATGCCTAAATGGTTGAAGGGCTTGAACAAGAAATGATTCGACACAGCCTTGATGTAGTAGGCTCACTCTTCAATGTAGAACAGGCTTGGATGATGAGACGTTAGCGACGGCATAGAACAATGCAATGCAGTGGACAAGGACATGAACACGGCACAAGCGACATCCACACATGCCGTTTTGCAATGATTCGCTTTAATGGTTGATTTGCTTCTTCATTGTTGGTGCCGCATTGTATCGTACGTTATCGAGATCGTAACCATGACTTGCGACACCGGAGCCACCACGGCCTTCTCCATCAACGTAAACCGGCAGTGGTCATCCACCGGTCCCATATGGAGAATCATAACATCTACTGCCCATTCGCCTCAATAAGGCTGCAACGCACTTCTCTCACGCGCAAAGCAGAAACGCCGCTCATTCCATGCTCATTTGGCCTTTGTGGATAGTGAAGCCTTTTCGCTCGGATATCGGGGATAGAGATTGTCGGGACATGGTCGTTAATTGTCCAGCCATCCGCTTAGTGACCAGCACGGCGAGCCTCAGCGATCACACGCTGCAGCTCGTCGACCTTTCTCTTGGAGCGGGAGAGGGTACCGAGCTATTGATCATCACGTTAGCCTCGTTCTTGCTCTCTCAAGATTGTCTGTGACCCGAAATGAAAGTCTTTGCTGCGCCCTCTCAATTCTCTTCAACGAGTCTTTTGGAAACCTGTGCAACAAACGGGGGGTTGAGATCAAAAACTTACCCTCTTCTTGGCGAGCTTTCTTGCGCGCTTGTCCTTGGAGTTTCTGAGCAGTTCGATGACACGGCGCTCGTAGGGGGCGAGACCGGCGACTTCGCGGACGATGTCACGCACGAACGAGGTGCGCTTGCTGAGGTGGCCCTTGGTGCGGGAGACGCGGGCAGGTGGCTGGATCGGGGTGACCTTCTGTTGTGGTTGTCAGCGATCTTGAATCCTTCACTGCATTTGCAATCATTTTAATATTGCCGGCAAGCGACATGGAAATATGAAAGGCAATGTGTGGGTGTAGAATCGCAGCTCGAGAGTCGGCGCATATTCGATGGGTAATGGGAGAACGTACGTGGCCCTTGTTGATGCCGGCGGCGATGCCGGACTTCTGCACACGCTCCTGAGGCATGGTGTGTGACTTGATTGACGACAGGTGGGTGTTGCAAGGAAAAGAGGACGTCAATAAGGCACGGGCGGTGGTGTCGACGAGCCGCAGACAAATCTTAGAACCTACGGGTCTTGGCGTGCGGCCAGCCAAGATTTTATGCACGTGATGTACGTCACGCGAATAAGACCGTAGGTGCAGCTTTTACTGCCTGACAGATCAAGCTACACCTCAAACGAAGGACATGTCCGCCAGAGCGGCGGTGATGCGATATATAGCTTTTGGGTTCTTGCCATTTCCATAAGTTCGCCTCAGGAAGGTAGCTCAAGCCTATATATAGAGCGCCGCATCAGTATGCGGCCAACTTTGGTGCCTTTCGTTGGGCTCGTCTCCCTCGTCTCCGCTTTCGTCTTCAATGGCGATGTCCAGAACGTGCTCGCTCCGTCTTCCAGAAGCAAAGACGGCCTCTCAGATGTCATTGCAGCATCTCCCGTGTTGACACTTCATCGTGCTCTTTGCGAAGTCGGCTCCGTCACTGGAAATGAGGCATCAGTTGGCAACTTACTTGTTTCCTTCCTGGAAGCCCACAACTTCACGGTAACTAAGCAGGCGGTACCCCTTCCCAACAGCACTGCCGAGCGTTTCAACATCTACGCCGTTCCAGATGCCAGCAAGTTCCCTGGCTATACGAGCACTGCTGCCTCTTACCAGGGGCCCAAGGTCATGTTGTCCAGCCACATCGACACCGTCCCACCCCACTTTCCATACAGCCTCTCCTCCGCCAAATCCAACAAACGCAAGGACATCTTGATCTCTGGCCGCGGTACTGTGGACGACAAAGCTTGCGTGGCAGCACAGACCTCCGCCGCGCTGCAACTCCTCGCCTCGGGCAGCGTCCGCGCCGCCGACATTGGCCTCCTCTTCGTCGTTGGCGAGGAGACGACCGGCGACGGCATGAAGCATTTCTCTTCCTCGTCTCTCTATGCTTCCCAGGCCGACAACCTGAAGGCAGTGCTGTTCGGCGAGCCCACGGAGCTCAAATTGGCGACCGGTCACAAGGGCATAACCATGCTGTATATCAACGCGCAGGGTAAGGCTGCGCATTCGGGATACCCGTGGCTGGGGCGTAGCGCGAACAGCATGATCTTGCCCGCACTGACGGTTCTGGACAAGCTGGGTGATATCCCCGAGGATGAAGGTGGCTTGCCACGATCGAAGAAGTTTGGCAAGAGCACCGTCAATGTAGGGTGGATGCAGGGTGGCGTCGCGGCTAATGTTGTGCCGGAGCATGCGGCGGCGGATGTGACGTTTCGGTTGGCGGGTGGGACAATCGACAAGGTCAACCAGATCATCCTAGATGCTGTGCATGCGGTGGATCCGGAGGGTTTGCTGGACTTGAAACTGGGCCAAGGATACGGCCCTGTAGTCTGTGATGCGGATGTGAAGGGGTTTGAGACCATCAGTGTGAACTATGGAACTGACGTTCCTAATCTGAAATTGAAGGACGGAGTGAAGCGGTATCTCTACGGGCCGGGCAGTATATTGGTTGCCCATGGGGCCGACGAGGGTTTGACGGTGGGTGATCTAGAAGAGTCGGTGGAGGGATATACGAAACTTGTCAAGCATGTATTGGAAAGCTGAATCTGGGTAGTCAAGAGTTGCTTGTACATTGTCGGCTACCGAATCTATCGCTGCACACTCTCATCCTAACCATATTTGTACACTTCTCCCTTGCTCGTAGTCCTTGATCGACGACCAGTCAGGCTCGCACAGTCCTAATGGCCCAGAAGTCATGAAGCAGACGACTCGCACAGGTTGGGCTTACGCGCGCCCCCAGAGGAACCAGGCTTTTCCCATCCATGAACAGACACGCGACCCAACAGATAAAACTAACAATTTCGCCAGAGCCTCTAAGTGGAATGTCATGAGCACTTTCGCCGTCAGCGCAAGCGTACTGCTGTTGAATATTCCCATGGTTGGCCTGAGAGGCCCAATGTCTTCAAGAATTGATGTAGCTCGTGGAGTTTGTGCCGTTCCGGAAGCCAAGAATGCAGTGGCAAGCCTTCTTGTGTAGTAAACGTCGAACGGCAACATGATCATTGACGCCAAGAAAGAGCTTGCGCAGAGACATGTTAGATCACCTGTAAATGTAGACAACGTAGTGACCCGAAAATACTTCGGATTCGAGCGGTGATCATAACCTGGTTTCGGAGTGGCTGCTCGATTCTGCAACGATGAAGCAATGGCCGAGATATCTTCGTCAAGCTCAGTTGGACGACGCACTGGTCGTGGGGCGATACCCTGAAGCCTTTCAGGGGTGTGTGATGCCCGTGCCAGAGACGGGGCTCTTGAGAGTCCGGGTACTGGAGTGGATGGGGCTGAAGGGTCAGGCATGTTAGCCTCGGGGAGATCGACCGGTTCAAGAAGTCTCTCGAGTGGTACCGTTGGGCTGATCTCCGTTTCGTCAGACATCTGTGCTCTGGGTGCGAGTGCGTGTCCTCCTGCCGTCATCTCGTCAACGTCAGCGTCGCTCAAGTTGAGGTCGTCTGGATCGGGCGTAGCTGTTGATATATCATCAGCCCATTCGTGAATATACCCGATTCTGCCAATGGGGTCGATGTGCATCTCCGACAAGGCTTGGTCAATTGCCATTCTGCGAAGCTGATCATCAGGGAGCTGCGCTTGCAATGGCCTTCGATGGTTCTCTCTGACCAGAGCTCCGTACCGATATTTTGCTGCCTGCAGAATCTCAGGTATTTCTGCTCCGTCGATCATGTCTCCACCAGAAGTGAGTCGGAGCCAGGTCAGTATCTTGAGGCATGTTGGGAAAGCGATGCGTAGCTGATCAAGGAAAGACAGCCGTGACTTCAGGAACGGAATGGCCAGAGGGTCCTGGTGAAACTTCGGTATGATAGTCGTGTAGGTATCGAGCTCCCCAACACGGCCTCCGACCGAGAGTCTGTCAGCACGATCCGGCTTCGCTATGATATCTGGCAATAGGAAGCGAAGTCTCAATTCTATGCTTTCGCGTATCTGCTCGCCAATATAGGCAAGGACAAAAGGAGAAGTTACCAGACTGATGCAAAACGCTCCGTAAGCTGGAAGTGATACCGCTGCAGGCATTCTCGCCAAATATTTGGGCGACTCGCTGAGCGGGGATATGAAGGTAGACCAGGAAATAAGGTGTTCGACTGGCATCAGACCCAGCGCCTGGAGCATGCTATGTGCACGTATCGGCCACTCGATCGTGAAGATGCCCACATCTTTCCTGTGATCGTTAAGAAGGAGGCAATTCTGAGCTTTGAGATTCTTACAGCTTGTCCAGGCCCCATTCAGTCCAAGGGGTCTCATCAACATCTCCAAACTCATCGACATTCGGACGGATGGGCCGATGCATAGATGGAGTGAACATGTACCGATAGTCTCGTATCCAATCCGCAGCGATACCGAAGCCTAGCCCCGAAAGGCAGAAAGCTGGTGGCCCCAGGCGTCGTGTTTCTGAATACATGACGTCCATCAAGCTCGGTGCGAAGTATGATCGGAATGTCTGCGATATTGATCAGCGCAGCTCACTATCGGGCGAGCACTTGACTTACCACAAGCCTAGAGCGGAATGATATCGCCCACCAGGAGCCGAAATCGAGACCCAACGCGAAAATTTCTCGCATGGCGAGGCCAACGAAATTCTCCAGCTTGACCAAGTCAACTAGCTCATCATCTGAAAGGTCGTGGCGCCGTGCAAGCTTCGTATCTGTATCATGCTTCGATCTGACGACGCCCACCACCCGCAAAACCTCGTTCTGAGCCCTTCTCAGAGCTTTATCTGCTCGCTCCGAACTCTCATTGACTGGGTGGCCACGACTGTCGAATTGCTGAACATATCCGGGCGCACCGTTATCAAAGGCATGAGAGTTGAGAACAAACTCGCCATTTTCGTCCCTCAAAGGCTCCTCAAAGGCGGACCGGCCCTAGATTCGTCAGACTCGCGCGCGGAATGAGGACGACAACACTGTGTAAGCGCGGCGGGACTCATGCCAGCGCTTGGCTCGGGAAAGATGGGATGGAACTCACCAAGGCCAGTCGGATGAGATGACTGAGTCTGCCCATAACCGGTGCTGGGTCATCAGTTCATACGCCGACGCATTGGCCGATCGATGCTCAGCGCTAGTGGCCCGTGGTTACACGGGTTGCACATGGGGAATTTTCCACGTTGGAAGCAAGCGAGACAAATCCGACACCATGCGCGACGAGGCGTAGCAAGAGACTCGTCGCGTAGATCGACTTCAGTCACAAATGGATATGCCTGCTCTATGTATAGACACTGGTGTATGAGGCACTGGTGCAGCGAAGGAGAGACCGTGGTCTTCGCGCCAATCGGAGACGACTTGATGCGCCAAGGCCCTAATGCCGGGGCAGCAAACTCTAAATGATGAGGCTATTCTGCTGGGTAACTTTTTTTGCGACGTCGAGATTCGCGCCTCGCTCACACCGTCGTCGTCGGGCACAATGCTTCAGATCCTGGTACGCCATCGCAAACAGGGCAAAACTTGCTGCAGGTGATTTGATTTGTTATCATCACAGTCATGGCGACAAAGTTCCAGGTGAAGACAACCTTTGAGGCTGCAAGAACCATCGAGCCGATTTACACGGGTGGGGATGTGTCCGCCAATGCGTCCGGCTCATTAATAGCAACGACCGTGGATGAAGATGTGTTGATCGTGAACACAAGTTCCAATCGGCCGTTGTGTCGAATAGAAGGAGATGGTGAAGCTGTGACGAGCTTGAGCCTTGGACCAGAAGCGTCTTACGTGGCAATATGCTCACGGTCACTAAGCATGCGCATCTTCTCGCTTGATGTCAACGATGAACAAACAGCCGCAACCGCAGTGCTACTGAGGAGCCTAAAAGCCCACACAACTCCGGTGGTCTCCTCCAGTATCGACCCCACGGAGTCTTTACTGGCGACGGGTGCTGCAGACGGAGCAGTCAAGATATGGGACCTTAAAGGCGGCTTTACAACGCATACCTTTCATGCTCACGGTGGCGTTGTGTCTGCGATCTGCTTCTTCCGCCTGCAGCTCGCACAGCAGAAGAGAAAAGGCGTGCCAATAAATCAACCAGCATCATCACTCGGCCTGGCAACGGGCGGTGAGGAAGGCAAGATTCGAGTGTGGGACCTCGCTGCCAGCAAAGCTGTTGCATCGCTCGATGCTCACGCAAGTGTCGTAAGATCACTATGTTTTTCACAGCATGAAGGGTTTTTGTTATCAGCAAGCAGAGACAAGACCATCATATTATGGGACGCCAGGACATGGCAACAGCGCAAAGTAATCCCAGTTCTGGAAGTTGTCGAGACTTCTGGACTTCTCCTGAACGGTGCATACTGTTTCGGAGGTGGGGAGAACGGCAACCTGAGGTTGTGGTCAACTTCCACTGGCAAGGAGATTACGCCCAAGCAAGAGCCAGGACTCGAAACGGATTCGATCGTTACAGCAGTTTCAATCAGCGCAGAATCTCTGATACTGACTATCCACCAAGATCAGACCATGAAGTTTCATTCCTACTCTCAACTAAGCAACGACGTACCGAAAGGTGCCTCATGTCCACTGCCAGTGGTCCGGCGAAAAACAGCCAACCTCGACGAGGTCATCGATATGGCTTGCGTTGGGCCTGATCGATCTACGATGGCACTGGCGATCAACACAGAGAGCATCAAATTAGTATCAGCTGACGGGAGCTCAAGTGCATCCGTATTCGGCAACGACACTGGATCATTAGATGGGCACACTGACATAATCATTAGCTTAGACACGGATTGGTCAGGGCATTGGCTGGCGACAGGCGCCAAAGACAATACGGCAAGGCTATGGAGACTCGACCCAACAAATTCAACCTTCCAATGTGCAGCAGTCTTTGAAGGACATGCTGAATCTATCGGAGCAGTTGCCCTGCCCAAAAGTCCACCCTCAGGCAACGCGGCAAAGCATCCCTCAAAGCATTTTCCAGCATTCTTGATCACAGGCTCACAAGACAAGACTATCAAGAGATGGGACACTTCGAAACTGAAAGTCAACAACGATGATGCTGTGCAGAGCGGCGTTCGCGCGATCTATACACGCGTTGCCCACGAAAAGGACATCAATGCCATTGACGTTTCTCCGATCGGACCTCTCTTCGCATCCGCCTCGCAGGACCGGACCATTAAAATCTGGTCTCTCGAGGACGGCTCCGTGACAGGCATCCTTCGTGGCCACAAGCGGGGCGTCTGGTCCATCAAGTTCTCTCCAGCTGGCACGCCACCCATCGCGCTTGCAGAAGGCGGAGCCAGCTCGTCCCGTGGCCTCCTCGTTAGTGGTTCCGGCGACAAGACAGTCAAAGTCTGGTCCCTCTCCACATACACCTGCCTCCTCACCTTCGAAGGGCACAGTAACTCAGTCCTCAAGGTCATTTGGCTCCCGCCCCTAGATACCGACGCTACCACATCAGACGACGACATCGCTCACCGTAAAACCCATTCACAACATCCGACCATTGCTTCCTCTTCTGCCGACACCCTCATCAAGCTTTGGGATCCATACGCCCCATCAGACTCCGACAACCTCCTCACCACACTCGACAACCACAGCGACCGCGTCTGGGCACTCGCCACACCGTGCTTTCCACACTCCACCGCTCCCACACCACCACCTTACCCCCTCATCTCCGGCGCCGCCGACGCCACCCTCACCTTCTGGGCAGACACCACAACGCAAACCAGCGAGACCGTCACCCGTCAGGCCACAGAGCGCATCGAACAAGACCAGCTCCTGCAGAACCACATCATGGCCAAGAACTACCGCGAGGTCATCACGCTGAGCCTGGCGCTGAACCACCCGGGCCGCCTACTGCGCGTGTTCCAGGACGTCGTCGCCCTCCCTGCCGCCGAGCAAGAGCCTGGTAGCCTCACGGGCGTGCGCGCCGTGGACGACGTGCTCGCCAGCTTGGACGAGGAGCAGGTCTTCAAGTTGCTGGAGCGGGTGCGGGACTGGAACACCAATGCACGCACCGCGGTCGTGGCGCAGCGCGTGCTCGGCACCCTGTTGCGCAGCTACGATGTGGATTTCTTTGTGGACTTGGCGGAGAACAGGCGCTTGAAGGGCGTGAGGCCGCTGCTCAGGGCGTTGGAGGTGTATACCGAGCGGCACTACAAGAGATTGGAGGAGCTGGTGGATGAAAGTTATCTGTTGGAGTACACTTTACGGGAGATGGATGAGATATCAGGGACTGCGATGACTAGGATCAACGGGAGTGCAAAAGCAGTGACCGCAGATGCTGCGATGGTGTAAAGATTGCTAGATGCGGGTGTGCACTGTAAGATAGTAGATGAGTCTCGGAAGAAAGATGGCAGGTTTTGGGGGTCGGAAAATGAATGGGAATATAAATGTCCCGCAACATTCCCACATTATCTATCTATCGTCGCGACGTTTTCTGTCATCGTCTCGATGCCAGTCTCGGTCGCGGTCTCTCTCTCGGTCACGATGGCGACTTCGTTGAGACGAGCTCGAGGCATGGTGATCATCATCTCGATGTCGGCTACGGTGCTTGTCTCGATGCTTGGAATCATAGTCATCCTCATTCCGTCTTCTGCGATCACGCGACCGACTTCGATCTCGTTTCGATCTCACGCCGTCCGAGTCACGGTCGTCATTGTGCCGCCTGGACTTGTGCCTGTCCTCGTCTTCTTCATCTCTGTACCGTCGTGACGAACTGCTGTGTCTGGAGGAGTCGTACCCGTCACCATTGGTAATCGCTTTGCGATCCCCGTCTCGCTTTGAATCTCGGTCTCGACCACTTCGTTCCAAATTGCGGTCGCGGCGGTCACGCCAGTCTTGCTCAGGCTTCTGATTTTTGGAGTCTCTGATCCGCTTCTGGAACTCTTCTTCTGTGATCCGCTCACCAGTCTCCTTATTCTCACGCATCAGTGGCGTGAAGAAACCCTGGCCCTTGTTGTTCTTACGCATGTCGGCCTTGCCCCAGGCACCCAGTTCCACATCAGAACCTGGTGCTGCCTTTGCGCCGATGCCGAGGAAGCCTTCTTGCTTGCGGATCTTGCGTGGATTGTCATCCTTCTCGCTTTCTAGATTGATGGTCTGTCCTGCAGCTTTTCGCTTCTGGCCCATACCTCGTAGCATTGCTAGGCCAAACTCTTCGACGGGCATAGCGGCATAGTCTTCGAGCGTGCTTGACTCTGGGCGTGATGCAACGTCTTCTCGGAAGTCTGTAGTTTCATCTTGGCCTTGAAGTCGAGCATTTGCTTGCGCAGCGATAATCGCGTTGCTCTTCGGTCTGTCACCGAGAAGTGCCGCCATGGCGATTTCGTCTTCAGTCATCTCTTTCGCAGGGTGTCCGTTCGCTGTATCTGCGCTCCCAGGCACAGGCGCATTTTCAGTTCCTTCATCAACCTCTTTCTGTTCTGAGTACTGGAGGCCGCTCGCTTTGCTGACCTCGTCTCTTTCGACCATGACCACCTCGCCATTTTGTGCAGCCTGCACTTCTTCGGGAAGCAGGTTTTTGCGGCCACGAGTCCGCCAGTCACCGTTACCAGAGTTTTGGATGATTTTCACCTCTGTCTGTTGAACAGGCTTGCTTAGAATTGCTCCGGTGGAGGAGAAGCCAGTTACTGACTCATGCTGTGGTTCGTCGTCTTCCTCGTTGTCCGAGTCCTGCGCTCGTAGAGGCGCAGTCTGAGTCTTTTTCGGCTGTGGAAGCCGTGGCCCAGCACCCTTCGCAGGAGCACCTGCTTTGGGCTTGCCGAAACCGAACGAAATGGCCTTGGACATGGCTGGAGTGCCCGCCACATCTGCAGACAGTGACTCGGGGCAGTTTTCTTGTAGCAAAAAAGGTAAAGCGCTCGGAGAAGGCAACAACGACTGCCAAGCCTTTCGGCGGCACCTTATCGATAACTCTAAATGCGCCTGGCCTTTGCGGCCTCGTGCCAGTTTGACCGTCTTCCTTTCAGTGGAGGCAACGCGTTTGCCGGCGGCACTCTTCGCTACCTATCGACACCTCGACGAGCTCAGCATTTCAAGACCAGGCGTTGCCTTGTGCCGTACTGCGTCGCCGATATCCCTCCCTAGATTCAATACATTACTTTCATCTGTGATATTGGGCTGCGATCTGCCAAATCAACTCCCGCGCCTTGTGCGCATACCGGCCACTCCACCTACGGAATCCTGTGCCATCAGTGCTGTCCACGATGACATCTACCGATATGGCCCTTCTGGGCACCTTTCAAAAGCACATTGAAGACATGCGGGCTCTTGTTCAGTGCAAGGTCTGCCTCAAACCATTCTACGAGCCATTCACCCTGTCATGCGGGCACACATATTGCTACTCGTGCCTTTCAAGCTGGCTAGGCGGCAGCCATAATCGTCCAAGGTCAAAGAATTGTCCCGACTGCCGAGCCATAATTCGCACTGAGCCATGTCCGAATTACACACTTCGAGATCTGGTCCATATGTTTCTCAACCGAGCCGAGCTGCTGCCTGAAGATGAGACGACCCAGGAACACGAAACTGGCAAGGCGGACGAAGCCCGTGTGCTTGCAGCAGACCGTTCGTCCCGTGGACTATTCAAAGGTATTTTTACAAGACCACCGCATGGTCTCGGACACCGCCCACCGCACCTACCAGTTGCTCCCCACCCAATATGGGATGAAGCAGACCATGTCGAGAGATGCCCAGCTTGCACTCACGAACTTGAAGACGGCATGTGTAACCGCTGTGGGTGGGAGATCGACGCTTACGGCTTCTCTGATGAGGATGACATCGACGACCTTACTGAACAGACCTACAATTCGGAAGAGGACGACAGGGATATCTCCCCAGACGACGATGGAACCGAACCCTTTCATCCCCTACCTTTTGGTTTCCACGTTCACCACGATTTCTACGACCAAGAGAGCCAAGCAGAAGACGAGCATTATGCAGGTCATCCGTTTCCTCGACCATCTAGCATATCTTTAAGTGAAGATGGTGTTAGTGAGGATGAGGACGACGATGGCGAGATGGACGACTTCATTGACGATGATGAAGAGCACGATCATCCTCGTGAGATTGACTATGATGATGAGGATCTGGATAGCCTGGCTAGCGAGAGGCGGCACCCAGGACATAGGAGCCCACACCCCGGCCATCTAGGACCGGGCACGGAGCCCATAATACATCATCCGGCATCCACGAACTTCGCGTATGATTCTCATTACGACACATCGAGCGAAATCGAGGAGCCATCCTATGATGAAGACGATGCGGCGCCCAGTCTGTCATCTCGGCCAATATACAACATCGACTACAATAGTGAATCATCCGGAGACGAAGATGTCACAGTTCAGAACGGTGACGACAGTCAGACGGATGATCAGACGAATTACGACTCGGACGGCTCATCGGTCCAAGAAGTTCCGCCTCCTTCCCACACCACTGGGTTAACAAATCGGAGGGGCAATCGCCGCATAGTCGACAGCGACGATGAAGAGGAAGACGGAACCGGAGTCGACGAGCAGGTTCCACCACCATTCTCGGAGGAGGACTCCGAAGTTTCAGAGGAATCCGATGACACCGCCATTCGTGGCCCACCCCAATCATCCGCTCTTCGTCAACGACGGCTCAGGCAGCGTAGGGCGACTCACAGCCAACGCAGCGATCGAGGACTGAGTGCGGGGGGACCATCGAGGTACAGCAGCTACAGTCGAAGTCCGCCGCCATCCAGACGACGAGGTCAACGACTCCAGCCAGTGCTTGATCTGACACAATCTCGCCCCATGCGTGTGCACTAGAGGACGCGTATGCCTCACTGATAGCGCTGCGAAAACTTGTTGTACGAGGAGAGGCGTGGAAGGCGAGTGACCCAAAAGAGAAAGCGTTGCAGTATCACGAGATATGTTTATTGCCACGAGGCAGGGAACGCAATGATGGGCGGAATTGTTCAATGGAAAAGCCATTGATGGGCTTGCAACCACACTTAAAGCTGAATAGCAGCATCTTACGTAGAAGCACGACATGATACCCCAGACGGGCGTTACTTTTTTTCCCTTTTTCCTTGCTGTGTATTTGAAGCTGCAGATCTGCTTGGTATCATGAGCCGTGAACTCCGGCGCTATGCATTTGTCCTTTCTATCGAAGGAGCTGGCACATCCTCAGCCTTCCAACCCATCTCCCATCCCGAGCCGGTGTGGCAAACCTAAGACGTACAGTACAGCGCTGCTCTTGCAGGGGCCGAGTGATAAATCAAGCACTGAGAACCTGCTTGCTGGTGTCGTACTCGATCTCCTGCACGCCGTCCTTCTTGACTACCTTGACTGTCATGCCCTTGAAGTCAATGGGCAGCCGTCGTTGCAGCTCGTCGGTACACATTCGCAGAATCTTCATGCCCTGGTCGAAGCTAATGTCTGGGTGGTGGTGCTTGTCAAGGATCGAGAGGCAGTAGTATCTACGTGCGTGCCCCAGTCTGTCAGCGTGCTGCGATATATGGAGAAGGGAACAGCATGGAGGAAGCTTGCGAATACGTACTGCGCGTAGCCGTGCGCCGCATATGGCACCTTCGCCGCACTCGCCAAATAGTCCAGCCAGTATAGACTCGGCTCTTTGGTGATGGGGTCCACACCGCCGAGCAACAGGTTGACAGTATACGGATGCCTCGACCGCAGGCTCTTGGCCAGCTCGCCTCGCACGAACGCGGCCAGGGCGGCAGGACCCAGTTCCGTCTCGTTGCGCATCGAGTACAGAGCAACGTTGGCTTGGACGAATTCGGCAAATTGCACTGTGTCGCCCGCCTCGCCGGAGAAAGCCATCAGGTTGTTCTTGTTGAGGACGCGGGTCTTGTCGTCGCTGGACTTGAGGATCGTGGCACCGCGCATCGCCGCTTTGCTCGCGGCAATGATGGTGAAATCACGGCCGGTGAGGCCGAGGAGGACTTCCCTACGAGGTGGGTTAGTGGGAGACCGCAGGAAGGATTGGGCGGACCTGCATGATGAGGTGCTTGCTGGGTAGAAAGGGTGTCTGTGATTCGAGAGGTATAGAAGAGGTCGGATCGTCAAGTGATGATCTAGAGAAACGAGCAAGCAAAAGACTGAAGTTAGACGAGTCCGGGCTTGCTGGGGTGAAAGTCGACGATGTCCAATGCTCCGCGAAGTGACTTGCGCGTAAACCAGTGCCTGGTAATGGCGATTGCAGCAGTCGTTTTTGCTGTCAGCCGTAGCACGCCTCTAGGGCGGCGGTTGCGGCAACATGACTTCAACTCAAGGTGTGGAGAAAAAAGTTGGGCTCGACTTTCCGCCGCTGCTTGAGAACTTTTATGCCACCAACGCCATGGCTCCTACAAGATAGGTACGAGTCTTTGAACCGCATTACACAACATGTCCTCCTTTTTCACCGTTCCTGCTTCACAGAAGAAGCGTAAGCGAGCGGACGAGCGTGTGAGCAAACCCTCTAAACGCAGAGATGTAGAAAAGCCGAAGCGGGCAAGCGAGCCGGAACGGAAAGCACCTCGAGCCAGAGATGAGCAGCGAGATGAATCGATCTCGGGCAGCGATACCGATGAGGAGATTATCGACGACGAGGGAAGCTTGGACGAAAGCGAAGCCAGCTCGGAAGAAGACGAGACTGCCGCCGAGCGCAGAGTACGACTTGCACAACGATATCTGAACAATATACGAGAGGAGGTACAGGAGGTTGGATTTGACGCAAAAGACCTTGATGATGATCTCATTGCATCGCGACTTCGACAAGATGTGGACGAAGCAAAGGGTCGCCAGTTCCGCCTTATTGCGTCTAAGCTGGACTTCAAGAACGCGTCCCATTGCGCATTTCGAGCCGATACTCAGTCGACGACTGCTGTAGCGGTCTGTCAACCATATGCGTATACTGTGAGCAAGGATAAGACACTGATCAAGTGGCGACTACGTGCGCCGCAGGAGTGGGGTGACAAGAATGGCAGGCCCAGTACCAAGCCACATTTTGGGAAGCGGAGGCCAGAGCAAATGGCTTACGTGAAAGGTGTCAAGATCAGAGCGCAAGAGAAAGGACAGCACGGGCATAAAGGTCCCATTGTCAGTGTGGCGGCGTCGCCAGACGGGCAATTCGTTGTTACGGGTGGACAGGACCGAATGTTGATTGTGTGGGCTGCGGAAGATTTAAGGCCGCTAAAGACTTTCACGACTCATCGAGACTCGGTCCTGGGTGTGGCGTTTGCGCCAGGGCACTCGCAGACGAGTTTGGGCCAACAGCTGTTCTCGGCGAGTGCGGATCGAAGCATCAAGACGTACAGTCTGGCGGGAGAAGAATCGCTTGCATACGTCGAGACACTGTTCGGCCACCAGGATCACGTGCCGGCGGTATCGGCTCTGGCAGTTGATCAGTGCGTTTCGGTAGGCGCGCGAGATCGAAGTGCTCGATTATGGCAAGTCGTGGACGAAACGCAACTAAAGTTTCTGGGCGACAGTTCGAGCAAAGAGGCGTATCATACGGGGAGTCTTGACTGTGTGGCGGCATTACCACCGCACCATTTCGTTACGGGTTCCGATGCGGGTGCCATCAGTCTTTGGAGTCAGCACAAGAAGAAAAGCCTGTTCACGATACAGACAGCGCACGGAGTCGTTGAGCCGCAGCCTTTTGAGCAAGTGACTAGCGAGGCGGATCTGAAGGTCATTGAAGAGCAAAAGAAGCACGATACCAGACGGCCGATTCCAAGGCCAGTAACGGCCTTGGTGGCACTTCCCGGCACAGACGTCATCTTGAGCGGCAGCTGGGATGGCTGGATCAGGATCTGGAAACTGAGTGACGATAAGCGGTCACTAATGCCTCTAGGCGTCCTCGGTAATGAAGGGAGAGCCGCGTGTGGAGTGGACGGGGTGGAGGAAGGGAGTGGTCCGGCACTCACAAACGGAGATGGCGGCTCATTCCACACGGCTGACGGCTCTGAGAGCGAGCCTAGTGGACCGATACGAGGTGTCATAAACGGTCTCGCCGTCTTCGAGCGGAGAAAGGAGCTCAAGGACGCCTTTGGCGTAACCAGAGAAGGCGAAACCCTCGGCCTATGCGTGGTGGCTGGCATAGGGAAGGAATCACGCCTTGGGCGTCAACTAACGCTGAACAAGGGCCGGAACGGTGCGATGGTGTTTGAAGTGTCCATGGATTCAGCCGTGAGTGTCAGTTGAGGTCGGGCAGATACCTCAGGTACAGGCGACAGGCTCGAACGGGGGGGAAGATGAGGTTGACATCGGCTTCGGGCGAATGATAATCCATTTACGTGGCTTGGCGCTGAGCTGCCGATAAAACTGTTTTCCCTAGCTGCAACTTCTTCTCTTCTTCTCCTTAGATCAAAAATAAAAGCAACAGAGCCAGCCACGACCATTGCTCAGTCTTCAACAGCGATGCGTTGCCATGGACCTCTTGGTTCAGTGGCTCTGAAGAGAAAAATTCCCTGTAGGAAGTTTCTTACTCGTCGGGTCCTCTTCAGTGAGGGCGATGGGCTCGGAATGTCGATTTAATGGGATACAAATCTTGCAACCAAATCAAACCAGGTTATTGACACGTTTCTCGCTTAGATTTCTTGCAGTGGCGAAATGCTTTCGTGCTTGGCTATAGATTGATTGTTGGCATTGTATGTCGGCTCCGCGAGCACACGGTGGCTGCTGGCGTGCTCCGCCAGTCGTTCACTGGACGACCGACAGCGGCAGACCACGATTAATGCCACCGGGGACCCGCTGGAAGTGCCTACTCCCGATCGACGGGGCGGAAAGCACGAACTCATCTTCCGTGCAAATTCTGGCCTTTGGCATTCGCCCAATGACAGCGAGCTCCGGTGGTTGCAGGACCACTCAGGATCGCAACACGCTGAGAAATCTACGGGAAACTTTCCTGGACATTCTCCTGAGCGCGTGAGTGTACATTCTTGTGTGATGGCGTTACCAAAAGAAGCTACTTGTTGTGGTGGTCGGTGCGGCAATCCAACATTCCACGCGTGGAAATGCAGGCATGCAAGCGTTGCACGGCCGCCATATAACTCCCAGGAAACCAGTGCTCACTTCATTTAGGACCAGGCTCTCCTCAGTTCACCAGCCCGACACTCGTTTCGCAACAAGAAGCATTCGTGCTCTAGTCACTCCTTTAGTCGTCGTTCGTTTCACCAGCCAGGCATCATCCTCAATCTACACCGGACCTCCGACCAAAGCTCCCCAACCAATAGGACTCACTAATCCACGACTACCGACACAATGAAGCGCGGCGCTCTCCCCCTCATGGCTTTGGCCGCTGGTGCTCTCGCCCAGGACACCACCACCATCACCTACTCGGTGTGCCCTACCGCCACTACGACCACCATCACCCTCTCCAACACCATCACCTACTGCCCAGGTGGTTACTGCAACGTGACGCCCACTGGCACCGCCACTCCCAGCATTACCGCGGCGCCTACCCTCCAGCCCGGCTGGAATGACTACGGCTACGTGTCCAAGGTCCTCGCCATCACCTTCACCGGCAAGGACGGCAAGGTCACCGAGCTCAACGAGTATGTCACCGTCTACCCTGCGCCTTGCGCCAACGGCCCAGGCATGTGCGGTGCCGAATACACCATCACCGAGGAGTGCCCGTGCACCGAGCACGGCAAGGGCCACATCCCCAAGGACTTCACCACCACTGTCCACGAGTGCGACCGCTGCGGCCACAATGGCGGCCCTACCACCATCACTCAGACCATTCCTTGCGAGACTGGTGCTTATGCTAGTGTCGCCCCCAAGATGGGCCCCTGGAAGGGTCGCAAGGCCGACGGCTCGGCCGGCGACTGGGACGATGCTGGTGACTACGATGCTGAGTGGAGCGACGCCAACGACGATGGCAAGAAATGGGGCGACTCTGATGTTGCTGCTGATGGTGCACCCAAGTGGGGTGATGCCGCTGATCCCGGTGCCGGCGCTGGTGCTAAGCCCCAGTGGACTGATGCCGACGGCAAGCCAGTTGCCCCTGCCCAAGGCTGGAGCGACTCTGATGGCAAGCCCGTCGCCCCCGCTACCGGTTCTGATGGCAAGCCAGTTGCTCCCGCTACTGGTGCTGATGGCAAGCCTGTCGCTCCCGCGGCTGCTGCTGGTGGCGACCCTGCTGCCTGGAGCGATGCTGGTGCTGATGGTGCGCCTGTTGCTCCCGCTACCGGTTCCGATGGCAAGCCTGTCGCCGATGCTCAGGGTGGTGCTGCGGCCTCTGGTGCCGGTGCGCCTGCTGACTGGAGCGATTCGCCAGTGGCACCTTACACTGGTGCTGCCAACAAGGCCGCCCTTGCCCTGTCGACGGTGGTCGTTGGCGCTGTCGGTGCTCTCGCCATGATGCTATAGGATGATGGATAGGGATGACGAGTAATGTACCTCTACTAAGAGGGTCTTTTTGTGGTTGAGTTGAGTCTGGGTTGGGACATATCATCTCTTCGTTTCTTCTTCAGATGATAGAGCTAGGGTCGCACGTGTCAAAGTCGGTTCGCATGTCAGCACAAGGGTCATAAGTATATGTTAGCTTTGCAATTTGATGTCAGTCACTGGAAATCTTTCTACCGTGTCCGTACCGCATTCCACGACGCGTCTGTGCTGCACTTTCACTGCCTGTCCATGTGGCCGGGCCAGCCCCTTGCTTACCAGGTTGCTTAAGCGCCTGACTGGTCGACGAGGCTGTCAACCGCCCACCACCCAACGCCGCGATCATGTGAGTTCGAGTACTTATCCACTGCCAATGTTGGTTCTAGTATCCGTACCCGTCGCAACATATCTGCCTCAACAGGGGCCGTCTCGCTTGCGCCGCAACCTGGCCAATAGGAAGAAGTAGCGGCACTAGCACGATGGCTGGAGGCCAAGGGCGGTTACCAGGCGGTCACCAGAGGCTTTCGGAACCTGGTTGGCCCCGCACTCTACCCACGAGGGGCCGTCCCTCTTTACGAGGACGCGCAGCCCATCGTCAAAGTATCTCAGGATGCTAACCTTCCTGCTGGCGCTTGTTTCATGGTGCCTGTGATTGGGCTCGTTGATCAAAAGGAGTTCTGCATAATATCTTGCTGCCCGAGGATCCGTCACTTCATCGTACATCTTCGCGGGTGGCACAGAGACGTCAGCCTAATCGACCTGTCGCCCTCCTGACAGTCGCGCTCTCCTCAGTCTCCTGTTCTACCTGCGAAGCTCGACATACCTGATCATTATGAGCGTTACAGGCCGTCAGGGCCGTTCTGGAGACGAGATGTTCGTAAACCAGCAGCGTCCCACCGGCCGAGACTCCCCCACCATCGTCGAACCGTTGCGCATCAACAAGAGAGCCTCCAACGCATCCCAGGCTTCAACTGCAAGCCAGCAATATCCTCCCCCCGAGCAGCGATCGGCAAGCCAGACTGCATACCCCATGCCTGCATTGCCATATCCTGACGGCAGAGCAAACACTACATCCCCACCTGTTCAGTCCAATGGTTCCCCAACTCCATATCCGTACCCCGATGTAAGACGACACGCATCACCTGAGCAGCGGACTGGTAGTGCCGGCGCTATAGACTACAACCAGCGCACTGGGTCGTTCAGCTCGCAAGATTACACTACGTCCATGCGCCCAGGCACATTGGCGGAGCGCCGCGGTACATCTGGCCCAAAACCACTGCCTGAGTCCCCGGGACCCGAAGCCCCGGACAAAGAGGGTCTGTTCCAGCGCGCTCCACAAAGAGACGGACCTGTCACTGCACCACTCCCTGCTGCAGCCCAACAATTCTTCCCACCACCTTCCGTTGACTACAATAGATTGCGGACTAGGGATCCGAATGCTGTGAATCGCATCAGCTCAACCGCATCCACCTCGACCACTCGAGCCACCCGTGGCTCTCCTCCGCCTCCGGAAACGCCGATAGCCGGACACGGCCAGCCGCTACCTGGCGCAAGAGTTCCGAGCGACATTGAGGCTCGCTATGCTGCGTCTGGAATCGCTGGCACGAACACTCTGAATAGCCTGCAGGCGCAGAGCCTGGCCTCGCAGCAGCGGTCGGCACAGTATGCCGGGCAGCAGCCAACGGCACCGGCCAATGCTGCGCCTCCGCGGCCGTGGACGCCTACTGAGCAGCCTGGGAGTAGTCGTCATCCGCCACCTACTGTATACCAAGGAGGGAGTGCTGTGGAGGGCCAGTCGCCTCCTCAACAACCCGTCAATCCCGAGCAACAGCCAAGGCCCATCCAGCCCACTTCCCCATCAAGAGTACCACAAAACCAGCTAGAGAGCGAAATGAATCGATTGGCTGTGCACGATGAGCCGCCACCCGCATACTCGCAAGTCCCTGGGAGTAGACAGAGCGGGTACTCGGCCGAGAAACAGCGACGAAGTACGACAGGGGGGCTGGCTGCCGTCGCTGCTGCGAATGCTGCTCAACAGCAAGCAACACCTCCGAATCAGCAGGATCATCCCGCATTTGCCAACGACCCACGGCAGCAGCAGCCTGCGCAACAAGCCAATGGAGTCGGGGGTCCCGCTCAGCATCAAGCGCAGCAGCCATCACAAATGCACCCACAAATGCAACAACCACAGTCAGCAGTTCAGCCTCCCGCGACTCCTTCACAATCCTCGCACCCACCCGCCTCGCCGCCTCCTTTGCCAGAGGGCTGGATCGCCCACCTAGACCCGAACTCTGGGCAGTACTATTACATTCACTTACCTACGCAATCAACGCAATGGGAGTTTCCGAAGGGCCCAACGCCTTTGAACCTCAATGATACGCCTCTTTCGCCTGCGGGCAGCACCTTTCAAAACCCTCTCGCCTCACCGGGCCTTTCTTTTGCATCAGGGAAACCTCTTGCGTCCCCCGGGCTACCAATGACTCCTGGCTATGATCATAGTGGTTCGCTTTCTAATCCTGCCAATTTCACAGGCCCGCCACCTACAAGTGGTGTTGAGCTCTACAAGGTTGCGGCAACTAACGGCGTCTATTTCGGTCCCTACCTGAGGTACACGAACATGGATCTGGAACGCGGGCTTTGGCTCGGGTCAATCATGCTCGTCACAGATGCCCCTTCGCCGCCGACCATACACATACATCAGAGTAACGACTTGTCGGCGAATCCGAGGCAACTCAAAGCCCTGAATATTGCGACACATCAGCGGTGGACATTCTACAAGTACGAGATCGATCTACAGATGGATGAGGGCGGCCCATCCAAGTGGACCTATGCGATCACATCTCACCTTGGCTGCACGAGATATGAATTCTTGGTGGCCGGTCGGCACGAGACAAACTGGCGTTTCGTGGCTACGTCTGGTAATGACTTCACACTGAATGTGAATGCGAGTGAACGGGCACGTCTCGGCGGAGTTGGCTTCATGTGGAAAGACATTATGCAGAAACACGCAGAGTGCGGCGGCTTCCATACTCAACTTGGTCTGGGTAGCCAGATTTATGGCGACCGAGTGTGGAAGGAAGTCCCATCGCTCAAGCAGTGGCTGGCGATGAGCGGTAAAGAGAACCGGAAGAACGCTGTATGGACAGCAGCTCATGAAGAGGACGTCACGCATGCCTACTTCCACTATTATACCAGCCACTTCGACCAGCCGCACCTGCGTGAGGCGTTTGCCCAGATACCTTATGTCCTAACGATAGACGATCACGACATCTTCGACGGTTTTGGATCCTACCCGGAGTATATGCAGTTCAGCAATATGTTCAAAAACATTGGTCGGGTCGGCATTGAGATGTACCTGCTATTTCAGCACCATACAACGCTGGAGATTTTGAGAAATGTGGCCGACGACACGGATCTCTTCACTATCACCGGGACCGGATGGCATTTCATCAAATATCTAGGCCCAGCTGTTGCCGTGGTGGGGCCCGACACGCGAAGTGAGCGTAATCCGCATCAAGTCATGGCTGGGCCAACATACCAGGGCCTTTTCCCAAAAATTGCGATGCTGCCTCAAAGTGTACAGCACTGCATCATGATGTTGCCAGTACCGATCGTGTATCCCCGATTGGAGGCAGCTGAGCAATTTGCCAATTCTGTTGCTACCGGTAAGAAGGCAGTAACAGGGGCGTACAACATGCTTGGAAAGGTCACAGCTGGTGTTGCAGGCGTGGTCGGCGCAAAAGGAGCTGTCGGCTCGGGATTCGATACAGTCAAGCGAGCAGTGGGCAAGTCAGGCTTGATGGGTGGTATTTTGTCACCCTTTGGCGATATTGATGTCCTTGACGAGCTGAAAGATCAGTGGACTCATGAATCAAAGGTACTTCTCTCCCTTGTTTCCACCTGCAGTCCAACTAACATTCGCCCTAGGATCTCGAGCGCACTTACCTAATCCGTACCCTCCAAGGGATTTCCAAACAGCGCTCCATCCGCTTCACCTTCATCTCCGGTGCGGTCAATACTTGTGGTGCCGGCTTGGTGCACGACCCGTCTCACCCTTCAGACCACAAGACCATGTACCAGCTCATCTCATCGTCTGTGGTCAACACCCCCCCGCCCTCGTACGTCCTCAAGCTCCTCAACAATCACAAGCCGCTTTACGTGCCTGCCAACGGCACCCGCAGCACGCCATCTGTTCCCACCGACACAAAAGAGGATATGATGGAGATCTTTACGCACGATGTCACGGGCCAGCCAGCACACAACCGGAAGTTGATGCCCCGTCGGAACTACGTAGCGGTCGTCGCGTATGATCCCGAACAAGTGAATGGCACGTTTGGACGCACAGACATGAGAGGTGGCGGAAAGCTGAGTCTCGCCGCAGACTTTTTGGTGCAGGGTGAAGGGGCCTATGGAAATGTGGTCAAGTTCGGGCCAGTGGTGGTGCCGAGTCTGGAATACGGTCATTGATGGATTGTGATAAGTCCTGGTGAAGGAGGAACGAAATGGTAATGACGGCTTGCGGGAGACGGGGTTTCTATACCTGTCCGACTGTCCTGTCCCCCTTTTAGATACGAGCAACAGCGTGCGTAGCAACTGATTATATAGGCGTGTGAGCGATTTCAGCCAGTTTAAACTGAATCTCAGGATATAGATTCGTCAACTGTTGATCTCTATAGCCTGCGTCTTTGCTCTACATGACAATTGCTGGCCTTTGAATGGCTGTGACAGTAAAGATCAGAGAGTGGGCAGTTGAGGTCGAGGTTGGGTTGGTGTACGAAGTATGATGGAATGAATATAAATGCATCCTCACAACCATGACACTTCGCGCTGACATTTTCACCCTGAGGCCACGAGCAACGCCGAACGGTCTACTATGTGTGTGTGTTTCGGTACACACCACTCTGTCTATATCACTCACGGTACTATCACTACCACCGACATCTCCTCTCGCATCTCTCATGAACCCTCACAGTCTTCCCAGTCCCGGCTCTTTTTTCCCGCTTGCAGTACCTTTAACCCCCACGTGTGGACCTTAGGTCCGCGGCGCGGCGCCGGGGCAATTCAATCCAATCCAATCCAATCCAATAGTCTTCCCAAAATCCAATAGTACATAATCCTCCGTATTTCCACCACGAGGTATGCAGAGACTATCTACCCTAAAAATCCCCGAAACCTTCATCTCATGCCCAAAGCATTCACATTTCACTCACCAATCCCGAAACCGGCAGGTGTCCTGCTGGAAAGGGCGTTGGAGCGTTGGTTTCGTGGGCGTCGGGCAGGGGTGGGCAGGGGAGGGCCCTGCTAAATTGATGGGACTTGAGCTTGAGGCTCATAGGTTTGGGAATGCAATTTCAAGACGGAGGATCTCTGGGTTTTCTTGTTTTCCATCATCCCTTTCTTGGTGGGTTAGCAATGTACTGTTACTTGTACTTGTAGCGGTTCCGGTTGGGTTGGCTGGTTATTGTTGTTGTTGTTGTTGCTGCCGCTATGCTCATGCCTGTGACGAGGGCCGGGACCAAAAGGGGGGAGGGGAGGGGTGCTTCTGAGAGAAGGGCCACGGACCACCTTTGGCTTCGCAGTTGTATATATATGGCAGTGTGCTACTCGGGGGGGGGGGGCTCGCACTCTTCGGACTTTGGGAGGGAGGATGCCACCATTGTCATTTGTTCGGGTCTACGTAACAGTGCATGACTCTCTAGGGCGGTTCGCTGTGGACTGCTTCTCGTACCGTCGATGCTCGGTAGCCTACGATGAAGCTATACCGCCGCTGAGCGTGGCCATCGCTTCCGACGGCGGGTTAGGTGTGCAGATTCTGCTCCTCGTGGGGCGCGCTATACTGTCGAGAGGCCGGGATAGTTGAAGTGCATAGATTGAGCTGCCTCAGACGGCTTTGTATTCTCCACTTCGAGTCACACTTCTGTTGTGAAATGAGCCGCTCTTTGACCGACTTTGAATGTAGCAGAAGCAGCAGGTTGTGTTCACACGAGTGTGAAAGAGCTGCCGACGCAGTCGAGTGTATGCAGATGACTGCCAGGTGAGGAGAGGGCGACCAGGGCTGTGCAGATTCAGCCCAAGTCGAAGACTCTGAGGTCCCTCGCCTCGCTCCGCCCTCAGCCTTCCCTTCCCTTCCCGATATTCAACGCTCACACATCAGGCCAGAAGCCCTGCTCGATACTCAATATATGTTCCCACACCGCCTTAAAGACCTCGATCCGCCGCCAGCCCTCCTCCCTCGCGCACAGCTCGTCCATCAACTCACCAATCTCCTCTACAAATTTTTCGAACTCACGACTCGTCCAGTTCGGGATGAATGCTTCGCGTAATGCGCCGCCGTCCGCATCCCGGCGCCGTTCCACCACCAGTTCCGGCGCGTCGTAAACGTCGCGCTCCTCGACCGGCGTATCAGGCCCGTTGTGGGCCGGGTTCTCGCTATAGTGGCTCGAGGTGGGAGATTGGTGGGTAGCAGGAGCGCCCAGACTGGAGGGGAGGGGCTTGCGGTTGAGGTTCACGTCGACGGCGCGGTCTGGATTGGTGGAGCGCTCTTCGGGCCAGAAGCTGCGGGCGTACTTCCAGGCGTGGAGGTAGCAGGTCTCGGTGGCCCAGAGGACGACCATGCCTTCGAGGAGGGACATGCTGGGGTCGCTGGCGAAGGCGCGGAAGAGGGCTTCATACTGCTTGGTGCAAGAAACTGGCTCGAAAGGGGCACCCTCCTTGACGCCCGCCTCGAGTTGCAGGGCATACTTGGCGGCGGTGTCGTCGAAAAAGTCGAGCTCGCGGCGGATGTTGGTGAGGGCGGAGGTGAGGAGGGTTAAGATGCGCCACCGGAGAGAATTGGACTTGTCGCTGCCAGGGATATGGTGGTGTGGTAGGTGGATGCGGGCTATGAGTGCGCCGATGAAGTTGACGTACGCTTGAGCGTAGATACGGTCTTGGGAAAGCCAGCGCGAAAGGGTGGCTTTGGGGAGAGTGCCGAGGCCGGCTTGGCGGAGGAAAGGGTGTTGTGTAGCGGAATTGAAGGATTGCGGGACCGTTGAGAGGAGGAGGCGGGTCAGTGGCTGCTGGGAGGGGTGCGGCGGGTTGGTCTGGTATGATGGCGGCATCGAGATGGTGGAGATGGACATTGGGCGGGCAAGATTGCTGGGTCCTGGAGCATTGTCAGAGGGCGGAGAGGAGTGACGGGAATTCATGGTGGGAATTGTCGAGGATTGTCGCTGTCAGATACCTCGGTGCGGACGAGAGAAGTGAGCAATACGTGGCTGATAAGGTGAAGAATAAAGATGTAGTAGCTCAAGCTTTGAAGGGGCGCGCCTTGGCTCGTATTCAATAACAGGTCGCGGTGACGGCTGACGGTCTGACGGTCTGATACGGGAATTCAATTTGGGGGCCAGCCGGGCGCACACAGTCTGTACAAAGGGACCGAAAGGTGGGCGGAGGGGATTTCTGGTCAAGAGTGTCTGCCCGCAACGGCTACAACACGGTCCAAGACCAGCGCTCGGCGCGACGTCCCGGGGGCCGTAACTGTGAAGACCCTTGTCTGAGCTAGTAGGAAAGACAATGGTAAAGCTGTTGATCTGTAGCGGTGAAGATGTCCAGTATTACGATGCCGAGGAAGCGTAGCGTGAGGAAAGGAGCAATATCGGTATACAGATGTCGCAAAGAAGCGACTAGGGTGGGCAGAAACGAGGCAGAAAAGGCGACACCAGCCAGGCCAAGAAATCATTTCCGGCTATCGCTCATCTTCACCTCATGGATCATTCCTGGCACGCGATAGATCATTACTCCGCAGAGATCTCCATCCTGTGAGACCATAGACAACCGGTTGACCCACGCTGGACATTTCTGGAGTTGTTATACAGTGAATTTATCATTAAGAGGCATCCGTTGACCGACCCACTCGAGAGGGAATATATGCCCTCGTAACATCGTGAGTGAGATCTTCCCCCTATATTGTTCGTCATTGGACAAAACGCCCTCGCTCCTCTTCTCGAATGTGTCCCGGCAGTGAGGGGCCTGCTCCATATTGATGATCGCTGTACGGGGCCAGGCGGTGCCCACTTGGTCCAGGGAGATCCGGGCCTCCATCTGCTACGCCGAAGTATTGCTCTGTAAATCTAGTCAGACTTGCATTGAGACGATGGGATGGGCGTAGAAGGAAATTAGAGGAGCCAAAATGAAATATTGTTCAGAGCTTACCATGTAGGTCATGATCCTGTAGTTGATTGGGCCCGGGCCCGACGTCTTCTCTCTGGAAGCTGTTTCGCAGGGGGGTCCCGTCCTCGCCCACTGCTGCTTCGCTGGCATAGTGCTGACTCCACCTATTCGTGGCCGGACTGTGTTGATGGCCGTGGGCGCCCAGTTGGGACATCTCTCTTGGGGGTTCGTCTGCACCCCAACCATGCTGTGGGGTTACGGGACTGTATGCGCTCTCTTGGGCTTCGTGGACCTTCTCCATGCGGCCGGATGCGGCCATACGTCGCCGCCTCCGTCGCGTGAAGATCCAACAACCCCAGCAACCGAAACCGAAGATGAGTATGCCGCCTACAATAGGGAGCGCAATAGCAACCGCGAGACCGGAGCCGTGCAATCCACCTCCTCCATCATCATTGTCCGAAGGTGGAGCTGGTCCGGCAATAAGTGTCTCGTTGAAAATAGCGTCGGAGTTGGGGAAGAAGGGTTCGCCGGGCACAGGCGGCTGTCTACACTCGATATGCAGCGCTTGCATGACTGTTGACGTTAGTTATGAGGCCTTGGCCACGATGGGCCCACATACAATTCGCGATGAAGAGCTGCTGTGGTATGAAACTGTAGCAGAATGCGCAGTTATTGATGGTCAGGTCGTCGAATCGGCCTGCGGTACAGAAGCCGAGGCCCGGGTCGGCGCCTTCGGTGTCATTACTGATACCTGATGCGACTGACACATTCAAGGGCTGGCAAGTGACCTGGCAGGGACTCGATATCGAGACACGCTCGGTCGGATAGCCGAACATGCATGAGGAGAGTGTATAGCGCAAAGTGACTTTTCCATGGTCAGTGAAGGTAGCGGGGTGTATACAGGTTCCATACATAAACCCCATTCAACATCGGACTGGTTGTTGGCGCTGTCAACTGCAGTGCTGTTCAGAAGGCAGCCCACGCAGCTCTGCAGGCGTCTTCCTCCATCTGTGTCCCGGTAGGAATTGTCAAGGCAGACAGCATCTTCCGACAGTCTTCCGTCTCGACATTGGGGCTCGCAGGGGGAGTTTGGGACGAATTGATAAGCGGGCGCAAGGTGGAGGAGGCACAAAAGGGCAATCAAGCTGCGCAGACCCGCGGTCGCATTGTGGCCGCGCCGTCCGGCCATATCATTGTAGCCTTGAGCGGGCAGTGCTGGTTGACGGGGATTGCGGCGGGATGCAGGTATACATCAAACGAATGGGTCACTGATGCGCAGCCAAAGATTTGTAGTCTTTGTCAGGGCGCCTGACCAGACTGACCTAAACGAAGCTCAAGAGGGACTGCCGCGGTGGAGAAGCACACATGGTGAGTTGGTGACAGACACCCAGCTCTCTCTCTCCGCTTGGCGGTGAGCCGGTGCATGGCTTCGAGCCAGGCTGCACGAATGGTTGCAGTGAGTGGGAGCCATTGGATAAAGGCGAGTAAGCAGGGAAGCAGGGAATGTGATGACTTGGGCGCTTTCTCTGCTAATTGGGCAGAAGACCCCAGCGCCTCCTGCCGCTAAGGCAATCCGAGTGGAACCCCCCCCCCAGAGGCACTGAAGAAGATCCCGGCGATGAGCGCCCGGGCGGCAGGCTCCAGGGGAGGAGGTCACCTAAAGGACAAAGTCTGTTTATGCATGGAAGCACCCGGCGGCGCTCCAGGTGGGTGCGGATCTGCTACAGACGAATGGCGGCCGCCCAGCACGCGCAGCCCTGCAGCCCAGCAGCCCAGAACACCCAATGTGTTTCGTGCAGCACAACTCTTACATCGTTGCCATCGGCTATAGCAAGTGGCAAGTCGTCATCACTTCATCGTCACTGTTTGAGGAACGGTATCACAAGCCTCTCAAACTCTTCGGCTTGATGCATGGGTGGAATGTGCCCAGTGTCGCGCATCAGGACGCGTTTGGCGCCTCGAATTCGAGTCGCAACATCGTCCAGAATTTCGCGCGGTCCGATGGCGGTATCCTTCTCCCCTGCCAACACCATCACATCCTCGTCCTGAATCTGGCCCAGCTCTGAGGTATAGTCGTAGTGCAATACGGCTTCAGCACACGTCACGTAACCTGCCAAGGTGCAGCTTCTGTTCTGCTTGAGTGCTACCTCGCGGATCACCGGAGGGCATGGCTCGGGAAACCATCTTGCAACCGTCATCTCGGCCAGCTTGTCAACACCTTGATTGCGGAATATGGCGATGCGATCTCCCCATATCCCCTCTGCCCCTTCGAGTGTTGTAAGTCCAGGCGCGGCGCAACTGACGACCTTTGAAAGTGCTCCAGGATACATCAGCGCATACCGGAGGGCCAATACGCCTCCAATCGAGCACCCAATGAAACCAAACGGCGATTTCCCAGGCGTGGTTCTCTCGACCATCTCATGTATGTGCCGACAGTAATCATCGAAGTGCAACTTTCCCACCTGATCGGCCGGAGGCTCGCTTGTCTCGCCATGTCCGACGTGGTCGTATCTCAGCGTGCTGAACCCGGCCTGGTGCAGAGCAGCCACGGTCGAGTCCCACATGTGCATGTTCGACATGAGAGCGTGACACAAAACCACAAGGGGATTCGCGGCGTCCCCTTCGTGGAGGACATTGAACAGGATGCCATCGATCTCCATACTGGCCATTGTATCGAATCAAGTCAATATGCTGTATCAAGTTCCGGCCATTGCTCAGCTACCCTTCGTTCAGGTAAGCACAAGCCGAGATCGTTCTCGGGCTCGACTCCAAACTGGAGAAGTGCGGGAACGGTGTCTATGCCTCGACCTGCACTTCTCCAAATCTCAGGCAGTGAATGTGGACGCCTGGTTGCCTCATGGCAGGGCGTTCACGATCCCTGGGTCGTGAATGCGAATTATCATGTGCTCTTGGCGAACCGGATGCCTATTTAGAGGATATAATAGCCCTGATGCTCGGATACACGCCTCTGTCAGGGCCAAGCACAGCGTGAAGCGGAGGACTGCTTCAATTCCCATTGTCCAGCCTCGTGGGTGAATAGCCATGGTACTTATCCTGCGTGGGAATGGGCTGCGTTACTTCAAAGGCAAGTCATCTTACTCTCCCGTCTCTACCTTCATCCCCTTGTTCATAATCGTCGCCCATAATGTCTTCCGGAAGCCTGAGATTGCCCACAACCGACCCTGTCACCATCGAAGAAGCCCACCAGCACTTACAAGCAGCGAGAATCGCACTGGGCGACCAAAACAAACGCCATTTCGTACGAAAAGCTCATCGAAAACGAAGTCTGAGACTTCACGAGCAAGAATACCAAGACTTCAAAGCTCATTACCACCAACTACTCCGCCAGCACCACCATCATCTAGATGCAATTCGAGCTACACACCTGCAAGCAGCCAGAGCCGAACGAACAGCCCTACTAGCAATCACGCGCAGATGCAGTCTTCCTTTGCAGCAACAGTTGATTGGCACAGAACGCGCAGCCCGCACACAGCAGGACCTGCAAAAAGCCGACGACGACTTCAAAGCCAATTTCCCTCGTCCTGCCAGGAGCATGATTCCCGTCCCGCGCTGCGAGTGCCATGAATGCACCAGCCAGGAGCGTGTGGTTGTGAGTCGCCTGCCAGCTGGTCTGCCAGCTCATATCACGCCTCCGATCCCAGCAATCATCATAACTTTGCCGGAAGACTGAGCAGCACAGAGAAGAAAATCGACCGAAGATCGTGCATATTGAGTTTGTATGGAAAGCACAAAGACGGACGAAATGAGTGGTTTTCTCGGTAGACTCTAGATGTTCGCTATGGTCAGAATTTCTGATGAGTACTCGCTGTCACAACGGTCTTTCACCGTTGCAGGTGACGATGAACTCTAGAAGGACATCACAGCACTTCGAAGAGACATTATTGTCGCTTTGAGAAGAATTCAGAGCGCCTTTCTTCCACTCTTTGACCTTCCAGTATTCGTTGTCATCGCTAACAGTGCATTGTCAGATTTCTTTGTTTCTCTGTCCATTGCGTGATCCTGACCGTTGTTGTACAAGAGACGCCTGTTGCAAGCCCAAGTAAGATCATGCCATTACGCATTCTTCCAACTACATGCCCAGATCATCAGTCATACCACAAGAAGAGAAAGCATGAGTTGAATGCACCAACCCAACTACAATGGCTCAACAGGTCACCGGGGCCGGTCCCCGACAGCCATCTCCCCGCCCCCCCGATGAGAGCAAACCCCGACCGCAGCTGCGCATCATCAGCATCAGCAGAAGCCCACGCGAACAAGCGCTGGAGTGCACGCCATGCACTCCTCCGCTCGTGCGATGGAGTCCAGTGTGGTCCCCTCGAGCGCCCGTGGCTTCGCCGTCACACTCACTGACCTCCATCCAAGAATACGAAGATGAGTTCAAGGGCAAGGTTCGGAATGGACCCAAGCTCGTTGTCTTCAATCTCGAGAACACCGATAGTGAGTTTCCTGACCAACAAAAGCCTGACGACCTGTACGAGCCATTCCCCTCTGACCTTTCGGAGCCTAGCGAAAGTAAGCCCAACACCTGGTCTGCCAACTCCCTACAGAAGACGCCCATGGAGTTCTATTTCCCATGTTCATCCGCCCCAGACTCATCCTCCACCTCCTCCGGATCCAGCTTGCATTCCAGCAGCGGCTCTTCCGACCAGTCATCCTCCTCCAATTCAACCAACTATTCCGAAGATTCCATCGACTCACACTTCAAAGGCGAATTCGCCTCGCCCGCTCGCCTAGGCTACGTCAACCCCATCGAGCACCCCGTTACCTTGACGACTGGCATTCAACGCTCCTCCGCCGACGACAGCCGCTCTGTCGAATCTACCTGTACCGCCTCCCGGCCACCGATCCCCGATCCGCCACGGTTCTACGCCAACATCACCAGCAGAGGCATCCAACTGCTACTAGGAAAACCCCTCCCACCACAACTTACCCGCCCCGCCAATTCCAACACTGCCGCTCCTCGACCGCCCAACCTCGAACGGCCGCGCTTCTCCGCCAAGATCGACAGCAAGGGCATCCATCTGCCACTTCGACGATGCCGCTGCAACTCATCATGAATCTAGAAGCCTACTGGGACCTGCTCCCTGGCAGGCAACTTGACAAGAAGACCGCCAGTAACATCCAGAGATAGCATGCAAAAACATACCACCCCAGCCTTTCGGACTCCGTCTTCAAACATCGCACTTGCGCCCACAAAAGGATCGTCAACAAATGGAAAAGCTACAGAAGCCAGTTGTAAGCGCTGAGCCGGCAATCTCTGCTATAAACTAGATAATTGAACGCAAAACTTGAGACGAAGACGTATTATGCAAAGGCACACAAGCCTGTTCCACAACGTTTGCCCAATGCGAAGTAATTAAGTGACCTAACGTTTGTAGACCAGATAATGCCAAGCCTCAACTACTTACCTGGACGCCTTGTTGCCTTGCGCGTCACTCCCGTTCACTGCGTGCTCTTAATTCACTCCAACAAGTGACTTGATAATTCTACATACCTTTCATTCACTTCCTGAGCACCTGTAGTTGATCCGCAATCGTTCTTTGACCAGTTCATGAAATACTTAGCTATTACCTAACAGTGATTTTCGCCAGATAGCTTCACCACAAACAAATTCGCAATTCGGAGCATTAGGCCAAGCCAGTGCAGCGTCTTTACACGTTCTTTACACGTCAATCTCGCGTGCCTTCATCCCTCTGTTTCTGTATCGTATCGCTCGAGCTGGCTAACCTAACCTGATCCCCGGTGTGCCTTCATTTGCAATTTGCGAAGTGAGCCCGCAACAGCCCGGCAACGCGCACCTCGTCATGCTTCTCAGCCATCTACCTGCAAGGGCGTCAGGCCTTGATATCCTACTTTCGTCGCGTTCGCCCCCGCACTCCCACTGGTCGCCGGGCTGGGATCACGCTCCCCGCCGATACTGAATCATGCAAGGGCGTGATGTTGTTGTCGTTGTCGTGACTTGCTTTGTTGATCAACGCACTACCGTGAGCTAGCTAGGTCGTGCTCCATCATTACAATAGCTGTGGTTTTGTTGCGCCAATAGGTGGCAGCATGAAGGCATGAGTTTTGAAATCGGTATGTCGAACTTAGGATGCTTGAGTAGCAATCTGCATGTATCTGGGGCCAAACAGCCAGCTCGAGCTGCTAGTTGTCTATTGGGTTCATCGTCGTTGTTATCCATCGAAGGATCAGTCCCGGCGTTTAATAGTAGCCTGACCATGGCGTCATCCTGGTACCACACTGCCTGAAAAAACGGAGTACGACCAAATCGTTTGGTGGCATTTGGGTCGGCCCCCTGTTCGAGCAGAAGGTGGCAGGTGCCTTCTGAGCTCGTATGAACCGCATCGTAGCGTGGTGCAGAGCCAAGAGTATCATAAGTGCAGTCTCTCAATGCCGGAAAGCCCGAAGAGAGGTTCTGTTTCCGTCTCAAGACCACAGCCTGCTGCTGCATGCAGCGCGCGGAAGCCGCATCCGTCTTCAAAGCCCATATCATCGTGCTGTGCTTCCCTATCTCACGGCCTAGGCCTCCACCCCTCCAGCCCCGCGCCAAGATGAGGCGTAACGGGCGTTGGCAACTCCTGACTGTTTGTTGGTCGCGTTTACCGAAAAGCAGAGTCAAGCGCACAAGGGTGCTGAGACTAGTGGATCAACCTTCAGGAAACCCACGTCTCCACAGCCATAACAGATGACACCCAAATCATACCACGGCATTCAACTCTTCCATCTCGAGACGGATGCAGTGCTGACACCAGTCAAGCGCCTGTAGACGATGTCCCAGAGTCCTGGAACAGCGTCCCGTGCTGCTCGTCCTCCAGCAGTCTTTGGCTTCAGGAAGAAGTCGGTAGGATTTCGGCCGAGGAACGTGCCCTTGTCGACCAACGGTCCCACAGCCTTGAAATTGACAGGCCTCAAGCGACTGGATGTTGGCTGCGTGTCGGCGATGCGGACATCCACACTCGACACCAAGCCCGTCCATCGTCCATACCGCAGCTGAAGAGTAGCATCCCGGGGTAGCTTCCGAGCGTATGCCATGGCTGCTTGAGGCGTGGCGCGAGCGTTGGGTGGTAGCCTCAAGAATGCTTCTGTCACAATACTGCGCGTGAAAAAATTGACCGCAAGAAGTGGCACAAAAGAGCCAGCCCAAACTATACAGTGTTAGCTGTCCATCTGAAGCCACTGAGTCAGCAGTACTTACCTGGCAGTAGATAGTACCATGGGGTCCCGTAGGTGTAGTACGCTGGGACCCATACCGCTGTGACGAACGCTGCTGCACATATGGCGATGACTCGCCCAAATACAAGGGCGGTAATGACTGGGTATCCCGCATGGTAAATCAAGAGCCTTTCCTTGTATGCTGGCGAGATGTTAGCTCCGCAAAATAATCTTGGTGGTAGGACGTACGTTTTGGCGGCTTCTTCGGCGGAGGGTGTCGTGTCAGATGCTCGATGTGTAGTCTCTGCATGGGAGACAGCTTGACATTAGGAGCCAATTCGGCTTTTGGCAGGACCCTCGTGGGAACCTCGACCTTGCGGCCAGTATCTAGGGATCTGCGTTCATGGTCCCGAGGCACGAGTCCCATTGCATCTCGCTCACCCGCCTTTGGCAATCGCTCACGACGCGCCGGCTCAATAGCAGAAGCATCCTGCTGGGGTTTTCGGGCGGGAGGTAGGGAAGGGTTCCTCGGTGGTGGAGATCGAGCGAGCAGGAATGCGGTGCTGCTGTATGGGCATCGGCGAGAGGCTGTATGTTGGCGCGCGGAGTAGCGGAAGGCCGCTCTAACCTCTACGAGCAGGAAGGATGGCAACGACATCGCTACATCGAACAATTGCGATAGGTCAAGCTAGAGCTGGTCGAAAAAAAGTGCCGTCGAAACATCGCGGTTGAACGCGTCACCCAATCGAGTAAGCTCCCCGCATTGCGATGTGTTCTCGGCACACTCCTTGCTGTATCAGAACCAATGCTATCGGATCCAACGGCATCGCCAGGGGCGATGAAGGATACAACGCCTTGAGAACATGTCAGTGACCTAAAGACACGCCCTGGAGGCACTCATACTGCTGCGATGTTGCTCCTACGCTCCCAGCTGTACGCCTGGCTGATTTGGACACTTGTTACCTCGCTCGCACTCGCGTATGCGCCTCTCAGCGACGAAACCTTGAGGGACCGCATCCCACGGCCGAAGACGAGCGACTTCGATATACACACCGGCTCTATCCTCGCACCAATCCTCATCCCTCGAGTTCCGGGAACAGAAGGTTCAGCGAAAGTCCTCAAGCACTTCGTCGACTGGTTCAGAAAAGAACTGCCAAATTGGGACATTACATTTCAGAATTCCACGTCAAAGACACCAGTACATGGAGACAAAGAAGTGCCGTTCGTCAACTTCATTGCGACCAGAGACCCGCCATGGGCGAAGCCGGGCAATGTAGCAAGATTGAACCTGGTCGCGCACTACGACTCGAAGTACTCTCCCGAGGGTTTCATTGGTGCCATCGACTCAGCTGCGCCATGTGCGATGATCATGCACGCTGTGAGGGCGATCGATGAAGCATTGACGAAAAAGTGGGCTTCTGTGCAGACCGACGACTTCGATCTCGACTTCGATGAGCACAAGGGCATTCAAGTCCTGTTCCTGGACGGTGAGGAGGCATTCCAGAGGTGGACAGACACCGACAGTATCTATGGCGCCCGGGCGCTTGCTGAAGAGTGGGACCAGACCAGACATCCCGCCATGAGCACCTACAAAAGCTACCTGGACTCGATCGAGCTCTTCGTGCTCCTTGACCTCCTTGGCTCGGCAGAAAACCCTCCTATTCCTTCATGGCAGCACACTTCGCACTGGTCCTACGTGAACATGGCGAAGCTTGAAGAAAAACTGCGAAATCTGAACCTCTACAAGAGTACGACCGGCGCACCCTGGCTTCCCGACAAGGACAAAGACGAAAGTGATGCCTTCAGAAGTTACGTCATGCAGGATGATCACCTCCCATTCATCGCCAGAGGTGTACAAGTCCTACATCTGATACCCGGTCGGTTCCCGACAGTCTGGCACAAAATGTCCGACAACGGGGACAACTTGGATATCCCCACGGTAGAAGACTGGGCGTTTCTAACAGCAGCTTTCGCGGCCGAGTACATGGAACTTGAGGGATTCTTCGATGCAGGCGCGAAGCTGAAGCGGGAAGAGGCTATAAACAGCAAGACAGAATTATGACAATGATAGCGCCCTGAGTGATGGGCTTCTACCTCCATCCGACGTGTTCATGATATGGGAGACGTTACCTAGAAAGCAGCGCCGACTTGAGAATGGAAACCGCAAGGCTGACGCTGTGGGGTGCAAGGACATCGTGCGCCTGGGCGCGATCGAGATCGAGTCAATGCTCAAGACTATGCTACAGTTCGGGAGTAACATGGCCGAAATGCTCAACGAGTCATGGGAGGAACATACCGGTAGCCAAACCGGCAACCCCCAACTCAGCTTGCAGAAGCACGCCACAATATGGCTCAGAGACAAGTGATGATCCGAAAAACAGAGCTCTGACCTGCGGACGAACGAAACCTGGATAGATTGACGCGCGCGACCGCTGACGCACACTCCGATATAATGATAGAAGCCCCAAATCAAGCACACTACTGGTCCTAAACCGGTTCGTCCAGCGAGCTACAAATCTCTAGGATGGTACATGTGAGTAACAAAGTGCGATACGTAAGTCGGAGCATTCACGAATGTATACAGGCCTCTAGTCTACGGTGCCTTGATCTCCAAGCACCACAGGTCTGAAATAGGCATGTTTACTGGTCGTTGGACGATATCGAACACAAACATCGCGCCTGGGGGCGGAGTCTGAAACCGAGTGTCACCAAACGACCTTGTTCTTGCGCGTTATGCTTGGAGTGCATGACTTGTGATCTCCGGCCATGGATGTGAGGCCGCAGACGTGGATTCTGTTCGAGTCGCGCGGGTTGGAAGTGGAAGTCGACAGAAGAGTCGTTGATTTCAGATACATTAATCTATTGGGTATCGTCAAAGTGGAGGGCTGTTATACAATCAAGACACAATTTTTCGTTGATTCAGATCGTCTCGTCGGCGGCCATCTTGAGGTGGCGTATCTGCCAGGGTTTCGGGTCCTGGCCGATCCATTCCTTCTTCTCACCAAGGATGCAAGTCGAACGCCTGTTCTCGGGTAGTTCTACCAAGTACTGCTGAGCAACTCGCTGAACATCATCCTTGGTGACATCGAGCAAGCGCTCGCGTAGTTGTTGCTCCATTTCTTCAGTGATGCCGAATGAGAACTCTCTGCTGCCGTCACTATTGACACTCGTTGGCGCATCGATCTGTTGAAAGAGCCCAAGCTTGCTCTCCTCGAGTTCACGAGGTGTCCACGAGCGGTCAAGGGCAAAAATGCCAGCTCGTTCAAATATGGTGGTGGTGTTACGAGGATTGGGATCGCGGTAAGAGGACATCGTGAAAAGAGAGCTTATTTCGCTGGCGCCGGCTGAACCTCCATAGGCTCCGCCCTTCTCGCGTACTTCTGGATGCATGAAGCCATGCGTCAGAAGCTGCCCCAGAATCATCAGAGGAGCCTTGTCCGGCGACGAGTACGGAGCGGTGTCGAGACAGGTTCCGGTGTAGGATACCTGAAACGGCAGGTCAAAGAAAGCTCGGCGCGAAAGTAACGAGCCAGGTACGGCGCCACTCGCTTGAAGCTTCTTCGATGCCGACCCATCCGGTAAATTAGTAAGGAAGGACTTCAAATGATTGATGTTGGCAGATACCGAATCAGGCTCGCACACCACACGCATTGAGAAATTGGCCGTGTTAGAAGCGACCAGTGATTGAATCTGCTTCAACTTGGCGATGATGCTGTCAATTGATGCAGGATCACTTCGGGCAGCTTCCAACATCCGGGCACTCGCCTCAACTTGCGTCAACCCCGACAGCTGTTCAAGAAGCAAACCACGCTGTGACAGCGCCGCTGAGGCGCTACGAATGGCAAAGTGGTGGCCGCTCTCTGCTACTGAGTCAAGCGCACCCGCTGTCTTCGACTCAAGAAGTTCCTGGATGGCTCCTGCAGCATGGGGACTGTCGAAGTCCACTTCCAACAGGACTTGGCTGATCAGGTCAAACATGGCAGGTACATTCTTGTCAAGGGCGTAACCGTCAATCATGAATCCTTCTTGAACCTTGCTGCTATCCTGAGAATCTGGGCTGGCAAAAGCAGAGACCGAGATCCCACCAGTGCGTAGCATAATTTCAGCTTCAATGTCTCCCACTGTTTTATTCTTGGTGCCCAGTCTCATCAAGGCATCAGTAAACAGTGGAAACAGCAGACGCAGATCCGACGGCACATTCTTCAAGATGTGTTTAGCCTGGAAGTAGGTGATGCCATTAGTCGATGTCTCACGCCACAAGCAGTCAACATCTCCGATTTTGGAATGATAGCGGGGTTTCTTCTCCTTGGTTCGCGAAATATCGCCAACAGAGAGCGTTGGCAACGTGTCGAGGTTCTTGTGCGCAGCTGATTCTTGCTCTGTCAATAGGTCTAGTTCTTGCTGGCCCAGCTCCGATAGTGCCGCCTCCGGTGAGCTTGCCTCTGATTCGAGCTTTGCTAAAATGCTGACACGACGCACCTCTTCCTGACTGACAAGGGTCGAATTATAGTCTGCGGATGGAATCATCGAAAATTCCATGCATTCGTCGTTGAGGAGGTACTTCTCGACCAGGCTGGACAGATACCCTTCGTTCTGCTGAAGGCGTTGCTTGAAAGCGTCAACTATTTCGTTCCAAGCCAGTGCTTTCATCGGGTCGACGCCATTGAACCAGCCGGGCACGGTCTTGTCAATCAGACCCATTCCGAAACCCGCGGTCTTGTGCTTTAAGGCGATTTCAAGCTGATGCATATACCCATCGACCTTATGGGGTACGAAAGCTTCGTGGGCTCTTTCACGAAGGATACTCTGAATAGTGCTTCTAAGCTTTGCGGCATCCTCGGCGCTCATCCCATCTAAGCCTATCGTAAGGGTTCCGACTTTGGCTGCGCTGTCGAATCCTGTATTGGGACTGAAATTGGTGCCAATGCCGGATTCTATCAGTCCTTGGTACAGGGGTGATCCGTAACCGTTCATGAGCAGGGCGACCATGATGCTGATTGAAAACGATTCGACAGTGTCGGCAGGTTCACAGCCCATCCACGTAACTGAGGCCTTGACCTGCCGGTCTGGGGGTTGCATTGTATCAAGCGGTCCTGTGACTTGATATGTAACAGGACCTTTGCTCAAGTCGATTGAAGGCTTGACTTCCTGGTCGGCACTGATCTTGTCGAACTGGGATAGTACTTGGTTGGCAGTTTCTAGACGAGGCAGAAGTGGAAAGTTGCCGTAGGAGAAAAGTTTGGCGTTGCTGGGATGGTAGTGTTGACGCGAAAACTTGACTAGCTGTTCGTAGGTGAGGTTTGTCATCTTCTCAGGATCACCTCCAGAGTTCTCCAATGAAGGGAACAAATACTCTCTGAATCTCACATAGAACAAGTAGCTGGCATCCGACATTTGTCCCTTCATCTCGTTGTAGACAACGCCTTTAAATATGACATTGTCCCTGGTCGCCACCTCTCGCGGGTCCTCCGGACCTAGTCGCCAGCCTTCTTGCAGAAAATCGGTGCGCTTCAGTAAGGGGTGAAATGTCGAGTCTAGGTATACCTCGGCGAGATTGCGATAGTCCTGAGGGTTCGTAGTGGCGAATGGATATGAAGTATAATCTGAGGATGTAAAGGCGTTCATGAAGTTGGCGAGGGACCTCGTAAGCATCTTGAAAAAGGGATCCCGGACCGGGAACTTCTCGCTGCCACATAGCGTGACATGCTCAAGGATATGAGGCAACCCAGTCCGATCGATTGGATTCGTCTTGAAATTAATAGCGAAGACGTTATTCTTGTCATCTCTTTCAACGTGCAGATACTCTGCCCCAGTCTTGTCATGTTCTAGCTTGAAGGCCTTGAGATGAAGCTCTGGCACATTCTTAACCTCTTGTAGTGTAAACCCATGAATCTGCTGGCCTGGACTCAAAGTTGACGCTCCATCTGCTACCGAAGCGTAGCGCCGTAGTCTCGAGCCTGAACGAGGCACAATCAAGAGACCATGGCGAGGCAGGCTCGTGCGAAGGCCAGATTGGCAGCCATGTCTCAACATCCCCTCCTAACACCTGCACCTCTTTCGATCGCCTTTCCTGCTGGCGAGAGTCGAGAGTCGAATTCAGCTTAGGTGAAGGAAAGCTTTGCTGGAATGGGTCTGGTTCTCCGAGCTTCTGTTTGTACTCGAAAATGAGACCGGGAGATGGATGCGCTACAGCAGGGAGACAGATGAATGAATTCAAAGGGCTGTAGATGTCTCGTGGCAAGGATGTGATGATGATGATGGCACTCGTCGGTCGCAATTTGCTTGGCTCGGCTCGGGGGATCTGCATTCTCGATTAGCCCCATCTGCTGCAACTGTGAGTCCTTCACGACATATTCAGATACGATACGCCGCTGGTCTCACGCCCTCACTACGTCTTTGCCCTCCAATCCAGCTCTGGAAGGTATCTTTAGACAATTGTCAGCGCGCGCAGACCCTTGGCGAACTCATTTTTGACAGCACTGCGGCGACCTCAGCCCCGGCTGTTCATGACCTCGACGGATCTCTCACTCCTGTGCAAACCGCCAACCCGGGCTTTCTTTAACCCATGAAAGGTGCTTTGGCGCCTTTTGTGAGCCGTGGCACTATAATTGACGCAACATGGCCACTGTTGCGCAGGGCTCGCATTCGCACTCTGCCAGTGTGACTAACGGCGAATCACACGATCTGCCTCCTCCAGCTGGGCCCCCGCGAAAAGGCAAGGCCAAAAAAGACAAACCAAGCGCCGAGGAAAATGCCAAACTCGTTCAAGCCAGACTGTCGCAATTAGAGCAGGAGCGGGCGGGCGAGAAGACGCAGCAAGCAGAAGTCGATCGCGAAGTCAAAAAGGCGACCCGCGACCTAAATGAGTTGCTCAATTCAGTCAAGGACCCTATGGCTCGAATAGAACTCTTGCAACGAAAATATGAGGAGCTGCTCACAGAGATGAAAAGAGTGGATCGGGAATACATCAAAACCAAAAAGAAGTCCGATCAGCAGCAGAAGGAACAGGACAAATCCAAGACGGAGCACAACAAGACTGCAACTATGAAAGACAAGCTAGAGAAGCTGTGCAGAGAGCTCACCAAGGAGAACAAGAAGGTGAAGGACGAGAACAAGCGCCTAGAGGAGTCGGAGCGAGCGTCTCGAGAGACGGTCAACGAACGGTTGGATTTGATGCTCTACGATGTGCAAGAAGTCATGAACTCGAAGGGCACATCGCATCCAGAGAATCTCCATATGGAGTTGGACGAACTGTGAGCCTTGTCTCTGAACTGGTGTTGCTCGTGGTTGCTGACCCTTATCCAGAATCAAGGCCCGCTCCAAGATCCTCTTCGACCAGGCTGAATTGCGAGAGATGCACTTCAAGACCATCTTTCGCCACCGCGATGCAGAAATCGCCAACGTCAGTGCCAAGTATGAAGCAGAACGCCGCCGCGCCGATGCCGAAGCGGCAAGATGCCGTACCCTGACGAACCAGGTTTCGACATTCTCGCATACCGAAGCAGAGCTACGGTCGCAGCTCAACATCTACGTGGAGAAGTTCAAACAGGTAAGCCCCGTTCCCTTGAGAAATCCTACCCTACTTTCGAAACATGTGCTGAAGCATAGTATTGCTCACTTGCAGCAGGTCGAGGATACCCTCAACAATAGCAACGAGCTTTTCTTGACATTCCGCAAGGAAATGGAGGAGATGTCCAAGAAGACCAAGCGTCTGGAGCGGGAGAATCAGACCTTGACTCGTAAACACGACCAAACAAATCGCAACATTCTCGAGATGGCTGAGGAGCGAAGTCGAGATAAGGAGGAGATCGAGCGGCTGAGAATACAGGAGACCAAGATGCGAAACATCATCAAGAGTATGCAGGAGCAGGGCCGAGGACTAGCTTCAGGATCAGGGGCACTTGGTGGCGGTGTCCTGGACGACGAGGGTACGGAAAGTGAGTACGACGAAGAATATGAGGACGAGGACGAAGATTATATCGAAGGTGACGAGGAGGAACTGGCCGCTCAGGAGGCGGAGCTGGCGGCACAAGCCCAGGCACAAAGCCACGCCCAGATGAAGCAGCCTGAGAAGCCAGTCTTCGGACCAATTCCCCCGCCGGATCTCAAGTCGATGGCCAACGGCGTCAGCGTGAAACACTGACCGTGTCTGAGTATCTCGAAATATCGACCATTGATCGATACTACTACCCTGCGATGTCTGGAGTAAGTGCATTGCTCTTTTGCATATGGATCCACTTGGAGTTTACCTCCTTAGGCAGACTCTTGTTATCTGTACAGAACAAGGAATTAAGAAACTCACATTGATCATGCTTCGTCCAACACTGCTATCGCTGATCTCTGTAAAGAAACAGCCCCGAACCATGTCGCCGGTGGCTGTCGCGAATGTGCCATAAGGCGACGAGGCAGCAATAAGGCGGGCGCCTCCCTAGACACCCAGGCCAAGCGCATGGCTTGACGGGCTTGTGCAGCGGAGACCTCTCTGGCCGCCGTAGCCGTACAAATCTCCATTGTTCCTCCCCACTTCCGCTGCGGTATAATAGCTGCAGTTCGAGACACCAAACAGCTGTCTGAGACTCTTGCTTATGCGCTGCTCATGACAGCATCAATCGGTGACTTGGCATCCTCGCAGCAGGCTAGTATCTCGCTTCCGCCGCGGAGCAACGGTGTTACTGTGTGCAGGTCAGGACATGCCTCGGCCCAGCAGTGGCTCACAGCCGAACGCCAGACTTATCTTCCCCACACGCGTTCGCAAAAGCTGTACAAAGCTGTTTCTCGTCCCTTGCACTTTCTTGCTGCGTGTGATGTGATACTATATTGATTGACCGACCAAGCATACCTAACATAGCTTTCAACATGTCTTCACCGCCGCCCCTTTCGACGCCGCTATGCAAGCTTCTGGGTATCAAGTACCCCATCATGCTTGCAGGCATGGCCCGGACGTCTGGTGGCCCGCTCGCCGCAGCTGTGACAAATGCTGGCGGTATTGGAACGATCGGAGGACTCGGATATAGTCCCAAACAGCTACAAGAAGTACGTCTGCTCCCGTAACACGCTTTGACCGCATTCTGACAGGCCTCCAGATCATCGACGAGCTAAAAGCCAACCTCGCCGACAAGAATGCGCCCTTCGGTGTCGATCTCGCCCTTCCTCAAGTCGGTGGCAGCGCGCGCAAGACAAACCATGACTATACCCATGGCCAGCTAGACGAGCTCATCGAGGTCACCATCCGCAACGGAGCCAAGATCTTCGTGTCCGCCGTGGGCGTGCCGCCCGCTCGCGCCATCAAGCGCCTCCATGAAGCTGGGATACTCGTGATGAACATGGTCGGCGCGCCCAAGCATGCTGAAAAGGCGCTCAAGGCTGGCGTGGACATCGTGTGTGCGCAGGGAGGCGAAGGTGGCGGTCACACTGGCGACATTGCGACCAGCATTCTGATACCGGCCGTGTGCGACGTTGCGAAGAAATACAAGTCTCCCCTCACTGGAGAACCCGCTATGGTGGTCGCGGCTGGGGGCGTATACGACGGCCGCTCTCTGGCGTCATCGTTGATGCAGGGAGCCGTCGGGGTCTGGGTCGGCACACGCTTTGTTGCCGCTGAAGAGTCCGGTGCGTCCAGAATGCACAAAGAGGACGTGGTGAGCGCCGATTTCCCGGACACTTTGCGCACACTGGTCGTTTCTGGCCGGCCTCTGAGGGTCAGGATGAATGACTACATTCAGAAATGGGAGAATGAGCCGGAAAAAATCAAGGAGCTGACGGATAAGGGTATCGTGCCGATGATGCATGATATTGAGAACGACAAAGACGTCGAAATGCCCTTTTTGATGGGCCAAGTTGCAGCCATTATCAAAGACATCAAGCCCGCCAAAGACATCGTGGAAGATATGGTGCGAGAGGCGGTTGCTCAGCTGAAGTTGGGACAGACATACTTGCAAGAAGGAGGGAGGAGCAAGCTATGATTCCCAGCGCAGAATATGTTACGTCAAAGCGATACCACTTCATCTATTGATCTTTACATTCATAGGCTTCTTCTCTCTGAAGTACCGACTGCCTAGGACGCAAACATCTTCTCGGCAGATTCCATCTCGGACGCCCACTGCCCCCAGAAGGACTGCGTCGCTTTGCATAAGCCTCAGAGCGCTAGCAGTTCTAGAAGAGTCAGCAGCCTAAACTCCATCGTACGCCGCGCATGATCCTGCACTTGGTGCCTTGCCGGTAGAATTGCTACCCTTGCGGCAGCGCGGGTGTGCCGTCACTCGTCTAGGCTTCAGTGATGGACAGTCATGGGGTCGAAATCGGTGTTTGATGGCGGGCCCTTTTCGTCCAGGGACATGAGCTTATTCGCGTCGAATGTTGGTTCGATTGACACAAAGGAGTCCCCGCGCTGTGCCACACTACCTCAAACCCGGCCTTTCTGTTGGTTAGACTCGCAAGTATCACATAGTCCTATACAAAGAGCCTCAACGTAGGGCGGGTTGGTCTCCTCTTCTTCTCATTCCCCTTTACACTCAAACACTGAATCCCACTTTACCTGGAAGCCAGCCAGCGAAACGCATAAACAATAGATCGTTCCTGCTACCTCAGAGAGATAATGATCTCCTTTCATGAAAGGTTCGCTCATTCCCCCGTGCGTGCCACTTTCTGCTAACTTGCTGTGCTCAGACACCGCGCTCGATCGTGTGGCTCAGACTCGAGCTGTCATTGCGCTAAGAGAGCCGAGCAGTGTCGACCAAGGGACATGTACTCCAGCGATACCTGTGCGTGCACTGAGGCGGGTTGTGGCAACTGGACCAGAGGGAAAACCTGCACTAGAGGGGGAAGAACTGCGGTTATACAAGATGAACATCATCCAGATTAGGGAGACTTAGAGTAGTTCATGACAGTGCTTGGCCTGTGAAAACTAGCGACCACAAATGTCGACATGCGATGCCTTATCGCATTACATTGCAGAATGCCAAGATTTTACTGCCTGAAGTTGCCTTTTCCCAAGCCTGTTTACCCCGAGATTGCTCCTCCAGTGGTAGTACATCGTGTAACCTCACGTCGGCAACGCTCCCAAGAGATTTCTGTGGACTTGCAAGAGATGTCATTGGTGATGCAACTTCTCGCCGCTAGAACTCACCGAAATGCCCAGGGCCCCTAGCAAATTCCCTGGAAGAAGACCCAGCCCGTCCAAGGGTTTCACCTCCCATTTAGCATCGAACTCCTGGAGTACCCGTCCCCGGCCTTGCGTCAGAACTAGGACCTTTGTTGCCTGGTTCTCCGACAGCCTCTTCTCGTAAGCCGAGCAGACAGCCCTGACCAGCGCTCGGCTTACCTCACCATATTCCCCTTCATTCGGTAGATGTTCCAGACCACTCAGCACAATGAGCAGCGAAGACTTGAGCCCTATCGTCTTCCACGAATGTGCCAATATCAACTCAATGAACTCCACCGCCGCTTGCAGTGAGTCAGCCTTCTCGCTGTCTATGTCAATTCGAATGCCATCAAACTCCTGCAGTGATGACATGTCGGTCAGGGCCCCTGCAAAATCGCCTACCAAGCACTGCTTCAACAGCGAGTACACCAATTTCGCCAGCTGCGTGGACGCCGCTTCCATTTTCGACTCATTGTCCCAGATATATATCAGCTTGGGCTGCTCTGCACAAGCATACAATGCCGCAGCGCACAGATCATTATTCCCATCTGTAGGGTCCCAAGCAGTCTCGATTTTGAGAATGGTCGAATCCTGCATCTGCCAGAACTCGTTGAGGCGATCGCAGAGATCGTGACGGACGTCGGTATAGTGCGCCTCGAGGGCCAGATGCTGCACTCGGTCCATGAGGTGGAAGTCATCGATATCACGGACAGAGTCGGCCACGCGCGATATGAGGTCGACTTCGTAGAGGCCCTTGCTGTCCCCAGCCGCGAGCGTGACGCTGCTGGCGTTGGACTTTCTGGAGGATTGAAGGTCGTGCGAGATGCAGAATTCGCATATATGGTCCGAAGCTGAAACGGCTTGTCCACCGTCCATTGGCATTCGATTGGAGTCGTGGGAAACGGCCACCCTGCCAGATGCGTTGAGTGGCACTTGCGGACACACATGCTTAGGCAGCATCTCGAAGTAAGTCAACTTCCGCAGCATCTTCTGCGTACTCTCCATCTTCTCGACATACTCCTCCACCGCTTTCCTGTCCTTGACGTTCCACGGCACCTTCCTAAAGCCCTTCTTGACCCGAAGCCTCATCTCCCGCGCCGCCTTGCGAAACGCCTCCTTGTCGGCATTACCACCGCCCTTACTCCCACTCTTGACACCACCAACACCACCAGCATACCTCCCCAACCTCTCCATCACCCCCTCCGTCTCCCTCACAAACGCCGCCATCACCTCCCTGATCAACTCGCGATCACTGTCCGAACACCTGGCCAGCAGCGTTGTGGCCTCACCCTGACCGTCCCCATTCCCAACTCTCTCCACCTCCTCTGAAATGCCGTGATACTCCCCCCAACTAGCGAAGAAGCTGCGCGCCACCTTGACGCGCAGGTGCAGGAAGCTGCGGTCCTGGTCGTCGTCGCGGCACAGCGTGATGAGCACGTCGGCCATGTCGAGGATGCCCTTCCACGCGAGGACGACGCCCGCGATCGCGAGGGGGAGTTCGGCGCCGGACATTGTTTTTGGTGGGGGTTGCAAAGAAATAGAGGGTGCTAGTCTCGGGGTTTGTCTATGCGGCTGTATGCGTGTGTATATGTGTGGGTTTCTTCCGATGGACGGGATTGTCAACAGGTACTGACAAGAGAGGGAGAGATCACATGTTCCCCTTGGAATGGAAGCCAACGGATACAGAACATGTGCGCGGAGGCTTGTCGAGGCCTGCTGCTGCTCACTTTTACGGAACACACCAAAAAACCTGAGAAGGACTCAAAAAGTTCAGCCCAGTGAGAGAGGCACGGATGGCGAGTTTCTGCTTTCTATCATTATGCCAAAGGTCCCACGTCCCTGGGGAGGCTACGGAGTATAGCCGCCATGGTGTTGCGGCCCCGCGGTGGCTTAGACTCAATCAAACTAGTTTTAAGGTGGCCCCAGCCTGTATGTACCAACTGCATTACGGGGGGGTCAGGGGGGTTCAACGGGTGGGTGGGGTGGCCTTGCGGCCCGTTCGTTGCCTATTCTGGCTTTTTACTGCCCCATTTTCCCGCCCGCGGGCCGCTGTGGCGGTGCTGTGGATCAGGTTGGTATACTCCTGTAGGTAGGTAGGTATTTGCCACTCGGTGTGATGCTCGCGCTGGAAGGTCTTTCTTATGACCTTTGTGCTTGAACTCCTGTTGCGCCACTTCCCACGTCCAGAGGAGATGTATTGCGCCTTACTAAGGCCAACGGAATCTCTCTGGGCCGGAGCGTGATGCAGGATTGGCTGGCGCCAAATAGATCGGATATGTCGTCGACGAAGCCCGGGAGCCAGCAGCGATTGCTAAGGGGGATACTGAGAACGTAACAGCAGTGGTTTGGGTGCAGCCGCAATCCCAGTGCACTGATGCACTGGTGCAGCCTGGACGCTGTTCTGATTGCGCTCATCCACGAGTACGGCAGCCGTTAGAAGAGGCAGTTTTGACGTCGAACTCAGGATTGCGGAAGCATGTAGCCATAGCAAACCAAATGATGTGTTCTGGTCGGAGGCTGACCTTGAAGGCATTACACAGGTGTCGTGGATCACTGGTGAGGAACCATCCCGGCGACCAAGCTGCCTATACATTATAGTTCTGCCGGAATTTGTTGCGCACATGCTCTGGACGATCCGAGTTGAGGCCGTCCAAGTACTCCTTGAACTCATGATGGCGCTTTAGTGCCTTCTTGAAGTGGTTGAGCTCGACGGTGATCCTCAGCTCGGTCTGCTGTTTGGAGTCTTGGTTCAAGGCACCTTTGAGAGTGGCGGAGTCCCTCCTCTGCAGGTTTTTCGCTTTCCGTTCAGCGTCAAGCCTAGCAAGCGCCAGAGCATTCTGCATGACTGCAAGGTGACGTTAATAGACTGGACCTCTTCCGCGGCAACGGACATACCTGTGCGGATCTCACGGCCATTCAAGTCTTTCTCGTAGCTGCAGACGTAGTCTCTTGCTTCCGAGTCCACGCGAATCCTCGCGTTATCCTCGTCGACCTCGTAGCGGTTGCAGAACCTCTCCCAGATCTCTTTCTGAGACACTTTGTTCAGTGATGGATATTTGATAGGGACAGTGATACGCGATATGAACGCGTCATCCATCTGGCCAGGCCTGTTTGTTGTCTGATGACAAGGTCAGCGATCGCCGCTCCGAGTGTTGGCGCAGGACGACATACCAAGAAAAGCACACCTGCGTAGTATTCGAGAGATCTCAAGAACACTAAGGACTGTCAGCTTCGGTCGCAGATCCGGATGAGGGCAATAGTGGACATACCAGTGGTCAGCTGATTTGGGTCCGGACCGTTGTTTGTACGTCTGGCAAGGAAGATGTCTGCTTCATCCATGAGGATTATAGCACCCCACTTAGCCCCCAACGAGAACCAGAGGCGTAGCTCCGTATCGAAAGCAGGCGCAAGATCCGACATGCTCAAGGATAGAAGCGGGCGCTTGGTATCGTTTGCCACACACTCTGCGGTCAACGTCTTGCCCGTGCCTGGAGGACCATACAAGAGAAATACCTGGCCTTCGCCCTTTCCTGGCACAAAGTCAGGCTGCAGTTGGGCTTGGTCTGATGAGTGCGTATTTGACCTTCGCCTGATTGTTTGTAGAACTTCTCGATCTGCAGATGTGTGGATAGTGAGTGCCGTTTCAAGCTGGTTTTCCTCGACGAACGGTGACTGCTCGCGGATGCCTTCGACGTGGAAACGCATCCATTTCTTATTGGCCAATGCCAGGCCGTTGATCATGCCCTCCAACAAGAAGAGATGCTCATCCGTTATCAGCTCGGACTGTGCCGGATCGCTGGTGTCGAGGTCAACATAGTTGCGAAATCTTCGGTAACCTCTCGCATCGCGAGCCTCTCGGGGAGTGCGCTCATCGTACGGTGTGTCGCGCCAGTCTACATCAACGGTTCGATATTGGCGTCGCCTCTCATCGGCATCAATGTTCTCCTCGTAGGCAATAGGGTCCAGGATGACGGCGCCTTCGTATGTAGCGTTTGCGTGTCTGAAGAGTCTGTGAGAACAGCCTTGCTTGATGAGGTTGAGGAACTGGTCGCCCCGCTGCTTGATGCGGGCCGCGCTCTGACCACCATCAGCCCGGTCATACCAATTCGCGGGTAGGAGGTCGAGTGACTCCAGAGAGCGAGGAGCGCGGAAATCTTCAATCTTGACCATCAGCGGCGCTCTCTTTAAGAATTGACCATCGTAGGTGAGATTCCAAACTTCGACGAGGTATCGTTGCACTCGACTTTGTTGCAAGAAGGCCTTGGGATCAGCAGTGCGAAACCTGGCTGATACAACGACATGTGCAGTCAGTATACCGTCAACCTCTCTATAGACGATCGTGCCTGGCGCATAAATCATCCACAAATGTCGAAACTCGATTTGCGGTACGGGTCTCTGCAGCTGCCGTAAAGCAGGTAAGACTGCGTGCTTATAGGACGGGGTCAGGATCTTGAGCAGAGTTCCGACATCGCGTGCAGTCCGGAGGTCGGTGATTGTCGGTAGAGCTTCGACTTTTCCGTATGGATTTCCCCATGGGAGACAGGAAGTGTCGCCGAGAGTCTCCATCTGAGCCTTGCAGCTGTCCAGCTCAGATCCATATTGCTCTCTGGCTTGAGCCGACCGAAGGAAAGTTTCAAAGCATGTTTTGATCTCTTTATAGTACAGCAGAAGACTGGGAAAGTTGAGGTCGTCGTCTGCATGGTGCGTGTGATAACCATAGGAAGCCTGCAGTGGGTCGTAGTCGACAATCTGATTGATAACGTCTTGAAGCCGTTTCGAGACTATGGTCAGGATGAGCCCGCGCATGCTGTCGGCGCTGCCATTCTTGCGAAAGTCGGGGCTGAGTGGCTTCTCCCACCAGGTTTGTGGGGTGTTGGCCTGCTCTGTGTTCTTCTCACCATCGGCAAGAGCTTCGACAATGATGGCAGAAGACTCGGAGTCGTCGGTGTCGCCTACATTATAGAAATCGCCGTATTTGACTCCCAAGAAGGGTTTGTCAAGGTAATGGATGCTTTCTTCACTTCCTTTCTTCAGGCGCAGTCCGTACAGTATCTCGGGTTTGACCTTTGGTGGTTTAGCCTCTGATTCGACTTGCGGTGGGACATCAGAAGCCTGGCCATCCTCCTGTGGTGGAGGCGCAGACGACTCAGGCTCTGACTCCGGCGTTGGAAGTGCTGCACTTGCGTCCATCATGGAGAATGAGAAGGAGAAGTAGATGGACTCTGTGAAAGTGCGTCTGATGTTGATGAGACATATATATTCGAGCACCAGAATCCTGGGGTAGAACTTTCGACAACCTGCATGCTCGCGCCGATCTTTCAGCTCTATGACCCAGCATTCTGTCACAGGGGACACGCATGATCATTGCGCCTTAGAATCTGGTCAAAATCCTCACAAAGGCCACATGAATCCAGTTAGCGAGGCTGCAAGTTGAGTGTCTAGTCTCAGGCATGCTTGCAAGAGCTGTGCTTTAGGTTCAGGCGGGCCACGGCACCGCCCCTCGGCTAGAGCTTAGCTACCTAATAGACGGGAAGCGCTTTCGCGTCATGTACATACGATACACGTCGCACCGGGGCTGCTAGCCATGGACACGAACGTGGTGTGACCGAGCAGATGTCGACCAGAACCGGTTGTTTCGAACCAAGTTCAATGTGAGCGTGGAGAATAGTCTGTACACGAGACGTACATCTGAAGGAGGGGTTGCCGTCCCTGGGCCGGATCGAGCCCCGATCACCCGGGATGGGCGATCACACTCCAAGCCTGGGCGGCCCTGCCGCCCGCTTATGTACATCGGCCTTCACAGGCACCCATTTTGACTCCGCACTGCAGCTTAAGATACAGGATTACTAGCAAGCACGCTCCAGTGTCACAGCGGAGGGCTGTCATGAGACGCTCTCGCTGACTTGGCGACCGTCTCGACGCCTTGTTGCCTCGAAGTGGTTCACGACAGCCTTGATGGCAAGCTCTTCCTCACGACTACCCGCTCGTTCCTGCTCCGCTGCCCGTGACCCCTCCTGTCCCACCTACAAACACCACCAGAACAGCGGCATAAGCTGCACCAGCCGCAAACACCTCTGCTCTTCGCGCGGTCGTCACCAGTTTGACCGTAGCTGCGAAGAGCGCCGTGAACAGTCCAATGAGCCCCATCGTCGTACCCCACTGATGGCTGAGATCAGGAACATAGCTGAGTGCCACGATCGGAGTGATGAGTAGCATTGCGGAGAGGAGCGTTGTGATCGAGGAAGCGGCGAGTGTTACATGGCGTAGGGCGAGGTAATTGTGGTGAGGGTGCGAGGTGTGCGTTATGCTGGCACGGGTCTGCGATACGTCTGAAGGCGGACGGCGACGGGATTGGAAGAGTGGTCCACAGTAGTTGATGAGGAAAGTCGTAAGTGGATCGCGTGGTGGTGGTCTTGCGAGAGACACAAAGTCTGTGTGGTGTACTTGTGGATGTGAAGGATCGAGCGGAAAGAGGTCTTCGCTGCTGCCTGAAAGAGTGGGAAACCGAGGAGTGTCGCCTCTACCTTTAGATGATGGGCCATAGTTGTGAAACGTTTTGCTGAGAGCCGTCAAGGTCTGCTGTGAAGGCGGTTGAAGGGAGAGAAGTTCTGAGGAGACCGCAAGAGCTTCGCGATACTCTTTCAGAGTTGTCCTAATCCGCATAGCCAACGTCCATCGCTTTTGCCAGCGGTCAAAATGTCCTGAATTCAAGCTGGCGGTCGAACCAGAGCCTGTGATTGTAGTCGGTTTCGGTCGTGGGCTGCTTCTCGGGCTAACAGAAGGACTCCGGCTGTTGGTTGATGTCCGCCTGCCATGGCAACATGCGCAGTTTCGCAGTTTCTGGTCAGGACCGAGACTCCCTCCACCACCAGCGGCCTCGAATGCTCCCCAATCCCTCGCTATCTGTCGTATCTCGGCATATGAATCGTCGTTCCGTGCGTCTTTGCTGTCTTCGATATCATATAGGTCCTGTAGTCGCTCCAGCCTCGTCAATTCGCTTTGAAAGTACAGCAGATTCCGGGCTGCTAGTCTGTCGAAACGCCTATAGACGGCGGTACTGTGATCATCGCGGTCGCTGGCGATGAAGCTGGCAAACGAGCCAAAGCCAGATATATATTGCTCTCGAGGCAACCCCTTTTCAAGGTGAACTGCTGCCGACGCTGCCATATACGCTGAGGTTGGTGTCGACGAGCCAGTAGGCCAGGATGCTCATGAGAGTCGCTGTGATCTGGACAAGAGTTCGTTGTACTTGTGGTATGAGGCTGAGTCTGTCCGATCGAAATCAGCCTGACGAAAGAAGCGTGGGGGGCTTTTGTGGCCTTCGAGTGCCACGATTGCCAATTAGCTAGGATGCTGCGAGTCTGCCCCAAGACCTCTGAGTACGTAGCAGGCGGTCCAAGCAGGCCTGCCTGCGATACGAAGTGCCAGCGAATCAAGCCTTGCCAACGCCAGCGGTTGGTGTGCTGGCATGCATAGGCCCAGGATGCACGGTGATGCATCGCTGCGCCTCAATGGTCTTGAGTGGTAGTTTGATCGGTATATTTGGCCCAGGTGACCACCCACTCAGCCTGATCGTCCAACGTCCAACGTCCACCTCCTCCGGACGTGTCATCGCCAACGATTTGGAGAGCCGTTCCGGCGACACATCATAATCATCGTGGGAGAACATCTGATGGACCTCCGAAATGACAAGCCTCCCACGGGAGTATTACCATATCGCGAGGAGCGACCTACGGGCACATTCTTCTCCTTCTTTAGGAAATGGGCAGCCGATAGACCGACTGCACCTCCGCAGACCACATCTCCAGAAAGAAGGGCATCTCCTGAAATCGGCTCGCTCGTCGAAAACCTTAGCCTTGGTGACCGTCCTAGATCTCAACAGCCATATATCTCTCATGCACGCACGACCGAACGATCACTTCAAGGTTCTAAACAATCTGAATACTCCGCCCAAGCTCCGACTGCCATTTCACTTACAACCTCTCCCCAGGTTATTCACGACACGCACCTCGACCCGGAGCCCGATGGTAGACAGTCGCGAGGTCTAGGCTCTTGGGTCCCAGAAGTACCTTCGGACCCACTCTTTGACAATGTTCCTTCCAGCCCAGTCGATGACTATGATATTGATCTACTAGAGGGTGGTACATCTTTGCTTCTTCAACCAGAGACTAAGCCTATCACTCATGATCAGCTCATCAACGAAGTCAAGGGAATGTATGCTGGACTGGTTCTGGTTGAACGCGAGTGTGTGAAGATCACTCCAGCACGCGCCACCCCTGCCGACGGACTCAGCCCTGGCCGACGGCAAAGATCAATCAATCTGCGCAGGATTGTGAACGAGCTGCTTCGTGCTTCGCCCGTGGATGCCACAGCTTCGCCTTTGCAACGCATCTTTAATACGTATGCCAGAGCCCTGGACATCATTGTGAATGGAAAAGCATCTGTCACGAACACGAACCTGCGGCAAGCACGGCCCGAGAGGTTGATGCTGCCCATCATTGCCAACCGCAGGATACGCGTAGACGCAGTCCCCGACACTATGGCTTCGCGGTGCGTCCTCAAAGAAGATTGGGCCATGGCGAACGGCATACCAATCGACCGCGATACCTCGGAGTCACACACCTTCGTGACTGCAACCGGACGCAAAATTTCCGCCATCGGTCGTGCATTCATGGATATTGCGTTTGCAGCCAGTCCCAGGGAGACTTATCGCTGTGAGTTCGCGGTGGTGAGACAGTGTGCTACAGATATGGTGATTGGAGAACCCTTCTTGAAGCTCACGGAGACACTGACAAAGTTCCGTGCGAGGCTCAAGAAGGTCGTGGCGCCGCTCAAGCAAGCTGTCAGGCTTATGCGCATGGATCCGGATCACCGGAAGCTCGATTGTCTGATCGACTCGGAACGAAGCTTGATCACCACCGATACAGGCTCTGATGTCGACCTCATATCTTCAGAATACGCTGAAAGGCGCGGTTGGAAGGTCACACCTTTGCCTGCAGAGGAAGGCTATGTCGTCCTCGCAGACGAATCAATAGAGAAGCTGGACGGGTATGTTGATATACCGATCATCGTAGGCGGCGCCCACATTCAGGTCCGTTTCTTCGTTCTGGACGGCCTGACTTGTGACGCGCTACTTGGCTGTGGCACACTCGATGCTCTTGATGTATTCCGGAAGCACAACGCTTCGTTAGTGGTTGTCGAGGGCCTCTCAGACCTGGCCCAGTTCCAGCTGATTGAGTGGCGACAAAAGCTCGATGATACACGAGCGTGGATCGATGAACAGACGGAGACAGTTGATGAAGATTTGCAGCCACTTCGAGATGGTAAGGACGTCCGTTGCCTCAGAAACCTCAGCTCACACGTTGGCTAGAACCTGAACCAAAACGAAAACAAGATCAAGTGAGCCGATGGTTCCGAAGAAGAACTTCCAGAAGCCACCGACAGAATACATGCGGTCCAGACGGCAAGCATCGCCCCCGGATCCGCTTATATTGGGAAATAACTAACATGCCACAGCACTGCGAGAAAAGCTACTTGCCAAGCTGGACGAAATCGACAACATACGACTCGACGCCAAGAGGAAAGCAGCCGAGGTGCGCCATTCGCTGGCCGGGTCCGATCTCGATCGTGCCAAACAGGCGGAGCGAGAACTCGATCTCCGCCACGCTCAGCTGAGAAGCAGGATCAATCTACTGGTGCAGAATGCGGGGAGCAGCCCACGATAAGAGTAACAGTCGTAGTCGCACATTAACGTGGTTTCCCACGAGATATGTGAAATGCAGCAGCGTGGGGAAGGTCTTCGCGAAGGACAGGTGCCATGTTCTAGCCCGAGGAACTGCTTGTACCGGTTTTGATGGGTAGGTACCGCCGGAGACATAGGACTGGTCGGATACACGATTCCGTGGGACGGGCATGCTATGGCAATCTCGTCGGAACCTCGATGGAAAGACGTGGAGATCGCATACCGAGCTTCTAGGGTTTGGGTTGGGGGTGTGATTTGGTTTATTGACGTTGGGCCGAATAAGGCAACCCCCGGGGGCTTGGCGGAGTTCGCCTCCACCCATGGATCAGGAGAGAGGATGCGAGAAGTAGTGGTGAGTGACAATAGTGGAACTTGGAACCCTCGAGGCATGCGACATAGATTCGTGCTAGAGAAGTTGAAACCAAGGGCGGGCAATTGGAGATCGGCTGTGGTAATCCAGACGTCTCAGGAGAATAGTTTCGGGCTGCAATCTCATTGACGGGGAGGTACCTCGTGAGCGGCGAGACGCTCAGCCAGCCAATCAGGCAGAATTGATCAGACTGATTGCTTCGTGCCAAAACGAAAACTCCGGCTTGCAGCATTCTCGGCGGCTTTTGTTGTGGGCGGTAGAGTACTTCAGCCTTGCCCATACGCATTCCGCCCAGGAGGCTCCACAACAGGAATGCGAATCAACAACCACAACAAGTGTGCACAGCGCACCATTATAATGAGGGCACGGGCACCCATCAATCGGTCTTGGTTTCCCCAGCTCGCCAACCATCGTTGCAAGAACATCTCACCCATCGTCACTCATTTTCGCGTCGACAATCCGACCCTTAGTCACTCTTTTCAGAAACCCAATATCTAATTCAAGATGCAGCGTGTTGCAGTATCCGGTGCCTTCGCGGCCCTTGCCTACCAGGCTGCCGCCGGTGTCGTCGCCCCTGCCCAAGACGCTGAGCTGAACTTCGTCGACCAGAAGTGGGCTGACGTGACTGTTGGTGACGCTTGGCCCGTCAAGTGGTCTGCTGGCAACGGCAACAAGCTGTCTCTCACCGTCAAGAACGCCACCTGGGAGCACAAGATCTGCGGTAAGTCCCAACAGAAAGGGTACGAGACGTTCTCGTTGCTGACAAGCGAACAGAGGAGGAGGCCGCCCCTGGCGAGTACGACTGGAAGGTTGATGTCCCCCATTGCGGTGCCAAATACACCTTCGAGGTTCAGCAGGATGAGTGCGAGACTCTCGAGTCTCCCGAGTTCGAGATCAAGTGCAAGGAGGGCGAGACCGAGTGGAACGATGGCGAGTGGTCCGACAACGGCGAGGAGGATGCCTCCAAGATCATCGTTGTTTACTACGAGGAGGACTGCAGCTGCACCAAGAGCAAGGCAACCGCTGCTCCTACTCACGGCAAGCCATCGTGGTACGACGACGAGCTGAAGTGCACCGTCACCTCTGAGGGCCCAGTTCCTACCGGATGGGTTGATGCTTCCAGCCCCGTCGCCCCTGCGCACACTTGGGCGGATGCCGCCAATGCTTCCGCAGCTTGGGGCGACAACGCAGCGCCAGCCACCACCGGTACTGACGCTGCTCACACTTGGGCTGATGCCCCAGTTGCTCCGGCCACCACTGGTACCGACGCTGCCCAGACCTGGGCCGATGCACCAGTTGCGCCAGCGACTGCCGCTACTGATGCTGCCCAGACCTGGGCCGATGCCCCAGTTGCGCCAGCGAGTGCTGCCCCAGTTGCCCCTGCAGCGGTGAACCCTGGCAAGGGTGGCAACGGCGTGGCTGACTACACTGGTGCCGCCAGCCAGCTGACTGCCTCCTTCGGTGCGCTTGCCGCCGTCTTCTTCGCTGCCCTCGCTCTGTAAGAGCTGAAGTGGGAAAGTTTGGTCTGTGTTTCCGGATTCTTGTGATTAAGTTCTGCATGTGGGAGGTTCTTCATGGTTTGGGGGTTGGATCTCTCAGGAGTATATCCGGCTGTAATTTCTAACGCTGAGACCATGACATAATCTGATTTGTTGTTAATTGAAAATTATGATCGTCATAACTGTCTTTCTGCTCTGGCTTTGCTGACTTCGGCACTGGAGAATGAGAAGGGGCTTTTGGCCAGATCAGGTGATCGTGGGCTGAGCGCAACTGCAAACAGATCATCGGGATCGTCTGACGTCGTAGCACCCGTCTCAGTAAGACTCGGAATGTTGGAGATGAAGTTCAGGGACGGCCCCGACTCACCCGCCGCCTGTTGCTGAAGAATTGAGGCAGGTGGTGCTTGGGCAGTCATTCGCTTGGGGGTCGTCCTTGAGGCAGATTTTGGTGAGGCAGGATCCGCGCGAAACGCAGAGAAGGACGAATAAGCCATATCGCTGACTTCGGGAGACAGTGGGTGAAGCTCACTCGTTGGCGTATTGGCCCTCGCAGCGAGGTCCTTTTCACTGGTACCGAGGCTCAACCCCTTCAACTTTTCACTAAGGCGGTGGCTGTTCGGAGATTGTGGCGGCATTGCAGAGGGACTGACGGATGCAGATTGCTGAGCAGATGTGGCAGCGCTGATATCCAAAGCCGCCGGCTTGGTCTGCAGACCGAAATTGTCTTGGATCCAATCCCTCTCGGCTATGGCCATCTCAAGGGCGATACCCTCAAGGTTGTGCTCTTGCTCTCTTTGAATTTCTCTCTCTAGCGACTGCAGTCTCTTTTTCGCCCAGATGGTGTGCAAAACGCCTTTCTTCCCGCTGGCCTTGGCCGTGGCACCCAGCTCCGGCGTGAAAATCGCGGGCAGCGGTTTCACTGTCATCTTCAAAGCCTCTGAGGGAGCATTGCCGGCATCGATAGGCGATTGATATGCCAGAGTCAGGTGCGGCGGGACCGCGGCAGACGGTGGGATAAGGAAGTAACTCCGGCGGATCTTGTCGGAAGGTCGATCGTCAGCAGGGAAGACTGTGCGTTTGCCAGACCACGAAACGTGCCATGTGCCCTGCTGATGTCTGGACTGGTCGTCTTGCCACTCGACCATCATGACTTTGGTGCCTTCATTGCCGCGGCCGGCCTCGAATTCGAAGCGAGCAAGCGCGGTGACCCCCATCAAGGTATCTGGGGTGATAGGGGTTACTGGCGTCGGAGGAGCAACGGCGTGTTCAGCCATGGTGTCTGCGTTGAAGACGGGGCTGACGAAGGGCAGCAGGTCGAGGTCAGGTCTAGCTATCTATATTTGACAGCAGCGGCAACGAAACAATTCCGGGGCTTTGAAAATACGAAAGCATAAATCAAAGACGCGAGTTCGATGCATCCTACCGCGTGGAGGCCTGGCGGTGCTGCGGTAGCATCCGCTCGAGCAGTGCAGCGTGACTGGCTAAGCGACTTGGTTGAAGCAGATTGCCTTGTCCTTGACCTGCTTCCTGGCCTGCTAGACAAGGGAGGGGCGCCCAACGGAAGGGCTCAAAGTTAACGCCGACTGGGAGAAGCTCCAGCCTAATTTGAGCTCTTTCCAGGCTTCTAGAAAATCATTCAGTGGAGCATAGATCGCCGCCCCTAAAATAAGCACCAATGATTGCGCTTAGGGGCCCCGAGCCTGTTCGCGTCGGTGTTTGAACTGCACGCCTAGAAAGCCAGAGGGTACGAGTTTTTTTAGCTTATGAGCCTCCAGGCCATCAAGTATGATGATTCTGCTGACCACAAGGCCGCAACCACAGCTCTGGAGCACGCCTCGTGGCAAGTGCTGACCTCAAAGTTCCGGACGCAAAGCAGAATCATCGCTAAGATCAGATCAGTGGGCCAGCTTTGGTGACACAGCAGTTTTATGATCCCCCGGCTGCCTCATCACCCTACTATGGTCATGGTGGCGGAACCCCTCGCATCTCTAGATCGGCTCCAGTATGGCGGCTGTTTGTGCGAAGCAGTCAAGTATCAGGTCCAAGGTCCACCCTCCCTGAGATACCTGTGCCACTGTCGAAATTGTCAGAGAGCCACAGGATCCACCTTCCAGGCAAACTGTTTTTTCGCTCGTGCGGGCTTTGATGTGACTCAAGGCAAGGACAAGCTTTCGGTGTTCCAGTTCAAAGGCACGGGCTCTGGAAGCGACCAACGTCGCCATTTCTGCACCCTCTGCGGCACCCCATTGTTCATCTTTCCCGGCAACAAGGAGGAGATTGTGGTGGTGTATGCGGGGACGCTCGATGACTTCAACGACGACTTCGTGCCCACGCAGGAATGCTGGGTCAAGCAGAGACGCAGCTGGGTAAGTGGTGTAGAAGGAGCAGAGTGTTTTCAAGAGAGCCGACCGTTGGCAAGCGGCAGGCCACATGCGACTCAGTAACCACTTCAGGGCTTATCAGTGGCGCCCAAGTTGACGTCGATGTCGACTTCGGCACAAATCGCCGCGTCGGACCTACCTCATGGTCGATCATGGACGGGTGCAGGAGGGAGTGATCGATCATCTTGAAGAGCTTGAGGAGGTTCACGCGGACCTTGCTTGGTTGTGCCACCTTGAAAGAGAGGGTGTTGTGGAGCTCATTGAGCTCAAAGTGGGAGTTAGTACGGCAAGAGCAAAGAGTTGAACGTTGGTCGAGTGGTTCTATGCAAGGAATGGAAGGCGTTGAAATACAGGCATAGAGTTCTTGGATGACCATTCATGATCTTCTTGATGTCTTTGTCATCGTATTATAGACGGTCAGGAGGAATCGTCGATGCAGCTGACGTACACCAGCTGCTGTATGGAACAATTAGCTGGCTCGACTTCGATTCCTGATATGCGTCTAAATGACCGTGGTGTCACTCCCAACAGCTAACATGAAGCTGGTCATTTATGCGCCGTCGAGCTGGTGAGACTTCCATTTCTGATATGTCGTGGATGCCCATACAGTCTCATCCTGCTACGGCAATACCACGGGTCTCTTTGGCCTCGACAAGACCCCCAAATCTGGAAATACTTCAAGCGCTCTGTCACCATAGAGTGTGCTTTAAACTAATACTTTTGCTCTCGCACGGCTTTCAACTCGGATACAGCATGGTCTTATCTCACCTCCACCCGACATTAAGCTCGTCTCTTTCCCTTCTGTAAGGCTTTCAACTCGTTCAAGTCCCATGTCGTCTCTCGTCCTGCAGCTTTGTCCTTGGCCTCAAAATAGTCCCGTGCCTCCTGGATCATGCGTGCCTGAAAGTCCGGTAGACTCTCTCCAGCAGCCCTGGCATCTTTCGTCATGTGCGACAACGTCTTCGGAAGCATGTCGTCGAGAGCAGCATTGAGGCCTGGTTTCTCCGGATGGCGACCGTAGGCACGTAGTATGTACTCGGCGGCGTGTGGGGCCACGTCAAGATTTGCGGGAGGCATCGGATCTCGCTTCGTGGAGCCATGTTGGCGCGGGACGGAGGTCGTTTCCCTGAATGGAAGGGACTGGCTGCGGGTGGCACTTCTTGATGGAGGTGACGAGCTGTCAGTGTCGCTGTCCAGTAGACTGATGACTTGACTTTGTCGTTTCGAAGGTCCTTGTTGGACTGGACCAGAGACTGCGTAGCTAGGCGGATAACACTGCTTGCGACTGGGGAATCGTAGCGGTGTCTCAACACTATCGTTGCTCTTAAGGTCGAGAATTTCGATTGCGCTCTTCTTGGGAATCTGACCGTTGGCTATGTCAGTGGCTGGAGATTGGTGAACGCGCTTGCGTTTGGGGCCCGTTGAACGACCCGCTCTTCCCTTGTTCTCGAATTTGAGGTGCCAATATCCTTGCAGCTCGTTCTCCAGATTGTTCAGCTTTCTCAGATCCTCGAGCCAAAAACCCTCGGACAAATTCGCCACGCTGGATGGGGGATGGGAGGTCCAGGTGCACTGGTCCGAGCACCACTTGCGATATGTCTCAACTTCGTTTAACACATAAGCTGCGATTTCCTTGTCGCCATCCATGATCTGCTGGTGCAGCGCTAGTAGTCCAGTGTCGCCAGCGTACCTGAGCTGATATGAAGTGTAAGCTATGACCCACTTGTCAAGCTCTTTGGCGGCCGGAGCGAGGTTATTCTGTAGAATGATGAGCATGCCACGAAGCTCGACATTTCGACAATTACTGAGGATTTCAGACGTTAGTCTGATCATTCGATCGCAGTTCCTTGGTGGGGGATGGTTCTTCGCTGTCGGAAGCGGGCCTCGGCGTTCGATGGCTGAATCTTCCATGATGAGACTGAATGAGAAGATGAGGGATAGACGATCAATCGATGGTCAGCTATGGAGGATGATGATATCTTTGTACTTCAGGTGCCGTGAACATCATGACTAAGAGTCAAAGCAGCAATCGCGTTGGCTTACTTGTAGCAATCAAGGACAAGGGATAGAGATGAGAGGCGTTACGTTGACAAAGTGATGCCAAGCGAGGCGTGCCTATGCTTCCTAACCACAACCACTGTTTCCCTGTCACAGTCACAGTCACTGCGCAACTGATCTTTTGCCAGCACTACAGAGAATTCAAGTGACTACTTTGTACTTAGCGGAAATCCTTCTTGAGCATGTACAAACCGCCGTAATTGCCTTCCGTATCCTCATAGTGTTGCATGTATGCTCGAGTTCCCTCTGGCTCTGCCTCGGTCATCTTCTTGCCTCCAGCAGCGACTACCTTCTGTACCGTTTCAGTCAATGAGGTCCACCCCAATGTGTGCATTGCTCACCTCTATGGTACTTTTCAACTCGTCTACCATGAGATAGATGACTGGACTACCCTTTCCCTGAGTTCGCAGAAAGTCCTCCGCTTGGACCTTAGTGATGCCCCCGCCGGGTGAGGTAGGCCCGAGACTGAAATGTACGATTTCATTAGGGTCTTCTTCTCGTCCGTCCATTGTTGTAATGGAGTCTCGAAACTTCCACCCAAACACCTCTTCGTAGAACTTCCGAGCTAACGCAGACTTAGCGAAAAGCCTCATCCCTAAAGGCTGAGCACGCTCTCAGCTTTCATCGCATCAAGAGCCTACCTCGAAGCACGTCAGTAGCGAAGAGATTGATCCAACACGGGGTTCCATGGGCAGGCGGTGTCCAAGATTCAGCCATGCTTGGGAAATCAATTTATTCAGATAGATCGTGATGGCCGTTCTCACCGACGTCCTAGTATCTAGTCAGATCCTGAAAGACTCCACGAGCACACAATAATGCCCCATCTTCGATGATATAACCCATCCCAGGACAACATAACGAGACGTCAGCTCGGCTTACCCCTCATCTACAATATGCGAATACGAAGCCGGTCCAGCTTTCTCGTCCTACTTGGATAGCGCGTTTCTGCCTAGAGTGCTTGTCGGACGCGTCCAGTCAACGCTAACGTGCACGCGTGGCACTCACGAAGTCAGGTGCCCCTCCCCACCGAATCGAGACTTGCAACCATTGGGCAGCATTGTTGCCGAACTCGTCTTGACATCGCTTCCCCATCTCATTTTCTCACCTACGGCAGGGACAAATGCAGCGGATGCAGCACATGAAACAGGAGAACTGCACGCAGATCCTGATCCAGTAATCATACCACAGGCTGGCTGAAATAGCCTGCTGAAAACGATGGTCAGCTAGGCGTGCTATTCTGGGGGCATGCAGACGCCTCGGTAGTAGCTTTGGGAGTAACCAGAAACGGGAGGCTCCAGGCAGTAGTGCAACCGCTGATGACGAACCACTGGGACCCTTGCACACTGGGCCACCTGGATTGGCCGATCAGCACCATTTTGTTGCGCAGCTGGTACATACCCTCTTCTTGGACATGTTGGATACCTGGCGATGTATATGTCAGGAGGTGAGAGTCGGGTTGACAGCATTGTCGCAGTGCGAGCTTTCCACAATACACCGATGAGCCGCTGACGTTTCGTTTGTCCTGCATCACCGACCCCAATCAACCAACAGGCGACCTCGCAACCTCAACCTCAGGACAGTCAAGATGGGAAAGCGAACCCTGTTCACCAACATCACCCCCCTGCCGTCGAGCGTGACGAAGGAGATTGCTATCGCTATGCTTCACAATCACGACGAGATGATCGAGCTGAATCCTATGGTTATCGAGCATCATCCCATCAAAACCCCGCGAGACGCTCCGGCGGACGAATTTCTCGACTGTGTCTGGCAAGAGTTAACAGATAAGGTGCACTACCTGCCGGGCGGCCTTGTCAAGGGCAAAGTGTCGTACAAAGCTTGCTTTCATGACCTGCCCACTGGATTGCAAACACATATCTACGCACCAACCGGGCTGGACATCAGAGAAAAGTGGACGATATGCGGCACCTTGCCCGGTGAGCCTCCCGAACGACGAGAGTTGGGATCCAATGCTCCATCATCTGGTCTCTATCTGAAAGAAGAAGGCGATATGCGGTGCAACCGGTTGCTTAGTAGCTTTGTCCGAAGGAATCTTGATGAAGCGCACAAGGTTCTCGTTGAGCGAATCATGAGGAAGGCACAGTTACTGGAACAGCATAGATCGACCTTCTCCCTGCAGAAGCGTAGCGACACCTTCTCACCCGAGAACTTTTATAACACTGGACCCTCTCAAACATCGCAATCCTCACGCAACACAACCCCCGGCGGAGGTTTTCAGCCTGGTTCCCATATGTCTCAGTCCAGAATCCTGCAATCACCGACATTGCAATCACCTGCGACAACGTCCCATACGCCTCAACGACATGCTCAACACCCCTCGTACCCTCCGCCCAGTCTCGCCGAACACCCTGCTTTCCGTAACGAAAACAACCCTGATCATTCCGCCCAACATCAAGGCCACAACTACAGCAGAAGCTGGTCCACAAACGGCTCGACCACTTACGCCCCATCGCAGGGCTCTCAACCCACCCAGAACAGTGCCTTCTACGCATCGACTCCCCTACCGCAGCAGCAAGCCCGGCAAGCAAAGCAGCAATTTGTGGCCGAGCTTCCAGGCTCAGAACCACCGGAAATGCAATCGCTGAGTCCGCCATCGGGAGAATCATCCGAGCGCGATTATCGTTACAGCGTGCTAAGCGAGCTGAGCAGCGATGTACCCGCTGGTGGCACGGATCGTGGAAGCATAGTGAGTGACCTGGCCCCGCAGCAGCAGGTCTGGCGGCAGAAGTACGGGAATGGCCATGCTGCCTACAGCGGAGCAGAATTCTCTCCGCAGCAGCAGCAACAACAGCACCAACAGCGATGGATGTGAACGTAGGTGCAGGAGATGTACTGAAAAGGACGGATGTACGAGTAGAGCCGAGTTTACATTTCGAGCGCTGGCGTTGGTCGGTATTATGAGAGCTCTTCAGAGAGTTACAGATCATATAGCGAAATTCTAGAAATCCTACGCATCCCATTCAGAGGAACGCACGACACGAAAATGTATCTAACACAGCAGAAGAAAACGGAGCGAGAATCACATGAACGCCAATGCTTCAATTCTCTCCTGGATGACCAGCTAATTACGGTCAACCCATGTGCAGCCCGAAAAGCGAACGCGACATTTTCCTCCCATTCTCGCCCGTAACTTCACTACACAAACACAACCTACCTCATCACACCTTTTCACGCCGCCCCGTTCCCGTCTCCGTCTCCTTCACCAATAATCCCCAACAACTCCCTCCGCTCCCCACTCTCCTCAACCAACCCCCTAAACACCCCGCCTCCCCTCCCCATCAACTTCTTCGGCGTGTCAAACTCCACCACCCTCCCCTCACCCAAGACGAGAATTCGATCAAAGTCCGCAATGGTGCTCAGGCGGTGCGCGATGACGATGAGCGTCGCGTCGCCAAATTCCTCGCGGATGCTGCGCTGGATCAGCGCGTCCGTCTCCATGTCCACCGCCGAGGTGGCTTCGTCGAGGACCATGATCTTGGGTCGGGAGACGATGGCGCGCGCCAGGCAGAGGAGCTGGCGCTGGCCTTGCGAGAGGTTGAGGCCGCCTTCGGAGATCTTGCTGTGGAGGGAGCGGAAGGGGTTTTTGTTGTCGTTTGTGGTGATTGTGGTCGGTGTGGCGGGCGTGGTGGCGATGGGCGTCGGGGTCTGTGTGCCGCTGGCGGGGCCGGCGGAGGCGTGCGTGCTGGCGATCAGGTGGACGCGGGCGAGCGCGTCGCGCAGCGAGGCGTCGCTGTGTTGGTTGAAGGGGTCGAGGTTGCTGCGCACGGTGCCGGAGAAGAGGACGGGGTCTTGCGGGATGATGGCGAGGCGGGAGCGGAGGTCGTGTAGGTTGATGCCGGCGATGTCGACGCCGTCGATGTGGATGGTCCCCGAGCGCGCCTCGAGGAAGCGGAAGAGCGCGAGGGTCAAGCTGGACTTGCCGGCGCCGGTGCGGCCCACAACGCCGATGCGCTGGTTGGATGTCACGCTGAAGGTGAGGCCTTTGAGAACGGGAGGCAGATCGGGTGCGTAGGAGACTACCAGGTCGTTGACTTCGAGCTCGCCACGCGTGGGCCAGGCGGCCGGTGGGGCGGTGCCGGTCTGCTTTTCGAGCGTGATGTTGCTGTACTCGACGATACGCTCCGTGGCGTTGGAATCGAGCTCAACGTTGCTGTACTGCCGAAGCATCCAGATGACAGCTTCAGAGAGGCTGAGGGCGAAGGAAAGGGCGAAGCCAGCGAGTGAGGCATCGATGCCGCGGATGGAGACGATCAGTGCGGCAACAATGGCAGCAAATACGGCGCCTACCATGTTCAGACGGAAGCCCATCCAGCGATTGAAAAGCCAGAGGTGCCAGTAGGCGCGGCAGTGAGTGTCGATGCGATGGTACATGCGCTCGATCTGGACGCAAATGTTAGCCATCCTCTAGCTAGTCAAGGACTAGGACTAGCACTTACATATGCGTCAGCTTTGTCAAAGGCACGAACAGTGGCGATACCGGTGAGCACGCTACCGAATTGCTCAAAGACTGGCGATTTGGCATTGGACTCGAGCCGCTTCACTTCTCGGGCGCCAGCCAAGTAGCGAAGCGCGTAGAAGAGGCAGGCTCCTAGAAGCACGAGAGCAAAAATGATCATAAATGCTGTCAACCGTTAGCTGAGGCCAGAACCGAGCAGTTGCGTATGCTCTGTACTCTTGCGGGATAACCTACGAGACACCACGACTCCGGCGATAACCACAGCCACAACTTGCATCGCATTGTGCAACATGAAGCTAATATCGTAGGCGATGCGACTGTCGATCATGTTGAAGTCGGACGTGAAGCGGTTCAAGATACGGCCGACTGGAATGGTATCGAGCCAGCGCAGCGGCGCGCGTAGGACAGCGTAGGTCAGACTTTCGAACAAGACTTTGGACGCACGGATCGAAGCCACCATAACAGCAAAGTAGCGCACTGTGCCGATGATCCAAGCTAGAAGCGAAATGCCGAGATAGACGCCGAGATAATATGCCAAATCGCCATCCAATTCGGTCGCCTTGAGCCTGCTGGCGTAGTGATGGATGTGGTGGCCGGTCTGTTTGACAAGGTGCACGCCGAGAGCGCTCCGATCCGCAGACTCGGTATGATATGAGCGCGTCCAGACGCTGATCCAGTACGACCGGGCCAGGTACACGAGGATCCAGATTGCGAACGCCAGCATGATCAGCGTCCAATAACTGAAGCCGCCGCAAGCTCGAATATACTCGGCGTAAACCTTCCATTTGACCGTACCAGTCTCTCGCGTCTCATCTTCGGTAAACTTCTTGGGAGGATCGGCCTGCTTCTTCACGATACCATTCTCGATTGTAGCATGAGAACGCCTTCGGGTCAGGTCCGGTGACCGTGCGGAGAGAGCGGATTCGCGGCGTGACTTTTTCGACTGGTTGGTCATTATTTTCTGCAGACCACCACCATCATCGACAGCAAGCTCCTGCTTGGCCACGTCTTCTTCTTCTTTCTGGGTCTCTTCGACATCTTGGGCGAGGATGTTGCTAAGCTGGCCGCTCTTTCGGAGCTCGTCGGTCATGCCAGCAGTGTCGACAGTACCATCTGCCAGGAGGACGCTGTACTTTGTCTTCGGTAGACACAGAGCCACGTGGTGGGTGACTAAAATTCTGGTCCGGCCCTCACACAGCTCGCCTGTGAGTGCTTTCTCATAGAGATGACGGCCAACATTTGCATCCACGGCACTGAATATGTCATCCAAGACCAGAACTCCCGCTCTGGAGTACAATGCCCGGGCGAACGAAACACGCCACTTCTGTCCACCACTCAAATTGATACCATTTGCACCAATATCGGTTTGCTCACCGTCTTCAAGCATGTCCAAATCCTTCTCCAGGGCAGCGACATGCAGGACCTTCTGGTAACGCTCATTGTCCAGTGGCAGACCAAATAGAATGTTGTCCCGGATTGTGGCGTTTTCAATCCAGGGAATCTGCGCTACGTAGGCGATGGACGAAGGAATTATCCAGTCGCGCTTTGTGGCCTTTGAATCGTACCTCTCGGCGGCCTTCGGAGGCTTAGGTACTGCAACACTTCCGCCGAGCACTTCAGCCTCGCCGATGATCGAGGAGAGCAGCAGCGACTTGCCACTACCTGTACGTCCAGAGACGACACTTAGCTCGCCCTTGGGAAACTCCAGGTTCAGGTCCCGCAGCTTGAACAGGTCCTCTTCCTCAGGCTTGTCTGATGGCCAGGAAATCGTTGCACCAGTGAACTCGACTTGCGGCCCGTCAATGAGGCGATCGTCTCGCTCAGGAGAATCGAGATATGCTTGAATACGAGCAGCACTAACCAAAGCGTCCAGGAGATCGGTGACCATCTCTGGTATGATTGCTAACGTCATTTCGATGGCTTCGAAGACGGAAATGGTTGTAAATGCCACCGAGGCAGTCAATTGCTGGTGGATGATCGCGTACACCGTTAGTGAGATGGCTGACAGCATGACGGGACCAAAGATCCAAATACTGATCAGACTTGCATCATAGATGAACACGCGCCATTGCGTGCCGAGCTCCTTTCTCCGAGTCTGTAGGATTTTCTCGTACCACTCACGCTCGAGCGCACTGAATTTGATCTGGCGGATACCCTGAAGAGCCTCAGTGACGACCGCCATCTTCTGATCGCGATATTTCATAAGATGGTCCTGTTCCGCAGCATACTTCTTTGATACCCAAATGTTCAAAGGGGTGATGATCGCCGGCGCGATGAAGCCGGCCAGCATTGGAATCCAACCGATGAGATTGACAAGGAAGGCAATGGCAAAGGTGAGTTTGATCACACTGCCCAGGAAAATGTAGTTGAACCTGCCATAGTCAGTAATGAAGGTCTCCCAAGCGCAAGGACTCGAGCTTAATGGCAAGCAGGCTGGCTGCTGAGTTTCGACGAGCACTTGAGTAGTCACGCACGGTCTCGTCGCCGCACAAAATGAACCGAATCGGGTTGACTTACATGGCAAAGTCTGATATCCGCTTGGAGTCGATTCCGACCAAGTTTATGGTGCTCTGACGGGTCTTGGCGGTATCTTCCTCCTCCTCGTCATCCTCAGGGATGGTGTCTTCGTCTTTCTTTGGCCCTGCTGCCTCATTCAGGGTGATTTCTCCGTTGGCGAGCTTAGCGTCGACATCGGAAGTTTTAGTGACCCCCTTGACGTCTTTTCGTCGGATCGCCTTCCCAAAGACTACAGCAGACAGCTGTTCATATACCGGCACACCGACTCTCATGAAAGCGACAAAGAACATGTATGCCTCGACCCAGCTAGATATCGTGACCGAGATACCAAGCCCAGCCACAAGAAGCCATGCCTTGAGTCCAACATTGATCCCTTCGTCACGCTGTTCCAGAATCTTGAGGATGAAGTAAAGTGCAATCTGCGGTAAGAAGTTCGTAATCGAGCAGATTGCTTGAAGGATCCACTGCAAAATAAAAGGCCCACGATGAGCCCAGAATATCGACTTCCACAATTTATCCTTCTTTCCGACCGCCTCGAAGCGGGTTCTCAGCGTCTCGGCACGGTTTTTATATGAGAGCTCCGGCAGGTCGGCATAGTCTAACCCACGATTGCGAATGGCGTATAAAAGGACTTCCGTAGGCCAGGAGAAGGTGAGCTTGCCCAGTACAGATACCGTGTGCTGTCTGTCAACCACTTTTTCATTCCGGTAAACGTCAGGTCGTCTAGGGATTAGTAGACTTGTGAACATTAAGCCTAGGGCAATGAACCACTGCAGCAGCGACAGCGTCAAGTGAATGTTACGAGGCAGGTCGACAGCCTCCTGTTGCCATAGTGAGATGTTTTCGACGGCGACGGCGACCAGGATCGCCAAGTACGATGCTGCACTGTAGATTCCCAACTGGTACTTTTCGGTACATTGCGGTGTAGTGTATATGACCACAGATTGGGCCAAGAGCAAGACCCATGTGCCGAATTGAAGCCACTGCTCAAGCTGCAACGAAAGCGAAGGACGTGTTGTGATGATGAATGCAAACGCCAGCGCATCGGCGGTAGCAACAGCCGATCCTAGCAAGAGCACCAGTCGCTGCACTATATCCGAATAGGATGCCTCTGATAGATCAGTAGCAGCCCCATCTTGGTCCTCATAGCGATCTGATAGTGGTTGATACTGGTCCTTTCGCTTGCGTATCCGCTGCATAAGTCGTGTCAGCGAAGGAATCGTGAGCAGCGAGACCACGGTGAGGCAGGCGATGGCCACCGCCACCGAGGCCGTTGTAGAGCCGGCCATTGCTTGAGCCTGAGGAGTAGTTGTTGCGAAGAAGATTTCAATCCTCCATGGGAGATCGACACGAAATGTGCAGAGCTCTATGCAGAGCCCGATGGTTCGATGATCGCCTCAATTCGGATTTTCGGGGCTGTTCTTTCGTAAGGTGGAGCTTGCTTGCCACTGCGGCTCTTGGTGGCGGAGAATGTAGTTTTGAAGAGAGCCGAGACAATACCACTCTGGTGCGGGACTCTAAGCAAAGATTTTGTAGTAATTAATCAGGGTTCACCGATGTTTTGGTGCTCTAATGCGAATACGGCAGGTCAAAGCATCCAAGGATCAAAGCCATAGCGGCGGAATAGTGCTGCAGTGGTTTCTGCATGATTGTCGCTAACCTCCGCAAAAGACATGCAGCTTCGTCATCATTGGTTCCTGCAAGACTTCACCTCCCCATTGGTGACTCAAAGCTGGTTCTCGTTGTGCAGTGTCGGCGAGCATGTACAGAAGTCAAGACAGTGTGAGTCACAGGGAGTCCGCATGTATGTAACATGGCACCCATTCAAGCCATTGAGGTAGCACCCAAGAACGATGGGCGTGGACAGATACGAGAAATAAACTACTCCCTCGCCCCCGTCACATTGGATATGCGGAGAGTGGGCAGAAAGTGAGAATTCAGGGTATTTTTAAGAACACTCAAGAAGAACTTTGGTCATTGCCTATTTATCTAGAATACATTGAGACGTTAATTTGAGTCGATGACGACGAGCTCAGCGTCAGCCTCTCCCACGCTTTCCACGGTTAGGATATCACCGGCATTGACCTTGCTGATGTAGGCGCCGTCTCCCTCATTCAAAACCGTCTCTCCGGCCAGCTTGATCTTGGCCTTTCCATTTTGTGTCGCTGGTAGGTGGACGTAAGTCTTGCGGTCGGTCTTGTTGGTGATGTAGTTCTCGCCGCCAATCTTGTAGTCAAATGTCTTCCCAGGCTCGACGATGCCAGCAGAGAAGATCAGATCAGCGTGAATTGGAATTGTACCCTCCAAGACAGGGATAGCAGCCTGCTCATCTTCCTTGGTGGCTTTCGGACCCGCCTTCAGAGGCGTTATGATGGGCACAAAGGCCATACGCTTGGCTTCCTCGGGGAAGGTCATGGTGTGATAGTTGGGAGGGAGGCCCCGCTTCCAAGGCATGGCCCAGATCTGGAGGAAATGGACCCAGGAGGAGTTGTGCTCGTTCTGCTCGCTGTGTGCGATACCCGTACCGCCGGTGGTGAACTGGACATCGGAGCGTCGCATTCGGTAGAATTGCTTGCTGTTATCAGATTCGGCCCCTTTCGCTTGCATGGAGTCTCTATGGGTCAGCTCTCCCGATAGGACATAGCTGAAGATTTCTGCATCTCTATGGGGGTGCGTAGGGAAGCCCTGGTTGGGGGCAACCCGGTCTTCGTTCAGCACTCTGAGAGCTCCGAATTGCTCGTTCCGAGGATCGTAGTATGATGCGAAGCTAAAGGTGTGTGCTGTCTTGAGCCAACCGTGGTCGGCATGGCCGCGTTCAGCAGACCTTCGGGGAACGATCTTTGCGTGAGTGAGGTTGGACATGGTGGCTCTGAGAACGCCAGATGGTCGCATAGAATTGTCTTGAGGTTCTGTCGGGGTGTTAAGCATGTAACTTATCACGATTGTAGCGATTGCTGTGAAGGTTGTGAGGAGAAATGACTTTTGGATGGGCCCGAGTTGCAGCATCGAGGCGGGCGAGGGTGAATAAATACTAGTACCTTGCAATTCTTCCAGAGCCGTCCAGCTGAAGCGAGAGGAATTGCTCAATGTGTATTTGACACGATTTACTCATTGCTTTGAACGAACGAACCAATCCTCGCCTGTGGAACCAGCAGCTGGCTGCGAAGGGGAAGCGCAAAGCTGCGACAAGCTGCGTCGCTGACTTGAAATTGTGTCAGCAGCTTGGAGTGACTAAAAAGACACTTATACCAAGGCGGCTTAGCGTTCGAGGTTGACGACATCCCTCCGTGGCTCTTTCCGCACTTCTTTACCAATCATTTCCTCAGCATCTGCGGTACATCGATGTGCAATATCTTCGTCAACCCTGGTGCCGTGGCCGGAAGAACTGTTCCGTGGCACAACCTACGTGGATCCGGTGTGAGGAAAGCGTTGTCGGACAGTCCAGAAGGTGGCTGCTGCATACGTTCAATAGGTCCACTGCCGCGTGCGACCTCAACCACTGTTGTGCAACTCGATCCCATGGCTTGATGAAGCGAAGTCGTTCCACATCGTCTTCCAGCGCCGCCTCCTATACTACCGCAGCAGATGACACACAAGCACAAGCTATTGTTGTAAAGGCGCCTGAATCTCTTGCACGTGGCGTTTCACCTCCTCCAATCCGGCAGAAAGCCACCTTCAAGCAGAAGGACAACTCTGATGGCAAGCAAGACTCGTCCCGCGAACCTACGACCGCTCAGGTGGAGGCTGGTCTTGTAGATGTTGACGACCATGTCGCTTTTTTCTCTTCAAAGCTTGCCACCTATACAAGACCATGTTCCCCGGACCCACGCCTTGATCATGCAGACTGGCTGGATCTCTATCATCGCAACCAGTCCTCTTATGGGCACCATTTCGTGATTCACCAGCACGACCACCCCATCGCTGGCACTCACTATGACCTACGGTTGCAGATCAACAGCACAAGCTCGATCAGCTTCGCCATCATGTATGGCCTGCCAGGTGACCCTAACTCTCGACGGCTGAACAGAAATGCCACCGAGACCCGGGTTCACTGCCTATGGGTAAGAGCACCAAGATTTCACTGCCTGAGACTCACTGCTTCGGTTGAGCTCCTCCCTTGCCTGGTTGAAACGTACTCGATGCCTCCGGAGCGCTGACACATTACAGAATCATCTTATCGAGACCGCCTCGACTCAAACTGGGAGCCTCTTGATTTGGGACAGTGGCGAGTATGAAGTGCTTGAGAAGAGTTCATCAAAGGCCACTAAGGACTCCGAGACCGATCCTGATTCTCAATCATTCAGTCCAGCCAGTACCGCATACGCATGTCTATCCGAGCCTGAGAAGCTTGCCCTAGCATTCTCACACCGCAAAATCCGTCTTCGCCTCCATGGAACCCGTCTTCCCCGAAACTACACTCTGTACCTCCGCCTAACAAAAGAAAATGACTGCAGTACGCAACCTAAAGCTCCGGCCTTCAAACGCCGCCGCAAAGTGACCATACCACCACCTGCGCCTTCCCGTTCTCGGCGCAATAGCACCACTTCGACCTCTTCAAGTTCACCTTCATCGCAACAGGAGAGTGATGTTTCGACTGCAACCCGTACGCCAGCTCACCGTCGCTTGCGTTACACCGTCTCTTCACTCAAGCGCACTGCGTCGCCGCCTCACCGAGACCGAGCTTTCGCGGCGTCGACCGCGTCTAAATTGGAGTCCATGGCATCGGAAACGACTTCAGCCCAGATATCTGTTCGTAAAACAAGCAAATCAATTTCGGAGCACACCATAGGCGATGAAGAAGCGGCAGGTGCTTCAGGCAGTGACGAGGATGAAGCTATTCGACGTAATAATGCCTACCCAGGCGCATCGAACACGGTCGGAAGCATACACCAACGCAAATGGTACATGTCCATGGACAGGACGCTTAGCGGGTTTGTACCCATTCCCACCCCAAAGGATATCAATCATCATGCGAGAACGTGGTGGATTCCGAGAACTAGGATAGACTTGGGTAAAGGAGGAAGCGGGCAGGAAGCACAGGGCGCAGAAGGTTTTGATAGATTTCACGTCCTAGGGCGCGAGCACGAGAAAAGTGTTGTTACAGGCAGGCTAGCAGCTGAGATACTGACGGATGAAGGCGTAGAAAGCTACGTGCCACGGGGACGCTGGAGAGCTGTCACTGAGTGAGGCTGATGTCTAGGTAGCCAGCACAGACCCCTTCAGAGCCGCACCTTCGTCATCGTTTTGATGTCAGACATTTTCATCACGGGGTCAGAAGTAACAATCTTCGCCTCGAGGCAAGTCAAACTCACGATACGGCACCATAGTGCTCGGTGCAAAGCCCATGAACTCGGAATTCATGGTTGTGAACACTGGCAAGCTATACCGTGCTGAGGTCGGGAATGTGTACGTTACCCCTGAAATTGGACCAGCCGATCACAGAGCCTCGACCGTTGCACAGCCCTAAGATCAACAGCAGGAAACAGGAGAGAGATGAGGGAGCAAACTCAAAGCAGAAGGGCATATGACGTGAGCGGCGCGGATGAAAGAGAACCACGCCGAATCTGGGTGTTGCTGGTTGGATGATGGGCGTCCATAGCAACCAAACTTACCGCCTGATGGGGGGGTCGGAAGCACTAATAAGCTGGCACACGACTGACTGATCGTGCTGCAGTAGCTGCCCTGAGCTTGCATAACTTTTTGCTCCTTCTGCTCTTTCGTCTGTAGCTTTTCCAAGCTTCTCATCTTCCAAAGCTCGAACTTCACGCAGAAAAACCACGTGCTTAGCAAAGAATCGAAGGTGAGTGACGATCTCATTGTTGACGAGGATCATGTCTGAGCGCACGGGTGCGGCCAATGACGCGTGTGGCGCAGAGAAGTGGCCCCCGTTGCGACTCCGCCAGCTCCCGCCATAACACGAAATGACATCCTCGACAGACATCAGCCCCCCCTCCGCACCTATTGTCACACAGTTTCCCATATTCCTGAAGATCGCTTTCTTCCAAGCTATCATCGACCCTGCCAATCCATTATCTTAGCACCAGCTCGCATTCAACCAGCCCATTGCCTCGCTAACACTCTCGCTTCATCGAACGTGCAGATCGACCTTCCCCACGTATAGCTCGACATCCTTGTCAGCTCTCAGCTCCTCCACCCCGCGAGACGAGATAGTACTCTACATTCCACCCACAAGTCAAGATGCATCGCACATATTCTATGCGCCAATCGCGCGCTCCCACCGCCTCTCAGATTGAGAATCCACCTCCTCCGACATCCTCAACCAAGGGCGGCCGACTCTTTGGCCGAGCCAACTTCGGTAGGACAAGCATACTAGCAACAAGTAGAGGGAATCACTGACACGAAGAACACAGGCCATGCCTTCCGAAAGGGAACTGCGGGTGCCTTTGGCCCCGATCTGGCGAAGAAGCTATCACAGCTCGTGAAGATGGAAAAGAATGTCATGCGCAGCATGGAACTAGTTGGAAGAGAGCGCATGGAAGTAGCGGTAAGCAGCAGCAGTGACCTTTGTAGCGAACCCGAAAGCTGACAGATCGCAGCAACAACTCTCCCTCTGGGGTGAGCTTTGCGACGATGATGTTTCCGATGTGACGGACAAGCTCGGCGTCCTGATCTACGAGATTGGCGAGCTGGAGGATCAGTTCGTGGATCGCTACGACCAGTATCGTGTGACCATGAAGTCGATCCGCAACATCGAAGCCTCGGTCCAGCCCAGCCGCGACCGAAAGCAGAAGATCACCGACCAAATCGCCCAGCTCAAGTACAAGGAGCCCAACTCCCCACGAATTGTTGTCCTCGAGCAAGAGCTCGTCCGTGCCGAAGCCGAGTCCCTCGTTGCTGAGGCTCAACTCTCCAACATCACGCGCGAGAAGCTCAAGGCTGCCTTCACCTACCAGTTCGATGCGATGCGCGAGCACTGCGAGAAGCTGGCCATCATCGCTGGATACGGTACCCACCTCCTGGAGTTGGTGGACGACAACCCTGTCACCCCTGGTGAGACTCGTCCGGCATATGACGGCTACGAGGCCAGCAAGGCCATCATCCAAGACTGCGAAGACGCGCTCACCAACTGGGTGTCCGGATCTGCAGTTGTCAAGAGCAGCCTTTCCACCCGCAGCCGAACCCTAAGCCAGCGGAGGAAGAACGCAGTCAAGCGCAATGCTGAGGGCGGCGTCGACCTCAGTGGCCAGGACCAACCCCTCAAGAGCGACCGCGACAGCTGGGTACCGGCCGGACAACACGGCGAGTACGCAGGCGACGAGGTCAGTGATGAGGAGGAAGAGGAAGATGAGGTCGCAACGGGTGCCAATGGCCAAGCTCGCGGCCGCACTGAGCAGCCTACCGCCGCATAGACCCATCTCAGCGAAAGCGGTCGGTGTGGTACCTGTGTAGCCAGAGTCGACGGCACCGTTTCAGCATGAGTTGAGTGACCGGAGTAATTGGATGATGATACCCAGACACGCAATATCGAGAAACATGGACTCCAAGCATGCGCAGGCGAGAGAAAGAAGCAGCAGCTACATGACGGAAATAATGTTGTTTGAAACCAGATCGTTATATCGAGTGCTTTCCACCTCTACTTTGCGTTGTTGCGCTCCACTGCTTGGTTGGGGGGTCAGGTACTGGTGGTGCTTCCAGGAAAACACAAGGGAGGAAAACGAGGCACGTTTGGAGCGGCCGGGAGACAAATGTAATAATTCAATGATCACCAGAATGCGCACTGTACATTCGCTTTTGTTTTTCTTCTCGGTCTCTCGATCGCTGCAGTGGCTTTGTCGCTCATAGACTGTCATCCTTGCGTTGAAGGACTAGGTAGAGCAGAGACGGACGGCGAATCAATCTGCTCAGGCATGCAGGATAGGAAACTAGGAAATGCCAGTGGCCTTGCTCAGAGCTCATCCCCCCTCCACATTCATGCTCATCTTCTACTCCCCTTCCGATTTTCCCAGAAAGTATGCATATCTACGTCTACATTGGAGTCAAGAAAGCTCTTACTTGGGCAACGCATGCCAGTAGTGTTTTAAGCGTGGGCATGATACTCGTGCAATGGAGGTGCTGGGCGATCGGGCGGATTGTGGAGGGGAGGATTCGAATATCTACGTAATCAAACTAAAAATAATATCAGGTCCGGAGGGGAGTGGGTGGAGCGGGGGGCAAGCAATGCTGGACTGGCTTGGCGCGCCGCCGGTTCCCCTTCAAGTTGGGCGCTGCTAGGCCAGGGGAGGAGATGGGGCTGAAAGGCAGATTCAACAAGAAGATGGGGGAAAGGCAAAGTGGGCGAAGCGAGTGGCTGTTTCGAGAGTGTGGATGAAGCCGGTGACTTCATTGGTCCTTTGGTACTGTTGCCGGTAGTTGTTGTTGCGTGCGCGGCGCGATGCTGCTATGGGGGCATGGGTTGTGATGGACGAGGTAGAGGGTGCGTCAGCAAATGCCAACCACGGGTAGATGCACACGGTTATTCAGAGTAAGCGGATGTATCCATGCCCCTCGAATATGCGATTACAGGTACGAAGTGCGGAACAAGATGTAATGCAGATCTGTCTATTCGTATGCAGTGCAGGCGCAGTTTGGCGGGCCAAGTCCAACTCGACACATGAAGTTCCTGTTGCAGACTGTACCTTGCAGCATCGTGGGCGAGAGTACACAAAAGACACGAGGAGTGTGATGGCAAGTCGGGAAGTTGAAGGGGCAAGCTGCTTCCTTTTGAAGAGCTGAATGAATCTCACACCGTGGAGGCTTACCCGATACGCCTACGGATCGGTTACATGTTGGTCAGCACTGTAACTGAACAAGTTGCGACCGCGTAGACCTCGCATTCTGCAGACTGTCGAGGCCTTTGTCAAAGCAGTACTCTGTAAAACCATCAAACAAACGGATCTACCACGACGCGCAAGATCTACGCAGGCTATCCACGAATCTCGCATTCGCTCCGCTGGGCATGCCCAAGGCTGAGTCCATCGCCACGAGAATACCACCTGGGGCTAGCCCTCTTAAGCATAGTCACGCTTAGCGACGACAGTTGAGACGCGCTGCGGCCGCCGACTGCGCCATAGCACTGCAGCAGCTCGTTCCCACTTCCAGACTTAGCAGTCTGACATCCATGCTACGCCATGTCATGCTTTCATATTTCTGCCAGTCCCTCCTCGTGTCTCGCCATCTCTTCTCATCCTATTCAAAAGACCGACGCACAACGCTCTTTAGCCTCCTCGGTATCAGTCCCGACATTCGCTTACCTGTATCCTAACACCTACGATTTGGATACCCCAACCTAGCCACTCACTCTCTCGTCCTAGTCGATAACCGGTCCGCCAACATGGTGCAAGCCGGCCGTGTGGCGTGCATCACGGCACCTTTCCTGCTGTCGATCGCCGCCCTTGTGACTCTCGTGCTCGTCTTCATTGCCGGCACCATGGAGGAGAATCGCACCACGGGCGATCTCTACTTCGTAAAGGTATGCCCACCACCCCTGGTCACACGGTCGACTGCTAACGCATCACTCGAGATTGACCTAACGAACCTCACCCTTAGCGCATCCTCAAATATCGCGCCAGACGCCGATGCCACTACCCTCTCAACCCTCGGCAATGCTCTCGAGGCAGCGAAACAAACCCTGGGAATGGACGACCATTACACCGTATACCTCCGCAACTACTGCAGCTGGAATGCCGACGAAGATGCGTACAGCGACTGCATCTCGCCCAAGGCATACTTCTGGTTCAACCCCATTAAGGTCTGGGGTCTGGACCGCGCCGCACTCCCCGTCGAAGATTACCTTCCAGGCTCATTCCGCAATGGCCTCGACGCCTACCACTCCGGCAGCAAAGCCATGTTCGTGCTCTATGCCGCCGCATTGGCATCCACTTGCTTCAGCATCCTAGTCGGCATCACCGCAATCTTCAGCCGCTGGGGCAGCTTCTTCACCACCTTCTTCGCCACCGTGGCCTGGGTCGCGTACGCGGCAGCCACAATCGTCGCCACCGCCATGTTCGCCATCCTCAAGGGTGTCATCGACAACGAACTGGAGGACGATTACGGCGTCGAGACCCGACTGGGAACACGCGCGCTAGCCACCTCGTGGATCGGCACTGCCTTTGCCGTCGGCGCTGGTTTCTTCTGGTTCCTCAGCGTCTGCTGCTGCAGCGGCCGGAGTCCGTACAACAAGAATCACGAGCGTGGCCGGGGCAAGACTCGGGCGGAGAAGACGCCCTATACCTACGAAAGAGTTGGCAGTCCGTACATGGGACCCAGTGCCGGCCAGTCAGTACCTTTGGGCGCATATGGCGGCGCGCAGCCCCAGCAGACCGGGAGCGCATATGAGCCGTTTAGAAGTCGTGTTTAAATGAAATGGATGCCATCAGGAAAGCGGGATCAAAGGAGAGAGGAGCAGGAATGATGGCTTCCTCGATCGGCCTCAACCACAAAATCGTGGAATGTGGGCTCGGGCCTTGGATTATTTGCGTTGTTGGCATAGAGCGGGCGTTTTTACGAGGCAGGGCGTCGGCCGATTCACGATACACTCACGCTCAGCCATGCATGCATGATACTAGTATGACCCGTCTTCAGCATCTAAAAGAAAAAGCTGTGACGGAAAAAGAGAGCGCGAGTGAGAGATATGAAGTGTATAAAGTAAACTTTTCACCACCAGACTCGACCTTTTGATCTCGACTTTTGACACCCTTCGAAACCCCTCGACGCCGCTCCCATGTTCTGAAGGCTGTCACTGCCGTTCCTCATCTCGTGTACCACTCTATGTATGTATGGATGTATGGATGTTATGGCCTTGACCTGCCTGCCCATCGGAAAGCTGCCATCCCTGGCCCTCCCTCTAGGAACCGACCACACCGTTGGAATATGCGTCCCGTTCACGGAACATCTCGCGCTTCAAAGGTACACACACACAAGTGCTCACCGAGGGACGAATACCGTTCGTTCATTACGGACTGGTTACCTCCGAATTGTTTGACTCGGGCGAGATGGCCGACTTGCTGTCTGCTGGCGGCCTACCTCGCCTCTACACACTCTCGGCATGACTCCAAATCCATCCCCATTGCGAGACCGATCGCGAACACGGGCACATTTTCCAAAACAGGTCTTTGTAAGAAACGTCCTGTCCCGAGCGAGAGAAACTACGGCGTCTTCACGTTCCTCAGCAAACGTCACTCATCAGTCCCCCATCCTCGCCGTTGTTCCCCTCCCTCTCCCTCCTCGTCCTCTTGACCCTCGTCCTCGCCCCCGCCCCCTCCCCCTCCCCCTCCCCCTCGCCCTCGACCCAGACGCAGCTCGGTAGGCCTTCCTCCTCGCCGCAGCGGCCGATCCTCCGCCCGCAATATCGTCATCATCATCGTCCTCACTCTCCGGCACCACCACTTCTTCGTCTTCGTCATCGTCACTCTCACTTCCACTCTCAGACTCCGTCCCCGCCACCATCCCCTCAAAGTCCGAATCCATATCCTCCGTCTGCTCATTCATTTGCACGGCCACCTCGTCCACATCCATGGGATCGAACCCATCGCCCTGCGTCCCCCGCAAGCTGGCGCGCGATTTGTCGCTCTGCAGTCCGCCCTTCTTTCTGTTACCGGCACGTCTCCTCGCGGGCGCTGGGCTTTGACTAAGACTACTGCCGCCGTCGTCATCTGGCTGCATTCTCGCCCTGGTCTTCTTCGTCTTCTTCTTTCTTTTGGCCTGGCCTCTTCCTCCAGCGCCACGACTCGCTCTCGCCCGCGCCACCACCGGCGTATCAATAAACGCCTTGCTCTTGGCGCTCTGCTCGCCTCGTTCCCAGAATTGGTCGGCCACCGCAGCAGGGTACTCGTAGTCGTACAGCAGTTCCTCGCCCGCCTTGATGTCCCGCTTGGCGAAGAGACCGACCCGGTGTTGGCCATTACAGAGCACGGTGTTCCCGTATACATTGATGTTGCGATCCAGTTTCGAGTTGTTCATGAAGCGTGACTTGTTGCCAAAGTTATTGGCATCAATCTGTTGCTCAGCGTTCAGGTTGAAGAGATACTCCTGACCAGACAGAGAGTACATCGCGCCACGCCGGTCGCTCTCCGTTTGGCTGATCACCTCGCCCTTGTATTCGTGGATGAAATCGCCTTTCTTGAGATCCTCGCCAGCAAATAGTCCATAACCTTGAACTTCGCTGGGGGCCTTGATGGTGCGCGCGGGCAAGTCCAGCTGGATTCGGTTGTTCTTGCAGCGGCCGATGCGCATTTCCGGTTTGTATTTGTATGCTTGGTGGAGCACCGTCTCAACACCACAGCTTTTACACAGCCCGGGGTCACATTCGCGCCCAGCGTTCCAACATGCGCAACCCTTGTCACCACAGACCTGTCCAGGGTTTATGGCACAGTTACAACCGCGGAAAGCCCGTTCGCAGCTTGCGTCACACTTGCATCTGCGCTCACACGAAACCTTTTCCTCGGCGCAAGTGCATTCTGGGTTCTCTGGCGTACATGGTCCATCGTGATCGCAAGGAAAAAAAGCCTTTCTCTCCGCGACCCGGCGGTTCATTGAGAGATCTGGCTTGCTGTGTACTTTGGCCCTCGAGACTTTCTTAGAGGACGCACCATCTAATGCAGCTGCTGAATGAGGTATCTGACGGATTCGAGCCACCATCAGAGCGAATATTTCTGTGCATTTGTGTTTCGGAAGCCACTCGCGTATCATGCATGGACTTCTTTCATTGTCTAGGAAAAGACGAAGGTTTGCTGCGAAGACTTCTTTCTCGGACGCTGAGAAATCAGGCATGTCCTCGGTCCGTCCGGCTACATCCCAGAAACAATTAGCGGAGCACATCTTGTCATCGGCCAAATAAGGGGTTGAGGCCTTGATCTCAGGGTTTAGAAAGCCACTGACACCACCCGTTGCCTGCCGGCCTTTGAATTCCGATAGTCGGAGCGCTGGAGTCTGGTCGACGTCACACCACAGTCCACAGATATGTCGATCTTCGCGAAGGTGAGTAGGGAAAGTTGAGTATGTCCATCGCTCGTTATTAAATGATTCGGCATCGTTGAGGCGTACATGTCCAGATTTGACCTCTTCGGGTTCCGGATGGCCTTGTATCTGCCACCACTCAACAAAGGCTCCATGAGCGGAGCATCCGTGCAAGCCACACGCAAGACAGATCTGCTCAACCGCCTCTGATTCATCTTTAAGCTCTTTATCGAACATTGTCTTCTTGGGCATGAGGAACACTTCAGATGGAACAAGCGAGACAATATGCCACAGACTAAGGTTGCTGATGGCATGGAAACAGTGCGCCGCCAATGCTGCTTTAGCCAACACCCTGGACTGAGGGGCAGTACCCTCGTGGCGATGTTCAAGACTGCGGAACTCAAGGTCTGCCGGGAAAGAGATGTGGCAGGTATCGCATGGTATAGTTTGCTCCTTCACACAGGACTTGATTGTGTCTTCAGATACGCCGAGGTCGTTGAGGAGACGCTCCGTCTCCGCACCGTCTCTCAAATAGTAGTAGACCACGTCCGCTGGGGTAATATCGAGCTGCTTAAGCAACTCATCAACAAGCTTGGCCCAGATGTCAACAAGCTCTGCGCAAGCTCTTTGTCCAGCAATGGAGGCTGATATGGAGTGATAATCATGGTACCGTTCACTGAGCTCTTGATATTTTGCATTCAAGTCTTCTGGCCGTCTCCCTTCGTCATCTTGAGAGTACGGATGATACTTGCCGATTGTTGTGTTCTGTGCAATGACCGCTGGCCCCAATCGTCCAATGCTTTTGGCTTTCGGTAGACTGACGACTGGCGACTTTATGTACTGGACGGGCGCAACGAGCGACTCCCACTTCGTGGATCCCTTTGCCTTGGAGAGCAGTCTGCATTCGCCGCTTGTGTCTTTTTTCGCTATAAGTTGGGCAAATGGGCTACTGATGGAAGGTTCAACCTGCGCTCGAGGCTCGGTCTTGGAGTAGTATTTGCTCGCACGCAGCGCTGTCTTGACGGTCATCTCCTGAAAATCGTCCAGTTGCTGCTTGAGACCGCCCAACAGCCTCTCAAAGTCAACAACATCAAGAGCGATATCAGACTGAAGGCCTTCGGACGATATGGGCAAATCCTCCGGCTCGTCCTCTCCGAGGAAGTCGAATAGCACATCTTCGATAGTTCGTACCTTAGCCTTGCTGGGCTGAGCGAGAGTAGTAGGGTCTTTCGGCTCGACATCATCGTTAACGAGCGAAGACATCCTGCTGAGACTGGTGCTACTCTGGCGTGCCTCATTGTCCGAGGAGTAGTCGTATTCTACATCGGTCGGTAGTGACGGTTTTCGCGCATATTGACGACCGACGTCTTGCAAGATCTCCGAAAAGCGGTCGTCACCCTGGATAGTGTTGGATGGGTTATTGCTGATATTGTAATCACATCTGTAATTGAATCTGAGGCAGCTGGCACAGGGCTTTTGACCATCGCAGTCCTCTTCTTCTTCCCTGCAGTGATTGCATTTGTTGATGATAGAGACTGACCTCGGCTTCGGTTGCGCACCTTCAGGTCGACTGACATCGCGAGGGCCGGGCTCTGGTTTGTTATGAGACGCGACAACGTGAGACAATCTGCTCTGACCAACTGAGGTAGTTCTTGGGGCTGATCTGCTGCCTATGGTTGCATTTGGTGACAAGAAAGGTCTGGGTGTCATGGGAGATGACATATATGTGTTGGTGTCCTTCGCTTTCGGGTTGGAGGGGAATGGATTAGAGATCCTGGGCCAACCTGCATTTACTGCTGAAGAATGGGCTTTGACAGGTAGTGAGGTTTTCGACACTGGTTTGTCTAGGTCGTCATCGGACAAGACGAGAGGGTCGACTGCTGAGCCTTCTGCTGTTGAGATAGGAGCTCTTAACGGTGGGAGACCCGTTGTTCCGCGCCACTTGGAGGGTCGCGACCCGGATGTCGCACTTGTATCAAAAGATCGAGACGCAGGTGTTCTTGTAGCACTTCCAGGGCTATCAAAAGTGGCCGTCTGTCTGCCAGATAAATGTCGTGGAGCTGAACTGGGAGTTGCAGTCCGAGGTGCTGTCGGTTGACGGTCAGGGTCAACGGGCCCGGTCAGGTCAATGAAGTCATATTTCTTGTTGAATGCCATACTGCGAGACAAGCAGTGGAGCACTCGCGGTGCCCTGCCCTGTCATGCGGACAGAGTTTGGCGAATGCAAACGTTCCTTGGGGAATGATGGAAGTGGAGATGGGATGAGAGAGGAGCAGAGGACGCTCCTCCCAACGCGTCAGGCAAACGCGCTTCCCTGTTCTTGGCATTCCACGCCAAAACTCGATCGCTAGTTGCCTCGTCGCCTCGCCAGACGGGTCTGACTAGTCTGACTCAAGATCCAGGAGCCGTACTACGTGCTTGCGTGATAAAGAACCAGGACGAACACGTCTCTATATTGGTGCACGAGCCCGGCGGATTGCGTCAAGTCTATCTCGCGTGCCCCGGCTCACGCATAGGACAGGGTCAAATTCCTTGAGACCCTCTTGTCCGACCACTGAGAGCGCTGCAAGTCCTGTGTATGCATGCAGCAAGTCTGGCACAGCCCCGGGAGTCTTAGAAAACCCGCCGATGAGGTGTTGTGTACTGCCAAACAAGTATGTTTTCAAAGCCTCAACGCCCACCAGACTCTCCCTCCGCAGCAAGGCCATGGCGCCTACGTTCCAGAAGCAATAGCACGTATCCGCCATCTTATTGCAGCGTCCACTGAATCCGGCCGATATGTGAGGTGTAACTGGCGTAGAAGCTTCCTCGTCATCGTCCGCGTCCTCATCGTCGCTGTCTTGATCGTCAACCCATGTTGTCTGTCGCTGCAGCATCCAACCCAGATTTGCGTCGAGCTGCAGCAACGGCGAAAGAAAAACGCTTCTGTCAGAAGTTTCAGAGCCGTAGATGCGGTCAAGACACCCTAACGTCGCCATTGCACAGAAATTCAGTCCTGCATGAGCTTCGCGCAGCCATGCCTGGCCAAAGGCGCCTTCAGTGTCCTGACAGTTTGACACGTACCTGAGTACCCCCTCTTTGTCCAGCCATTGTTCATTGTCGGTCTCGGACCCAAGAATGTAGATGATTCCGGCAGCACAATAGGAGCTCCTCAGGTCGTCTTTGCCGAGTGCCACATTATCCTCCCCAACCATTTCCCCAAAACAACCATTGGACTTCTGTAGCTGCTTCACCCACCGTAGGCATTCTGTCCTCTTCACTCTTCCCAAGTCGTCGCCTAAGACCAAAAGGGCAACGAGGCCCATATAAGTGTTGTGAAGGTTCGCAGGGTCCCAGTGGAGATTGAAAATGTTTCGCTGGCTGCCCAAATTGGTGCCAGAGAAGCCTCTGAAGCCCCCAGAGGGCACCTGGAGTGAATAAATCCAATCTATCCATGCGATCCGCTCCTCTTCTGATACTAGTGTATCGAGGACGCCTAGAAGGTCGAGGGCAGCAACGATGAAGAAGCCCAAAGACATGCGTGCTGCATCCCCAGAGGTGTAGGCTTCTGGTAGTAGATCTGCATTTCGCTTCCAGTACTTAATATGCCGAGCCTTGTCGAATGTTGGATCATTCCTGGGAGACATGGTGGGTTTTGTGCAGGGCAACAGTCCGCTAGCGTATAGCACCAATGTTACTGGATGCACTCTGCATTGCCTGCGTGTGATCCACCCACCTTGGTCTGGGATGTCGACCTATACACAGTAGGCTCAGACGATATTCAGAAAGACTACCGACGTGAGCAGTAAGACGCGACGTCGTGACCTACAGTAAGGTGATCCCGCTTGAGGCTTGGCATTTCGGCGCGCGCCTTTTGTATGGTACGCGGGAGGACGGAGACTGACCACTGACCAGGGTACCCGGCTCCTAATCGTCTTCTGTCCCGCAATCTTGCGCAATGTTCCCTCCCTGATGGCTCTGTTAGCATTCACTGCTTTTAGCGATACTATCGATTCCGTACCTATGCGTTCCAGCCTCGCGCTTTCCGCCGTCTTACTCTCGGCGCCCTAATGTCAGACACCATCACCGTGCAACGAGCCTTACCCACTCAGACCAGACTCCAGAGGGATGCAAAACTCAAGAACAAAAGCAGAGCAGCAGCTACATAAAGCGAAACTCGCCAACAGCTACCAGCAATTGCTGAACCAGTTTGAGAGCAAAGACCTTACGCATGTCGGCAACTACACCGTCGGCCGACTGGTGGGGAAAGGCAGTTTCGGCAAGGTATATCTTGCGCGGAACGATCTCATAAATGGCTCAAAGGTTGTGCTGAAGGCCTCGAGTAAGGAAGATCATAATCTGGCAAAAGAGGTCCATTGGCACCGTCAATTCGTACACCCTCATATCGCGCGACTATACGAGGTCATAGTCACCGAACTCAATGTATACCTCGTCCTCGAGTACTGCCCCGGAAACGAACTCTATGACCACATCTGCCGTCACGGGCCTCTAGCCGTCGAGAAGGCCCAAAAGATCTTCACACAGCTCGTTGGAGCCGTCGCATACATCCATTCCAAGTCCTGTGTCCATCGCGACCTGAAGCTCGAGAATGTGCTACTTGACAAGCGCGATAATGTCAAGCTCATTGACTTCGGCTTCACAAGAGAATATGAGGGCAAGGCCAGCTACCTGCAGACCTTCTGTGGTACTGTATGCTACAGTGCACCGGAAATGCTCAAGGGCGAGAAGTACGCCGCCGAAAAGGTCGATGTCTGGAGTCTGGGCATAATTCTGTTCGCGCTGCTAAAGGGCGAGTTGCCCTTTGACGAAGACGACGATGCTATCACAAAAGAGAACATCCTAAAAGAAGATCCGAAATTCCCAGACACGTTCCCGGAAGCTGCAACTACCCTGATCCGGAAGATGCTGTCAAAACGGTCGTTCCACCGGCCAACCCTGGCGGATGTGCTTGCCGACCCGTTTCTGGTTAACGACGCCCCAGCGCAACAAGCAATCCTCAAGCTCTCACAACCCGCGCCTTTCACGACAGAGTTGGAAAAGCACACCCTGGAACGGCTTAAGTCCGCGGGTGTTGATATCGACAAAGTCATCGAAAGCGTCCTGGCGCAACGTTGCGATGCTCTGGCAGGATGGTGGACCCTTCTTTACGAGAAAGAACAACGTAAAGAAGTGCGGCGAGAGAAGAAACGCAAGGAAAGGGATGCAGAAATGAAACTTTTGCGACGTTTGAGCGGCGCATCTGGTAGATTCAGTACCACTCAACCAACTCTCCCTGAAGTGGACGAAGAGGGTGCGCCAGGTCATCAAACGAACGGCTTGCGCACTCGGAGCAACAGTAGGGGCCGAAGAAACAGGCGCAGCACACCGCAAATCCTTGTTAGCGACTTGCCGCAGCTGCCAGAGGGCAGCCCAATGTATTCTCCGGGTGCTATGACACCACCCAAACCCGTCGACAAGGACAGTATCCGATCCCGAAGCACCTCGCGGACGGCAAGGCCTCCTCTCCCGCCCAAAAGCGCGTCACGAGAATGGAAGCGACGAAGCTCAAACCTGCAGTTAGTCACCTCAAATTCCGATATGCTTGGTCCGGCCAATGGAATCAATAAGCGCGGCGGTCAGACGCGAGCTGGCAGACAGAGAAGAAACAATCAGTTTCTCAACCAGCTCTCTAATCTCAAGCATTGGTTTGTCGAGTCCACCAAACGAGCCAGAAGCCCGTTGGGCAAGCTTGACTCTCGAGGTTCAGGCTCACAGAAATCTCCTATCAGCTCCAAGATAACCCTCACCCCTGACAAACAGAGATCGCAACCTCAACTCTCTCTCCACACACCTCTGAGCCCGGGCGAACGCCCAACACACGACCGCGCTCTTTCCGGCACCTCCAGTGTTATGACTCGCAACTCCTCCTACGGCAATACTTTGACACCTGTCACTTCCGCAAATCAGGTTAACGGCGTGGCCAAACTCGACACCTCCCGGCATCATCAAAAGACTGGCTCAAACGGTACACGCGCCTCACTTTCCCCGTCTCCTCTGACACCCCGTGGCTCTCAATCCCGCCGCCTTTCTTCCGGCCCTGGCCTACGAGGTCGCAAATCAACCTCGTCCTCTGTGTCTTCTATTCGCAGCATGCCCCGGCACGCGGGCCACAGTAAGGCCTCCTCCCAATCCAGCAACAGTATGGACACGATCCATTCACCCAGTGCCAGTCGTACATCTTCTCTGCTTCACCACACTTCACGCTCACCACACCATTCTCTCAAAGTTCTGCCCGCTGGTCCTGTCTTCAGCTCTAGCGGCCGGCTGGTACGTACCGGTGGCGATGACGCCTCTTCTGGACATTCAAGCCAAGCTCCGATATCTAAATTCAACGAAGCGATGATTGGCTCGAATGCAGGCGGCGTCATGTTCGCACGCCGCAAGAAGACGGCGTTTAAAGGGCCGAACCTGAGTGCGGGACTGTTTGGCCAGAGTGTAACTGCGCCGCTTGGAAGCCCAGCGATCTTCGGCCGGCAACGTGAAGGGAGCGATGGCACCACGAATCGGATTTTTGGGCGCAGAAAAAGCGGAAATGCTGTCGGTGCGGCTGTCGCTGGCGCCGGCGCCGGAGCAGGAGCAGCGACTCTCGGCATCCCTGAAGAGCAAGAAGAGACACCGGGCAAGCGCAAGAGTGTTATCGTCGAGGAGGACGAGGAGGAAGAGGAAGCTGCGATGAATCACCACAGCAGCAGAAACAGGCCGGCGCATGCGCACAGCGGCATCCTTGAGGAAGAAGATGAAGAGGAGGACGAGGACGTTGAGGAAGTCGACACCTTTGACGAACCCGTGCTCCACCCTGGCGAACGCTTAGACTCCATCACCTTCATTGAAGATCCTCCCGTTCTCGGCAAGGACATTGGTGCCGGCCTTCGCAAGTATTCCAGCCAGGCGCTTGTTATGAGCCCCGCCGAGACGCCACTAGAAACACCTAAAATCAGCATTGATGGCACTGCCGGCACCACAGGGCCCAACAGCCCGGGCACTGCCAGCGAGATTGGTGTCGGCCAGAGCGCCAGTACGCCCAGGCTGGACTTGGGAAGGGAGTGGTCGAAGTGATAACATACGAGGATTTATATGAAGGTTGTGCGCGGACTGGCCCGCCCCATGTGTTCTATGGGAAGGTGCTGATAATTTGTACGACTAAACTTCCTTTCTTTGCTGGCACAGATCTCTCTGACTGAAAGGGGACCGTCAGTTCCTCGTTTCAGGTCAGTGACCGTGCCGGCTTTGGAGCGTTCCAGCGTTTTGTATATAGCCAGCCAGCCGATCGGTCGGTGGGTCGGTGGGTCGATTAGCCGGCTCGTTGTTGTTCATGTAGAAGAGCGTCGTCCATCGAGACGGAGTGGGTGAATGGCATAGGTAATCTAGTAGTGATGGTGAGTAAAGAGGAAACGGAGTATGACGGGTCGAGCCGATCTGTACGATTAGATGATTTGGACATGCTACGTGCACAGTGCACAGTGCACAGGGAACCTGCAGCTACAGTCTACAGATGAGGGCGGAGATACAGATGAAAGGATGAAAAGATACCTTGGGACTTTTGAGACAATTGAGTTTTGTCACGTTTTCTATTCTTGATCTTCAGGACGAATATCGCGCTCGCCTGCAGGCTGCAAGATGCACCACCTCGTGGCGCGGCCGCTTTTGGGAGGCCACAGAGTGACTGTGTCTGTCTGTCAAAAGCTCAGATGAATCCTTCTGAAACTTGCAAAGCTTTTCTGATCATCTCCGGCTGGTTGGCATGCCGTACAAAATCACTCGGCGGTTGTGGTGTTGGGCGTGCGAGACAGTGCTTGTCATCATCACCTGTTCTTCTCCGTCTCTCGACAATATTGCTATCATCGTTTCTTTGATTCCCCCCTCATAGCCTGATTGGTACAGCGGCTTAATCGTCGTCCAACATAGCGACGTGAAGTCCGGCGTAGCGGCTTGGTCTTGTTGGCGTCTCCATCACACTGGCGGTTCGGCTGCGGATAGACAAGGCGCGGCGGGACTCTGCGACGATGAAGCAATCTTCATCATCATGCTCGACCATGTACCAGTCTCCATCTTCGTCCTGGTTTTGAGACTCGGTTTGAGTGGTGGTTGCAGGCAGTTCCGGTAGAGTGAGGTCCACCAGGATTGGACTTGAGGATCGCGATCGTGCACCGCTGTTGGCTGAGCTTGGGCCATGAGTGACAGCTGGCGAAACCTCCTTAGGTAAATCTTGAACAGCCACAGCTGTGTTCATGTTGTCAGTCGTGGTGTTGTTGATCTCAAGATTATCAGGCTGGCTCGTCGGCTCTGACTCTGGTGTAGTATGTGTAGGACCTGGCTCTAGCGCTGAGAGAGCAACGGGTACGGTATGACCTGAGCTTCTTGTGTAGGTGTACATGTCCAAGTTGAGCTGAGCATCAATGCTGGCCTGTTCTTCCAGATCTTGTTCAATTTGCTCGTCAAGTTCCATACCCATTGACATAGAAGCATTGCCGGTGTCCTCACTATCCTCAGTGTGAGCCGGCTGAGTTCTGATGTAGGTTGAATACTCGCTCAGGGCGCACACATCAACATTATCGTCACACTCATCATCTTCCGTAAGGAGATAACCTGCACCAGTAGAGAAGGGTGTCTCGTGAGTTGTAATATGCGGAAGCACCGATGTCGCTCGGTCTGAGCGAGCGCGAGGTTTGCTATCTTCAGGAAACAGAATATCGGCAAAGGCTTCCCACCTAACAGAGTGATAGCGCCATTTGAAACCTGGAATCTTGAAGGAGGTAACAAGTGCGCGAAGCACAGTCTCTCGCCAGTCTTTGTCAACGTCTTTGAGGAACTGTACAATGTTAGAGTAGGGCAAGCCTCGTCATACAAGTATCTTACAGGGTAAAGCTCTGCACTCGCCGTAGGCGTGCACTCTTCCATGCTATTCAAAGTGCCTAGCAGTTCCAATGCGTCACTTGTTGATAGATTGAGAAGTGGCGGGCTGCTTATCTCCCCCCATAAGAGGAACTCTCCACGGCCATCATACTTGTTAGGCAAGTCATTCAGCCCATGTTTCCTACAAATAGTTTTTACCAAGCGTGGTCGAATGCGACTGGTGGGATGACTTTCTCCCTCGTCATGAAGATCGTTGTACAACCAGACAGCAAAGTTGCATGGTGTTGCTGCCTGACTAATTCTTCTTAGTGCAGACCGTGCAAACTCTGTCGTACTGATGAAAGGTGATTGATAAGTCGGCACTCTCAGGAGATGTGGTAACACTTCTGCCTTAAATGCCGCACTATTAACGCGCGGTGGCTTGCTGACACCTGTAATGTTCTGGAATCGGCGGGCTTTGAAGCCTAGATTAGGATCGTGGGCTCGGAACAAGAGGACAGGGTGTTTCTTAGAATATGTTCCAGCGCTATTAAATTTGGAGTCAAGCTTTGGGGAGCTGCGGACATTGGCCAAAAACGTCTCAGGCGATGGCGTGCGTGGCGCGGCCTCAAGAGGGGGATAGGAGACGGTAGGAATAAATACACTCCGAAAAGAAGCTGTTCGGGGCTGGTCAGGTAAGGGTGGTGGCGAATCATCTGGTGGGTTCTGAATATGGGTCTCCGTGAAGACATGGTTGCGTTGTCGATGAATGATAGGTTCGGTCAGGTTATTTAATGAGACGTTATCAGCATTTGGATTGAAGACAAATTGATGTAGTGATGGACGATTAGGGTTAGGCAGTTCCGGTCTAGTTGATTCGTCTTCGGTTGAGACGGTTGAGGGACTCCAAGCATCACGGGTGACAGCGACTTGAGCTTGATCTGATGATGATAGTGGTGTTCGGACGGACGGAGCCTCAATTCGCAGCTCGAGCTTGATGTGAAGTTCTTGGGCTGCGTTCTCGATTTTATCCTTCTCGATGCGGTAACGAGTTCGCAAGACTTTGAGAGCTGTACCCATGACTCTCATCCACACGGGATTCTGCTCCTTCTTGAGATTGTATCTCTGCGTCACGAGGGTATTGATTGGCATTGACCCGTCGGGGAAACCCTCCGCCAGTAGAATGGTCTTATTGATATGATTCCATATCTTCAGAAGCGTTGACTTCTCGTTCCCGTACAATCTGTACAGTAATGCGAGAACGATTCGATCGCCATCTGTCCAGGTATGGCGAGAAGCCCTAGCTCGTTGAATATTTGACGCCATACTGTTGACTCACATGGGGACGATACAGTGTTAGTCAGTGCCTGACAGGTCTCGCTCGACTTCGTTGCACACTTTTGATAATAGTTCAGCGTGGCGGATGTAAGCCAAATTGACAAAGTCGGCAGACGAGGATGCCAGGCAATCGTTAAAGACACGGTGGCGAATGTCGTGGCGAGCATGGCGCTTCGCTGGTGCCTTGCCAGCCACGTTGGGAAAGACTAAAGACAACGGCCAAACGATGTTCCGGCGCATGGGAAGGTCATGGGAAGGTTATGGGGCGGCTGCCTGATTTTCCATCCAGGTTCATGGCTGAGCTTGACACGGAACGAGAAGGTCATAGCAGCGAGGTCCCGGTTCGCAACAATACAACGGGATGCCAGCTCACAAGACATGTCGCCAGTTTTATGACTGAACATAGACAATATTTGCTCTCTGGAACAGTAAGTGGAAGATAACGCTTACCTATACATCTGCCGCCCTCATAATACTGCATCTGCCTTCACTCAAGCTTCTGCCGACCAACATTAGGGCATGTGCCATGTGATAGTTCCAATCAGTCACCGGTCAAGAGTGGGAACTGGACTCATCTCTCCTTCAGCTCATGGAAGTCTCAGAGTACTGACAACGAAGCCACGTGAGTCTCTGAGCTGTTTTCGAGCATAGTCGAGCCGAAAATGCACACCAAGGCTAGCTCGTGTACCTTCTTTCCGGCTGGGGCCGCCAACAAGATGAGAGGAGCACGACTGGTGCAGTACGTCTGACTCTTGCTCACAAATTTGCCAGATCAAAGTGGCCGAAGCTGACTAAGAGATATACACGACAAAGTCGGATTCCGGTACCAGCCACTTCAGAAGCTCACGTTGACTCATTAATTGCTGAGCCGAATTTGCTCTGCTTTCCTTTTCAATGATGCTCGTATGATCGACAAGACCCGACGTGCTACCGTGGAACTCTTGTCCTCCTTGGTAGTCCAGTGGTCCATTCAAGGGTGCTGCTAGTGACTCGGCCCGAGCATGAGCAGCGAATCGACCGCAGTAGCCGTCGTCCTGTTTCTCACGTCCATGAGTTACAAGTTGTGTGACCCCCTTTCCTAAAGCGCGGATCAAGCTTGATGCGATAACAAAGAAAATCGTCCGAGCTGTGTATTGAAGGAAGGTAGATCATCGACGAGGTTGTATCTACCTTCAATCTCGGCGCTTGGCGTGGACCCGTGCCAAGGGCTGGGGATACGGATGGCTATCCGGAGCACTTGCAGCCCAACGCGAACTACTGGTCATTGCATTAGGGTCATTGGTGAGAAAAGCTTGAGTTAATATCATGGCAGTCAGTGAACGGAATGCTCGATAGGTCTCAGCAGTCTCCTATGGGACGAATCGCAGGCATGGGACTACCTAGAGACTCGATACTCAGAACAGAGCTACTCACTGCAGGACAGCCTTCCCAACCAGCACCACGTCCACTCGATGTACTTGATCAGATGCAGCACCTTATCATGGAACACAATCACTGGTGAATGACCTTTTCAAGCCTAAACCCATCTGGTCACTCGACATTCCAGTCCCTATCGTGGAGCGCACGCGCTCCTTCTTGCACAGGTGACCAGCGGCTCTCATCGAAGTGTCCTTCGGGCGGACATAGCGGTGAACTTCGCAATCGTCAGCAGCAACCCTCAAATGATCGCTGATTTCGTTTACAGCCGTTCTAAGGTGCGGTTGGAAGCTCAAAGGGCTACTCAATGCAGGTCGACAATTGTGGCTTACGTGACTTCTATATTCATGGTGAGAGAAACAATTGTGTAGTAGTAGTCAGCTCCAAGAGATCTTGCAACCATGAACTACCCTTCACTGCAGGGCTTGGTGAGACCCAACGTCAAGATACCTGCTCGTATAAACGCGGAGTGGTTCTACGCCTTGTTTGCATGGCTGTGAGGCTGCCGGTTGCGAGGAGTCGCACTCTTGGCGACAGGATTGGCGCGCTCGGCGCGTTTTCCGCGCCAGTTACAATTGCCATTCTTGACCACCACCTTCCCCAACCATGCTCGACAACCTGTAGTGGCGGTGTCAGCATATTATTGCATTCATGGTCAGCCCCGAATCCACGCAGTTCCTGACCGATCTGCTCGGGAAGACGTTGCACATTACCGTGGTAGATGGACGGCTGTTCACGGGTGAGCAAGAACTCTGTAGCAGTACGAAAGCATTGACGACTAATTGGGCCGATGTCTGTAGGCTGCTTTAGATGTACCGACAACGAGACTAACGTCGTACTTTCGAACACATTCGAGTATCGCAAGCCTTCGGCGAAGGAAGAAGCCAAAGCCATAGAGGAGGCGGCTCAGTCAGGCAAACCTGTGAAAGCCGACATGACATCTAGATTTCTCGGATTGGTGACTGTCGGCAAAGAACAGATCGTCAAGATCGAGCTCGAGGAACGCAGGACAGGTGCAATGTTGGAGGGAAGTCTTCCAACAAGGTCTAAGGGGTGAATAGCCGATATTATTGAAGCCGGGCGTAGAGGCTTAGAGCGTGCCAAGTGCCTCAAAACAAAACGGGGGCCCAAGCCTCAGAGCGTGTCGAGATTGTCGCACACCCATGCGGGTGCTGACGTTTGACCCATGACGTCCGAGACGCTAGGCTGATACCTAAAGAGATTATATGAGAATAGGCGGTGCTCCTTTGACAGAGTGACAGCCAGCCATATTATAACTCCCTGGCAAGGACATGCAGGCGGAGGGCTACCGGGGCGGGCGGCTCGCGGCTTCCTGGACACCGCGCCAAGAGGGGCGCCTAACAGCCTAGCCCAGTCGCTCTAGAACACCCTCTTTGAGAATCTAGTCATTCTTGTCATAGGACAAGCGAATCGATTATCTCCAGCACTATTGCACCCGACCGCCACACCTCTTGTATCTCTCCTCCGAAATCATCCTGCATCCGTTTAATCGTTCGGCTGAACCGGTCTTCGGCTTTAAAAGAATCGCGTGTTTCTCCCCGGAAGCCACGTACACGTGAGTCAACTCTCCTAGCCTCTCCGCCTGAGGTCCCCATCCCCACTGACGTAAATTGTCCACTCGCTTTGGCGCTCACATGTTTCTCGCCATAGCACCCTTTGTGTTTCATCGGGCGCATTCGCTGACGACTACCTCGCAGCTTGCCACACTCGCTGCCTCTTGATCAACGACCTCCTTCCTCTGCGGCCTCGCCGCTTCAAACCGTTGTCCGAATCTTGATCTGAGGTTGTCCTCAGCAACCGACACAACGTCGAACTTCAAGAGACTATTGTCTACCCTGCTTCTCAAGCCACCTTAATACGGCGAGCCTGAGTTCCCAATCCCGCTACTCCCCAACGCATAGCTTCCAATGGGCCAGCAACAGTCCAAAGGCAGCAGCGATGGTACCCGCACTCCTCTGAAAAGTGGCTCTTCCTCGAACCTCGTCCCCGATGGCTTGCAGCAGTACCCCTCCTTCTCTAAATCCGATACCAAAGAAAGCACTTCGCGTTCCATTCGCTCCTCGATAAGAAGCAAGATCAGAAGTGGTTCCACCGATGACAAGACCGATTCTCCGCGCGCCAGCGCATCGGCCCTGGCTGGTCTTGACGGCGCTGACAAAAGTGAGACCAGCTCTGTGAAATCGGGTGCCAGTGCCTCCACCAAACGCTCTGCTCAAGCCCAGTCCCCGACCGCCATCGACGACGATGATGACGAGGCTCCTTCGCCAGGCAATGCCACACCCGCTCGACCTCCATCTCCCACGCAATCCAAGTCAGTTGGTAAAGGCCATAAATCCTTAGACCGCGCCCAACGAACCGGCGAGGTAGGCGCAGTATCATCTGACGCACCTAACCAAGCTCATCATCACTCCGCCACGCAGAAAGCTGGCGACTCGATCCTCGTCAAGCGTGACAACCAGATCAATCCACGTGCTCCCGAAACCAAAGCCTCACTGCGCGCTAAACTAGCCGAAGGTCTTCCAGGTGCATCGCCTGGTGGGAGCATGACGCTCAATGATGTCAGTGACATGGATTTGGACGATATGATATCTCGTCTCCTCGATGCGGGCTACTCTACCAAGGTCACCAAGGCTGTTTGCCTCAAAAATGCCGAGATCACCGCCATCTGCACTGCTGTTCGCGAGGTTCTCCTCTCCCAACCGGCGTTACTAGAGCTCAGTGCGCCTGTCAAGATTGTTGGTGACATCCATGGACAGTACAACGATCTGATCCGCCTCTTCGAGATGTGTGGCTTTCCACCAACTTCCAACTTCCTCTTCCTAGGAGATTACGTGGACCGTGGCAAGCAGTCGCTCGAAACTATTCTGCTTCTCTTTTGCTACAAGCTCAAATATCCCGAGAACTTCTTCATTCTTCGAGGGAACCACGAGTGCGCCAATGTCACTCGCGTGTACGGCTTCTACGATGAGTGCAAACGAAGATGCAATATTAAGGTTTGGAAGACTTTCATCGACACTTTTAATTGCTTGCCAATTGCTGCGATTGTTGCTGAAAAGATCTTCTGCGTTCATGGTGGCCTGTCACCAAGTCTGACACATATGGACGATATTCGTCAAATTGCTCGACCGACAGACGTGCCTGACTATGGGTTACTCAACGATCTACTGTGGAGCGACCCGGCTGACATGGACCAAGACTGGGAATCTAATGAGCGTGGTGTCTCCTACTGCTTTGGTAAGAAGGTCATCATCGATTTCTTGGCGAGACACGATTTCGACCTTGTGTGCCGTGCACACATGGTGGTTGAGGATGGATATGAGTTTTTCAACGATCGCCTTTTGGTTACGGTCTTCTCGGCTCCCAATGTATGTGACTTTTCCAATGACACTAACATCAACTGACCTTCTATCAGTACTGCGGCGAGTTCGACAATTGGGGTGCAGTTATGTCGGTCTCAAGCAACCTTCTATGTAGCTTCGAACTGCTGAAACCGCTCGATTCCAATGCGCTGAAGAGCCATATCAAGAGAGGGAGAAATGCCCGACAGAACATGCTGAACTCTCCGGTACGTACAAGCTGCACTATCACTCTCAACTCAAACTAACGTTATTATCAGCCTGCGCAGGTATCTGCCCAGAGCTTCTAGAGAAGATGTTTGATTTCGATGAGGAGACCATAATCTATGGACCACGTAGAAAGTGAGCGTTGCCAGCTGAGCATGCGGCAATTGGTCTTGCTCGAGACCCGGTTCTGCAGGGCTCTTCATATTGACCTAGCCACTCCAAACGTCGGCGAGGGTACGATGGGGGCGTCTGGCGTCAACTTGACTTTTGGCGGATATGAGGCTTTAGCCCAAGTACAAGATGACGGGGTTGAAGCCCGCCTGGTGAGAAACGAGAAATGCAAGCAGGGGTAAGTGTGGATGAGGCTTGGGCAACAGCGGAGTAGACCGCAAGCGACAATGAGGTTTGATCTCTTCTCCCTGTGACGAAGCATGGCTTCAAGAGCGGACCTGCTGGAAGACTGCCAAAACAAAATATCAGTGTAACCTCTTGCAATATCCTAAACCTAGGTATCTGATACTGTTCAGAAATAGATGAAGCATTAACTACCATCTCAACCTGTCTGCTCACAATGTGCTTTGGGATGACACGCCGTCTTCGTTTGTAGAGCGCGTGAATCATGTCTGTGCTAGTTTGTCAAAACGATTTGCGAGAGCCTTTTATTTCTCGACGTGCAAACTACAACAGCTGGACAGAAGTAAATCGGGCTTCAAGACCTCTTCTCTCCTCAAGAGCAGATGTATACACCCACTCGATTCCATTTAGATGTGCAAAGCCATCCCATCGCGCAGGCTTCGGCCCGAGGCCCCAATGGCTCTGTTATTAGCCTATGTAAGAAGACATGTCCAAGGAATTGAGGCAAGACACGGCTTGGCATCATGTGCCTCGAGATGAAAGGCGTCACACCCAAGTACCGCGGCCTAACATGATAATTCAATGGCACGATGCACTCAGTAGATGGCAGTATCAAATTCATTGCTGATACTACCATCGTCGACCTGTTGGACTCTGGCTCGCCTTGCTCGTGCTCACCTCACCAGAGGACCTTGACAGGTTCGGGACTGGATCGTCAAACCTGCTCAATTGAGCATAGTGGGGTAGATTCCAGCCAATCAAGGATGTCTTAAACGCGTCCCGCGTCCCTTAGTCCAACCTCTTGCAGCGAGCACTGGAGCACCCGATTATTACCTCCCGACCGCAGTCAGCGACGAACCCCCCCCAGACGAGCCCCCGAAACTACGAAGAAGGTTCTATTCAGCTACGACCAGATCGAAAGCTGCTTACACTACCCTCGCTAGCGGCCGGATGGCCGCACGGAACACACAACCATGAAGGCAACCCCTCTACTAATCACCTGGCACAATGAGAGTCAAGCCATCTACTCTGTCCACTACGACCCGAATGGCAAGGGCAGAGTAGCTACTGCTGGACTTGACAACAATGTCAGAGTAAGTACATTTCTGCTCCGCGGTCGATTCGCCTCGTTCTGACAGCAAGTACAGCTCTGGAGCATTGATACCAATGGGGAGGATCGGAAGGTTACCTACCTATCCACCCTGTCGAGACACACACAGTCTGTCAATGTCGTAAGATTCTGTCCCAAAGGTAAGTTTTCTCATCTTGGAATGCTCCAAAAAATGCTAATTGTTCAGGTGAAACTCTTGCATCAGCCGGCGATGACGGAAATATCCTCCTCTGGATTCCATCCGATGCCCCTACAGCAGCTCTGGGCGAAGACCATGCAGAAGACAAGGAGACATGGCGGATAAAACACATGATCAGAACCACTTCTGGCGCAGAAATCTACGATCTCGCCTGGTCGCCAGATGGCATGTATTTTATGACCGGAGGTATGGACAATACTGCTCGGATATTCAATGCCCACTCAGGTATGTCAAAAGACTCGCAGGAAGAAATAGCAAACTGATTCTTTCTAGGTGCAATGATCAGACAGATTGCTGAGCACAACCACTACATTCAAGGTGTGGCATGGGATCCCCTGAATGAATTCATTGCTACACAATCCTCAGACCGATCGGTCCACATCTACGCCCTCAAGCTCAAAGATGGCACGTGCACACTTTCAACGCACGGCAAGTTCAACAAGATGGACCTCCCCGGTCGCCGAATTTCGTCCAACAGCCCGGCTCCGGATCATCACCACAGGCCATCAAATGCAAGTGGAAGTGGAAGTGGCGCACCGATTGCATCGCCTGCCCCATCCAATCCTGGCACACCTTTGACTACGCCTCTACCGATGGATCCTCCTCCGGCTATGACCCAGAGTCGTCGTTCATCTTTTGGCTCCTCACCTTCCTTCCGAAGATCAGCATCTCCGGCGCCATCTTTGCCTTTACCCGCTGTTCGGCCAGAAATCTCGTCACCCAGTCTGAATGCAGCAATGGGCCTGGCGGTCCGCAATACCAACATCTACCACAACGAAACACTCACGTCCTTCTTCAGAAGACTGACCTTCACTCCTGATGGTAGTCTACTGTTCACTCCAGCTGGCCAATACAAAACGTCTCAGCCAATCCCGACAGAGCCGTCAAAATCCATGGATGAGATTCAGAATACTGTCTACATTTATACTCGTGCTGGATTCAACAAGCCGCCAGTCGCACATCTGCCCGGCCACAAAAAGCCTTCTATCGCGGTGAAGTGCTCACCCATCTTTTACACCCTTCGGCAGGCCTCGAAGCCTACGAATCACATTACAATCGACACGGCATCTGCTGGGGAAGAGATTCCGCTATTACCAGAATCTGTGGTTGCTCCAACGAGCTCAACGTTCATGGAGCCACCGCCCTTGGCTCATTCCACCTCACTAGGTGATACGAGTCGTCCTACTTCTTCGCCAAAACCAACCGATAGCGAAGCCGCACCAGCCCCAGCCCCGGCATTCGCTTTGCCATATCGTATGGTCTATGCGGTTGCGACACAAGATGCAGTATTCGTCTACGATACGCAACAGACGATCCCGCTGTGCGTAGTCAGCAACTTGCATTTCGCGACCTTCTCCGATTTGTCCTGGTAAGCTAACATCGTCTCGCTCTGCTTGGTAAAAGCTAATTTTCTGCAGGTCGAACGATGGCCTAACTTTGTTGATGTCGTCCTCGGATGGATTTTGCTCGACTCTGTCATTCGCGCCCGGCGAACTCGGCCAGGTCTACACGGGCCAGGTCCCGACGCATCAGCAGCCTGTCGTGTCAACTGCAATTTCACTACCAACTTCATCAGCCAACTCAACCCCTGTACCAACACCCACAGCCACAGCGTCGCCTTCACTGACGAAGGCCTCTCCCGTTGTCCCACCTATATCACATCCCTCTCCGGCACCTACGTTCACTATGCGACCAGGCAGTCCTACAAGGTCTAATTCACAGTCATCGATTGCTACGATGACTTCAATCCAAACGTCGGGACCTCAACCAATTACCAACAACCCAACACCCACACTTGGTCACGTACCTCTAGCTACGGCAATGAACTCGGCGCCGCCCGTTGTAGCGCCGCCGATGAGCACACCACCACAGACACCCGCCAGCACTCATGGTGGTATGCATAGCGCCACATCATCAGTCTCTGGTAGTGTACTTGGTAAGCGTGACTCTGTCGCAGTCAACAGTGAATCTGAGAAAGAAGATGGGGGAGACAAGCCCAAAAAGCGGCGGATAGCACCGACACCCGTGCCTCCACCGTCAGCGGCAGAGCAGAAGGAGGAGTAGGAGCATTCCGATTCTGGGCCCTGAGATGAGAATCATGGGCCAGCCACTACTAGGCCACGGGAGGGTATATATTCGACTGACTCGTCCTAAAAATCGGGTTTGAGCAAGGAGTTCGGGTGATCGCGGTCAACAATAGCGCCGCTTCCATAGCTATGCACGGCACAGTAATTGCCTCTAGTATCTGCAACTATGACATTATAGTGAGCCGGGTCAGGCTCTGCGACGGTGTCTTTTATCCTTATTCGCAGCCTGCTTTCGCTTTTGCTTTTGCTTCGGCCCGTAAGCCTCGTCGTCGGCCACGCTGTCTGCATCCTCGTCGAGACTCGGGCTTCGGGTTCCTGCCCTCCCGACCTTGCTCCCTTTCCGCGCTTTGCTCTTCGCCTTGTTTTTTGCCTTCCTATCACCGTCGTCCTCGCCACCGAGAACCTGAGCTTCAACATCGACATCCTTCGCCCCCTCCTCCACCGCCTCCGGCACCCCACTCTCAATCGCCACGACCTCATCCCCGCCCCTCCGCTGCCTCTCCGCCTCACCCCTCAGCCTCTTCCACGCGTTCCTCATCCTCCCACTCTCTTTCCCCGTCCGATTCCGCTGGCCTAGCGCCTCATCACCCGCGCCTCCCTCCACTGCTGCCCTGCCACTGCCCACCTTCGCAGCAGCGCCAGCGGCAGCACCACCAGCAGCGGCGGAGGCGGCACCGACACCAACGCCCCCACTGAAGAAGCGCGTGATGTTGGCCTGCGTGCCCTCGACGCCGCGGCGATTCATGTCGCGGATCACGGGGACGAGCACCTCGTCCGTGCGCTCCTGGCTCCAGCCGATGGTGGCCATGAGGAAGCCGCGCAGTTTGTCGAGGTCCGGCACACCCCATTCAAAGGGGTGCGGGTCCGCGTCGACGTCGGGTTGCAGGTAGGCGTGGTCGACGCGCGCGTCGGGGAAGCCCGTGGGGAGCAGGACGCGCTTCTGGGCGGCGGATTTGAATTTGCGGCGGAAGGAGGTGTTGAGCAGGCCGTCGAGGTCGGAGGAGCCGGAGCCGCGGGGTTGCTGGTGGTGCGCGGCTTTTTGGATTTGGTCGCACCAGTCGCGGAACGCGCTGAGGTCGCCGCTGAAGTCGGTGAGGATCTCGAGCGCGGTCACGGGGCCGATGCCCGTGAGGCCTGTGGTGTAGTCGCTGCCTAGGAGGTGGGCGAAGGCGATGAGCTTGTGGCGCGTGAGCGTGTACTCGCGCTCTAGGTCGGAGAGTAGGTAGCATTCGACGAATTTGTTCTGGCTGAACATGTTCTTGTATACGCGTGTGCCTCCGAAGAGGAAGATGTCTGAGTCGTCGGTGATGATGCCGTCGACGAGGCCCAGACTGACCAGTTCCGCACACTGTGCTTCGGCTTCCATTGGTGCGGTGATGTAGGGGAGGCCGAAGAGGCCGAGGAGCGCCTGACACTCCTGGATCATGGTCTGCGTGACTTCGTCGGCGTCTCGGCGGTCGCGCTTCTGCTGCGAGCGGAGCTGTTTGAGTTCGTTCTCGTAGTCGCGTGCCGCGGAGGCCGCGTCTTTGGTGCCGTAGGGGTTGCTGGAGTTGAGGGAGTTGGTGAAGCGGGCGTGTTCCTCGGCTTCGATGGCGAGTTGCCGCATGAGCTCTTCGTCTGAGTCCGAGAATTGGTCATCGTACTCCTCAGGCTGCGCATTAGCATCTGTTCTGGGGGCAGGCTCGTCTTCGGCCGGGAGGAGGTACTCAGATGCGTCAAGTGTGGGAGCTTGAGGTTCGTTCGTCGACGGCTGGTGAAGCAAGGCTGGTGGAGGGAGGTCGTTCATTGGGACGTCTTCGAACTCTTCGTCAGAGTCTTCGGCTTCTGCGGCGGCAGGTTTAGCAGCTGGTGACGATAACTTGCGTGCTGGGCTTCCAGCTTCAGATGCGCTCCATTCGAACATCTCTTCGTCTTCTGGTTCAAGTTGAGGGGCAACCTCTGGCTGTTTTGGAGATGGAATAAACATCGGGTGTTCAGTAGGCGATGGAGGCTTCTCTTGTGCCCGGTCGGCCACCTCGTCCATTGTCGGCTGTTCTGCACCCTCAGGTTCAGCAGCTATTTCACGGGCCATGGCGTATCGAGCTTCTCTAGCTTCTTCTTCAGCCTTGCGTCGCAGTTCTGCCTGAGCGTCTACCTGCTCTTGCTCGTGCTCGGGCAGCTGCCACTCGTTGGGCTCGGCTGGTGCTTCCTGAGTCACCTGCTCAAAGTCTTCATCGTCACTAGACAACTCCACCTGACTCGGCTGTTGCGTTGATGGCTCAGCTTCGAGGTCGATTACTTCATTGGTAGGCTTTCGCTGCAATATCTCTTCGCGACTGGCATCCAATGGACCTGAAGTGACATAGTCTTCGCCATCTTCATCCCCGTCCGTCACACGAATCTTTTTCATGTCTTTCGTCGTCGGTGCCGCGTCAAACCACGATGGCACTGGCTGGGGCGGCCTTTCTTTGCGAAAGGTGTCGTCGCCCAATTCGGGCTGGAAACCTCCGGACAGGTCCTCTTCGACTTTCTTGGCTTTCTTCTTGCCGAGTAAAGACTGCCCAAGATTAAGTGATTCGAATGGAAGAGGCCCATCAAACTTCGGTGCTTGTGACGGAGGCTTTGGCGAGCCTGGGCGTACTTTCGTCTTCGATTCGTGCTTCGACTGCCGTGCCTCTGCAAGAGCAGCTCGCATATCGAATGCATCGTCCTGATCTTTGTCTGGATTCTCCTCCGGTCGTTCGATTGATTCTTGCTGTTCTTGCGGTTGCTCGAGGGACATTGCGATAGCTCGTTGAAGGTCATCGTCCTCATCCTGGGGCGGCGGCCCGATATCGACGTCTTCGAAGAGATCGTCGTCTTCGTCCGCTCCGTCTTGCTCGACAAAAAGGCCGTCCTGCTCTCCATTTGCTGCATTTATCTGCACGGGTTTCGAGACAGGTGCCTGGACGGCGGCCTTTCGGGCATCGTACACAGCCTTCCGTTTCTTTGCAATCTTCTCAGCTGCGTCCTCATAAGAAATGTCATAGTCGACCTCCCTCGCCCTTTTCCGCTTCCAGCTCTGTGGCAACCGATTGAGACCCTCTATCTCGACATCTTCGAACTCATCCGAATCGTCGTTCTCCGACTTTACCCCGTCTGCATCACTGTCCTCGTCTACATCAATAGCCATTCCCTTGCTCGTGCCCAGCTTATTCGAGACCACGCCCAGTGCCCAACCGCCCTCGACACCGTCATTGCGTACCAAAACGTACTCCTTTCCCTTCTCACCAGCGATCCTCCCGCCAGAGTCCCATTCATCCCCCATTCCATTGATATGCATCAGCCGCTGCGTCAATTCGTTTCGCTCCCTCACTCTTTCAATCTGGAAGCGGCTGAAGGCCATGCGATCAGGGAACATGCCATTCAATTGATCCTTTGTGTAGCCCATCCTCAACCTGCTTCGCAGTCTCGCTGCGTTCAGGATGTTATAGCGATCCCCCGCAGGCAGACTCAGAAAGAAGGGACTCTCAAAATCAATCTTGCTAAAGTCGTAGAGATTGATGTCCTCCCCACTGTGGAACTGCTGCGCATATTCCTCCAGTTCCGTCTGGCTCATTATCCTTGGATCATTCGGCGCCCCCATGTCTTCGATGCGCACATCCAAGTCAGGCAAATGGTATTGATCCCTCCTCTTGAAACCCTCAGCACGGCCTTTCTTCCTCTCCGCCTCCCCCATCCCAATCTCATCCACATACACCAGCTCCGCCTCCTCACCCACGCCTTCCTCCTCATCTTGCGCCCTCCGCCCCCCTTCCTTCTCCTTCCTCGCCCTCTCCCGCTCCTCCTCCACCACCCTCTCCATCTGCACCGCCAGCAACCTCCCCGCCGTCCTCACCGCATCTTCCCGTCTCCCCTCTCTGCGCTGCCGCCTCTTCCGCACCGTCTCGCGCTTCAGCGTTGGCGCTCCACCGTCAAACACAAACACCGGCTTGATGCCAAAGTACAGCAGCTTGCAGATGCGCCGGAAGAAGCCCACCACGTGCGAGTTGCGCAGTGCATTGCCTTCTTTGTCGCGCACCGCCTTGAGGAACTGGTAGATCCAGATCGAGGCGTCAACTGCCAGTCGCTTGCGATTCAGCGACGCCAGTGAGGTAGGGCGTGCGGTCGGCGCCACGACGGACCAAAGGCCTGTGACGCCCATAGTGCCAGCAACGGCGGTTTCACAGGGATTCTAATTTGAGGATTCGGGGGTTAGGAATCGGTATTGGGACGGGAGCGAGGCATCGTCAGGTGTGGAAGGATATGGGTTGGGTGATTCGAAGCAAGATATGGTGGAAGTCTAGGAGTGTCTCTCAAGGATGGCAGGATGGGAGTGCAATGCACCCGCTCATAGACAGGGTGGAGAGGGGAGCTAGACAGTGCTGCCTGCGGCGAAATTTGGACGGCTCAGTCATGACTGAATTGATGCGGCAATGACGCAGTTGCAGGCGCAATGGTGGCGCGAGTGGCGTGTCCAGTCGCCCCTAGAGAGCCAAGCATTCACTGCCTGATGTACAGATCTAAGGGGTGCTTGCTTCTGCGGACTAGGCGAAATTCTATCGAAAGAGAGAGAGAGAGAGACCTGAGGATCTATGTGTCCTTGTGATGCTCGTGAAGACCACTCGCAACCCCCGTCTTGTTCCGGCCCTTTCCATGTTCTCTCACTGGCTTTCTGCTGTAACCCATACTTGATCAGGCGAACCCTAATGCAACCAACAATAGGGCACGATCTCTACCTCATAGAACTGCAAACGCCGACACATAGCTCACTGAACTGTCCCGCACAGACTTAACATCGCTGCTTCTTTCGTACCGCATGAAGCGGAAGCGGCGCTTAAGATCCTCGGCAGCCGCTTCAGTCTCTGCACTCTTTTCAAGCTCCTCAACACCAGCCAAGAAGACACCGATAGGATGTCTTCCACAGACCGTATTTCCTGTACCTTGCAAGATACTCAAGAATGCATCATGCGACCCGGTAGCAATCGCACACATACATGCTCGATCCACATGGGCAATAGAATCATGAATCTGAGGACCACCATTTGAGACATCCTTGGAAGACCGTAGTGAGATGCCTTTGGAGATTGAGGTTTGCGCATGCAAGGGACCATCTGATGATGGATTTGTGAGACCATTGGGTAGAGAGTCGGGATCGACAGCGGGTGACGGGGCGTTTGGGACGTAATACGTGTAGCCAAAACGCGAGCCCCAGTGGCAGAAGTCCGATGATATGACGAAGACATTGGTGGAATCTGCAATGTAGGGAGCCAAGATCTGACCAAGAGCTTTTTCTGTAGCAGGCGAGGTACCGCCAATCATGATGGGAACAAGTGGTGGATAGCTGGAGGCTGGCTGCTCCGGATACAGCTTCTGTAGAAGGCGGTGGAGGTATGGAAGCTGCATTTCGCAGGAATGTTCGGCTTCGTCAACCTCCTTGGACATTGTTGTGAAGCGGAATTGGCGATTTTGAGACGTCATAGCCGTGACGCTAGAGAGCTGGCTGAGTAGATCGAGGTCCAGAGGCAGCGGCTCCGACGACAAAGGAGTCAGATAGCCTTGTACCACCGGCAGAGCCGCGGTGCTTAGATGATGGTGGTGGGAGGGGTGGAGGATGAATATACGCTTCGCTTGCGACAGATCAAGAGCCTTGTAGGCATATCCAGCGGCAGGTCCGGAGTACGCATAGCCAGCGTGAGGAGATATGACGACTCGAGCTCCAGGCAGAGGCAGGTCTGAAGAGGGTTTGGAGAGCCACTGGTCGAGCTGCTGGGCCAGCTGAGGTCCGTTGTCGCTGTACCACGAGCCAGCATGGTCGGCCTCTCGTAGAGCCATGACAGGGTCAAGATCACAGTATGTGGTCAAATTGATTCGGACCAATTTCAAGCAAAAATGTATGGCAGAGGGAGGGTTGCGACATGGATGAGTGAGAGTTGACGTTGGCTGGAGGTTGCCTCAGTCTGCCCCACCTTCTGCCAATAAACCGCGGTTGCCTGCTTCACGCCCACACCCTTCCTCCTTCTCAGCCGCAGTATCTTCTGACTTCACGGTAGGTGCCGCGCAAGGGACTATACTTGTTCATATCGAATACTCTGACATCCTCATTAAAACAAGCCTTCTGCTCCAAGCCAGAGACACAGCTGACGATCTACATCAGCTGGATCCCTCTTCTCCCTTTGACTTCCCAAGTAGGCAGTATGGTTCCCTGATAGCAGATGAGACCAAATATATTCACGACCATCGGACGGCTCCAACTGGTACGTAAAACACTGTAGCACAATATCCCTGACACATGGACAATGGGAGTCCGTTATCGCAATACAGAGTGAGAAAGACACTGGCGAGCCTCCCTTACATTGACCAGCGCCTGCAGAGCCACCGTCATTGCGGATGAGACACGGGTTTTTTACGAATCTTGTTCAATGCTCCCCTGAAATGCGACCGTCACCTGCCTCGAGCTATCACAATGTGACCTTGCTTCCAGTCTTCAGAACTCAATTCCACATTCAAATGCCCTGTCGAAGCATAGCAGTTGTCTTGGCTTCGAATTGCTTAGGTTTGGACGCAATGCCTCTTCGACCATCACTCTCCAGCCCATGGCCCATAAGTTCCATGAGCCTTGATGGAGAACAGGCAAGGACACCAAGCCCCCGAAGACGAATTGTCCTCCTAGGCCGCAGAGCATATGGAATGGGACGCATGCACCGCAAAAAGTGAAAGATCGAAGTAACGCCGTTGAATGAGACCAGACCAAAACACACATACACGGACTCCGACGCCGAATCTGAATTGTACGACGTAGTATGTGCTGCAAAGCTATCACGAGCTCATGGACGCCCGAGCCATCAGAACTGGGAACAAGAACTTGCAGCATGGTCGTGGGATCCTTGTTGCTAAGACCGCGAAATCATTCCTAGATGAAAGCACGATAGCCCTTGGAAAGAGTGTCGGTTTGTGTTGTGTAGCCTGGTTACCTGAGACCTTGCATGGCTCCGACCGCAGAAGGTACTTAAAGTGGGCGCACCAACACATCGTCGGTCTTTTCAGTTCTTCGATATAACACGAATCTGGCGCCCGAAGGGCTAACACTAATCAAGATAAAGTGAGCAAGGAATTGAGCCGGGCCATCATAGTTAAGGACCCGTGGTTAGTTGGGGGCAGCAAGGCCACGTCTCAGCTTCAAAGCCGACTTCGCTCTGGTACTCTATAGCCGGCCGGTCAAGCACTAACACCATTCGGAATCAAGAACAAGTGCAATGAGAGCGAACAGCTTGCCATCATTGGCAGCGAGCAAACTTGTCAACGAAGTTTGTAGAGCGCACCCACTCCCACCATGGCGCGGTGTAAACATACCCCCGCAACGCGACACGCTCACCGGAAGTGGAGCCCAGCCAGCCAGTTCCCAGCCGCATCATTTTCGCGTAAAGTGCTTTTATAGGCCCGTCCGGGACCTGCGTCCCTTGCACTGATAAACTTTGCGCGTTCGCTATCACTTTCTTCAGTCCTTCATTTTCTTTCCTTAGCTATTTGGTAGATCGTACCTATACACGCACATAGATCTTCTCTCCCGGTTCCTTGTGCCGATTAGAAGAAGGCAGGAGGACGCACGCGACCCGCGACCACCGACCATCGAAGACACCGCGAGCATGGGCCTCAAGCGCAAAGCGTCAGCCCTTGAGCTGGACTCGTTTCTCCTGCGCTCACAGCAGCTCCAATCGTCCCAACACACACAAACTCACTCATTCCCGTCCTTTCAACAAGCCTCCTCACCTCCATCCTTGACCTCCGACTCTGCCTCGCCAGGTTCCTCCCCGAGCAGCATGCACACCGAGCCGTTCCACTCAGCTCTCACACAATACAATACTATGCCATCATACTCCAACTACGCGCCCCACGCCCCCTGGTTGCACACACGCACACGCAAAAGAGTACGCGACAACCGCCCCAGCCAGAGCCAGATCCACGCCGCCACGCTGCAGCGGCTCTTCTCCGCGCAGCGAAGCCACGCATTCGGCGAGGACGCCATGATGCTCGACGACATGGAGCCCGACATGCACACCGAGCCGATGATCGTGCCGGAAGAGTGCTTCCAGACGGATGATGATGGCACGTTGCAGCAGCAGGACGTGATGGCGTCCGTGGAGCTCGGCGCGCCCGAGGCCAACCAGCGCAGCCTACACGATTTCTTCGCGCGGCAGAAGGGGAAGCAGCCGGCGGTGACGCTGCCGCTGCCGCCGCCGCTGCCGCTGCTGGAGCCGCAGCTGAGGGAGCGGCGGTCCTTTGGCGTGCTGGGCATGATGAACGCTGGGAGTGTGGAGCCTGAGGTCGAGCCGCTGGCGCCGAAAGCGCTGACGCCCGGCGCGTGCTGCCTGCCGTGCGATTTCAGAACGGCGGAGGTGGTGGCTGCGCTGGTTGAGGATGCTATGGTTGTGGGATGAGTGCTGAGGGGCGTCTTGTCCGGTGGAGAGATGAGTGGTGTACGAAAAGCTGCGGTTAGAGCAGATGAAGAGAACGTGACGCACTTTCGAAGATAAGGGCTGTATCTGGGTATGGAGGAAGCGGTGTGGATGCCTTTATGGGAAAGAGCTTGCTTTTTGGCGCTTTCTCTTTCTACCGCATAGCGAAGCGATGGGGTGCAGAATGCACGCAGTGATTTTAAACCATGTACAGCACTAGAAGGACCAGCGGGTATACCGTCATCAATAAGTAAAAGCATTAGATCACTGTATGCAGTGTATTAGTCCATTGCTCTTCGATCTAACGGGGTATCATCTATCCAAAACCGTCGACCCAGCCATGCTATGCGGTGGAAATGCTCCAAAAATCAATCTATGCCTGCCCTATTCACCCAATTCTGTTCAATCCATCTCGTCAAGTTCGTTCGCTGCTTCGGCCTGGTCGTTGTCACCCTCGCCTTCAGCAACAAGGATGCCCACCAGACACTCCCCCAGCATTCCGTCCCAATTCACCCACGGGTGCACTTCCATAAACAGCTGGCCCGCATCTCTCCCTGCGCCTCGCATCAATTCTGCCTTTCCGCCGGGATGGAAAGGGAGGTACGGCGTCACGTTGTACACCTTGCCCTGATAGATCGTCCACGCATCCTTTCCTTTCCGCCCGTTCTGCTTCTTTAATTGTGATGGCGTAACGCGTATTAGACGTCCGTTAGGCGGTGCATCTTTTCCGCGCAGATTGGAGTTCGGAGAGGAGGTTAGTGCCGCCCAGTCGAGGGGAGAGTAACCTGGCTCGAGGGCAATGGCACGAGACTTCTTCTTTGAGGATCCTGGAGGCAGAGGAAGCGTCGAGGACGCTGGCTGCATATGAGTATTGGAGAGGACTTTCGTTTGCGGGACACGAAGGGACGAAGCGGCCGAAGGTGGTGGACGTAGGGAAGGCCCAGCGGGGCGTGGTGGGGGCGCCATGCTTGGTGGCTTGAGGCGAGGCGGACTAGCAGAGCGAAGAGGCGGCTGAACTCGACGAGGAGGAGGAGGAGGAGGGGGCATGCTGCCCATCGTCGGCGAATTAAGACGTGGGCCACTGGGTGGCTGCGGTGTAGTACGTGGTGGTGGCATCTGATCTTCGACTGCGGGCTCTGCTATTGATATTGATGGACCAGTGGGTTGGTTGGGTGCCGTGATCGTCGGCTGTGCTGGAACGGCGCCGTTGATTGACGTCGGTTTGTCCTCATTTCTGTCTCTAGTATTGTGCCTCTGGTCTATTTGTACAGTCTTGATCGTAGCTCGTGAATCATTATCGTTGGTACAGCGCGTGACGAGAACGTAGAAGGCGTAGGCCGCAACGACAGTGCCGGCGCCAACGGCGATCCAGCCCATGGTGGTTTCAAATGAGTGACAGGCAAGTGCAAGCAAATGAGGATTGGAGTATCATGACGACGGTCCGGTATCAATCGGGTATCAAGACGTCGTGGCGGGAGGCATGGCGGCTGGCATCTACTCCCGTGGCAAGTGCGCTGAGCAGGGGTGGTAAATTTAGGCTTCGGCAGCCCGGAGTTAGACGGGAGATAATGGTGGTGGGTTGAACTGACGCTGAGAGTCAGCTGCGGAAATCCAGGTGGAAGATGTGGCCTTCCTTTCCATCTCCATCTCCATCCAAATCCACAGCGGCTAGCTGTTCGCCATGCCTGATAAATATCGGGTGCCGATCCATTAAGTAGGCGAACGGCGTTGGATGGAGAGGCTTGGAAAAGGCAAAAGCGAGGTTCGCGAGTTCCTGCCGGGCGCAACTGTGCCTAATATGAGGCGTGTCGCATGGGCCGATTCGCCTGACAGCGAGTGTGATGCGTCCGGCCTCCATAAGGTTCTCGTTTCCCACGCCCAAGCCCGTGCCCGTGCCCGGTCCCACGCCCTGTCCTGCCTGGGCCTGCAGTGTTTGTGCCTTGTTTCATGACGAGAGCCGCACTGTGGCCTGCTGTGACTCTTTTCTTCTCTTGTCATCATCACTACTGCTTCGAGTCGTAGCCGTGACTTCCTATCCGTTTATGATAGAGAGTGTGTGTCGGAAAAGGGAAACGGATTCGGATGCGAGTCGCTGTCAGCAGCGGGAGTATTGGCACAGAGGCTATCTGTGCCACGTGAACCAACCCCGCCTGACCACCTCACCACCGCCGGCCACCATTTCCTCGCTCTGCCGTCTTGATAACGCTTCCCGACTTCTCTCCAACTGCAAGGAACACCGTCGAAGACTGCAAGCACTTCACTGCCGGTGCTGTCGCTGTGTCAAGACTGGCCGCTACTCTGAGGCTCAATCAACCATATCCTTGATCTTCAGTGACGACGGCATCAAGTCGAAAGCAGCCCGTACAAACGCACTAGTACATCCAGCACCAACCAAGTCGTCTTCGAAGTAAAGCAGAAGCCAGTTTCAAGGAAGAAATTCATACTTCCCTGGCAACCCCCCACCCACCATCCTTCCGAATCTGTTCTGAGTTCGACCGCGGCCAGGCCAGACCACACCAACTTAAATCAATTACACCATCTGGACTTCAGAGGCACATTCGGTGAAGTGCCCCGTATATCGACAAAGTGTCGGTTCTTTCGCTCGTCTAACGTTTAGTCACTCGCCTGTCACTCGCTAGACTGGTTGTTTGCTTGATATAGCGCGCTTAAGACTTTCAACATCAACGATCTTACCTTTGAGATGTGCAGATGACAGTGGAAAACCGAGGGTTATTGCACGCTTGATCTTGCAACGCATCTTCATCACGACTTGAGGGCCGTGCCTTCTCGGAAAGCCACATCTGTCGAATCCAGCAAGAAGGTCCCCAATATGGCCTACCAGCCACCAACTTCACCCCCAACACAACACTTTGATGCATTCTCACCTGTATCTCCTCACGCCAGTATGAGCTCGGACGGCCGAAGAAGTACCCATACTACGCCCAAGCGTCGACGCCTCGCTCCCACCGAGCAGTTCAACTTCGACAATGCCACTCCTTTCGCGGTCCCCGATGACGGCTTCGACGCATGGTCACCAATAGAAGAATATCGCGAGTACCGACACCGCCAGCCCCACCAACCCCCTCCCTTACCTGAACTGTACTGGGACATGCTCGAGTCGCCTTGGGCCGACTTTCCCGAGCACCTTCCGCCTTTCGTCCCTGCTCAGCCACCTCTCGATCAGCAACCTCGAGGAACGACCGATCGCATAGCTTTTCCTCCTCGGCCGAGCATTGCTCAACTCTCCCAGTCTATTCAGCCGTACTACCATCGTGCTTACTATCATCGATCTGCCCCCAGCCGTCCGAACGCCGAACCACATTTCTCCATGGCTGGCACAAGTAATCTCACTGCTCTTCAACTGCCGGTCATACCTTCCTCGCAACCTCTTCGCAAAGGAGCAATTATTCTCACCCTGAGCAGAGCCACCCAAGAAAGCATTGAACAACTGGCTGAACACAAGCGCGAATGCCCTGCCTGCCAGTTGGACTTCGAGCCGGATAACTTCCTTGCAGTTATTGGCTGCTGTGATACAGCTATGCACGCTGTATGCTTCTCTGCGTGGATCAACAGCAACAATGGTCCCGGTGGCTCACGTACCAAGACCTGCATGAAGTGCCGGAAGAACATCGAAGCCCTGGATAAGATGAACACTATGCTTCCCCCAGTCGATGGCAAATCTTGGGACGAAGGTCAAGATTTCAATGCTCCGCAACATCTCGGTGCGGACACTCCTTACAAAATTGACATCAGTCCTCTGCCACACCCGGTTGCTCGTCGCCATCGCCGCCGTGAGATCCATGCCCATCGCGCCCGACCTTTGATGGTCCCTGAGAGCGACATTCCAGAGGAGTCCAGGGAGGAGTTCCGAGGTCTCCAACGTCAGCAGATGAGAGAACGTGATCAGCTCTCTGCCCGCGTCAAGTCTACTCAGAGCTCTTGGTCGATGGCCTTCGACATTGAAGCTCGTGCCGCCGCCACCGCCACTAACGCCAAGGAAGCGCTCGATGCTGGCGGACGCATCACTCAGCGTGAGGTCGAAGGTTTGGTTAGACGTCACCGAGAGGCCAAAGATGTCCAGGAGGAGTCTCACGAGATCTGGCGAGAGGCCGAGGAAGAGCTCAAACAACTTGATTCACGTCATCGTCAAGCGCAGATCGAGCTTCTGCAGCGCGCACGAGCACAACGTCAGCAAGTCCAGGCAAGTATGGAGTCTGGAGAACGATCAACTTTGACATCAGCGGCAGCGACTGAGGGTCAGGACGTGCAGTGAGCACACTAAGACGAATCTATGCCCGGGCGTTATTAGGTTTCCTGGGTTTGTGGCACGCATTAGATGCATGAGTTATGCGCATGGGCACGAGAATGGAACGGCGACGGAATGGTCGGACATGGTGAGCATACATAGCCTCGCATCACATACGGGTCTGGAGGACGGCAATCAGAGCTAATAGTCGATCGAGCCCAGTATGAATTCTAATTGCATCTCAAATCAACCCTGCTTTTGCCTGCCTGTCTCTGTAGCCACACACACACGGACAATTCACGTCCACGCTAATCCATAGCCGATATTTCGCTCGATGTTATATCGATGGCACTCTCCCGGCAGGAACATGGCTCAAATGAGCTGAGCCCTGATCTAGCCATACGCCCGATACACTGGTCAAGCCCGTGTCTCCTGAGCGAAGTCCTGATAAGCGCTCGTTTGATCCGTGAACAGATTCTCAATGTGGGATTCAACTTCTCCGTATATATACGCCCTTGCCCAATGGCCGGCGGCCAAGTCAGGATCATCCTCCTCCTCCTCCTCCTCCTCCTCCTCCTCCTTGTCTCGCCGTTAGATAGATAGCGCGCCAAAGAAGAACGCCTTCCCTCTCAGAACCGCCCACGTAGATCCCACCATATCCATCATCGCATACACAAAATGTTCCCCAAGCAACGAGATACAATACAGACAAGATTACCCACTCACTCCCATTTCCAGCAAGCCCTTCAATTCTTCCCCGCCAGCCCGATAATGCCATCCAACAACCCCACCGTCTCAGCGGGACTCGCGATCCACGCGCAGCAGCACGCACTGCGGGCCTTGAAATCATTGCCCCCGCCGCTGAGGAACTGGTCGCCCACGTGCAACGTCTCCTGCGGCTTGATGCCGCCGAACCACTTCTGACATGCGCGTACGCCGAGGCTCTTGTCGCCGACGTCGAGGAAGACGTCGGCCCCGCCGTTGAAGACCGTGAATGGGATGCCTGCGTGCGGCGGAAGCGGGGGAGTCGGGGGCTTCGTGGTCGACGACGACGACGCAGCAGCAGCTGCTGCTGCAACAGCAGTGGGGCCAAATGAGGAAGAGGAAGAGCCTGCGGGGCGGTCGAGGGGCGGTAAAAGGCTGGATTCGACGACCTGCTGCACGACCAGCACGGTCTCTTCGAGCTGCTCGCGCGAGAGCTTGGCGGTCTGGTCGGCGGCGTAGATGCCGACGGCGCGCTCCTTTCGCAGCACGTTGGCTTTCAGCTGCAGGGTCTTGATACACGAGTGGAAGGCCTGCTCGGCGATGTCGAGGAGGGATTGGATGGCGCTTTCGGTCCAGGTTTGCATCGCGTCCAAAATCCAGTCGCGGCGTGGAATGGGGCGGAGGCAGTGTGGGGCCGTGTCGTCGTAGACGAAGAGGAAGTTGGATTCGCCGCCCATGACGATGAGGTTGGATTTTTGGGTCGGGGTGAGGGTGGGGGAGGTGCGGATCGCGAGGAGGAGGCCGGAGAGGCGTGAGAAGTAGTTTTGCGGTTGGGTGTAGCCCGCGGCGGTGACGATGCCGATGCGGACGTCGTGTGCGAGGAAGTGGAGGAGGCGCGTGATGACGGGGTCGGCTTCGGGGCTGGTGAGGGAGGCGCCGTCGTCATAGAGCGTGACATCGCCATCGAAGGTCAGGAGCTTGAGGAGCGGGGCGGACGGGGTGGGATCGGTGTCGGCATCGCGTGAGGGGTGGGTTGGGTTGATGAGTGACATAATCTGTGCGGTGTTGAGGATGAGGCGAATATCGTTGAAGGACGGCGGCACGAAGCGCCGTGAGGAGATAGAGCGTAGGCTGTCTTCGTGCTTGAACGCGGATTCGAGGGCGAGGGGTGTGAAGAAGGTGGAGATGCTGGGCACCAGCATGGACAATTTGGACCGTACGGCGGTTCCCTCTGGGGTGATGGCTTGATGGGCGATGTGGTCGTTGATTAAGTCTTCCACGTCTCGGAAGATGTCAGCATAACGCTGGTGAGCAGAACGGGCCATGCTGGCGATGGTGGCCGTGTGCTCTGTGAGGTGCTCTTCATAGGCGGCGGCAGGGCGAGAGTTCAGCACGAAAGGCACCGCGAGCAGGCCTTTGATCCATTCGATAAGCTGGTCACGACGGTGGGTCTGTAAGTAACGCGTTAGCATGATCCTCGTAATCTCTAGGTGGCTTGGCTTGCTTTGAGAGCGTACTCAACCCTGTAGCGGGTTGTCATGTTGTTGGTTAGGGGACTTTCTGCTGCGGTGTGGGCTTGGAAGGCGCAGGTGGGCTGCAGAGGGGCTCGAACAACAGATGTCGTGACACAGCTTAGTTCTGGGAGACCGAGTCTTGCTGGTGGGACAGAGAAGAAACAAACAGAATAGACGTGAGGTTGGATAGACGATGCCAAGGATGGTCTCACCGTAGATGCAATGCTGTCGGCGGGCTCCGATGAAAGCCAGCCACGAGCTATGGAGCTTTTATACATGACTTATGTAGCTAAATGGAACTCCACTATCCCTGAAGCTCATTCGAGATACCTCCAATGGTCACTGTCTTGATGGTGGTGTACTCGTCGATACCATATTTGCTGCCTTCTCTCCCAAAGCCCGACTCCTTTACACCACCAAAGGGCGCCGCTGCATCTGAGATGATACCGGTGTTGACACCAACCATACCAGTCTCGATGGCCTCGGCCACCCTGTAGATTCTGCCAATATCCCTGCTGAAGAAGTATCCTGCCAGGCCCACATTCGCCGAATTAGCAAGCGCGACTACCTCTTTCTCGGTCTCAAACTTGAAGAGCGGCGCCACAGGCCCAAAGGTCTCCTCGCTGGCGATCTGCATTTCGTTTGTCACACCCGTGAGTACTGTAGGGGCGTAGAAGTTGCTTCCTAGATCCGGCAGTTTCTGACCTCCCACGGTGACAGTAGCGCCCTTACTCTGTGCATCGTCAACATGTTGCTGCACCTTCTCCACCGCTCTTTCGTGAATGACTGGGCCGTGTGTAATGCCCTCATCAAATCCAAACCCGACCTTGAAGCCCTTGACTTTCTCGGCGAATTTCTTCGCGAAGTCATCGTAGATGCCCTTCTGGACGTAGATTCGATTGGCGCAAACGCAGGTTTGACCGGAGGATCGGAATTTGCATGCCACGGCGCCAGCAACCGCAGCATCAAGATCGGGGCAGTCGTCAAAAACGATGAATGGCGCGTTGCCACCGAGCTCGAAGCTGAGTTTCTTGAGCGTACCGGACGCTTGCTTCATGAGGATCTTGCCAACATTGGTAGAGCCAGTGAAAGAAACCTTTCGGATGCGGGGATCGGTGGTGAGGAGTTCGCCGACCTCAACAGTATTTTTAAGGGCGGTGACGAAATTGACGACACCCGGAGGAATGCCTGCTCGCCGGGAGAGCTCCGCAAGAGCATTGGCGGTAAACGGCGTCTCGCCAGGGCTCTTCGCGACAACGGTACAGCCCGCAGCCAGCGCCGGGCCAATCTTACGCGTTATCATAGCCGCGGGAAAGTTCCAGGGTGTAATGAGGCCGCACACGCCGACGGGCTGGCGAAGAGTGAAGACGCGGTTGCCAGGAACTGAGGCTGGGATAACATCTCCATAGGCGCGGGGCGCTTCTTCGCTGAACCAGTTGAAGAAGTTCGCAGCATAGGCGACTTCGCCCTTCGCATCAGTGAGGGGCTTGCCGTTTTCCCAGGTAATGAGCGTAGCCAGGTCATCAGCGTTCTCTTGCATCAGGTTGTACCATTTCCGCAGCATGGTGGCGCGCTCGCGAGGGAGGGTCTTGCGGAAGGAGACGAAGGCATCGTCAGCGGCAGCAATGGCCTTGAGGGTGTCGTCTCTATTGAACTCCGGGCAGGTACCAATAAGCTTGCCGGTAGAAGGGTCGTGGACTTCGAAGGTCTCACCGGAGGCGGCAGTGGTATATTCGCCATTCACGTAGCCCTTTTCAATGAAGAGGGAAGGGTCTTTGAGCTTGGGAACGGTATGCATGGCGGCGAGGAAGCGAAAGGATGTGCGGCGGGGACGGAACTGTCGATGTAGGAGCTTGGGTGCTGGGGAGGAGAGGATGGTACGGATACAGGTTGCCATGATGGAGGAAGGCGGGGTAGGGACGTGGTTTTATCAAGTCATGGAGTCACGGTGTCGTACGAGTGCCACAGACAGTCCTCTCCAGCAGCTGCTCGTGCTTCCCACTGCTCTTTCACACTCACTGTGCGTTTGGCCCAAGGCGGGAAAGCTGCAAAGTGCTGTGATTTGGAAGAATCCCCAATCCCCAATCCCAATCCCGGCACGGGTTGGGGGCACTGTGCCGGTGACATCACCCGCCAACGCACTGGAATCCCGGGATCTCCTCTTAGCACCCGGCTCTCTTTTCCGGGCCGTGTTCTACAAGCACAGCAAAGCCAAAGTCGTGTCGATGCGTGCATATGCCGGGAAGGGTAAGTCTACAGAGACTATTGCGGTATGGCGCATAGCATTCTGCATCGCTTGTGCTGCGTTATTCTGCCCAGAGGTAATGATCATACATGATGGAGTCTTCGCCGTTCTCCAGCTTGTTTAAGCAAGCCACTGTCCGACCTTGTAGGTCTGATTGCGCATACTTTTGGTAGTGTGATGTATGGTGATGCCCAATACCGTCCTGAATCCTACAGCACCGCTGCACGGCCTTTGTTTCGTATGCTATGCGCCGTGCTCCGAACAAAAAAAGTTAAAGATGTGGCAGTTGAAGTCCTTGGTCGCACAACCTCCCGGCTTTCTCCAACCACCCGGGCACACTTATCTTCACATCGAATATCATGCAGACAGTGTTGGATTAAGCGATCGAAAGTATTCTGTTCCTTGCGAACTCGGGCGAATTGCTTACGAAGTGGGAGCGGTCTCGGTCATCGAGCCCTCTTCGACCGGGCCGGCCGTCGGCGCCACCGTAAGAGGCGTGATGGCGGTGCCGGACTGTTCGATATCGATTCCGGTCTCATCCTTGATGTATTTCACAAGCTCGTCACATTTGACGACTGTGTACTTCGCCGCCTTGCCCATCTTGAGGTATGCTGACTGTGACTTGCCACAGACAATGTTTATGTTGGACAGCCTCTCGATGAGCTGCTTGTCGTTCTCGTCGACGTTGATGGCAAAATTGAGCTGACAATCCTGATATTAGGGTTAGTATCATACGAATGAAGCGTTGATAAGACTTACACATTTCCATGCTAAGCGTCGCTGCATTAGAGGCTCTTTAGGCTTGGTGAGCTGGTGAATCAGATCTTCCAGTCTATCGCCTGACCCGTCTCCGGCACCAGTCTCGCCGAGCCCACCCAGGGGCGGCGGAGCCGTGTTGTAATTACGACGATCAGACGGAGATCCAAGGCCTTGACCTGGTTCAAAAGGCAATGTCAGCGGACCTGAAGCCGCATCTGCAAAGAGAGAATAGGGGTCCGACATCATCTGGGCATATAGACGGGGGTCCATACCATTCGATGTAGGAGAGAAGGGGGCATTTGGATCCTGATACGGACCCGCCTGGCTGATGCTGGGATCAATCAGGCTGTGGTTCATGGGGAGCTCCTGTCCTGGGACTTGAGTGAAATTGTTAGCTAGGGTTAGAGCAGGGCTGGGTGGGTAGGTTTGCATACGGGTGCTCGGAGGTTGGTCTGCAAGAATATGTCTGCCGTTGCCAGCATCTTTGATGATGCCTTCTTGTGTTGCCCAGTTGGTGAGATCCTCGTCCTCGCGCTCTTCCTTGGAATCAATCACGTCGCGGGAAAAATGGCCGCCAACGTGCTCCATACGGTCGTTCCAACTGCCTTCGCCTTCAAAGACTCGACCGCAGAAGCCGCAAGTGCTACGCTGAGGAGGCTTGCGTTTCTCAACCCAGCAGCGCTGGCGAACGCTCTCGAGAGTATCTTCGAACGCTTTCCAGTCGGCACTGTTTTCTTGACCTGGAGCAAAGACACCCGAGCCTGGACCGGTCTCGGGCTTGTGCATGCGGCGGTGATGCTGGGTGAACAGATCCTTGCGGTTGAAGTCGTTGTAAACACGCTTATGACCTGGCACGCCCGGGTTGTACTCGGGATTGCAAGGGCCGACATCGCAGCGGTAGAAGCCAAGTTGAAGATGTTGAATTGAAACATGGCGCTTCCATTCGTTCTTGGAGCTCAAGGCAACGTCGCAACCATAGTGACTGAAGGAGCAGATGAACTTGCGCTTGGCGGGTTCGGATCGCTTGGCACCAGAGCCGGGACTCTTGCGCGCCCGGGGCTTCACAACGCGTCCAGGAACCGATTCTGATCCCGAGATAGAATGCAGCGAGTCTTTTCGGGGCCGAGGCTTGATAATTCGATCAGAGGGACTACCTCGAAGAGATGCGGCAGTGATGTTGATATCGGAATTAGCAGCCATGATGGCCGGCGCGGGAGAATTGTTCATGGTGGCGGTGGTCTGATTTTTCAGTCAGCGATTTCCTGCGTCGGTGAACAGCGCGGACGCGGCATAAAACATTTTAGTGCAGCTATAGGCGCAAAGGTGAAGCGAGAGTTTGCACGGTCAAGAACAAAGGAGTTGACTTACTGCCTCGAGGATGAGGTTGGTGAGCTAGAAGGCTGAATCGTAGCCTTGGACAAGGCAGTGTCGCAAAGCCTCGGTGGTGCTATTGTGGCAGAAAAAGGCAGTGTTGGGGTTTAGCGAAAATTAGGCAGTCATGACGCAGCGCGACCTGATGGTTTGGCCGATTGCGCGATAAGTGCGAGGTGTAAAGAGGTGATGAAGTTGGTGGGAGAGCGATCGAGTCTGGATTTCGCACAACGCGCCAAGACTGAGGATGTGACCTGGAGAGATGTCGCAGTGGCGACTTGGATAAAGTGAAGAATGCAAGATAAGAAACGAGAGCCACGACCCAATGCCCACGACAATTTGAGAACGATTCAAGTGTGAAGCAAGTACCTAGGTAGGTGACGCGCGAGGGCCACGGCGATTGGGAAAGGATTGGGGTTGAGAAGAAAGGGCGGCAGAAGGCGGGAAGGCTGCGCCGGCCTGGTCGCAACTGGGCGACTGGGCGACGGGGTGCACGCTGGGACCCAGGGACCCAGGGACCGCAGTGGCTGAGCAGCCTTGGCGCCCTCTTAACCTCAAATTGAACACGCTCCTCGGCTCCCTTAGGCGCAGAGAACAGCCTATAAACAAGGCTGGAGACTAAGCTATGGATCGCCCCGTCACAATAACCCTCGGGAGCCTGGAAGGCCAGGTCGACATCATGCACGCTCGTCGGCAGGTTCTGCAGGGCTCGTATCTCGTGCTCGCCTCTGCCGTGCCCTCAATGTGAAAATGCAACCCTTCCCCGCTTATGTGGCCGTCGGCTGTTTAGTACTGTGTCTCAAAGGAGACAAGGCTCCGTGTTGGACCGATTCGAGTGGCGCGAGTGATGGCGGCTGGCCGGCTGGGTAATAAAGAAAAGATTAAAAAGCTCCTCGGTCACATTAGCCTCGATTGCCTGTCCACAGTCTTGAGTCTATTCAAGCATTATGAATCTCCGAGCGGTGTCTTCCTCTATCCTACAGTTTAGGGGCAGAGTGATAGCTTTTACCAGCATTCCTGGGGGCGGATAAATATCGCCGGGAGAGGGCGTCTGTGCTCATGCGAGCTTCGCTTCAAGCTCTATCCCCGGAGGCTGACGCCCAGGATTCTAAGTGCTTTATGGTGGCCCTTGCGAATGCGGTGTCAGCCCGGTGGCAACACACAGCCTGTCTTACTTGTACAATGTCCAAGTTTGCCAGCTCATCATTGCTGGTGCTGAAGCGACGGCAATGTTTTTGCAGCCCCGTGCCGTTCCCAACCCCTGAACCTTCTCCGCCTCGTCGTCTCGAGGCTGTCTCTACGAGGCTCTGCGGCGCCTGGTGGCCAACAGCCTGGACAACTGAGCCTTGCAGGTTGCCTTATGTCTAAATGAACGACCGACAACATCTGCCGCAAGCCAAATTTGACGCAAGTCGCTTGGGTCAAATCGGTGGACGGCTTGGACATGCGCACAGGTGCGTAGACTATCTGCCGGCAGCATGCTACCCGCCCCCATATGCCTCATCTCCGAATCAAGATGGTTGTAGGAATACCCGGGGTACTTGGACGAATTCAGCGACATGTCCCCGGTATCAGCACTCGCCAGTACTCGTGCACAATCCAGCCTTGGTCACAGCGAGCTGAACCCATCGAAACACTTGCTGCGATGAGGTCGGCCTTAGGCAGTGGGTGCTTCGCAGGTAGTTTTGACAAATCTCTGGCGCACACGACGAAGTGAGGACTGCATTGACACTTTCCTTTTTTGATCTGAGATCTGACCTCGTCCTTGGCATCGACTGTGGAAGTCCCGGCTTACCGCAGCCGAGGAGTATCGCGGCTGGAACTACTGTACATGGTGTCACACGGCAGTGCCTGTGGCCGTCTCTGCCTCTCCCTTGTCCGTTTCTACAGCCTCTACCGCTGGTGGGGCCACTTCTTCCCCAGCATTGCCTTCATCAACGTCCATGGCGCCCGGAGGCGCAAACTCGTTGTCCTCTATCTCATCTACCGTTGCTTCGACGGTCGAAGCTGCTGCTGCTTCAGTTTCAGCTTCAGGCGCCTGTTCAGCAATGTCGCCAGCACCATCGGTTTGCTGTAGAGGCGTGACAGCCGCTGATATTGCAGCAGCCGTCTCTTGTGGCTTCTCACCTGGCACACCCTCCTGTTGCTCGCCGTTTATGCTAGGCTCGTTTTTGGTGTCCTCCTCCTGCATCCCTGTCGCGTCTGTTGCTTCAAGATTTTGCTCTTCTTCCTCGCCGATCAGAGCCTTCAAGTTGCTTCCGTCCTTGATTTTCTCGCACAGAGCGAAGCGTCGGCCATCGAGCGCACTGGCCCGGAGGGCTCTCCACAGCTTGCCCTGTATCCTTTCATGGAGGTCTTTTCTTTCTTCTTCGTTAGCAACGAAATCTTCATCCAGCTTATCACCTTCGATGCTCTCGTAATATTCGTCAGGTGTCGGCACCTTGTATCGCTTACTCGGCTGCTTGAGCGATTCAAGCGATTCAGATTGTGACAGAAAGTTGAAGTCGGCAGCGCCTGGGGGGTTTATGGATGGCTTCTTCTCGGTCATTGCACCGAGGCTCTGCTGAGTAGCCAGGTACGTCTTGGCTTCCACCGGATCTCTTCTGATGTAAGGGCAGCTCTCAGCTTTCCATCTTGCCCAATTCTTATCTCGACTAAGCACTGTGTCAACCATACGGTAGTACATCTTTCCATCATTGCCAGGTCCCTGCTGCTGCAAATAGCTGGCGATCGATTGGCGCGTAGATTGACAATATTTGGTGTCCTCTTCCGATAGTGTGAAGCCATACAATACGGCCTTGTTGATCAAGCCCGCCGTCTTTGCCTTTGCAGGTGGAGTCAAGGACAGCAGGAAGTCGAGCATGATCAGACATTGGGCCAGTATGTGCCGTCGGAACGCCAGATCATGCACCTCCAAGTCGAACAGGTCCCGGTTGGTCAGATACTTGGGATTGTACGGTTGGGACATCCGAGAACCATCATCCGAGCGCTTGCGCTTGGTTCCTCTGCTAGCCCGGGCCGAGTTGGCCGACGCATTTGTGCTCGTAGATATCGACTTGAAACACGACAAGGTTGCGGCTATGCTCTCTTTGAACTGGTTCATTGCGGCTGGCTCAAAAAGCCGCGTGGGCATCGAGAAAAGTCCTTGTAGAGACCAGAACTGTGGAAATAGCTCGTCAAGATCAGGAGGCGTTTCGCTTGGCTTGTGCTCGGATCTGGTTTTGCCTGGGATTGGGGTACTTCTACCCGTTTTGTGTGTATCAGTATCGGGAGCCGTTGACGCCGGTGTCTGGGCCCCAGAGGACGCAGGTTGCGCGCTGTCAATATCCATAGGCTTGATTGCATCCTCGGACTTCTTCGGCACTGGGTCGAAGTGGGTGACATTCTCGGCATGGAATTCTCCTCGAAGATTGACAGAGCTTCTGTCGCCGAGTGGGAAGCTCTGGAATAAGAAGATGAAGACTCGTCCACAAAATACCGTGTCTTCTGCTCGCGACAAACGGCGGAGCAGTTCATTGCAGCATCGCAATATGACCAAATTCTTGAATTTGAAATTGCGCGCAATCAATTCGTCTCTTTGCGACTCCAGGTAGTCAAACACTTTCCTGCAACCGCTGACTGTTTGACTATCCAACAAGCTCTCGATCAGGAGAAAATTCGACGAGGGTTCCGAGAGTTCATTGTCGGCCAGAATTGTGGCGATATCTAATAGGTACCAAACTCTGACGAAGCCAGGGTCCGATATCGCGATACTTGAGACCAGATCGAAAAGTAGCTCCCGGAGCGCTGTATCTGTTGGTGACTGTGAGGTCCATGTTTCCTCAGGGTTATGAGACCGAATGCTTTGAACTCCTTGCACGAGACTGCGAGATTCCGCTTCGCTTAAAGACGAATGATCAGGTGTTGATCTAGCTTCAACAATGTTCTCGATGTGTGCTTCGATCGTCCGCCGACATGCGGTAACATCATTGTTTGACATGGATGCGTTGAAAGTCTCGAGGTCATTCGGCGCAGGTTGGCTGATGCCAGGCTGAGGTTCTGAGAATGGCGGAAATTTGCAATGACTTGGTGTCAGATCTAAAACGCGAAATCGTGAGGATCATCGGCTATTCGTAAAGGGAGCGTCTCCGGACCTACAAACGAACAATGGAGATGAGCAAAGAGCACAGCACTTGATGAAGGCGGCTTTCGCAAGGCTGAATCGGAGCCTCGTCTCCTCCGCAATTTGCAGATCACCATCTCGCCAGCGTCGAGGAAATTTTGTCCACGGTAGAGTCGAGGTCAGGTCCGCTCTCATGGACCTCCAATTTCGACCAGCTCTTGCCCCGGCGTCGGATGTGCCTGCGACCGCAATGAATGGCACCGGTACCGCATGGGACCAGCTTGCCGAAAAGCACTGGTTGAAGGCAGTGCCCACCAGAGCGCGCCCGGATGCGATCAAGGAGATCTGGGACGCGTTAGAGCACGATGGATTCCCCGACCAAACCCTGGCATATCTCGAGAGCTTGCAAATCTTCGAACGTCTCCTATGGCCAACATACAGCGACGAAGTCTCAAATCACCATGTACTTCTCATTGCCATCTTCTTCAATACCAAACAGCGAGCGAACCTCGAGTCATGGGCAGTCTTCGCAGATCGAACGGAGGAGTTCTCAAATATGTACCGGCGCATACTGTCCTTGAACTTGGACGGATCCTTACCGACAAATTCACGCCTCGAACTTCTGAGCTTCGTCATTGCTTCTTTCCAGTCCCTTGAGAAAGACTTCATCCGGAAGGAGTGTGCGCCCCTCGTCTCAATATCGATATGGTACAATCTTCACAGCGGTGATGCACGAACAAGAGCTATCGAGAAAAGTCCAAGTAGGAAAAAGGCATGGAAAGCAATGCAAAAGAGATTTGATGCTGCAAATTCTCAGGTCCAGGCAAGGATGAAGTTCGAGCGCTCGTGGTTATTCTCCATGATTTTAGATCTCCTAGTCCGGACGAACACAGTTACGCCTGCTGGAAGCGCAGAGACGACGTATTGCGAGAGGATTCTGGAGTTCGTGTGTGATTTGACCAGCCAGCTTCCCACGAGACGATACACCAATACGCTCATCAAAGACCTAAATCTTCTGCCCGTCTTACGGAGATCCAAGCTCTTTCAAAAGTCCGAAAACTCTCTCCTGAGAGATCTCGCCGCTCTTCTGAGCCACTTCCAGACTTTTGGGATCGATGATGCGGAGGGCAGTGAGATCACGAAGAATGCGACGCAATCAGCACATTACGAGGATTTGGCTCAATTGCAGCGCGTTGCTTTCAAGCATTTCGAAGAGAAGCTGAAGGTTCTTGCTCTCTCAAATTATGCATCGATTGACCAGCGAGGTGAGCTTGAGCAGAGCATTGGCTCGTTGGACGACAGCGAGATCGAGAAGCTGTGTAAGCTTCTGGGCTTTAGGACTTCATATCCCTCATCGGCTTCGATACCCTGCGGACGTGGTCTCTGGCAACAGACCTTGCTCGATGCCTATCAGAGACCCCAGGATTTCCGGGAGGTGATTGCCCAACTGTCAGTGGCGCCCACCGACCAGACACTGTATGAGGACAAGTATGTGCAACACGAGGCCTACGATGGAAAGAAGCCCCTGGCGCTTCCAAAGCTGAACTTGCAATACCTCTCTCTTAGTGACTTTATGTGGCGATCATTCCAGCTGCACCAGGCCGAGAGCTTCTACAGTATTCGCAAAGATCTGGAGAACATTGTGAAGCGCATGAAGCCCAAAACTGGCCGTGAAAGGGGCAGTACCACATTTGAAGGCTTCTCGAAGATGGCTATGCCAATTGATAAGCCTGCAATAATCGAGGTTACTCCGCCAAAAGTTGGCACAACATACCCCGGGTCTGTTCGGAGCGAAGTCATCATCGACCTCGGCAGACTCACTGAGTCTATGCGTGCCGAATGGGACAGTCTAAAGCCGAAGGATACGGTTTTCCTAATGTCAGTCATCGCTCCCGACGAATCAAACGGCAACACTGCTGGCAACAAGCCTACATTGTCAAGCGAGGCCGGTATTGATAGTCTTCGAACAGCAGAGGTCGTCCAGATACTCGATGAGAACAACAAGCCGCTACGAGATACGGCAAATGGCTATGTGTCACGGTCACGCAAGCGTCATTTGTTGATTGACCTGGATCCTGTCGCCTTCCAGGCAGACAAGGACAGTGGCAAGTCTGACTTATATACCAAACTCAATGTTATTGCGCGCAGGCAAGGCCGTGAGAACAACTTCAAGCCATTGCTTGAGACAGTGCAGAAGCTTGTTCGTACTCAAGAATCGTTGCCACATTGGCTGCAAGAGGTCTTCCTCGGTTACGGCGACCCAAAAAGCGCCTCTTTCATCCAACTCGAAGACAAGATACTGTCTCTGGACTTCCTAGATACGTTTGTCGACTGGGAACATCTCAAAGACAGCTTCCCAGGCAGAGACTTGGAGGGTGTGGCCGTGGACGCTACGACCTTCAGCCCGCCATATGTTCTTGAGCCGTTCTCGCAACCCTCTTCAGCGCCTCCCACAAACCCAAAGAAAAGAAGACGCGAGCAGCTAGAAGACACCGAGGACTCGTCGAAAGGCCCAATCAGAACCAGGACCTATAAGCCGGAGAATCAAGGGCCTTATCCGGTCGATGTTCCCAAGAAGAACAAGATTCGTTTCACACCAAAACAGGTGGAGGCTATTGTCTCTGGCACACAACCCGGTTTGAGTGTAGTCGTGGGTCCCCCTGGCACAGGCAAGACCGATGTGGCTACCCAGATAATCAATCTGCTCTACCACAACTTCCCGAAAGAGCGTATACTGCTCATTGCACACAGCAATCAAGCGCTGAACCAGCTCTTCCAGAAGATTGTGGCCCTGGATATTGACCCACGACACCTTCTCCGTCTGGGACATGGCGAAGAGGAGCTGGACACCGATGCATCGTACAGCAAGGCTGGCCGTGTTGATTCCTTCCTCGAGCAACGCCAGGGCTATTTGTCTGAGGTCAACCGGCTCGCTGCCTCTATCGGCGCGGAAGGTGCCCACGGCAGCACCTGCGAGACGGCTGAATACTTTCACCAAGTTTACATCAAGCCAGCATGGACCCGTTTCTGGGAGATGGCCAACTCTCCTACGGCCACTCGTGAGACGATCCTCACGGCTTTCCCTTTCCATGCTTTCTTCAGCAATGCTCCCATCCCCGAACTCTTCCCAGAATCCGCCAATATCGAAGATCTCCGCGATGTTGCTGCCGGCTGCGAACACCACCTGACGCACATCTTCACGTCTCTGTCCTCCATCCGCCCGTTCGAGATCCTCCGCCATCCGCGGGATCAAGCCAACCACCTGCTCATTTCGGAGGCTCGCATCGTCGCCATGACCTCCACCCACGCCTCTATCAACCGCGCCAGTATCGCCGCCTCGGGCTTCCACTTCTCCTCCCTAATCATGGAAGAAGCCGCCCAGATCACCGAACTCGAATCCTTCATCCCAATCTCTCTTCAAACCCCAACCAACACTCTCACCCGCCTCATCCTCCTCGGCGACCACCTACAAAACGCGCCCATCACCACCTCCCAAGCCCTCCGCTCGTACTGCAACCTCTCACAATCCCTCTTCCACCGTCTGATCCGCCTCGGCGTCCCCACCGTCCTCCTCGACGCCCAAGGCCGCTGCCGCCCCAGCCTCGCCCGCCTCTTCGCCTGGCGCTACCCTTCGCTGCACAACCTCCCCTCCACAAGCAGCACCCCACCCTTCCTCACCGCCAACGCCGGCTTCCGCTACGACTACCAATTCCTCGACGTGCCCGCCTACGAAGGTCAAGGGGAGCGCGAACCCAGCCCGCACTTCATCCAAAACCTCGGCGAGGCCGAATACGCCGTCGCCCTCTTCCAGTACATGCGCCTGCTAGGCTACCCGGCCCACAAAATCACCATCCTCGCCGCCTACGCGGGCCAGCGCGCCCTGATCCGCGACGTCCTTGCCCACCGCTGCAAGGGCAACCGGCTCTTCGGCCTACCCAAAGCCGTCTCCACCATCGACCGCTTCCAGGGCGAGGAGAACGACTACGTCATCCTGTCGCTCGTGCGCACCAAGTCCGTGGGATACCTGCGCGACGTGCGCCGCGTCACCGTCGCCCTCAGCCGCGCCCGCCTCGGCCTCTACGTGCTGGGCCGCACGGAGCTGTGGGCCCAGTGTCTAGAGATGCGGCCGGCCATGGAGGTGTTGCTGCAGAGGCCCACGACCTTGGAGGTCGTCACGGGCGAGGTCTGGCCTTGTGAGCGGCCGCTGCTTGAGGGTGGTGGCGAGGGGGAGGAGGGACAGCAGCAGCAGCAGGTCCAGGGGACGGAGATCGAGGGCGTGGAGCACCTGGGTCAGTATGTGTATGAGATGACGCAGGCGAAGGTCAAGGCGTTGGGAGGGCAGGTTGTTGTTGAGGAGCAGATGGATGCTGTGCAGGATAGAGTTGTTGATGATGTTGGGGCAGGGCAGGTCGAGGAATTGATGGAGGGAGAGGTGGAAGAAGACCCGCTGCATGAGCAGGTCATCGTGTAGAGTACTAGGAAGGGAAAGGGAAAACAATAACGGGACGGATGGTAGATACCCCTAGTTCTTGAATTTGATATGGCACACAGAATACGATCGACAGCATGATAGGTCCTGCTGTGATGATTGCTGCGCCTACCCGACCTGTGTCATGATCATTCTGCTGTGGTGTATTTTCAATCAAGAGCACCTTGCTTGCCCCCCGTAATACTGTGTCGTAGACTTGTGCTTTCTCGTTGTTCCGTCGTAGTCACCTTGTGCCAGACTTGTCGCCTGCGGAGCCAAGCGGCACAAGTAACACTTGGTAAACTCAGGCGCAGCTCCCCTGCACCATTTACAGCGTTTCCGCCTTCGTCTTGTCATACGCACGTTGTCTCGCCTCCACGGCCTTCCACTCCGCTTTCGCCCAGTTCAGGACGTCCTCGAATTGCAGCTCTTTGAATGCAGCCCGTGCCTGCGTAGCCGCTTGGTCCTCCATGTCATCATCTCCTATCAGCTCTCGCTTGATTCCCTTCATCGCAACTGTCACTTCACTCGATTCATTAGCCTCGCTCTGGATGTGCTTCCGAAGAGCCTCCCAGAGCTTCTGCTCGCCTGTGGTCTTGAGCGCTGAAATACGCTGAGCGTCGTAGCGGGCAGCGAAGTCGGGACCGAAGAAGTCCTTGGCTTCGGCAATAACATCTGCCTTGGTAAGATGAGCGGAAGCACGAGGAGGATCATCAATATGGGTGGGAAGGTAGACGCTGATCCAGTGGTCGTACATTGGACGAGTCTTAAGACGCTTGCGATCGGAGGGCTTGAGGTTGAGGGCGTCGGTAGGAGCGGAGTTTTCAGCTGACGTGGTTCCACTGCTGTTGATACCTGAGCTAGTATTGGTAAGAGCATTGATCTCCGGTGCTGTAGCTTGGATTTTGCTAGCAGGGAGCATGCGACCGATCTGGTCAAAGACTACGGCCGCCATGTTTCGGACGAGGGCCGTCACATTCGGCATCGTGAGAGAGACTGAACCCTTCGACTCGCTGACAGGGGTAGCCACACCGCTACTGGTCGGCTCGCTATTGTCATCACGCCGATTGGAGATGAAAGCTGGGTTGTGGAAACGACAAGTCGCCGCGAAATCCATGAGGTCGTCCCAAGAGGCGAAGTGTTGCCAGAAACGCTCAGTTTCGAGGTCAAGGAAGCGGAGGACTTGGTCGGGGTCGCTGGTAGCCAGCACACGACCGAGCTTGGGGTGTGTCTTGAAGAGTTCAGGAATGCCTACGAAGAAGCCCTTCTCAGAGATCTGCAAGCACTTCGGGCGGCATGTGAGAGTGATGATCATGTTGAGATCACCGTGTGCATGCATGAAAGACATCCAATTGAAGCTTTGGAGGGTTGGCAGGATATGGATGTCAACTTGGATGTAGCGGATCGAGGCATCGGTATTGCCGAGCTGGTCAGGTGTAGCAGGGTGGTCAGACACTTCTTCGGGCCAGATGATGGCAAAGTTCCATTGGTCAAGCGTTCCAATGCGCCGGGAGTGCTCAGCACCAATGATAGCAGCGATGTCTTCAGTCTTGTAGTTTAGAGCCTCGATGTTGGTGGAATCGTCAGTGGCTGGTCGGAACTTTGTAATTGGTCCGCAGAGCAGAATATCAATGTCGCCATGATCCTTCTTGCCGGGCGCTTCGAGCGGAGTTGCAACATAGGTGAAGTGCTGCTTGAGCAGATTTTGCAGGCGCTCTCTGACGGCAAGGTAGACGTGCAGAGGCATGCGCGGGGTTTCGAGGTCTCGAAACGCGTTGCCGCCCATACTGGCGAAGTGTCGAGACTTTTGCAAGATTTGGCGGTCTCAAGGTGCTGACCGGTACAGAGAGAGGCAAAGTTGGCAACTTCCGCCAATTCAAGCAATTGCGATTGCCGTTTGTTCGCCTTCTGCCAAGTATGATGCAGTCAGGCAACGGCGGGTGACAAAGGCAAGTGTGATATCACATTTGACACCTTTCGGCTCGTTTCTGAATAATGGACACAACTGGGCAATGGCAGTGGTTTGGACCATGCGGCGTAGTTTGCTGTAGGTAAGTCGTTGAGCTTGAGCAAGCTCCTCAGCCTGGTGTTGTCTTCATGAATGAAGCGTCCTGGGCGACTCTGCATTCAACGACTTCCCTTTGGCACGATTCGTCGAATCCGCAACACCCACTCGCCCTTATCATATTGTCCCTTTACTGTTTAGGATGAACAGAAGGTTGCGACTGAAATGATCAGTCGGCTTGAATCTGAGAGACAACTTACAGGGGGGTCATGCTCCTTGGCGCCGGAAATAGGAGATAGCGCCCCTGTGATGCCAGCCTCACCCTGGAGTTACTACTCATCAACGAGTCTTCGATAGCTCAGAGATCAAGGATCGTCAAGCTTCAGGTCCATGACCTCGATGCCAACTCCTGTCACCACTATCGCCGACTTCACTGTGTCAATGGAGCTCACATCAGCCACACCGGTCCACCACTCTCGCAACTTGAGCACTCGGATCTCAGATGCACTACCTCTTGTGCCTGGAGGTACCACGACATCCCAGACCTTGACTTTCTGGTCATTCCCGGCCGTGACCACCCGCACCCGCCAGTCACCGCCGTGTTGAAGGAGAGGAACAATCGTGAGAGCAGTCAATGCCGCCGCATGTGCATCACAAACACGAACAGTCGCGAAGGCTGTTGTTGATTCTGAATCAGTAGACATGATTGTCAACCCGAGAGCGTTGTCGTCGCCTCCCGTCGCGATGAACGATATGTCCACACCCATACTTACCACGTCCATGGCAAGTATGCTGGATTGATGCACACTGTGCACAGCCATAGCTTGTGCAGACCCTTCACTAGAGGTCTCGACGTTGGCCAAGTTTAGGAATCCGTTTGTGCCTGCGGAAAGCAGGTACTTCCTCTCAACTTCGGAACCTACGGTTGACAAAGGGACATCGAAGATCTGCATCAAGCAGAAGGCTCCGAGCAGTACTTGCCGCTCGAGCTCCCAGATACCTTCTCCTGGCAGCTTCCCTGGCGAATATCGTAGAACCTTTATTTTTCCGTTCGAATAAGCAGCTGCTAGTCGGAATCTCACTTCGGCACCACTCGTCTGCTCCTCTGCCAGGTCAGGACGAACACTCAAGCTCATGATTCGGACATCAGAGTCCTCGTCCGTCTGCGGCATCTTGTCCTGCAGGACACTGCCAATGCCCACAGCTGGCACCTCGGTTGTGAGGCGCCATGCATAGAGTTGCTCGGCACCTCCGCAGCTGAAAAGGTACGTTCCGCAGGGTGAAAATACCAGATCCTGTAGCCCAGCGCTGTGGTCATTCATCGTGCAAAGCTGTGTCAGCTGTGTTTCACATCCAGATCGGTCCATTTCGGGATTGACGGCGAAGATACGGATGGTTGTATCTTCGGCACCAGTCGCAATCAAAGAGGCATGTAGGATACCTCGACCTGGATCAGAGTATTGTAGTGGGTAGGTGGCTAGAGCCTTGATCTCTCGGCCATGACCTCCTGTCTGGATAACTTGACGGTGAAGTGACTCTTCTGAATGTAAATTGAAAGTACTTGCCTTTGTCCAGACAAATGTTCCGCCCGCTTGTCTACGGGATCTATTCTGTCGATAGGCCCAACTGCGATGCGCACCGCCGCAGTCGACGGAAAAGACATCGAGCTGCATTGTCTCGTTCCAGACCACGAATTCTTTGGACCTGAAGCCGTGGAGAACGAGATTTGTCTGACCTTCTGAGCCAGCACTTACCACAGTCGCCCCTTCCACGTATGGACCGAACGGAGGGCAAGAGCAATGCACTGTGTGGAAAGTAACCGATCTTTCTTCCGAGTTCGTGGTAATGCAATGAATGCCATATCTGCCGTCTCGGCCCGTAGAAAGCACGTACATTCCGCGATCTGTTGATAGGTCTCCGATAAACTGCAGTGACGTGACCGCGTCGTTGCCATGTACGTGTCGGATGCAGATCGGTTGTGTAGACTCGGACACATCATGCTTGAGTCGCGGGTAAGTGGCGACGGCTCCGGCCCTGGACCCTAGGACAAGAACGTCGGCCTCGAAGTCGTAGCAGGAACTTGTGACGGCAAAATGGTCTGGTAAGTTGAGGATTTGTGATTTGCTTTGGATGTCCCCCAGCTCCTGTTGGATCCAGACGACGCAGACGGTGCCGGTCATTGACGTAATGACGATACATAATTGCAGCTTCCCCTGTTGCCGATTTTCAAGTGCACCGGCAACTTGGATCCAAGCCACCGCTTGCGGTTTCATGTGTGGGAGTTCCACAAAAGCCCCCTTCGTGCCTTCTATCCGGATCAGTACCCCGTTTGTAGCAGCAGCAATCAAGGTACTGGCCGGTGAATTACTGCAGAGTTTCGTGAGTCGCCTCTGAGATCCGTCAGCAAGTACGTCCCAGCGCTCCGTACCATCCTCGCCCGGGCGGCAGCGAACAATAGCGCCTGCGGCTGTCAATGCCAGCACCTCATCGCCCCCTGCACCTTCAACGATAATGTAGTCCTTCAATGACTGGGACGCTGCGGGGAGTGGTAGCTGTTTAAACGGCAGCTTGAACGCTTGCAGTCTCCTATCGCAGGCGTTAGCTGCATCACGCTCGATTTGTCTCTTGACGACCCGGCCATCTGCGCCCCCGGAGAGAATGATAGTGGTGGCGGCCTCGCTATATTTCGTCCAGGCCCAGATATTCTTGCCGGAGTGGTGTCGATCGTTCGAGATGGGCGAGAGTCTAGCACACGTCTCGCTCGTCCTGTCCCTGGCTGGCAACGAGGTAGTCCACAACTGACATGTACCATCCTCGCCTCGTGTCATCATAGTGAGTTTCCCATCGTCGGCATCAGAGTCGGACAGGAAATTAACGTCCCATATGCGCGACTGATGGCCCCATCCTGTGGCAACGCGATGCCGGATCTCCTGCGCGTCTTGGCCAAAGCCAGTATTTATGACTTCTGTCACGCCATCGACGCTCAAATTCGGCTCGTCATAGTCACTGACGTCCCACACCTGTACCGTTCGATCGTCACTACAGCTCGCCACGAATCTTGCCTGCTTCCCATCCCATCTCAGCTCCTCTGAGATTCGGACGCCAAAGATCGAGCCAGTATGGCCTTCGAAGCGGTGCGTTGTGTGTGTGATCCACTCAGATGATGTGTCTTCGCTGATCCGCTGGCATGTCCACACCAGCACTTCACCAAAAACTGACCCAGCAGCTACCAAGAGCTGGTTGCTAGAGATGGATGCGACATCGCCAGAGTACAGGAATGACCCAGGACCCCTAGCCAGCTCACCGATGGTGTGCAACTCACGCGACGGCACTTCTGACTGTAACTGAAAAAGCACATTGTTGGCTGTCAGGAGCAGGAAGCAGCCGTCGTGCGGATGTAGTCGCAAGATCCATTCCTTGGCATTGATTTGATGCCGTGATTCAACTCGGACGGCCACACCACCCTCACCGGCATCCTGAAGTGAAAGCAAAGCAATGAAACGACCACCCCCTACTACGATCGTCGGTTCATCAGGGAAGTCTTGGTGCGTGATATGGTGGATCGGCTGGACAGGAAAGATTTGATGCGTCCCCAGTTGCTGCCCGGTAGATGCGTTGTAGAGGTGGAGATGGGGCCCTTGACCAGCTAAGATGATGCGACGGTCTCTTATGAGTAGAGTTTCAAGGGCGGTGATAGGCAGGTGCATCGTTACGGAAGGGAAGTTGATGCTTTAGAATCCTTTTGACACGGAGGGATGCTTTTCAAAAGACGTTGATGCCAGCACAGAAAAGCGGTCATTTGAATGCCCACATCGCGGACGCGAATATTGCATCGTTGCTACCGTACTCACCTCGGTGTAGCGGCTGGTGAAGACATCGTCTTCCTTTGAAATGATCTGTAATACCCCATGCTGAGCGCAATGGCCTAAAAAATAGGTCGTTCACAAGCTGCAAGATCGTGGCCCGTTGATGATTGAATATAATTGCACTAGCAGCAGGCGTCGGTGCACCAGCTAAGTATGATGGTGACTACATGATCAGGAACGAGTACTACCGCATTACCTACATTCCCTTGACTATCCTTTTTCGATGACGCCTTGTACGTTTCGCAAAACACACCAGCTTCCCTCACTTCTACCGGGATCCCAGCCCCGTCTTTCTTTTCACAGGCCATTCAACTTTCCGAGGCCGATCCCATGGACTGACGGTCTGAGTCTAGATCTAGCAATCCCCGAAACAGCGAGCCGATTCAACGCTCAGCCTACGTAGGTACTGGCGGGATCATTCGCCCTGTTCCTCCTGCTCCGGCGGAGCAGCATCGCCAGCCCCCTTGGCCTTCTCCTCCGCGACCCGAAGCTCCTCTGCAGCCTTGTCCAAGTTGGCCTTCGCATCTGCGACGGCCTCGGCCGCGGCGTTGTCGGTTTCCTTCGGCGGTATGGCCGTGGGCGACATCAAGGGACCGATTGGGCCCAGGCCCGAGGTCTCGGATTCGTCGTCGAGCTTTGACTCATCGGCAGGTCTGCCTCCATCAGCCTCGACAGCATCATCATCAGCATCAGCCTTGGCCTCAGGCTCATGCGCAGGCTCCGGGCCGCCATTGCTGCAGCCCAGCTTAGGATCATGCCACCGGAGTGTGTCCGACTTGGGCGGGTCGGCGCAGCTGGCGTTGAACTGGCGCATGCAGCACTCGAGGTGGGCCATGGCGTCGCGCTTCTGGTCGTCACCGTCCCACCGGTTGCCGTTGAGCATGTCGATGACCCACTTGAAGTAGGCGTGGCACTGGCCCGTGGGGCGGCAGCAGTTGCCCTCGTGGTTGAAGACGGGCGGCTTGTGCAGGTCAAGGTTTGGAACTGGCATCTTGAAATGCGGGTGGCCGGGGGCGAAACTGGGGAGGAGACCGGCGTCTTCTTCGTGGACCGTGCCGCTGGTCAGATCGTGGTTCTGGGGGAGAAGGAATGTTAGCAGGAGAAGCGCGAGGTGCGGGGAGGAAGCGAAGGTGGCGGACCTTGTCGAGTGTGAACTTCAGCACTTTGTTGGAGCCGTAGGAGACAGGAACCGGGCTTTTCGCTGCGAGTGCAGGAGAAACGATGGCAGCACCGGCGGCTGCGAGGAGCGTGGTGCGCATGCTGGCAGTGATGCTCGGTGAGGAATCCTTGCAGAAGCGAGAACCACACGCGTGTGCAGAGAAAAGTACAGGTTGTTCAAAGAGGCACTGGCATCCCAATGGCTGTCAAGAGGAATATATATCTCTTTCCACTGACCACGCCTCCCACCGTCAGAGATTCGGGTCAGACTGGATCTCTCGAAAGAGCTTCGTTTTTCACATCGATGTATGGTGGCTATTCATGCCGTGGAGCTACCATTGATCCATGGCTCTGAGTGTAAGACTTGCCTTTTGAGCAGAGCATGCATCAAAGTCGCGCGGAACCAAAGCGGAACATTGTGTGAATGGGTTGCACAACATGCGTTCGCATATACTGAAGTGAGATTCATACGCATTTCTGGACCTCTCGTACGCATTTCTGGACCTCTCGTACGCATTTCTGGACCTACAACCTACACAATGGGTCCAGTCAGCGCTGCAAGGCAACCACACAACACATGCGAACCAAGGCAATCAACCATTCCACGTTTACCTGAACCATATCATCCGGCCCCTCCCCAACCATATATGTAAGTTCCACACGCTGAAGTACGGGACACCATATCCCTTTCCAGCGTACAAAAGCATTTTGGGGCTTCAATTCGACGAACTCTTGGTCGCTCGAGGGGAAATCGGCCCCGGGGAACGTCTTGTACATACATATGCCCTTCTCAAGGAAAATGCATCCCCGGTGTTGACACCCTTTCCTCCGTACACTTCATGTGAAAAGACTGCTGGCGATTTTATGTTCAAAATCAGACGGGCCCCTCAAAGCATCATGTCGAAAAAGCATTTCCACCAGCTCATCCATCCATCAGACGCTACCCACTCTCCTTGGCCCCTACATCGTACCAACCGTGCACAAATTGCCGCGCCTCAACCAGATTTCGCCGACGGTGAAGCTTCGCTGGACGCTGCATTCGGCTTCCTAAGGCCGAGAGAGGGTGCTGAGGCCCAGCTCTCGCGCATGGAAGTGCCAGGGCGAGGCAGGCGAGGGTGTGGGCCGAGGCGACCATGACGCCGAAGACAGGGAGAGTCTCGAAGCGTGAAAGCGCTCGATGCTGCTGCTCTTTCTATTGTCCTGGGTTATTGCCGGTGCCCTTCGTCGGCATGGGAGAACCCAGCTGTATCTTTGCTTCTATACCAGCCTGGTCGAAAGAAGTGAGGCCTCCTATGTACATTGACGGCGAATTTCCAGATCCACACAGAGGTCAGCCCTGGAAGGTTCGGTCTGGACCGTAGCATGATCCATGACAGAGGCATTCTCGTTGTCTCGACGTCCGCAGAGTGTCTTCACGTAGTAAGCGAGGCCCAAGCAGCCCCTAGCAGATATATTGGAGCGCTCCTTCTGAGCCCCCGCCCGCACATCTGTTCTTAGAGGCGCGGCCCGGCCGCTCAATGATCAGTGCGACGGATCCAACGTAGACTCGGACGATATATGTTGGGTTCTCTGCATGGGAGTTCGTCAGGCGTGTTTCAAGTTTCAGGTTCCAAGATAGGGTTGGTTGCTGCGGATGACCTAAGCCATTGGACTTAAAGACTTATACGGGCACTCCGCACGCTTGTAGGCCCGGACACATGTGTTTGTTGCATGTCCACACAGTGTCTAGGGTAGGTAAGGAAAGGCACTTCCCTTCATCTTTACAGACTGTGAGGAACAGGGATGGATCGATCAATGTGAGGGGAATTGAGCAGTACGGGGCCAGCCAGGGTTGAGTCCCCAATGAACGCCATGAGAAGAGCGACCATGCATGAACATCACGCCGCGAGACAGGCGTTTCCTTGGGGCATAAGTGGGCGGAATATTTTATCAAATATATAATTCTTTAAGCAATTTTTTGGCTTGAAATGACGCACAGATTGAACTCCCAACAACTCCACCAGGTTTTCTGGTTCAATTCAGGCCGCTTGGTGTAGTGGTTATCACGTTTCCTTTACAAGCTCTTTGACGAACGGAAAAGGTCGCCTGTTCGATCCAGGCAGTGGTCAATTTTTTTTTGTTTTTAAGCATTCTGAGGGATACCAGGACGGAGACCAGCAGAGCTGAAACCAGACAGAGTCTACTCCGTACACCCTATCTTCTCCATTGTTGCAGGAGATTGGTGCTCCAAAGCCCTACGAGCGCCCCTGATGGTCCGCTGGGGCCACCCACCGCAGAACGACAGAGGCTGCTGAGGAGCTATCCGTATCTGCCGAGACTGATCCGACGTTCATCACGGTGGGCACCGTCTGGGCGCCAGTATTGAGACTATGCGTTCACTAAGCCCCTTACAGACATTATTGACGATCGATTTAATCTACCACTGGCAGATCTCTCGTCTCCTTCCACAACATGACCAGTTGTTGTGCTCCTTCTGCCTAACTGGAAACACACAAGCACGTTGATCAGATGACGGGCCTGCACACCTCTGGCAGTGATGCCTCGCGCCAGTCGTCATATCCTCGATCTGCAATGAGCGAATCTCTCGGTAAGTCGGAAGCAGACGGGGTACTGGAATAGAAAGCAGCGCTGCCCCCAGTCCCTTTTCCACGTTGTTTTGCTCGAGCCCAAAGCTGTCACAGATTCTTTCGCTACATGTCAAGTCGCTCTCTTACCAGCACAATCCTTCAAAAATGTATCGCACACTCGTTATATTGGCTTTCGCAGCATTTACATTCGCAGCCCCAATCCCAAGCGACAACAATGCACTGAGTACCGTTGTCAGCCGCGATGTGGTTGATGGCGCAAAGCATGCCTCATACGTGGTTGCTCGGCAGGAGGACGAAGACCTGGAGATGGGCGGCACCCCTTTTGGCAAACGCGGGGATAAGGAAAAGGACCTGGAACTTGGTGGCACACCTTTTGAGAGGAGACAAGAAGACGAAGACGTAGAGCAGGGCGCCACGCCTTTCGGCAAGCGTGACGACAAGGACAAGGATTTGGAGCTCGGCGGTACTCCCTTCGCCAGAAGACAAGAAGACGAGGACCTAGAAGAAGGCGCCACCCCGTTCTCTCGACGTCAAGAAGATGAAGACTTGGAGGAGGGTGCCACACCATTCTCCCGCCGTCAAGAGGATGAAGACTTGGAACAAGGTGCCACACCCTTTGGCAAGCGCCAGGAGGACGAGGACGAGGATCTCGAAGAAGGCGCCACCCCATTCTCTCGTCGTCAAGAAGACGAGGATCTGGAACTAGGCGGCACTCCCTTTGCAAAGCGAAGCATCTTCGACAAAATCGACACGGCCGGCTTCCAGCACGAACATGAGGCAAAGCTTGCGGGCGCCGAAGTTGAAATCGAGCACGAAGACGGCGCTCTTGAAGTCGAGGTCGAGCCCACCGAAGGCACCGAGGTTGAGGTTGAGACTTAAAACGGCACCCAACATTTCTCTGTTGGATCATCTAAGAGAGGCAGCCCTCTTTTCTTACCGTTCGGCCTAGGGCCCACATGTTGTATATGACCACCACTACCCACGCTCGCTAGAGTCTACTTCTATTGCGCCGTCCGCTTCGACAGCGGCTAGAGCTTAATGAATGATACCTGGGCACTCGCCCTCACTCTCAAATCCGTCTACTGTATCTCACGTCTTCAAGTACCTGAACCCATCCACCGCTTCTATCCACGCGTACCCACTACTATCCACCACAGGCAACATCTTCTCCTTCCTCTTTGCCTCAATTTCATTCGCCTCCTTCCACCTCTCGACCTCGGCCTCCACGCTCCAGTCACTGATCCCTTCCTGCCCTCGCCCGATCTGATGCAGCTGCGTGCCCGAACTCTGCGTGTTGAGCGGCAGCGGCATGAAGTTCTCGATCGCACTGGTGACTTTGCCCTCCAAGATCTCCTTGCACAGATAGGGCTCGGCCGCCAGGGGGCGCGCGATGCCGACGCCATCACATGCCCCGGACTCGACGGCCTTGACCATCCCTGACGCCGTGCGCAGGCCCCCGGTTACGTAGACTTTGGTCTTCTTCAGCAGTGGGCGGAGCTGTTCGGCGAACTGTTTCGTTGTCGTCTTCGTTAGCTAATCAAAACAGCAAAACTCACACATAATGCCGATGTTGCAGAACGGATAGTAGGGAAAACCAAAACGAACCTCGATGAAATACGCCTCCCGCTTCACCGTACTCTCCTTCTTATGCTCAAACGCGCGCGCCTCAAACGTGCCGCCACTCAAATCCACAAAATCCACACGCGCCTCTTCCAGCTTGAGTGCCAGCTCTCGCGCCTCCTCGGGCGTGGTGCCCTTGTCCTGAAACTCCACGCTGTTCAGCTTGACACAGACGATGAAGCTCGGATCGTACTGGCGCACGCGCCGGTCAATCTCCTGGATGATCTCAAAGACAATCCTGCTCCGGTTGGCGAGATTCCCGCCATACTCATCCGTGCGCTGATTGGTGCTGGGACTCAAGAACTGCGCGAGCAGGTAGCCGTGGGCGCAGTGGACCTGCACGCCATCAAAGCCCGCCTTCCAGCACAGATAGCTCGTCTCCCCCCACAGGCGCACCATCTCCTTGATCTCCGCCACCTCCATGGGCCGCGGCGGCGCGAACTCGTTGCCCGCCCACTTGATCTTCAGATGCACGTCGCTGGCGCTCACCGGGTGGGGGTTCAGCCACTTAGTGCCCTGCCGCCCCGGATGGCTGAGCTGCGCGACCATCAGACTGCCGTGCTTCTTCGCCGCAGCAGTCACTTCCTGGAACGCGGCGACGCGGCCGTCGTGGTCATCGCACAAAATCGGGTTCCCGAACGCTTCCACGGCGTCGTACTTGACCATCGTGTTGCCGGAGACGATGACGCCGATGCCGCCCTCGCCCCACCGCTGGTACAGGTGCGTGTACTCGGGCGTGGGGCGGCCGCGGGCGCTGATGGGCTCCGAGGGCGAGTTCCACGCGCACAGGCGCTCCGTCATGGGCCCTTTGAGGAACCGGTTGTGGGCCGTCTTGCCGGAGAAGGGGAAGGTGAGGGGCTGGGACAGCACCGAGGTGTCGGTGGGGGGACCGGCGACGCGGACAGCGCCGCCACGGGACGAGTCGGTGGCGGTGGTGCCGTGGGCAATGGCGGCGCCCGAGGGGGCGCCTGTGGCGGTGGTTGCTGTTGAGGTGTCGTATTCCATGGCTTATGGGGGCTTAGAGTCACAGGGGGCGGGAGCTTCAGTGATGGCTGAGCCGAGGAGTGGAAGCAGGTTCAAGTCTATCGTCAGCAGTAAATAGGAGGGGTTCAGCGAAAGCACATCTATAGCACGGCAAAGACGGGGTCAATCATGTAACCAAGTCCCTTCCGAGGTCGGGTCACGAACTTCATTTGGAGTTTGGGGTATTGGTAACAGCTTGATTGTCTCATGAACACACGTCACGGTAGCCGGGTACAGGGCAGCGAAGGGAAAGCCGTGCGGAGACAAAGTTGCAAGTCTGAGCAAGGGAAGTTCTCCATCTTCAAGAGAAACGGGCCTGCTGCTTACCTAATACGCTGTCGTGGGTTGGTAGTGTGTCGCCTTTTGACTATTGTGTTGTATATAGTACGTATGTTTAGACGAGCTTTAGCAGAGGCATTTACTTGCACGAAGAAAGGCGCGCGGTGTAAAGTCGCATCAAAGCTGCAAGCAGGGCGTGATGAGATATGTTTTCAAGACTTAAGGATTGAATGGATGGCAAAATTCTATGCGGGCACGATGTCCAGTGAGAAGGAGGTTCTGGAGCGAATAGCTGAGCTAGCACGATGAGACAGCAATAAATGTGCACGAGACGCTCCGGTCGTGGCGTCGCTGGCGTGTTGCAATTGCTGCCATGACGAGCGAAGAGCCAGCCAGGGTGGACGGGATTCGCTGTATGACTCGAGACTGGACTGGACTGCGGCAACGACATGAAGTGCGAAAAAGGCGCTTCCGACTCGATCGAGAGCATTCGTGAAGGGTTTTAATTTTTGATTTGAGTGGCAAGCTTGATGCTGCTCACCGGTCTTTGAAGGCCGCCATGCTTTGGTCATCAAAAACTCCATGCGCGTCCAACCCGAACTGCTTATCTGGCAGACGAGACGCTGTTTGTGGCATTCATGTCACCATCGCCCATCACCATCAACATCACCGTGCGCTCTTCAGCCCTCCTCCATCATATCTTCATCTAGAACTTCGAGAAACTCTTGACCGCCTTGCCGGTTCGGGGAAGGACACGGAGAACGTTGAAACGGACCTATAGTGTTCATGAGTATTTTTTGTCTTGGACATCTTTCAGAAAAATCACCACTTACAGTCTTGCTGAGGGGACGGCACTGGCCAACGGTGACCTGGTCACCTTCCTCGACACGGAAGCAAGGGGACACGTGCGCGGCCAGGTTGGTATGTCTCTTCTCGTAGCGGGAGTACTTTGGGATGAAGTGTAGGTATTCTCGTCGGATGATGAGGGTACGGTGCATCTTGGTAGAGATGACGGTGCCGGTCAGGATACGGCCGCGGATGGAGATCTGACCGGTGAAAGGGCACTTCTTGTCTGTAAACCTCCAATGTTAGACCTGATAACTGATTTGTGGGTTGATGCGCCCTCTTTGCAGAAGACACGTCGTCGCCGGACAACACTAACCGATGTAGCTGCCCTCAATGGCAGTCTTGGGGGTTCTGAATCCCAACCCGACATCTTTGAACCATCTCCGACCGGCCTTGCCAACCTTCTTGCTCTTCGCGGCCTTCGACTTGTGGTTGAGGAAGATGTGCGGCTGCTTCTGGTAGGCACGCTCGGACTGGACTGTCAATTCGGTAGCCATGGTTGCGGCTGGTGCTCGACAGGACGGGTGCGTGGAGGGAAAAGTTGTCGTTTGGCGATGAGGTGCGGTTTGTGCTGCGGTCGCAAGCCATCTGCAAATTCCATAGTGGAGGCTTGGCATAAGCCAAGAGTTCTCGGCTGCCGGCTGTTCTGTTTCTCCGGTGTTGACAGTCCAATCTTGGTCTAGCTCCAAATGACACGGTGCTGCGGGTCGCCAAAGGTCAACTCCATCCGTCTCAGAACCCTCAATATTGTTATGATTCACGATCGCGCCTTTCGGTCCATGTTGTAGAAGCGCGCGCCATACAGTAGCTCCGTGACGAGCTCGCGCGACCACTATGGACACTACACTTCCCAAAACCGGCCGTCCAAAGCGCAAATCTATCGCCCACCAGCCTTCGACGGCTACCAACGCCAGTCACCGCGACAATGCCACTGCAGATATCGCAGCTTTGCAAAGAGCTGAAGCGGCAGAGGCAGCGAAAAAGAAATCTCGAGGCAAAAGCTTGGGTCCTGGTGGCCTTGAGGCGCTCAAGAAAACCTCTGGCAATGCGACAAAGGTATGCTAGAATCGCGTCAATGACTCAAGTTCGCAACTGACTTCTTCAGGCTGAAACCGCCTCCCTACCGCGATCAATCTTGAAGCCAACCGTCCCATTGACCCCTCCCAAGGTCATCCCTTCATTTGACGAATTGCGACAGCGCAGCACTAGAAAGCGATCGCCTGCCAAATCCGGCGCCGAGGAGCTCTTGATCGATTTCTCTACACCGGGGCCGAGTCGTCAAGATGGCGCTGAGGTTGCATTGTCTGGAGCGGAAAACGTCATGGATCCATTCAGTCCCACGAAGCCTCAGGCTAGCAATCAGCCTGAAGAGGAGGACAAGGAGGAAGAAGAGCGGCGTCAGGCTCAGAAGCAAGCAATTCTCGACCGTCGTGCTGAGCGCAGGAAGTCCATGGCTAACAGACGCGTCTCATTCGCGCCCGAAGCTACTTTGCATACCTGGAGTGTCATGGAGCTAGCGGAGGACTCTACCACAAGCTCAGCCTCTAATTCCACGAGGCGTCAGTCCTCAATGACTGCGCAACAAACCCCTCAACAAGCTTCGTCCTCACAGTCTCCGTCAGAACGACCCACGACGCCTCCAGAGCAGACCGAGGAGCCTCAAGTCGCTGCCTCACCCGCCCATCAGCGAGACCTGCATCAAAAGAAGCGGCGTAGGAGTAGCACTGGTCCGGCTGCGCAGCTAGAGGGGTCTCTTGATGATGTCTTCTCCTCTAGTCCGTCCGGTGATATACATACGGAAAGCAGCCCGGTTCGCATCGACGATAGTGCCGAGTCTGACGACGACGACGATACAGATGGCGACACGGCCATGAGCATGGACGAGGCGACTTCACAATCTATTGGCTCAGAAGACTCAGCAAGCTCTCAGTCGAGTCTAGAACACCGACTCCGACAGGCTTCGACACATGCTGGCACCCGAGGTATCGAATACGACGAATATGGAGACGACCTGCCAATGGAGTTGGCAGAAGACACTGTCACGAACGCGTTCAAACCATGGGCTAATCAAAAAAATGATGCCGATAACAGCGCGATGGAAGACCAAGAAAACATTAACCCTTTCTCCCCTGCGTCGAAGGCAGTGCAAGCTCAGATAAAGCCATCGGCAGACGATGATCAAGATGGGGAAGAGACCCAGGACATGAGCATGGACGTTACCAACGCCATAGGTGGAATCTTGGCGAAAGGACCTGCTGCTGATCAGAGGCGACGAAAGTCGGTGGCGAAGCACCGCCGCAGCAGTGTCGCTCGCCGCAGATCATCTGGAGTGGACACCTCCTACGGTGACGAGACGATGGATTTTACCGCAGTTAATGGCGGCATCTTGAATGCGCATCACGGCCAACAAGATGAAGAGATGTCTGACGAGGATATGACCATGGAATTTACGAACGTAATTGGAGATGGCCTTGCCCAGCAGAATGAGAGCGACCATGATGATGCGACTATGGATCTGACTCGCAACATGGAGATGACCTCTGCGGTAGGTGGTGGCATTCTCGACACCATCGAAGAACAGACCGAGCCTCAGACCGATCTGGATGACACTCAGACTATGGCAATGGAGATGACACGAGCTGTGGGCCGTATTGTTCCCTCTCAGCAATTCACGGATGAAGATACCACGCAGATGGAAATGACGAGAGCTGTTGGCGGCATATTGCCCAAGGGGTCTACTCCGGAAAAGACGCAAGCAAAGCATCTGATGCAGGAAGAAACCGATGCAGGTCAGCTGAGCGTCTCGCCACTTCCAGCGCGGGCCCAATCTACTCCGAAAACTCAAGGCCTCGTGACATCTATCGCGTCCGAGACAGGCAGCCCTGACATGGCCCTGAAGCCCAGACTGTCGGGAAGGTCGAGACAGACTCCCAATGCTGCATCTACGACACCAAAATTTAGCCCACGCCGACCATCCCCTGCGAAAGGATCGCCATCTAAAGCTGTTAAATCGACTCCCACCAAGCAAGTTACGCCTGTACCGATTCGTTCAGAGAAACCGAACAGAACGCCCATCAATGGAAATGTCTCGCAGCGCAGTGCTTCACCCAAGCGACTGTTCGAAGACGAACTTCAAGCGCGAAAGTCACCTGCTTCTGTCCAAAAGCCGACTTCACAAAAAAATGGCTTGTTCTCGCAGGACGAGCATACCGGACGACAAACTCCTAGAGTTGTATTGAAGGCACATCGACCTCAATCACTCCGAAGACGCTCGAGTGGAGTTGGTATTGACCAACAAGGGTTCGGTTCACCTCAGGTTGCTGAAATCCTAGATAGACGGTCTTCTATCGGTGATGCTGCGCCATCTTTCAAGCTTGAAAGAGCCCAAAAGGGCAAATTGCGCTTCGAGGACCCGCAAGAACTTGAACGTGAGATCGATGCCGAGAGAGCAGAGGAAGAACGCCGAGAAAGTGGTCGCTTCATCATGGAGCAAGAGGCAGATGTTCAGCAAGAAGAAAACACGACTATGCAGCTCAGTCAAATGATTGAGTCCATGACCCCCAAGAAGGAGAAAATGACCAAACTGAAAGGGCGGAAGAGTCTTGCAGTTGGTGGTGCAAAGGGCCTGTTGGGCAAGCGCCCCGCTGAGCTCGACATGGATGACGAAGATTCGCCAAATAGCCCAAAGCGATTGAAAGTAGTCGCGCGCGAGGGCAGCCCCGTCAAGAAGGTCTATCTGCCGAAGCCTCCATCTAAGGAAGAGACAACGGGTCGCCTCACTCGCGCCGAACAGCGACGACTGCAGGAGCTGACCATGACGGGGAGCACCACACCAGCTGTCTCCCCACCAAAGAAATTTGCAACGAGCCCCAGTGGTGGTTCTCGATATCGAGATGTGCCCTTGGACCAGAGTGCTCAGCGACCGGAGTCTTTTGTCGACAAGCTTGACAACGTGGTCGGAGCTGTCAGTGTGTCCACCGAGCATGCAAACGGTGATGAGCAAGAGAGAATCTCCCTCCAGGATTTCTTGAACATGACCAACATCCACTTCATCGAGCTCTCAACCACGAAGAGAAGACATACCCAAGCTCCCGTTCCTCAGCGGCCCTCGCAGGAGCAAGCCGACAAATCAACAGAGGCCAAGTTCGTTGCTGCTGCCACTACCCTACCTTTACTGGAGCTGTATCAACATGCTACCCGAGAGTTGAAATCGTACATTTCTACCGGTCGTAAGATCATCAGATCCATCGAAAGTGAGACCTTGCACGAGCAACCTGCGCTGTTTAACGAGTATGTCGATGCTCGGCCTGATGTCAAGGCGGTTATGGACAATCAATTCCGGAACGGCAAAACGAATGCGAGACTGCAGAGCAAAGAAGGGTGGTACACGTGGCGAGCGCAGCTCGTTGATGGTCTCTACAATGGGCTCGAGGGCATCAAGAGGGGCATGCAAAAGGATGCAGTTCAGTTGACTCAACAACAGCAGGCTCTCAATGGCGTTGTACCAGCACTTGGCGAACAACGAGAGGTGCTGAACAAGGAGCTTGCCTCCCTGCACCAGACTCTTACTGAGCTTGACAGTGTAGACACGGAAGCTTTGGACGAAGCCCGCCAACAGTTACGTGCAGCAGACCAGGAGAATGTTCGGAAATCTACTCTTTTGGAGACCTTACGTCAGCAAATGGGTGAGAAGGAGGAGGCTCTAGAGTCTGCTGAAGAGCTCAAGGCTGAAATGAATGCTCAGGTCGACGAAGCCGATCGCGTTCGGCAGGAGTATCGTGGGTGGCCGGTTGTGGATGTCCTCGCTTTGAAAGACAGGGTTGATGCTATTGAGAAAACAACCGGCTGGCGTTTGCTGGCCGCCGAGGAGGACACTGAAGAGCCGAATGACTTCGGTGTCGCCCTGACAATGTCCTTCAAGGATGAGCTACGCCTCTTCTTCTACCCATCAGTCTTCCAGACCTCGCCCGAAGGTGGCAGACGGCGCTCAGGCCGGAAGTCGAAATCGGTGTCTGGTCCTACTGCACCTTTGAGCCTCACCTACTCGCCTCTCGATGCGCAGGGCGACATCATGATGGGCAAAGAGTTATCAACCGAAAAGCGCTTCTTCTTCCAGCTGATCAGAAGTCAGCTGCATGCTCTTGCCATGATGCCCAAGTGTTCGATACAGGCAAAGACCTTGCTCGATACAGTCAGTAGGGGCTGGGACCTTGCACATCAAGTCTCCGAGGAGATCAGACTGCTCAATATCGCGGGTCTGACTTGGACACAGATCCAGGGCGACGAGAAACTAGGAATGCGTACCAAGCTCGTTCTGCCTGGACAGAGCCGCATTGATGTGGAGTTCACCCTGAATGTCAACGCTCTCAATGACGGTGGCTTCACGAGCTCCACAAGCATTTCAGCACATAGCGTCTACGGCGAGCAGGCCAAGTTGATCCACGGCAGCCGTGGGCGGAAAGTGCAAACCGCACTGAGCAAGGAAGTGGAGAGCCAGGAACTCGGCCACGGTGCTTTCCTCCGCGCAATCCACGCTTTCGAGCAGTGGCTTGACATCCAAGCCGAGAAGAAGGCCGAGAAGCAGCCACAGCAGCAGCAGCAGCAGCAGGAAGAGGCGCCAAAGAAGCATGTCGCGCCTGCGGCCTCTCTGCATGAGCCGGTCCAGGAGCCTGAGTTCCAGCCTGCTACCGCCGCCACCATCGCTCCTCCAGCCACCATCGCTCCTCCAGCCACCATCGCTCCTCCAGCCACAACAAAGGACCTCCGCCGCTCCCCACTCGCGCCCAAGCCGACTAACCTCCCCACCAAATTGATCGCCAAGAAACTGCCTGTGCCCTCGAAGCGCTTCACGCTGGCCAACAAAGCCCAGCTCGCCGCGACCGAGGCTGCTGTTGTTGACAAGGAGAATAGCACGGTCGTCGCCGTCCACAAGAAGACCAGCGTGGGCCAGCAGCAGCAGCAGCAGCAGACGCCGACGAAGCAGCTGCAGGCCGAGATGGATGAGTTTGGTACTGCCGCGATGGACGTCGATGTTGAGGGCATGAAGCCGGCGATTCCGCCCGAAGTGCAGGAGCAGATGATGATGGGAAGTCCGTTTCGGCGCAAAGGGGCGCTGAGGCGGAGTCCCATGGGAGTGTAAGAGAATTGCGGTCTGCTGGCCTACTGTTGCTTGTTGCGAGGCAGATGTGGTCGCGGGAGGAGCTGGAAGGGCGGATGTTGGGTGCGGGTGCGGGAGTGGAGTTAGTGCGAGAAAGCAGAGGGAGAGAGAGTTGATTTGAGATTTGAGATTGGGGAACAGTGTTTGACGAGACATGAATGCCTTCAAGGTTGTGTGTGCTTTTACGGATTGGCGTGGCGTTTCGGTCGGTAGAGACTCGGAGGGTGTGTCTGGACGAGGTACAGCTGTCTGGAAGAGGTCCAGCTAGCTACTTGGTTTGGTATAACGGGCAGCATCGCCGACGAGCGCCCGGCGTTTGAGTACTGTGTCCTTGAATGACTCATCTGTTGTGATACATTATCAAATTCTTGTCCATTTGTTTGTGAGAGGTTGTAGGGCCGCAGGAGGTGATCATCGCGCATCCCAAACTTAATAGACCCAAAAGCAGGTGGGAAGGCCTCAACGCAGTAAACGCCCATATATACTCTTTCTTTCCGCTTTGGATTCCGACTTAAGAAATCCTATCAATAGTTGACTGACTAGCCCTATATCAACGACCATCCTCATAAGGTGGCGGCGGCTCCTCCGGAATGGTCCCTTGGGCCATTGGCCCCAACCCGCCAGTCCCACTACAATCCCGACATACATCCCTGCTCGAGTAGACGACGCCTTTGCCGACACACCCGGGACAGATGGTGACGACACGGTCGCGTGATCGCGACGACGAGCTCCTTCGCCGTACCTTTCGCTTGCCGTGGCAGGTTTGGCACTGGATGCCGGTGCCCGGTCGGCCGCCGTGGCCGTCGCAGGAGATGCAGACGATGCCGCTGCGGTCGCCGACGCCGAGTGGTTGCTGGAGGTCCAGAGAGCTGTATGTGGGGAGGGAGCTGCTGCTTCCTCGGTGGCCACTCGATGTGTTCTCGTGGCGACGCCTGGAGCGATATGGATCGGATCGATGGCCTTGCAGCGGACTCGGAGTGTCCGACTCGGAGTATCTGCGATCATGCTGCTGCTCTCGATCAGATTGTGGCGCGTCTCCGACACCTTCACTGATTGTGTGTCGACGTTGGTCGTTCGGCTGCGTGCTTTCTTGGTTGTAGTCATTCAAGGACATTTTCAACCACTCGAGGATGTCCCCGGCGTCGCCGAGATGTGGTGCGAGTCGATCGACAACGCCGTCCGGCATACCAGCCTTGATTGCTTCTCGCAGAACGGTCACTCCCTTGATGCCTGTCCATTTGCCTCGTTGACCCTTGAGTACAAGGGTCTGGAGCACCAAGGTCTTTAGGATTGGGCCTGGGTCCTTGAGTATGCCATTGACGATTGTGTCCGTCAGGGTACCAGCGGACGCTGGTTGCGGAGGCGACCGGGACTGAGTCCATGTAGTATGGCTCAGACTGGGGAGATCGTTGTTGCGAGACCGAGACCGAGAGCGAGCGCTGTTCAAATGTAGCGACTTAACATCGTACTTGCGGAGAAGTTGCTGCATCTCCAGGTTATCTCTCTCAGCTGCGAGGTCCATCAGTTCTTGGTAGCTCGGGGTCAGCCAGGCGCCCTTTTCCAGCAGAATTTTCGCCAAAGCGAGATCTGAGAAGTTGACCGCCTGATAAATGGCTGAGATATGCCGACCGCCATCTGCAAGGACATCTACTTTCCGCCGTAGTAGTAGGCAGGCGCATTCCTCGTTGCCCTGAACAGTTGCCGCGATGAGTGGACTACCGTAGTCTCCCCCGTCACAGTTGGGGTTTGCACCGGAATCAAGTAAGAGCGATAATGTGTCGGCATTGCCTTTGAATGCCGCAGCTGTTAAGGCGTTTCCATAGGTACCGCAGGTGGCATTCGCATCATGGCCTTGGTGCATAAGCGCCAGAATTCTTTCTCCATCATCAGACATGATCGCATCGCGTAGAACATCGCCAGGCAGTAGATGACGAACTCCGATGTCTTTGGCAAGGCTTTCTTCCTCCCTACTCCAATCGATGTCGAATGAGAGCTTTCGGAAACTGCGACATCTGGCGAAGCGGTGGATATCCCACGGCTCCCAATCGCGAGTATCGGTGTTCTGGGCCAGAAACGTGTCAGCTTCCATAGCGATGACTGTTCCGTCTTCGGTTGGGATGTCGACCATGACAGTTTGCTTCGTGAAGGACAGCCATGACGGCCACCGCTCAGTCACCTGAGAATATCTCTGTTCACCTCTCCTAGCTTTGCCAATCTTCGACTGGGGAGTAGAAGGCTGAATCTCGTAGGCAGGCGATCTTTCCCAGAATAGAGACGAGTATTCCTTCGAAGTAAGCATGTATTCCAGACATAACACAGCCTCGTGTGATAAACCGAAAAGTAGGTAGCCTGCCACCTCCGACCCATAAGTAACAGCCGCAGATGCGCAGTTGAAATCAGGAGCTCTCCATCGAGAGTAATTTCGTAGCGTTGCAGGAGCCATCTGCGCGGCTGCATCTTCGAGTGATTTATTCATACCAGCCCAGTCTTCAGAATCAGTCTGAAGGCGCCGTTGAAGCTCTTCCGAGTAAACTCCAGCCTCGCTGGAGAAATGGGAAGCGATTGCACTCAGTACGGCTGGAAACATGAAACTCCCATACACAAAGACTGGGAGTGCGTTGCCTGTTGCCCACGTTTGGGAGAACATGCTTCGAAGCTGGGTTTCGGCAAAGATGTTGCATGATGCCAAATACAAGGACGGCACCAGTGAGGCATTCGGCAGGACTCGCTCCTTGACTTTTGCTGTTGTTGTTGCTCTGTCTCCATCTGTCAAGTGCCAGAGCAGTTTCTGGTGAGATTGTCCAAGGTGGTCGATCGCGAACAGCTTCGTGCTAGTGTTCTGTGTTGGCCTCTCGCTTTTGTCCGTGTGCATTGGCGAAAATGATCGGGTTCTGTCTGCAGAGAGGTCGAAGCGTACACGACGTGCCGTTGACGTGTTTGCTACTTCCACAGCGCCATCGTCGTTGGTGCCGTGTCCAGAACTTGCCCGATCCCGGAAAAGACTTTTCAGCTCGTCCCTTTTCCGTAGCAATGTGTCCATGTATGGGTCAGAGACTTCTGCACTCTGTCCAGTTATTGTTACCGGAAGCATCTCGAGTGCTATGTTTGAGCTCGGAAATCTACCTGGACTTGCTGTGGTATCCATGTGGGGGCCAGGATCGTCCCCTCTCAGTGTCGAATACCCGAAATCGTGTGTGCCGTGTTCGGATCGAAGATGCCCTCGTACTCGACTTTGACCACCAGCATTGCCTTGCGAAGCTTCCGCCACAAAAGTACAGCCAGGCCAGAAGCATTGAAAGTGATGTGAGATATCCTCATCACGTGGTGTCCCGTCGACCCCGGAAGCTGGATGCGACGTGACCATATCTGGTGATCCCTCTGCTGTGGAATTCGTCGTGTGCGACAGTTCAGTCGGTGTAACACAGTCACCCGGATCCTCTCCATCTGGTTGTGATTTTTGGTTGTTTACCGGTTGTTGAGGCACTTCCACCAAGACAGTCACTGTACCGTCCTCCACATAGGGGGCCTTGTACACCGAATTGCTCATGGCAGGGAAAGGCTCTCGATCGGCAGTATGCGGACTTGCGAATTCGAGTTCAGGTATGAAGGAAAGCGTTGTGTCTTCATGAGTCATTGTGTCATCACAAGTGATCGTGTCTTCCCCATTACCGGTGGTGTCGCCAGCACGAGACAGATCATTGCGATTGCAACATATTCCGTAGTATGACTTTCCTTCCATGTCCAAGATGTACGATACTGTTTCGGGTGCGAGTGGGCGTTCATCGGGATTCAGTCGACACATTTGGCGAACCAGCTGGAGAAGCTGAGGGTCATCCGAGCATGTTGGCTGAAGCTCGAGCTCCCTCATCCACAAGTCTGCCCCCACAGTATTATCTCGAACAAAATCTCCGCCAGAGCCGTGACTCTTGAGAAAGTGACGCATATCTTCGACAGAAAACTCTGAGAGGACCGTGCGCATTTCCAGAAAGACGCAGCCTAGTGACCAGATGTCACTCGAAAAGCTCCGTGACTAGAAAGTGTTAGGATCAGGATGGGCCACTTGGGGTAGGAAGCTCACCCCATGACTCGCAACTTCTGGAGCGCAGTACCTCTTGGTGATAGCCTGCTTGTATGTTCCCTCGGTTGTTGCTCGCCCATCGTCATTCCAATTGTGCGAGGTTCCAAAGTCGGTCAGCAGGACCTGTCGGTTGTAGATGAGGATGTTCTTGGGTTTGATGTCTTTATGGCGAACGCCTTTCTCGTGGAGATACTCTACAGCCGTCGCCAAGCATCCGAAATAACGGCGAAGGCGATCCTTCTTCTCGTTGAGATCGATCTTGGTGGATGCCAGATAAGCGTCCAGGTCCATATCCGCGACAGGCTGCATCAAAAACCCGACAAAGTGGCGATCGGTGTAGGAGCCAATCAATTTGACAATGTGTCGGTGAGCGAGGGATTTGAGACTCGTGATCTCGTTCTCGAACGCCTGCAGTTGACGCCGGTCTCTTGCAAAAGATCGTCCTCGAGGCATACGTTTACGGGCAAAGCGTTTGAGGCTGAGACGGCTGGTAACTTCATCAACGACGCCGAAACCACCATGACCGAGCTCCCTGTTAAGCCAGAAGAACCTATCGGCATTGCCTTCGACATTTTGATGAAGGCTGTGGGGGCGTTCGATATATTTGGCATGTGGAGTTAGCACATGCTGTTGGAAGTCAAGAAACAATGCTCGATATCGACCTGTCAAAACTCGAGGCAGGTTCTCGGAGGTATATGGCAGGGCAATATCCAAAAGACCTTCTGCCACGAAGCCATCAATGGCCTGAGGCTGACCCATCATAAGGAGGATTATGAGTGTACGAGGTCGCCGACCCCATTCTGGCAACCCACATGACTGACACCAGTCAGTAATGGAGTTGTACTTGGTATCTCGAAGTCGAATAGGTCCTCGGGGTCGTCCAGCGGTGTCGGATGGGACAATCTTCTCTAGGCCTTTGAGCAACTTCGCTCGAAGTGGTTCTGTGATTTGTTCTGCTGCCGCAACGATGGTATCTCTTGTCACTTGACATCGCTGTGAAGAGACATCGACGCCCTCAGGGTACTCCATATCGTTGAGAGTGTGGCCGAGGCGAACCCGCGGCTCGGATCTCGGGCCATTTATGTTTCCCACTCATCGTTTGATACGAGCGACGCAAGTTCTTTGTCTGCGGCCAGACATACGCGGCAAGGCGTTGAGGCCTCAGCGACGTTGGCTGTGCATGTGAGCTGGGACGTGACTTCATGATTGGATGCAAGCAGTTCGAACCGCATGATCGTTGGCGAGCTGAGGGGCGGATTGGCGAGGAGAGAGGCGAAGTCACGAAATCACCAGGCGCTACGCCTGTCTGGACATTAGCGCCGTTGCCTTTTGTGGTTCGCGACGGCCCGCCTTACTCGGTACGTGACTGCTGCCCCCACGCGCACCAAAAGTCCCAGCTCAGCCTCATCATGGCACCACGAAGGCCCTCTCGCCGAATGCACGACATCGGGACCGCCCATTACTCGGCCGTAGAGACTTGAATACAAGTACAGTGCTAAACAACGCCTGCAGAGATGTCCTCAATTCCAACCGCCCGTCATGGACCCCATTTCCGCAGCTGGAATCGGCTTAAGCGTGACTTCGCTATGTCTTCAAGCTTTTGCAGGATGTGTCAAAGGTGATCTATTATCTCCTCGTGTTGTTCTCATTCACTGACATAGCAACAGGCTTTGAGCTCCTGGTCAATGCAGCCGAGATGCCAGCCAGGTACCAATACCTGCGCACTCGACTGCGGCTGGAGCAGAGCCGTTTGCTTAATTGGGGCGAGCAAGTCGGGCTTCTTGAAGAAATGCTGGATAGGCCGAGCCAGGCCTTGAGCATGTCTCATAATATGATAATCGACGTCCTCCTCGAGATGCAGGCAGCCTTCCGAAGCTGTCTCAAAGTCACCAACAAGTACGATTCACTCGTCATTGCAGCCGCCGGGAGGCAACCAATCGACAGTGGGAGCACAAAACAGGCCGCTTTCATGAAGAAGGCTCGCTGCTACTGGGATAATGCATCGACCGTTGGCAAACGCCTTGAATGGTAAGTCTGGGGGGCCTCCTGTCCCCTTTCCATCGGCACGCATCAATGTCCGCCTATCTCGAGATCAACCTACATGGCTTCACAGAGGTTCCTATGCTCATAGATTTGCTAACTTCTCCACAGTAAGTAGCTTCCGCTGCACTCTGTCGTTTGCCTTGGCTGCTGTGGCATTTTTCACCACTGTCCCTGACCTAGTTGGCGACTATACCCTGGCCAGGTTTCCCAACAGAAGCTAACCAATACTTCCAGGGGCAATGGTCAAAGGTGACGCATTTGAGGGCCTTATCGCCCGGATAGTATCGCTCAACGATAACATGGAGGGACTCCTTGATCGTTCTGCTATGAGTGATCTCCGCTCTAGGCAGGAGAAGTCAAACCTGCTCCTCTTACAGCTTACACAGCAGGTCGGCGACCTCACTGATCTCGCAAAAGCATTAAGCTTGACGCCCGAGAAAATTGACCGAGGCCCGTCCCTGTCACGTACATCGACCTTGATGAACGATAGGGCGGAGCACACGTCGCTCGCAGACCTGGCAGTCTTTAAGCTTCATGTACTAGAATTGAATGCCGCGAGCACGAAACCCGCCTCGGCAGCTGCAGCAATGTTGAAGGGCCTGGAGCACCTCCACGCTGACCAGGGAATGGAAGACCCGCGGCACCGTGTCAACGGCCTCGTCGATGGCAAACAGGCGTGGGTCGAATGGCGGACGCTGCTAGAAGGCGATTCCGCATCCGTATCTTCAGCTGTCATTGAGTCACGACTTTCCGATTTAGCCACACTCCTGAACAACGATGACGTGCCGTCAACCTTTCGTACACCCCATTGTCTGGGCTACTGCAAGGAAGAAGACGAGGAAGATACCCGCTACGGCCTTGTGTACCAATTCCCCAGCGTCCACAGCGGCTCTGCTACCGACATAGCCTCCCTGCAGCGCCTGTTCACAGAACGAAGAATGCCTTCACTAAGCATCAGACTCTCCATTGCCACCGCCCTAATCGAGTCCCTCATGTATCTCCACGCAGTCGACTGGCTGCACAAAGGCTTCAACAGCAACAACATCCTCTTCTTCCATCCGAAAGACAAGCAACTCAGCAACCACAGCCTCGAGAACCCCACTATATCAGGCTTCGACTTCGCCCGCCCCGAAGACACAGACGACACCACGGTCAAAAGCACTTCCACGCTCACCGACGACCTCTACCGCCACCCCAACCTCCTCACCATGTCCAGCTCCCGGTCCTCCAAAACCCACGACATCTACTCCCTGGGTGTCGTCCTCATCGAGATCGCCCTCTGGGCCCCCATCGAGAAGGTCCTGGAGCAATGCTTCGGCAAGAAAGTCACGCGGTCCAAGACCCCCTGGATCCGCGAGGGTCTCCTGACCTACCCGTACAACGGCTTCGAGAATGTGACGGAGGCCGTGGCCGCGTTGGCCGGCGACAGCTACGCGGCCGCCACTAGGCGCTGCATCGAAGGCGGCCCTGCACTTGGGCTCGACCGGCCATCGCGAGGAGTACCAGAGAAGGGGGGCGCGAGTGGCGGTGGCGGTGGCAGTGGCAAGCTTCAGGAGGTGTTCTATGAAGAGGTCTACCGCAAGATTGGGGCTGTTGAAGTCTGAAGACCCGAAGCTCGGGTGGGGGAGGGAGATGGGAGACGGAATCACTTCAATCATCGAGGTACAACATAGAACGAACAATGAGATGGAGCAACATATTCTTTGAACGGTAGTGTGCTTCGGTCATTCCCTGACTTACCCATCTGGGGCTCTTCATAATGATCATCACAAACACCCCCCCGCTGTACATTTCACTGCTTCCCCATTCATTGTACCTCTATCCTCCCCTACCACCCACCACTAGCATCCCCCGCCCCCTTCGCCTTCCCCGCCATGCCGCCCCCCCTCTTCTGCTGCGCGGCCTCATGCCTCCTCAGCTCCTCCGGCACGCGACTAATCTCGCTCTTGGTCAGCATCTGCTTCAGGTCATACATGACATCCGCGTCCTCCTGGCCCAAGAACGTGATGGCCACACCGCTCTTGCCCGCTCTACCCGTCCGTCCCACGCGATGCGTGTAGCTCTCGATATTGCCCGCCATGTTGAAATTCACCACCAAACTCACGTCAGGCACATCGATACCACGACCCGCCAGGTCGGTAGCCACTAAGACATCGGCGCGGCCCTCGCGCAGCGCCAGCAGTGCAGCCTCGCGCTGCTCCTGCGTCTTGGAGCCGTGCAGCGTGACGGCGTTGAAGCCCATGTGCTTGACGTCGCGGGCGACGGCGTCGCAGTTGCGCTTGATGTTGACGAAGACGATGATGGGGGGTTTGAAGCCGCCCGTGCGCAGAATCTCCGCGAGGCGCTTCTTGCGCTTGTCTTCACCGGCTACGAACTCGACGCGCTGCTCGACTGTGTCGACGGCTTCGCCTACGTTGCCGATCGTCACGATGGCGGGCCGGCGAAGGTATTTGCGTGCGATGCGCTCGACCGCTGCGGGCATGGTGGCCGTGTACATCATCGTCTGCCGGTAGCGCTCTTTGTCGCCGAGGTGGGCGGACATGGCGCGCGCGTTCTCTGCGTCTTCGGTGTCGGGCTTCTCGTTGCCGACTGGCAATGCATCCAGGATTTTGTTGACGGGCTCTTCGAAGCCTAGATCGATCATGCGGTCTGCTTCGTCCATGATGACGTAGCAGCATTGTTCGAGCACGATGATACGTCGCTCGATACAATCGACTAAACGACCTGGTGTGGCGATGATGATCTCGGCGCCGTTTCGTAGATTGTAGGCTTGTTCCTCGATGCTGTGACCTCCGACTATAGACACGACGGTAAAGCCTAGCGGGGATGCGAACTTGCGGGCTTCCAGCTCGATCTGCTGCGCGAGTTCACGAGTGGGAGCGAGAATGATCGAGTAGGGTCCATTGGAGCGGCGCCACTCGGACTCGTCGAGGCGAGGGAGCTCAGCAATATAGACAAGCAGCGGTAGAAGGAACGCAGCCGTCTTACCAGAACCTGTGACAGCCACACCGATGAGGTCTCGATTTTGCATGGCAATGGGAATAGCAGCGCGTTGGATGGGGGATGGCTCTTTGTAGCCGACTTGCGCAACGATGTCGAGAAGGCGGCGGGGGAGCGGACTCTCTTCCCAGCTGCGCATTGGATTGGGCACGCCACCACCTTTTGTGGCTATGTTGAAGTCCTCTTTGAAGATACGCCAATCGCGCTCACGCATCTGGGTCAAAGATTTCTCTGACCAGTGCTTGTCAATGGCCGTTCTGCTGCCCTGCTCACGGCGCCTGCGCTCCATCTCGAGAAACTCTTTGGCTCGTGCAGCACCGCTTTCCTTGTCACGTGCCTCAAGAGCCGCGGCGTAGGCTTTCGCATTCTCCTCGGTAATCGCGTCATCGAACCCACCTAGACGGCCACGTCCGTAGAACGAAGAGGCCGTGGTACTGTTAAGCCAGGTGTCGTGGGTAGCGGAAGTGTCCTCATCGACATCCCAACCAAAATTGAACTTCTTGTCCGTAGTGCGCTTACGTTTCTTGCTTGCAGAGAAAGTCGAGATGTTGTGCTCAGGACCCATATAACGTTGTTTCAGTTGCTCTGCTTGCTCCTTCGCGAAGCTTTCCTCATCGTTGGGTTTCTTCTTCGAATCAGAGGCACCAAACGCAACTGGCTTTGGCGCAGATGGTGGACTCAGATCGCGTTTGTGCTTATTTCTCATGGCCGATGGCCCTGTTGGTGCCTTGTACATTTCACGCTCAGCGCGCGGCCCTTTAGGCACTGAGCCATTGGTATAGCCATTGATCTGCGGCTTCGCCTTGAGCGTTCCGTTTTCTTGAGTCGGTCGATCGAGCGGTTTCTTTTGTGCCTCTACCTCCTTCGCACGCTTTTCAAGGGCTATTCTCTCTCTTTCCGCCTTAGACAAGAACTTGGGTTTACTCGCAGCCAGATCAGCGGCTCGTTTTGCCTTTACGAGCTCCTCGACGTTCAGAGGGGTGACCGTCTTCTTCGCAGCACCTGCCGATCCCCAACCTTTTTTCTGGCGTGTAGGTGGCGGAGGTGGAAGGGCTTCATCTGTCGGCGGAGGAGGTACAGGATCCATGGTCGTAGTTGCGAGTCTGCTTGCGTTACAGAGAATGGAGGATGAGTAGAAAAAGGCACAGACGGAAGGTGGAGATGTGCTGCCTTGCGCTTAACACCTATCCCCGGCCATTCACTGCCTGATGTCCAGTTTGTACCATTTGGCCTATACAGAAAAAACGAATCAAGGTCTGAGCCTGCTTATTTGCACAACTTTCCATTGACGCTAGCTAAGTTCAGAGTAAAGAGCTACTTTGGCCAACGTCTAGTATCATACAGTGCAGTGTTCAAGCATGGCCAGATGTCCCCCAGTAATGGCCGGCGTAATTGAGTCGAATGGGCCCCAGAGGCTAGTTACGTCGACTGAGATGAGTACAAGAGACGAAGTCGGCTGGATAACAAGACTAGCGTCTCATATCGTTGGGTGCAGGTGGCTGCTGTGTGTTGTTAGTTCTGGCTCAATAGGAGAGTTGGGAGAAATTACCTGGCCATTGATGCCTGCCGCCGCTTTCGAAGTGGCAGACGGCGCCGTTTTTGGAAGCTTCTGCACTGACGTGGGCCCGTTGATCTCTCGATCAAGGTTCAGGTATTCCTTCGCAGCCTCTTTGCCTCCCTTCTCCATCAGATAATCCATGTAGATCGCGATCAGACTCTGCAGTGTCGTCTCCGATAGCTTACTCTTGTAGAGGAGAGCATCGGCCACTGCCTTGATCCGATCGTACTGCTCCTTTTCGGTCTCTACCGAGGTTGGCTGACCAATCTCAAGTTGTAGGTAGCCCTTCCAGAACGACTCGCTCTCAAAGTAATAAGATTGGTACTTCTGGAAGACAGCACGAGCTTCATCGGTAGAGCCCTTGATCTTCCACAGCAAATGTGCCCAGTGGGCAACTACTGCCGCCTTGGCGGAGACTTCAACCGTAGGGGACTCTAGCTGAGCAGCGTAGACGGCCACGGCATCATCTATTGTGCCGTGACGTCTTGATGTGTTGGCGAGTGACACTATGGTATCGATATGGCTGGGAAGCTGGACAAGGATGGCCTCGTGGATTTCTTTCGCAATGTCGACTCGTCCTGTCATTTCTTCAAAGAAGGCGTAGTGTAGTCGGATGGTGGGAAGTGCAATAGGCACGAACAAACAAGATGCCCGCATGTAGATGTTGCGGACCTCTTCCTCCTTGCCTGGTTGAGCGAACATCCACCTGGCATATCTCAACCAGAACTCCTCGTACAGGGCACAAACAACCAAGCAGCGTTCGTAGAGGAAATGTGCACGTGTGTAGTCTGCTTGGCCCTCCTCAAAGTCCAGATATTTGCGCCAGTTGTCGAGCTGACCTTCATCGAGATCAGTCACGTGGAAGTATGGTCGTTTGATCTCAGACTCGTAAGTCCAGCGCTTGGTGGTCTCGGCTTGAGTCTTCCTGAAGATCTCGAGGTGGTAACCGTCGATACGTTGGCGTAGCTCCTGTTCGACTTCTTGCTGACTGCGGCCTGACTTGTAGCCAATGCCGGCGTTCTCGATCTCTGATTGATATTGCGTCAAGACCTGAGGCGGTACAAGCATGTGAACGGGTTTCGTTTGTGCCAGCTGACGGTACTTCTCAAAGTATCGTGCGTACTGGTGCATCGGAATGACAATGATGCGGCCAAAAAGAGCGAAAATCCGGTCGGGCTGCTCCATGCGCTCCTCAAATTCGATGTACTTGTCCCAGAAGACGTGAGCAAGGAAATCGATGCCTACAGCTTCGGCTCCCCGCTCAAATAGTCTGGTCAAACTCGTTAGTTCCATTCATGGTTACAGGAAAGGAGTGGAAGGAGGAGTAGGGAGGGGTCAAACATGATGTGGGTCATTCTGTGCAGATAATGTGCTTCCTGACCAACAAGCCAAAACAAGTTCGGACGGACTCGGGCAGCGTGTGCGGTAAATCGCTTCAAAAAAGCAAATGGGCAGGGTGCGCCTGGCATGTCTTCGTAAGAAGTCAATCTGGGGGTAGGCAGATGATGACTCTCACCACATTTTTACGGTGCATCATCATCGTATATCCATCTCACATTTGTGCTTCTGCGGCATGGATGCTGTTGATAAGTTGAGAAGGGAAATCCGCACAATACTTACTCTCGAATAACGTCTGGGTCATGGCTGGTTTCTGTCTTGAACGAGCAGTAGTTGGTCCAGAGATCGGCGGAGTTGTTGACGCTGGCGACACCTCGTTCATATACCTGTTTCTCATCAGACTCGTGTTTTCCTAGGGTATGTGGTGAAACATACCATCTCCGCCGCCTCAGTGCCGGCGATCGAGAACTCGAGGTCGGCATACTTCTTCCAGTAGCCGAAAAAAAGAGGAAATTTCGCAAGGAAGCGATCGTAGACTTCGCGCAAGGCGGTAATGGCCTGCGAACTGGAGTTGCGGTTGATACCTCCCTCAAGAGTCTCGACTGTCCGAACGAGTTTCTCCCAGGTCTCGTAGTTATCGGGGTCGACATTCTGCACAGTTCATTAGCCCCGGAAAAGAGCAACACTACGCGACGTACCATCTCCGCCCAGAGCTTCTTGAGCTCGGCACTCTCCTCATCGTTGGCCCCGAAGGCGTCCATCAGGACGCAGTCTGTCAAGTCGGCAACCCTCGGCCAATGTTGCGCGTTACGGGTGCTGAGTAGACGAGACTGTACTTCGCAGAAGCCTCAGATCGTTGCCGTGTGTGTCGCAGCGACAGTCGAAGGGTCGGGGTTGAGGCTGAGAGTTGCGCTGAAGAGATGATGGTGAAAGCTGCGGCCTCTGGGAAAGGGTCGATCGCGCCAAGAGAAATCTTTTGGCTGGGATCGGAGTCTCCAGTCCGCATGCTCGACTTATTCAACATTGCCAGTCCATGCATGCGACTTACTCATCGATCGCTTGGTAATCGAGCATCAAATTCACACGACACAAAGTGCTACGACAGCATCACTGGTGATCCTCATTGCGCGTTCGCCCATCATGGCGGTTGCAACTGCCGCCATCGAATTGCCCAAGGAGCTTCAGCACCTCCCAGGCCGGCTGGTTCGCTTTTTTACTCGCTACCCTCCGCACCTCTATTCCGCAAAACACACCGGCGTTGCTCTGCCGTTAACGCGGCGGGAAGCCAAAGAAGGGAAGCTTGTAGCCCTGGAGTCGAAGAAAGCTCCGTCACCCAAAAAGTCGAAAATCAATCAATCTGAAGGTCAAACGACAGAGGCTATCGTCCCCGAATCATCTTCATCCACAGTCAATGCGTCTGCCCCTTCGCAAACTTCCGTCACCTCAGAAACTCCAGCCACTTCAGATCCCACCATACCGGCCGAGACATCAACCCCAATACCAACAACCTCCAGCACCGGCCGTGCGATTGACGGCCTCACGCGAGCCACACGCTTCCCGCCTAACCCATTCCTTCCCTTCCGCAACCCCACGACGGGACGCTGGGCCGGCGCGCGTATCTCCTTGCGTACTCAAGCCGACCTTGTCAAGCTGGCGAAGAAGCACAGTATCGAAAACCTACTACCGCCAGGCCGAAAATCTACCGTCTTCAAAGAGGAGAGGGTGTTGCACCGGGGACTGAGGGTGAAGGGTACGGGCGAGGGCCAGCAGGTCAAGGGTCACCAGTGGGAGAGAAAGATCCCAGCACTGCTGCAGAAGCGGCAAGAGGCGCTGGAGCAGATGCCGGCCCTGGTGCGGGAGTGGCAGGCGAGGGGCCACGGGCGTGGCTGGAAGAAATTCCCCAAGGTGAAAGGCCCTCGGTAGATGACAAGAGGCGCATATCATTCTTGAGGAGGTTGCTGGATGAACCTGATGTGCTCTCCCTGAGTGGCATACTCGTGCATGGGCCTCAGAGCCCTGTTCTGCTACGACTGATTGCAGGCTACCGAGTATGAATTACAGCAAACCGAAGGCACCATCCCGTTCGGAAAGAGCCCGTCTATCCATGATCCTGGACGGGAATAAAGGTCGCATAGCGCGCAGCACCGAGCCATACTAGATTGTACCAACAAAATGTACAGCAGGATATTTAGGTGCAAGGTCGACAGAAGGCTTCGTGTGGAAGATACATACCAGCCATATATCATATATATATCCACTATTGTGTCCTATAAACTCTCTTCAATAGCTTCCAAGCATCAGCCTTCCTGCAAGACGCCTTCCACAGAAGATCAGCTCAACCGCTCGTTTCGCGCGAGAAGCATCCCCATGGTCCCATACCTCTTCCGGGCCTTGGCAGGCTTGCCCTGCCTGTTCCTGGACGACCATCCCATGGCTGCGAAGGCAACGTGTCAGCATGGACAGCACTGGTGGACCGGGATTTCCGCGAGACATGTCCCCGTTGAGGCGTATACTTGTATACAACAGCGTATGTCCGCAGTGTGATCGCGGTAGCCGAAAAAGCCATAGTTTCAGGATGTCTGACTCTCCTCTTCGCGCCACTGTAAGCAGCCGCTGGGGCTCCATTTTGGGGCACCGCAGCGTCGAGTCATATCATTCGAGGGAAGGACAGTAGGGTGCTGCGACTTTGTGCACGCTATCTTTTTTCCCACGGCAATGATGCTGCCTGTTACAACTAGCTTGGCGGATAGTCGTGCTCGTGTGCAGAGATCGCTTCGGTGTAGCGTGCCTGAACGAGTCCAGTAAGTATCGTGGTGCGCAATGAAGGCTGCCACTGTTTTGGACAGAACATATCCAGCAGCCGTGTTGCTATCAAACCAACTTGGTGGTCGTCCTCTTGCTTCTCACCAACTGGAACCACAAGCCCATCAGGTTCAGCGCTCCCAGCGTCATGACCAAACCCGCCCAAAGTTGCAAGCCCAGATAATTCCTCTCATTCGGCCCACTCACACCCACTTGTGACAGAGCGCCCGCAATTGGGCTTCCGATCAAGCTGGCTAAACTGCCCAGCCCCTGCGCCATGCCCAAGCGCGCGCCCAACACCTTCGGATCGGGACACACGACGGGAAAGATGCTGGGCGGCAGCGGGATCAGTGCGCCGGAGAAGGCGCCGTACAGGACCGCGAAGGCGATGAAGGAGCCCTCGGTGTGCACGCCCGCCCAGGAGAGGTTGAAGATGGCGCTCGTCATGCCGCACGTGATCCACGGGATCATGACCCCCACCTTGCTGGCGGCGTAGCTGGCGATCAATCTGCCCAAGATGCTCGACGCCTGCGCGAACGTGACCGTGTATAGGGCCCAGCTGCGGCTCATGCCGAGCTCCAGCTGCGCGAAGGTGGGGATGAAGAAAAAGGGAATCATGTAGCCCATGAAGAGGAAGAAATTGCTCAGGCTGTAGCTCCAGAAAGGCCCGTCACGGAAGGCCGTCTTGTCGAACAGCTTGCGCGCTTGCCCGCTGCCAATGTCGCCGACGTTGCGGGCGCCCCAGAGCAGCAGCGGGAAGGAGATGGCGTACGAGGCCAGCATGATGAAGGCCATGACGCGCACTGTCCAGGCGAAGCCGAGCTCCTCGATCAGCTGCTCGAATACCATCGTATAGATGACCCCTCCAACCGGGGCGCCGCACGTGACGATGCCCATGGCCACAGCGCGGTTTCTTTTGAATGAGCGCCCCACGAGGGCGAGGCCTGGCAGATAGAGGAGCCCGTTGGCGAGGCCGAGCACGACACCTTGGGTGAGGAAGATCTGCCAGTACTTATTACAAAGCGAGAGCATGAAGAGGCCGAATGTCTCGAGGGCAGCGCCTGAAAGAAGCATCGTGCGGAAGTATCCGAGGTCGAAGAGCGGCCCTGAGATGACGCCAGTCAAGATGAGGAGGAACATACAGACAGTGCCAACCCAGGAGATATTGGAGGATGTCTCGCTGGTAAGATAGGTGAGCTCGTAGTAGTTTTGGAAGGCCCCAAAGGCGAATGGCAGACCCCAGAGGTTGCCGAAGACCAGGAAAGAGCCTACCACCTGTAGCCAAGCACGAGTGCCGCCATCCATGGGCGGTGGAGGTTGTGGTGGGGGTCCCTCGGTCAGAGCCACAGCTGTCTCGTTGACTTTCTCCTCCACGGGCATCTTGTCGAAGGCTTCTGCTGAACCCGGCTGAGGGCTTACGCCACGGTTGGCTGTCGCCATGTTGTATTGTGGTTATGTCCGCGGCGGTGTAGCCAGCCCTCGGTATATTTGTCAGCCCAACGAAGGCAAGTAGCAGTGTCAGTATATAGGCGGCGGCTTGTCTGTTTGAGCCATGGGTTGCAACTGTGCCGGTCTCAGGCTGGCGGTTCTAGAATGAGCAGCTGCAGGGAGAAACAGGAGTGGAACAGAGAACGTGGAGCGAGGTTGACTTAGTATATATGCGGAGAGATGGGAGACAAGCAGAAAGACAAAATATGCATATTACCCCATCATTGTCAGTAGACGAGACGGCACGTTTTTGCCGAAGCAGGGGTACTTCTTGCATGAGCCGCGGTTCGCCAGGCGAGTCATCGGATGTCTTGTAGATCGTGTACAAGAGATGTCCGGTGTTCAATTCAATGCTTCGTTTCTCGAGGTCTAGCGGCTCATGATCAGCTTCCCAAAGCCATTGACAGCCAGGCCGTAAGATGTCAGGCCGTAAGATCGAGACGCTGCTGGTGAATGTCGTGATGATAGACGGAAATCAACTCATGGTGTGGATTTTCGCTCCGCACTCTTGGCCCCAAGGGTGCGGAGATCCCCTTTGCACTTACCTAAGGGTAGCTCCAGTGCGGCCGCAAACCATGCCATTGAGCCTGGAATGTATCACATCAACTAGTAAAATCGATATAGGACACAGCAGAGCCGAATCAGCATCAGCCTGTCCAGCTTAAGTCCCGCGTTGATGTACCATGCTCTGATTCGCACACACCACATCACGTCTCGAAAGAAGATTGCATCGCTCAAGGCTGCGGCGAAGCAACTCCAATGCTCTGCCTTGCTAAGGACGGGAGGTATCCCGGGAGTCATGTATGTTCAAGGTGAAGATAGCGAGAGCACTCAACACTGGGTCGACCTGGTGCACAACTTGAGATACAAAGATTATCAACTCTCGGCGCCTGTCATGGCAACAAAGGCAAATGAGGTCTGGATCAGCGACCGAGGCTCGCTCGAAGAAGTTACGACAGTGAAGGAAATGGCAGCCAGAATGGAGGGAGCCGGGCTCCATGAGTGGTGGAGGAAAGCGATGGGATTCTCAAAGGAATAGTCTTGCCTGGAAGAACGCGTCCCCCCTAGCCTTATCCCTTGCGATCTACGCTGTGGCCGGATCCATCATTGAGTCTATCTCAACCAACACCGCGGTCCTGCAGAATAACCGTGCCGTGTTATACACCACCGATTTTCGCCATACGCAAATGCAATCACGAGGAGGCCCATCCTACAGCTTCTGATATTCGAGCTTGCCCTCCAACTTCTTGGATTCCGCCACCTTGCGGACCGCTTTGTTGAAGTCATCCTGATTGATAGCATCTCGGAAGTCCTTGATGGCGAAGAGACCAGCTTCCGTGACCACGTTCCTCAAGTCAGCACCGTTCAGACCATCGCTCATCTTCACCACGCTTTCGAAATCGATCTCGCCTTCGGTCACAACACCAGCTGCATGAATCTTGAGAATCTCCAATCGGCCCACCTCGTTGGGCAGCGGGATCTCGATCTTGCGATCTAGACGTCCTGCACGCAGTAGCGCAGGATCAAGAGTGTCGGGTCTGTTGGTTGCCATGATAATCTTGGTTTTCCCTAGGTAGTCGAAGCCGTCAAGTTGGTTAAGGAGTTCCATCAAGGTACGCTGAATCTCGCGGTCGGCTGAGGTACCTTCGCTGAAACGGCGGCCACCGATGGCATCGATTTCATCCATGAAGATGATACATGGCTCGTGCTCTTTTGCATAACCGAACATCTCGCGGATCAAACGGGCAGACTCGCCGATATATTTGTCTACGATTGCAGAGGAAACCACTGCAAGCAATTAGTAAATATGGCGGACAAGCAGCCAGCTGGACGTACCTTTCAGAAAGTTGGTATCGAGACTGCTGGCCACAGCTCTGGCAAGCAGCGTCTTTCCAGTACCGGGTGGGCCGTACAGTAGCACGCCCTTGGGTGGCTTGATACCAACTCGCATGAAGAGTTCGGGGTTCTTTAAAGGGAGCTCAATGACTTCTCGTAGTTCGCGAATCTGCTCGTTCAGACCACCAATACCAGCGAACGATACCTGGCCAGGATCTTCCAATGACATATTGTAGACAAGGGGATCGACTTCTCGGGGTAGCATGCGCATAATGGTGAGGGTGGTCATGTCAAGCGCGACTCGCGTGCCCTGTTTGAGCTTTGCTTTATCGACTTTTGATCTGCATCCGACGACGTATCTGGGTCCTGATGATGCTTTGACGATGACTGTTTTTCGTTAGTTGGACCCAATAAATAAGAGGTGAAAGCGCATACATCTCTCCTCATCTAATTGTTTGAGTACTTCGCCAATGATCTGGCCAACACTCTGTAGGGCTTTGATGTTCTCTTCTGTTGTCTCAAAGTCATTCTGTAGCCCCTTGATATCCATCCGCAGCGCCTTCAACTTGGCTTCCCATTCTCTTGAATCGAGTAGCTTCTCCTTGTATTGTTGGAGTGCCTGTTGCCTCTCCGGATCTCCATTGCCATCCATCTTCGGTGATTAGTTGCGCTGTTCGTGTCACCAAGCTACTGTTACAGTCCAGCAGGGACGCGATAACGAATAGATTGTGGAGGCAAGGTCGAGATGGTTTTGTAAAGGTGCGTAGAAACGGTCGGGGGATGTAAGTGAGTTGTAGCTAGCGCAGGCCATCAACATGTACGCGGCGGCGGAGTTTCTATGCGGCGAAAACTAGGGCTGCGAGGCACTGCCAGATGGTGCTACGGTGGGGGTTACAGGCCACATTTCAAATTTCTCGCGCATTCGTAGGGCAACCGGGTTGTCTTTACTTCTCCAGTACTTGATCAAAGCGATAGACTGATGCGACCTGGCCGATATCCACACGCAGGCTCGAGGCAACTCTGGGCTGTCCTCTAGTTATGGGGGTCGCCTCGCGCGGCTAACATGTTCTTGGAGCCTCTTTCTTCGCACGAGATCGTATTATGCAACGAGACAGACATTTGCTACATGTGCTACATGTGCCACAATAGCAGGTCCATGGTACCTGACTTCTGAGTCTAGGAAGCGTCGATCTGAGCTCTAAGCCCTACAAGTTCCGGCTTGAGGCAGCATTGGGTAGCTGCTCGGGTGGTGCCGGCGGGAACGCTGCCGGTGCTGCGGACAACGCAAAGCAAGACTGCTGCAGCAAGCACCTTCAAAATGTGAGTAAGCTGCTGAGTATGACTGTATCTCCTGCCATAGTAGAGTGAAGCTATGTCAAGAAGTCTTGTACTGACTGAGCACGAATACGATGTACGGAGGAGGAACCCTGCAGAAGTAATTGTGCGGCAGCTGGTTGTTGAAGATCGGAGCCCCCGCTATGACTGCGGCTTGCAGTGGTTTTTGTAGCGACACCCCACCAAAGCACCTGTCCGCTCAACAAGCCGTGCTTTTCTTTTCTTTTCGAGTTACTACTTTTCCCTACTTTCACACACCCTGACTCTTTTCTACTGAGCTCACGTACATACAACAAGTCTTCGCGAACCCACCTTCAGTAAGTTCTAGCACCCCGCCTTGCACTCAGTGTATACACTTCAAGTCGCCCCGCCAGCCGGTGGCATGGTTGGGCCAAACACAAGCCTTTCATGTCTGCCAGCGAGGTGTCGTAAGCGTTCAATACACCTTGCCGTCGACTGCAGCTTCTAGCCTGCAGCCAAGCGTCCCACCGCTGTCCCGCACCTTCACCAGAACTCACCAGCTAACATTCCACAAGCTATGCCTATCGCCAAGGTCCACGCCCGCTCTGTCTACGACTCACGCGGCAATCCCACTGTCGAGGTCGACGTTGTCACCGAGACCGGTCTCCACCGTGCTATCGTGCCCTCCGGAGCCTCCACCGGCCAGCACGAAGCCTGCGAGCTCCGCGATGGTGACAAGTCAAAATGGGGCGGCAAGGGTGTCCTGAAGGCTGTCGAGAACGTCAATAGCACCATTGGCCCCAAGCTTATCGAGAAGAAGCTTGATGTTACAGACCAGACCTCCGTTGACAAGTTCCTGAACGAGCTCGACGGTACCGAGAACAAGACCAGCCTAGGCGCAAACGCCATCCTCGGTGTGTCTCTGGCAGTCGCCAAAGCCGGTGCTGCTCAGAAGGGCAAGCCTCTGTACGCTCACGTTGCAGACCTTGCTGGCACTAAGCAGCCCTATGTTCTACCCGTGCCCTTCATGAACGTCCTCAACGGTGGCTCTCACGCTGGTGGTCGACTGGCCTTCCAGGAATTCATGATTGTTCCTGAGTAAGTCTTCAATTTCGATCTGCGCTTTCTTGCTGACGAACCCCACAGCCAGGCCCCTACCTTCTCCGAGGCCCTCCGCTGGGGCGCTGAGGTGTACCAGAAGCTCAAAGCATTGGCCAAGAAGCAGTACGGCCAGTCTGCGGGTAATGTCGGAGACGAGGGTGGAGTTGCCCCGGATATCCAGACTGCCGAGGAAGCCCTGGACCTGATCACGAGTGCCATCAAGGAAGCTGGTTATGAGGGCAGGATGAACATTGCCATGGATGTTGCTTCCAGCGAATTCTACAAGGAGGATGCGAAGAAGTACGACCTTGACTTCAAGAACCCTGAGAGCGATCAGTCCAAGTGGATCACTTATGAACAACTTGCGGACATGTACAAGTCGCTTGCCCAGAAGTATCCGATTGTCAGCATCGAGGATCCCTTCGCTGAGGACGACTGGGAGGCGTGGAGCTACTTCTTCAAGACTTCCGACTTCCAGATTGTTGGGTATGTTGGCAATCTTCTCGTACATCTGTCCTTACTGACCATTCTAGTGACGATCTGACCGTGACCAACCCTATCCGCATCAAGCGTGCCATTGACGCTAAGGCTTGCAATGCTCTCCTGCTCAAGGTCAACCAGATTGGCACCCTTACTGAGTCCATCCAGGCAGCCAAGGACTCCTACGCGGCTGGTTGGGGTGTGATGGTGTCTCACCGCTCCGGCGAGACCGAGGACGTCACCATTGCCGACATCGTGGTTGGTCTGCGTGCCGGCGAGATCAAGACGGGTGCCCCGGCCCGCTCTGAGCGTCTAGCCAAGCTCAACCAGATCCTTCGGATTGAGGAGGAGCTGGGTGCCAACGCTATTTACGCTGGCTCCAACTTCCGCAAGTCTGTCAACCTGTAAGCTTCGGTCAACGATAGCACGCACCTAATTCTCGAGGAGCCTAGTTTCTTTATGGAGTAGCGAGCGGATTCAAAAAGCACATGAGATGATAGTGTCGTACGATGGACTGCACGCACTCTGTTCAGCAGGGAGTAGCTGCACCAGATAGATGTAACGAGAGTATGATTAACAAGCTCAGCAAAGACAGTAGTCGAAATCAAACTATCAAGTCTTAATCTGGTCATTCCGAGTATTAGGTCACCCTGCAAATTGAGCCAATACTTAGATCTGACTCCGCGGCCAAGATCGTTGTACCGAAGGCCTGTTCTCGACAGCCATTGCTGGACAAGCGGAAAGCAGACCACTTAGATACACATGCGAAAAAGTTGCGCTCGGGTAGCAATGCGTCCAACCAATCACATGTCAATTCGCATGCAAGTTCATGCTCCTGCCTAGCGCAGCCTGACTCCGTCATATCCCACTTTGCCTTCCCGCACAAACATTCTATCTCTCTCCCAGTAACTACTCTCAACACTTGTCGCCCGAAGACACTGCAGCCGATTCGACTACGCTACATTCCAAGTCAAAATCAAGCGACTGAATACGTTTGCGCACATCAAATATGCCGCCCAAGGCGCAGTGGGGTATGTGTCCCTCATGTCTTTCCCCCCCCCTTTGGTGCCCGGACAGCATGTCCTCTTCGTCACTAGTCAACGACCTCGTGCACACCCCCAAAAGAACCACACACTGACCGTAGTCTAGACGCCTCGTCCTCCGAAGAGTCATCGTCCGAAGATGACGTGCCGCAGCCTGTGGTAGCCCCCGTCCGCCGAAAGTTTGACGACGAGGAAGAAAGTGATGTAGCGGACAATTGGGACGAGGAGCCTGATAGCGATGTGGAAAGAGAAAAGGCCAAGAAAGCTGTTGAGGCTAAGGCCAAAGCCGACGCGATTGCTGCAGCCAACAAGAAGAGTAAGGCGCAGAGGATAGAAGAGCACCGCGAAGCCGCACGACTACGACGCGAACAAGAAGACGAGGAGTCCTCGGAAGAGGAGGATGAGGCTGCGAAGCGCGCTCGTCTCAAAGCGCAAGAAAAGCAAGGTGATCTTCATCACGCCCAAGACTTGTTTGGCGACGTTGATTTGCGAAACAACAAGAAGGCTAGCAATAAGGCCACTGTTGTGGCTGATCCCAACACTGCTGGTCAAGCGATAGACTTGTCGACACTGTCACTATTCAAGCCAAGCACCAAGTCGCAGTTCGATACACTCTCTGAGGCTCTTGTGCCACTCATTCGAGCCTCGACCTCAAAACCCCACTTCGCTCTGTGGATGCCTAACTTCGCCAAAAGTGTTTGCCAAGATATGAGCAGCACCGATATCAAGAAGGTCGCCTCCGCTCTAACGGCACTGAGCAACGAGAAGATGAAGGAAGAGAAAGCAAAGGACAGTGGCAAGAAGTCTAAGGCCAAAGGCAAGACAACTCTTTCGGCAGACCGCAGTATGGGCCGTGGCACGGCAGACACCACTGCTTACGACGATGACGGGCTAGGTGACGATGACTTTATGTGATGCATGGACAGCTGACGGCATAAATTCGACAATGTTTCTTCTGATGGATTAGCATGATTTTTAGATGGCATAACGCGAGCAATTGAACTTTCGCTCATGGCGATACTTTAGAGTCTTCATATCGCCGAGCAATCATCCTGTACCAATTATAAAAAGTTCACTTCATCAGACTTCTGCATTGACCTCGACCATTAATTACTGTACCTGCATCCGCGTTGGAATATGGTCGTACTTAGATAGGTGCTGGTGGAGCCGTTCCCGATCCACTTTTCGCTACCCCTCGGCCGCAGCAATTGAGATCTGTCGAACTCGGAGCTCCTTCTTCTTGCTCTGCCACCCCACTGAGATCCCATCTACGTTACCCTCCCTCTAGTCGATGTTTGAGGATCTAGCATTCGATATGGCGACCTTCAAGAAATTCACGAGCGTGCTGATGCTCGTTGCAGCCATCATGTTCATGTACATGGCCAACTCCGCAGAGGCAGTCAAGGGGCCCAAGATCACCCACAAGGTCTACTTTGATATGCAACAGGGCGATCAAGAGCTTGGAAGAATCGTTCTGGGTCTCTATGGCAAGACTGTACCCAAGGTATGTGCTGCCACCGCGGTATGAAGACTATACTAATGCTCTATAGACTGCTGAGAACTTCCGTGCCCTTGCTACTGGCGAAAAGGGCTTCGGCTACGAGGGTTCTGGTTTCCACCGCGTTATCAAGGGCTTCATGATTCAGGGCGGCGACTTCACCAAGGGTGATGGTACCGGTGGCAAGTCCATCTACGGCGACCGCTTCGAGGACGAGAACTTCAAACTGAAGCACACCAAGAAAGGCTTGCTCAGCATGGCCAACGCCGGCCGCGACACCAACGGTTCTCAGTTCTTCATCACCACCGTCGTCACCTCCTGGCTCGATGGCAAGCACGTCGTTTTCGGCGAGGTGCTGGAGGGCTACGACGTCGTTGATAAGATTGAGAACTGCGAAAAGGGCGCGGGAGATAAGCCCAAGGTGGCTATCAAGATCAAGAAGAGCGGTGAACTGGAGGTCCCAGAAGAAGGTATTCATGTCGAACTCTAGTCCAGGGCAGGACACTGCTGCTCTCTTTTAGAGGCGGTGAGCTGACCCTGGTCTAGAGTATTCTGACGCTCACCCCGAATATGTTCCGCATGAGGACGAAACCACGAGTGACGGGAAGGTGGATGACGAAGAAGGGCACAAGGAGCAACCTGCTGTTGATGCTCATCCTTCTGAGGACGGCTTCTCCTTCGTATACCTGCAAGGGCTCCTTGGTCTCATCGTCGTACTGATGGGTCTGATGTGGCTTGCCAGGCGTGGCAACAACAAGAATATCATGAAGGAGAAGGTACTGCCATAGAAGTCCTTGTCACAATCAGAATTTACTCGATTCTGAATAATGCTTCGAACGTTTCTTTCGTCTTCCAGCATTCAGAGGCGCAGACACGCGAGACCGGGCGCTAAACTCCATTAGGATATAGTGGAGTCACGGTAGTGAGGCAAAAGTCTCTAGGCCTGGTTGGGCTTTTCTGCGGCCTGCGCTTTTTATTAACGAAGTTTTCGTTTTCCTTTCCCTCACACCAACACCTCCGTCCAACACTCACATACTCTACCGACTTGTTATCACGGTCTTTTCAGTTTGTGTCTTTCTTCATCATACTTCGGATAGACTTGGAGAGGCGTTATTGTTGTCTCTCACTTCTATCTGCAACTTGAAGGTTGCTGCAGACTTCAACCTACTGGTCCAGACGCCAGGTTTCCGACTTACGCAACTCCCGCAAATACTGTCTTCAGCCTTTGAAGAAACCTATCGACATCGAGACTCGTACCACATAATCCTTCAGAAAGTGTACGTCATCCTCGCACTCGCTAACACTTGTCTTTCTCCTTATCTCTCCTAAAATCGCCATCCATTTCAGCCTAGAACAACAATTGCCTCCCAACCTGGAAAAGCAAGCAACTAACGTGTCTTTTCCAGACCAAGTCAATACCGCCAATATGGCTGATCAATTGAACATGAACGGCCTCTCCCTCAACGAGTCCAAGCACGCTGGCCAGAACGGCGGCATGCCTGGTGGTCGCCCCGCCTACATTCCTCCTCACCTCCGCAGCCGCGGCGGCGGTCCCCCTCCTATGGATAACATGGATGGCGCAGGACCTGCTCCTGGCCCCGGTGCTGCTGGTCTCAACGGAAGCGCTTGGGCTAGCAACGGCAGCAGCGGTGGTGGATGGGGTGGCGCTCCCGGTCCCGGTCCCGCTGCAAACGGTCCTCCCCAGCAGAACGGCTGGAACGGCCAGGCTCCTCGTGCCTTCAACCCCAACGCTTACGGTGCTCCCGGTGGTCACCACTCCGGCGGTTACTCTGGCGGTGGTGGCTACAGTGGCGGTCGCAGTGGAGGCTCTGGTGACGGCCAGTGGCGCGATGGTCGACATATCCCAGGCCCCTCCAACCCCAAGACCGAGCGTGAGCTCTTCGGTATCCCCAATGATCCTTCCAAAGCTCAGACTGGTATCAACTTCGCCAACTACGACGACATTCCCGTCGAAGCCTCTGGTCAAGGTGTCCCAGAGCCAGTCACCACCTTCACCAACCCTCCTCTTGATGACCACCTCATCAGCAACATCGCTCTGGCTCGTTACGCCGTTCCTACGCCAGTGCAGAAATACTCCATTCCCATCGTCATGGGTGGCCGAGATCTCATGGCTTGTGCCCAGACTGGTTCGGGCAAGACTGGTGGTTTCCTGTTCCCTATCCTGTCTCAGGCCTTCCAGAACGGCCCAAGCGCCGGTGCTCCCTCCGGTGGCGGCTTCCGCCAGCGCAAGGCTTTCCCAACTTCTTTGATCCTGGCTCCTACTCGCGAGTTGGTTTCTCAGATCTTCGATGAAGCTCGCAAGTTCGCCTATCGCTCTTGGGTCCGTCCTTGCGTCGTCTATGGTGGTGCTGATATCGGCACTCAGCTCCGCTCCATTGAGCGTGGCTGCGATCTGCTCGTCGCTACTCCTGGTCGTCTCGTCGATCTGATTGAGCGTGGACGCATCTCCCTTGCCAACATCAAGTACCTGGTTCTTGACGAGGCTGATCGCATGTTGGACATGGGTTTCGAGCCTCAGATTCGCCGCATTGTTGAGGGCGAAGATATGCCTCCTGTGGCAGACCGCCAGACTCTCATGTTCTCGGCCACCTTCCCTCGTGATATCCAGCTCTTGGCTCGCGACTTCCTCAAGGACTACGTGTTCTTGTCCGTTGGCCGTGTCGGTTCCACCTCCGAGAACATCACCCAGAAGATCGAGTATGTTGAGGATCATGACAAGCGCTCTGTTCTTCTCGACATTCTCCACACTCATGCCGGAGGCCTCACCCTGATCTTCGTTGAGACCAAGCGCATGGCTGACACCCTGTCCGACTTCTTGATCAACCAAGGCTTCCCTGCCACCGCCATTCACGGTGATCGCACCCAGCGCGAGCGCGAGCGCGCTCTTGACTACTTCCGCAACGGTCGCTGCCCCATCATGGTGGCCACTGCTGTTGCTGCTCGTAAGTCCCTCCCCTGCCCCAATTTCACATTTCTGTCCACCGGCTCTGCTCAGTTGCAGGCGCCCTCCTGGCCTACTCATATGCAGACCCATGGCCTTCACTGCCCCCCATTCTCTGTCTCTGCCCTCCGGCCCTACTTGTTTGCTGGTGCCCTCCAGCTCTACTCAAATACTGACTGACGATCCTTTAGGCGGTTTGGACATTCCTAATGTGACGCATGTCGTCAACTACGATCTTCCTACTGACATTGACGACTATGTTCACCGTATCGGTCGTACTGGTCGTGCTGGTAACACTGGTCTTTCTACTGCCTTCTTCAACCGTGGCAACCGTGGTATTGTCCGGGACCTCATCGAGCTTCTCAAGGAGGCTCACCAGGATGTTCCCAGCTTCTTGGAGAACATTGCTCGCGAGAGTTCTGGCTTTGGTGGCGGTCGTGGCCGCGGCGGTGGTGGTCGTGGCCGTGGTAGTGCTGCGACTCGCGACATGCGTCGCATGGGTGGTGGTATGGGTGGTGGCCCTCCATCTTATGGTGGTGGCTTCGGAGGTGGTAGCGGCTATGGCGGTGGTGGTAGCTATGGCGGTGGTGGCGGCATGGGCGGCGCTGCTCCTTCCTACGGCGGCGGCTATGGTGGAGGTGGCTATGGCAACCCTGGCGGTTCCCAGGGGCCTTCCTCGTGGTGGTAGACGACCTGTCGCTCGATTGCGACCGTCGCTGCCAACGGCACGACAAAGCGTCCAGCTTGACGCATCCATGCATTTTTTCGACCCGGCGTTTCTTGTGGGCAATTCGAGGCTTACGAGCGACACCTCCTTTCGGCATTCCCGACTCAGCATGATAAAGACGATAGACAGCGTTGGCTTTTCCGATCGATTTCCAGATACCCCATGATGTCGAGGCTTCTCAACTCAACGAGAAGCAGCGATTTGTTCGGCAACGGCCCTGCCCGGCCCTCGCACCGGACTGCGTCCTTGCATGTGGATGATGTGAAGAGATGCGGCGATGAAAGTTTTGACGACCAACCAAAAGTTTTGCCGCTTTTCTTCCAAGGATACACATGATTGATGACACAGACCAACCAAACGATAGACTTTGTTTCAGTTGCGATAACGACTTGCAACGAAGCTGGGCATAGCAGAGAAGCTGGGATGGCGGATCGGATCTGTTCTGCACCGGAAATGATTACCAGTGGGGACTCACTCAAAGCATTTGCATAGTTTTGACGGCGTTTGTGCAAAAGCACCAAAGAGCGATAAGCTGCATCATTTGTGAGCGGAAGGCTTCGGTTTTGTTTTTTCTGAAGAAAAAGTTCCTGATTCATACGAAACATGATGAAATGGGAATGGCCATCAAACCGGACGAGATTGATGAGGGAAAAAACGAAATCGAAGCTATTACGGGCTCGCGTGCGGCAGACAGGCGATCAAGAGTCTCTGCTGGCTGGCAAACGCATAGTGGAAATAGATCATCAGGCTGGTTTAGGTATTTCACCTCGAATCAAAAAGTCCTTACCTGAAAGATGTGTGGTTCTCGCACCATGTTCCTGACACGTTACCCCGTCCTTCACCCTCCGAACAGGTGGTTGTCGGTTCCTCGCACGTCGTAGTCTGGCAACAACGGTCTTGACGAAATTAACGGGCGGCCTCCGCGAACTCATATAGCAGCTCACACGACACGTAGATCTGCCCTCCCTGTTGAGAGGCTCGAGTCCTTCCCCCGTGGATTTCATCGACCCCGTCGTTGCACAGCAACCCAACTCTACTTGAACTCTTCAAGATATTCAATGTTGACAAGCCGGCACACGTGATCCCTTCCCTTTGACACGTAGCTCCCTTCAGCCTTTTGGCTTCAGGTGTCAACCAACGCTGAGTAGTCCAAATGCACGCAGATGTAAATCACCTGTGACTTACATGAGTGGAAGCTGTTGCAGAGGTTTTCTTCTATTCGTACCGCGCCTCGAACGAACCCCCGGGGGCCCATACTGTAGACTCTTGGGCAAGGGCCAACAACCACCCCCTGGACAGCCGTAGCCTTGCCGACTTTTGTTTTCGCTTTAGATATGTCCCGGAGCGTAGGACGCATATGGAGATCACTCTGGGCCTCTGCTCGGACATAGGATGATCTAGGCTACTTGTATGATGGACAGTACTAAGCAATAAGTCACCGCCAGGCGGTCTGAGGGCGTCTTTTTCATCCTTGTCCCGCTCATGCAAGGTGGTGAAGACTACACAGACACACATTAGTACAACCGCTCAAGGCCAAGTCGTTGGTGCGAGAGGTCGTAACTCGCTCACCACCAAGTTCGACGCTATTGACGGGCAATCCCCCTGAGGGATCAGCAGTGTCTTTTGAGCGTGACCGGTTGAGATTTCAGAGGGGCTGCCCGTCATTGCTGTTGACCCCTGGTTGTTCGAATCTTCCATTGAAATCTACTCGACATCTCTTTGTCCCTCGCCCTGAGCTTCAGCGATAGTTGCTCCGTTTGTACTGAGCTTTAACTTGTCGCAGACACTCTTCAGACTTCCGCCGTGAAGGATGGTCTTCGTTGAGCACACATCGTTGAACCTCTACGACGTGCTGCAGAAGCTGCACTGCATCTTGCCGACGATCCGATTCCCAGAGGCAGACAGCAAGATTGTGTTCGGAGGCCAGTCGGTTTAGGTGGGTTTCTGGATGGGTCTGATTCTGGATCTTCACCACCTGCTCTAGGAGTGACACTGCTTTATCCACTTGGTTGTTTGCGTGATAAGCTAAAGCTAGTCCACGCTGGCATGCCAGTCGATCAGGGTGAGTCTCTGAATAGGTCTGA